ACATTTTACGATTCAATACTCTCAAGTATTTTCTTTTCTTTAAAGAACATAAAATATGACCGCATATTAGACTTTTACTTTGAACTGAATTCTTTTGTTTTTGTGCGAAAATCGTTCTGTCCTTTTTACAGAAATCTAAATCTTCATTGAAATTGTGTTTCACTGTATTTGTATCCAAAATGAGTTAGTTGCGTTTTTATAGCCAGACAGTGAAGTCCTTTTTAACGAAGATGGTCTAAAAGCCAAAAGTCAGCAAGCTGTCACTTTATGTCTTCTTAAGTAGTCTGACATAAAATCTACCAACTTTTACCTTAAACTCGAAGCAAATAGAAGATGCGTGGGCGACAAGGAGAAGAAGAAGAGATCTATGGAGGATGGAGAAGGGGTAGAAAGGGATGGAAGGGGTCGACGGGGGTGCAAGGGGCTTTCCTTATGCATGAGGCCCGAATTGAGGTCACCACCGTCTTTCCCTTCTTCTTTTCTTTTGCTTATTGGCGGGACGCTCTTCTTGTGTTCCCCGTGCACATTCAACTCTGAGAACCCTTCAAAAGAAAAAAAGGAGTAGATCTTTTCCCCAATATTCTTCGCGGTTTTTCTCCTTCGTCAGCTCCTCATCTCATTGTGCCATATTTGGGGTACTGGAACTATAAGTGCACAAAAGAGACTTTGAAAGAGTTCTTGGATCTTTTAGTACCAATGTACTAGCTAGTGTAGTTAACTAGGAGCACCATCTATGTGGAAGTTGGCACCGCAAGGTGTTCCCCAGGGAAGCCTTCGAATATCTAAAAGACGGACGGGCGATTACCTCGAATATTCAGCACCTCTTTGCAAGCACCCAACCTGCTCCTTCCCATACTAAAAAGAGCTGAAGACTGACCCGGTGAATTGAGATAACTCGATTTGAGTATAAGGGAATGTGCGTCGTCGTTCCATCCCATCGTTCTCTCTTCTTCACCTTCATCTTTCCCATTCAGCTCTTTCTTATTCCCATCTTTTCTCTTTTCTTTTTCAGGTCATCCCTTTATCTAAAGCATTATGCGGCTTTTTCTCTACATATCCGAAAAAAAGCGAGAAAATCAAATTCGATGAGTGCTCACAAGCGCCTTGTCCATCGACTGCAGATTAGGCAAAAAAGAGGGGGAAGGGCCCTTGAAAGAAGAATTTCAATATGGAAAATGGGAGAGGAAGTGGGATAGCGCTAGGGTGTAGGGAATAAAATGTGTAGAATATGCGTGAATGTAAAACAATTTAACACAATTCATCCGACTTGTTTACAGCCGAATGTCCGTCAGTCAAGCAAAGGTGCACTTAAGTTTTCCATAATGTAATGCACCTTAAAAAAACCTTGCGCAACAAACGGAAGTGAACAAAAAAATACAAAGTGTTCCCCAAAACTAACCACTACAAACAAATATTCATTTCCGATTGACAGCCTTTTTTCAAGAGTGTCCAGTTGCAAAAAGTTGGGATTCTTTAAGAGAAGCTGGATGAACGAAGATTTGTAATATGAGCCTATATAATATTTTGTGAAGCATTTCTAAGATTCAGTGCCCTTCTTTTCACCAATTCCTCCCTTTTTAGGTCGACCGGAAGTCCGACTCGGGTCTTTTCTTCTTTTTTTCCTTCTTTTTCACCGCCTCCAACACCTTGGCCTTTCCCCCCTCAAAAATTCAAGAACTCGTCGTGTTTCTGGAACTTTTCACCTCATTTTTCCATTGAAAGTGAAAACTTTGTCGATATTTTCTTTTCACTTTCGATTTGAAGCTAATCTGAGTAATGTATCTGAATCCACCCCCACAGAAAAGGCCCAGCAGAGTCTCTTTGTGTCGGATTTGCGACTGGGTGTAGCTTGGGGATTGAAATCTTTGAGGTTACTTCAAATAGAATGTTCTTTGTCCAAACAAGGATTACGTGATTTAGATCTATTATAGTAGATCAAGTTTTCGAAGACTATAGAACAATCGGGTAAAGCCAGCACACGAGAAAATGCTTGTAAAGTAAACCCTTGTTCTACAAGATGATCAATATATTATCGTTGTAAAATGTAGAGAAATCGAGAGTTGTGGTTAGAGTAAAAGAATGGCAAAAGATAAGAGAGAGAAAGAGATGCACAATTTGTCAGCCATAACTTTGATGGGATTTCACCTCCCCCATCCCGGTTTGAAACTGTGCGAGTGTTCAGTTGTCAGTGTTCTCTTCTCATATTTTCGCCATTTCTTTTCACTAGAACTATTTTTATCCAAAATTCCTTATCACTCTCAAAAAAAACCATGTTTTCCTTGCCGGGATTTCTGCGTCATAGCGAAATTTTGGATCTTTTCTTTCCCATGTTCATTATCTGTCAAAGACACTACCGCCGGATATGACCTAAAGGGAAATTTCTTGAAACAAAAGTATATATTTTGCCGACATTCTAGATAAGATTTCATATACAATGCTATACTCTAATTAGCTAGTTTTACAAATTCTTATTTTTGCTCAAAAGAAAAATTCGCCATTCTGTTGAAAACTTGTTCATAATGATATCACGATAAACAAAAGTAATGTTATTTTGCTAAAAAGTGATAAATAACCTTTTGAACCTTTCGTAAAACTCAAGAGAAAAAAACTTTTTCTTTTCCATTCCTAACAAAAAAGATTCTCGTGGAGAAACTCGGCCAATCACTTTCGTAAACGGGAAAAACGAATGACTAAAACACTTCAATGAAAAGGACACTTTCTTGTTTTTTTTTGCCTAATAACAATATTTTTGACTAAAAATGTTGTAAATTAAGCCAAAAATATTGACTTTATCTGAAGAAAATTTAACAAAGAATTCTGAAATTCTACTCTTTTTTTTGCAAAACTTTGCTCTCCAACGCTTTTTGCTCATTTTGCTTGTCAGGGAGTGGGGGCAAAAAATACTTTTTTTACAGCACCGCGGATTTTAGAGCTTTTCGGGGTTAGAAAATTTGCATATTCCACAGTTTTGCGTCATTGGAGAGAGAAAATAAAGGTGGAAAAAGGGGGGGGGGGAAGGAGTGATGGGTGATACTCAAAGCATTCACCCAAACTCTCTTCCAGGTCGAGATTTGCAGAGGTCTTGAAATATTAAGCTTGTATAATTAGACTCATTTTAATATTTGGATAAGATTTATTTTAGCACCAAAAAGTTAGGTGAAAGGCTACTCGGTGGTTAACTGAACTCTTTAGGGAACTTCTCTAACCTAAGCCCCGATTCCGAGATCTACTCCCATTTATGTTCCTCTATCACTTCAGAATCATGATCAGATCATTCCCTCACATTCTCCAATCAATCGACAAATCACATCAATCAATCAATGAATATTTCCCCTCACTTTCTATTATTATTGTCAATCTTCATCCCTTTTCCTTTCTCCTATTCATTTCTGATTTTGAAAACAAAAATCTTTACGCTGTGATTAGCATAATTATTAGCAGATGATTTCAAGTGAGTCAAGAAGTTTTGGGTAAAAACTGAACGTTAGAGAAATTTTAGTTTTTAAAAAAAGACCATTTTCCACATTAAAATCGGACAATCGGAAAGTTATTAAATTTAACATTAATCGTCGAACTTTTAATTTCTTGGCTTTTGGCCTCTCGGCGCCGATAAGCTTGGCAGTTTAAGTTCGGAAATTTTTGGCGTAACATCTGGAGTTTAACCACCTGTATGGCATTAATAGATATTTTTCTTTTAGTTTATCTATTTCAATTCTAAACATCTAAGCTACACTAGAATTCTGATCTTATTAACTTTGCAAATCCCTGAGAACCCAGTATAGAAATTATAGTTGAAATTCCCATTAAAGCCGTCCAGTTTCCCCCCTTCCGATATCTTTAATTGAATTCTCACGGAGTCGATCTTTCCAATCTTTTCCATTCTTTTCTTCCATTTTGATCATTTCCATCAAAAAGCGGATAAATGAATTGGCCCTCAACTGGTAATCGGATACCGTCTTTTGTATTTCGCTACTTTAGCACCAGAACATGTTTTGTGTTGATTAAATTTGCCAGTTTTTTTTGTGTAAAACTCTTTGAATTCATATGCTTATTTTGGTCCAAAAAAAGTACAAAAAAATGCAAGATTTCGATTGAAAAATTCCAGGAAATCGCGTTTTGTTTGATTTGATCAAATAGTACGTACTTGGCTTGGATAAAGATGATCAAATATAAAGATGATTTGGAAATGTCCAGATCTCCCCAAATCTCAACAATACTTCTTCTTACAATCCATTCTTTTCCATGTTTTCTCGTCGATCACCTATCAATAGCTACCACCGTTTTTTTTGCTGAGAGATCTTCTTCTCATTTCTTTCTTCTCATTTCTTTTTCCTCTTTTCCTTGTCAATTGAATGACCTTCACTATCACCTAGCCTTCCCCTTTTTTCTTCTCCCCTCTATATCACAAAATAAATGAAATGCGAAAAGATACTCTGGTGGATGTCGATGAAAATCCCAAGCCTTATCCACCTTTTTGCATCCAAAAATCATTCGCACTTTTTCTTATGAAAAGAGATTACTTTTTTGATATCATAACTTTTCTAGGAATTGAGCAAAAGGTTGTGCTTTCCACAGTTTTCTGGGAATTTTCTGGGGACTTTCCTGAGAATTTTCAAATTATTGAACCAATCATCATTGCTCTTCGGTTTGCTTGTTGAAGTTTTCCAATGGTGCGAATCGCACTATGATTAAACTCCATGAATCAACCAGATGGATATGCAAATTTTGAGGAAAACATCTAAACATCAAATCCCTGCTATTTTACCCGATTCCCCCAATTTCCCCACTTTTTCCGAATAATTCTCTCTCTTTGTCCATTTTCACTCCTTTTTTTTCGCCACTTACCGAGAAATGCCATGAGAAAATCACCGGAAAAGGGGCACCCAACAAGAAAATTCTCCCGCCTTCAGTCTTCTGGGGTGGGATTTCACGCAAAAAAAGCTTGGAAATGTTTTTCGTATTCTAAAAGTAAATATTCATGTTGATCGGTGTACTTGGAAATGACCGGTGAGTAAAGAAATTACCCTAAAAAGGTCCCGTTAAATATTGAGCCTTTCCTTCCCCTAGCTTCTTCAGTGTCCTTTTCAAACCATCTATCAGCTTAACATTGAATTCTTTGCAGGGTCGATCTATGCAATGTCGGTGAGCGATGAGTACGGGTGCACACTGTCCGAATTGCGCGGGCTCATGGAGCTCCGCGGTGCTGAGGCCCTCGAAACGGTTAGTGGGATTTGGGATTTCGGAAGAACATTTGAAATTAGTCAACTAGATTGTTTTTGAAGCATCAACTTCACTTAACATCAAAATTCAGCTGGAGCGAAACTATGGTGGAGTGGAGGGATTGTGTCAGAGATTGAAGACCGACCCAGTCAATGGAATATCCAACGATCAAAAAGAACTCGAGAAACGGAGACGGGTCTTCGGCAAAAATGAGATCCCTCCAGCGGCATCAAAAAGCTTTTTTCGATTAGCCTGGGAAGCTTTACAAGTAAATTGAAAAGAGCAGCTATTAGAAAGGGAAATGTATTCAGGATATCACATTGGTGATTTTGTTGGGTGCGGCGATCATCTCATTGGGTCTCTCTTTCTACAAACCACCAAGCAGCGCTGCAAGTGAGTTATCTCCAGAAAACAACTAACAATAGTTTTTGCAGGCCACGATTCGAGTGAGCAAGAAGCTGGATGGATAGAAGGAGCCGCTATTCTCATTGCTGTTATCGTTGTTGTGATGGTGACTGCGTTGAATGATTGGAGCAAAGAGAAACAGTTCAGAGGTACAACTCCTAAAAGAAATCCCAACTTGGTTTACACCAGATATACCAATATAGCAAACCGGGTCCGAAATATTGCGTCTACTTAAACGTCATGATTCCCATCACTAAAAGTACAAAAAAAGCCTACAAACTTTGCACACTCTTTGAAGTGATTTGTAGCGTCAAAGAGTATTTTATAATACATTTGTTAGATTTCTAGTTAATTCTTCAAATTTTGATTTTTTTTGCAGGTCTTCAAGCGAAGATCGAAACCGAGCACAAATTCTCTGTGATTCGTGATGGACAACCCATTGACATTATCGTCAACGATTTGGTGGTCGGAGATGTGGCCAGAGTTAAATATGGTCAGTGTTAAATTAGCTTCCAACAAGGCTAAAGCTTCTCCCTTAGCAAATTTCAAAAAATATCATCTTTAGCAGACTTGCTTGTTGATGTTTTCCCTATTTTTTACCTAATTGTTGATCCCAAAAATTTTCCCACATTTCCCATCATGATTCGGGATTTGATTGTCGAAGAAATCCGGAGAAAGATATTCGGAAAGCGAACAAATAACGAATCACCATGGATACAAAGAAAACGAAAAGACGAAAAGAAAAGGCTCCCAGTAACCCATTTGTTTAATTAAAAAAAGGTGCGAATTTTCCCATCAAACGAAAATTCGTTAAATCTTTGAAAAATGAAAATCATTAAAAGTGGAAAAAAGGGCAAGGATGATTGTACAAAGTGAAAGTGAGATAACCTCAACATTTCCAGGTGATCTTCTCCCATCGGACGGAATTCTCATTCAGTCAAATGACCTGAAACTTGATGAATCCTCATTGACGGGAGAGTCAGATCTGATCAAAAAGAGTAGCGATCATGATCCCGTTCTTCTATCCGGTACACACGCTATGGAGGTAGGGAAATACTAGTAAGTTCACAATAATCACAAACTTCTTTTCCAGGGTTCCGGTCGTTTCATCGTAACAGCTGTTGGTGTGAACTCCCAAACGGGAATTATCATGTCGCTTCTGGGAGCAGTGAAACAAGAAAAAGAGGAAAAGAAAGAAACATCAAAAGATGGAGAACAAAACTTGCCCAATGGTCAGTTCAAGTTACATTAAATTGTCTATGATCAGGCTGTCCAAAAAGTCTTTTTTTCGTTGCTTTTCGTACTAATAATTGAACTACGGTTGTTATTTTTTAACGGAAATACGAAAAGGAACGAAAATACTTTTTGGAAAGTCTAATAATTCAAAGTTTAAGGTAATGGAATGGCTGTTGGAAATGGAGTACAAAAGGATGGAAAATCGATGCCGCCACAAGAAGAAGAGGATGCGGCCAAGGCTAGCAAATCGGTTCTGCAGGCTAAGCTTTCCAGCTTGGCAATCCAGGTCAACTATAGACATTTATTTATAGTTTTTGGTGGTCTTATCTAGATATAACTGATCTGCTGCATGAGAGTGAGCTCAATTCATCTTTAACTTGCTTCAGATTGGATACATTGGATCGATCGTCGCCGGAGCCACCGTTCTCATCTTGGTGGCGAGGTTCTGCATTGAAAAATATGTGGTAAATAAACAACAATTTGAGGTAACTATAACATAGCAGAGCTTTTAAAAAACACCAAGTTCAGGCTGCCGATTTATCTCATTTTGTCAACCACATCATTATCGGAGTGACAGTTTTGGTGATTGCTGTACCTGAAGGTCTTCCATTGGCCATTACTCTTGCCTTAACCTATTCCGTCAAAAAGGTACAGTTCAAGAAAAAAAATGGTTACAAATATCTATCTACTTCAGATGATGAAAGACAACAACTTGGTTCGTCACTTGGACGCTTGTGAAACGATGGGAAATGCGACGGCGATCTGCTCAGACAAAACGGGAACTCTCACAACAAACAGAATGACTGCTGTGCAAGCATTCATCAATGGTTAGCTTTTAATGAGATTTATACAATTTTTGGCTTTTAGAAGAATTCTACAAGACGGGTCATTTGCCCAAGTATGGGGATTTGGATGCGTTGACAAGGGATTTAATCATTGAGGGAATCTCGACAAACAGTGGATACAACTCACAAGTCTTTGATAGTAAAATACAAGGAGGACCACGGGAACAGGTCGGTTTATCGAAAAGCAAAAACACTGTAGACTTAATCCAAAATTTGCATAAAAATATGATTCCCGAATTATAGATCGGCAATAAGACCGAGTGTGGATTGCTAGGACTTGTGATGGATTTGGGAAAACACTATGATGACATCAGAAAGCTCCATCCTGAAGAGACGCTTTTCAAGGTAGAACAACTCGTCTATTCATCTACATACAGTCTGATCACCCATTGTCATAAATAATCATTTCTATGAATCCGATATTGATTCAGGTGTATACATTCAACTCTTCTCGCAAATCAATGATGACCGTTTTGCAAATGGATGCGGGAAGATATCGAATCTATGCAAAAGGAGCCTCGGAGATCATTCTATCTAGGTATGAAATGAAATAATTGACTCTTAATACAAGTTATGTTAGATGCTCATCGGTTTTGGGTCGTGGTGGTGCCATTGAGAGCTTTGGAGAAAGACAAGTGGCCGATTTGACACAACGAGTCATTGAGCCGATGGCCTCGGATGGATTGCGAACGATTGGATTGGCATATAAAGATATGGTGCCACAAGGAGAAAAAACAAGAGAAAATGAGGTATCCGATGCGGTCAAGAAAAGTTAGCTGATTGTTAGAGCTTTGTGCTAATGAAGTGTTCAAACTAAAAATCATGACTTCATTCTGAAAATTCAGCTTGAGTACTCTGGTGAGATCGATTGGGAAAACGAGGAAGTGATTCGAATGGGAATGACAGCAATCGCAATCATTGGTATTCAAGATCCTGTCAGAACTGAGGTAAAATAATTGAAAGACCTACCCCAACTCTTTATAATTCCAGGTGCCAGCAGCTATCGAGAAATGTCAACGAGCAGGGATCACCGTTCGAATGGTTACAGGAGATAACATTAACACAGCCAGATCAATTGCCACTTCTTGTGGTATTCTCAAACCGGGAGCTGATTTCTTGGCACTTGAAGGAAAAGAGTTCAATGCTAGGTAGAGAAAAACAGTTGACAAAAAATTATTCCAATTTTAGAATCCGAAACGAGGATGGAAAAGTCGATCAAGCAAAACTTGACGCAATTTGGCCTCGCCTTCGAGTATTGGCTAGAGCTCAACCATCGGATAAATATGTCCTTGTTAAAGGGATTATCGATTCAAAATCGACAAAGAACCGAGAGGTGGGTCGAGCTTTACTTTTGAGCTATTCAAATTCTCTCATCTAAAATTCTGAAACCAAGAAACCATAAATTTTTAATAGAGAAAACAGGATATTGCTTTCAGGTAGTGGCTGTGACGGGTGATGGAACAAATGACGCTCCAGCTCTGAAGAAAGCCGATGTCGGATTTGCTATGGGTATTGCTGGAACTGATGTGGCCAAAGAGGCATCGGATATTATTCTCACTGATGATAATTTCTCTTCAATTGTTAAGGTGAGTACTGAGGCTGCGAAAGGGACTTATCACAGAGTCATTTAGGCAGTAATGTGGGGAAGAAATGTATACGATTCGATCGCGAAATTCCTCCAATTCCAATTGACAGTTAACGTGGTGGCTGTGACAATCGCCTTTTGTGGAGCTCTCTTCATTAAGGACTCTCCGTTGAAGGTAAGCCATACAAAATTACATGTTCAACTAGTGAAATCAAACATGAAACTCCTACTAGATACAGTTTTAACAAGATTTGCAGGCCGTTCAAATGTTGTGGGTGAATCTTATCATGGACACCCTTGCCTCTCTTGCATTGGCCACTGAAATGCCCACAGAAGATCTTTTGGAAAGGAAACCGTATGGACGCACAAAATCGCTCATCTCGAGAACAATGGTCAAGAATATTACCGGACATGCCGTTTATCAACTCACCATTCTTTTTGTGCTCATGTTTTTCGGTAACAGTCGCGCTCTTTTTCAAAAGTACTGCTATCTTTAGCTCCTGCCATCATTCCAAACACGAAAGATGGACGAGATCCGACTGGAATGAGCACAAAACCGACAGGTGATCTGGAAAAGAAAAATCAAACTTGAATAATGAATAATTGTATGTAATCTTTTTAAAAATAAGGCTTCAGAGCATTTCACGATCATCTTTAACGCTTTCGTCTTGATGACCCTCGTCAATGAGATCAATTCGAGGAAAATTCACGGAGAGAGAAATGTCTTTAAGGTATTTTGACCAGCTCATTGTAAACTGTAAATTTAAACCTTAAACTTCAGGGACTTTTCACAAATCCGATTTTCTGCGTGATTTGGATCACGACTCTCATCTCGCAAGTTCTCATCGTGCAATTTGGTGGTCATTGGTTCTCGACGGCTCCTCTTGATTACATTCAGGTGTTTATCAAACAAATATAGAATATAGAGATACTTTATTCAAGATATGAAGTATAAAGTGAGAAAAATTTTCAATACAGAATGGTAGTAACGCCTTAAGGAACATAGAAATTAATGGCAAACAAAGATTGCAAAAATACGGAATTAGTTGAATCCAATCAACCCACAAGAGAAGAGAGCCTTAGGAAAGTCAATTTTCCAAAAGACTTTAGTGGATCTTTGTTGGATTTCCAAGCGCAAAATATCCACTTGAGTATGTGGAGACCAGACTATAGATGCATATTTTAGGATAGCATCTATGGTAAATTTCCATTCTAGGAGAATAGAATTTTATAATCCATAAATGTGTATTGACTAGGTATAAATCGAGCAAGTGAAACTCTCTCAAAACTCTCAAAATTTCAGTGGGGTTTCTGTATTGTCTGTGGAATCGGATCACTCTTTTGGGGTCAAGTCATCAACACGATTCCTTCGTCAATTCTCCCCAAATCGCTCTCGTTTGGTCGCGGTGAGGTTCAACCAACATCAATTCTTCTCACTGGAGACTATGATACACCTACGAATGTGAGATTTTTTGAAGAACTTTTTGAAGAACTTTATAGTCAATCTTTTAGAAATAGAAAATCGTATGATTTCGATAAATTGAATTTCACTTCTTTTTTGGTAGAATACTTTTGGTTCGGGGAGCTTTATTGAAAAAGGTTAGAAGTTGATACATCAAAAAGTTTTCTTGTATTTTATCCGATTTGTTTAATCAAAAAAGCTACATTAAATCCTATGAACAGGTTCAAAACCGGTAATATCGATGTGGAGAATAGGTTGGACAATATGAAGTGGTTTAGAAAAAATAGATGAGCTACAGTATTGGGTTTTCTTCATTTCATGTCCTCTACTTGTTAAACTGGTCAACTTTTCGGTATTTGACTCTTTCCAATGCCTATTTTGCATACGACAATATCAATAGCAAAAGTCACATTTTTATGATTGATCTTAAATATCCAAATCGAATCTATGCAAGTTTGTGGTATCGTTAAGAGTCATTTGTACTCAACTTTCTATCGATATTCACTTCTTAGATGTGTGCCTTTCGAGTAAAGCGATAACTTTCTAAACTCATCCTTTACTCTAGAGGAAACACAACCGAAACCATCGATCCAATCTCCAAATTCCAGATCTCCTCAGCAGCCGGTCTTGCGAAATCTTCTTCAATCGATCAAGGCAATAAACGACCGGGTCAATTGTTGTGGTTGTTGGGATTGACCCGTCTACAGACCCAGGTTCGAAGAATGTCCGAAATGATGACCCGACCCATGTCGGCACCCCGGGCTTCCATCGCCGATATCTCCCATTTGCCCCATATTGCCCACTAATCCCTTTTAAAATCTTCTTCTTCTATAGACAATTCAAAATCTTTTTCTTTTTCATATGGAAACTTTCAAACACAACACTCGTTTCCTTAGAGCACAACAACCCACCGTGTGTCGAAAAACGGTTCCATTTTGATCGCGGTTGTTCAGTATTAGAGACGAGCACCACTAAAACACGACACCGTTTCTGTGAAGTCTCTTTGGGAATTGAGAAAATATTATCTTTAGAATAAATAGAGTAAAATTTTTTGATTCTCAACGAGACTCCACTCTGTCTTGATAGAAAGCATCATAAAACTTTCAAATGGTGTAAAAGAAGAATAAAGTGTAGTGTGAGTGTCTAGATGCGAGTTGTGAAGGCATTCCAATCATCGGCTGAAGATTCTCATCCATCATCACTCACAACATCGACAGCTGATCGACTTCGAGCATCGTATAGACGATTGAAAATCGCAAAGGAGCTCGAACAACAGAAACGTCCGTTTTTTTTATGATATCTTTAAAAAATTGTAATTGATAAACATATGAAAGAGAGCTATTATTTGACTAAAATATTTAGACTTTTAATAATTCGTATTATAAAATAGGTGAACATTCTTGTTTCTAACAAATAATCTATCAATAATCTAATAATCTATCACAATAACACGAACGTGACTAGCTAATCGTAAGCATGATCTTTATATTTAAGTATTCGTTAAATCAAAGTGGTGACTTTTGTTTGATTTCAGGTGCGGGCAGTGTTCGGGTGAGCAGCTCGACGAAAGAGCCGACAAAAGACACAACAACGATGAAATTTGTCTAGAAGGATTGCAATGGAATCACCCCAAGAGTTTTGTAGGCGGAAAAATCTTCCTTTCCCCCCACAATGCACCACATTGCCATCACTATTTTAAGTTTTTTTAAATCTTTTCATCTTTTTCCGCGAATTCTTATTCTTTTCTTTATATTTCTTTTCTCATATTTTCCTCTAGTTTCCATTCCCCAACCCGATTTGCTCATTTTTTAATCGTTATTTTCCTTTTTTTTCAAATATCCAAATAGTGCTACCGTAATACTTGCAATGAAACGTTATCTCGAGTTCATTAGTGCTCGTAATGCCTTTGCAAGTCTTACGGTATTTTCCATTTGTACATAAGCTTTTTCAGATTCATAATTCTTACCCCAAAAATCTATTCTCAAACTACATAAAGACAAACCCGGTGCACGCGTATGAGAAAGCTAAAATGGGAAAGCTAAATGCCAACCTTAGCATAGCAATTTCTCATTTCGGACGCCAGTCAACCCGTTTATTTTATTTTTGACAACAAATGCCTTATATTTCTTATTGACGAAGAGACCCGGGATATTTTTATCGTTGTTTTTTTCCAAATACCCCTTTGTTTTTTGTTGCGTCTTTCTCATGTGATATATAAAATATTCGAATTTCTTTTCCTCCCAAGCAAAATGCCCAAAATCTGCATAATTTCTCGCTCGTCCCCCCCCCCTCCACTCCAACAGAAATTTGTGATATTTTGTTCAATGATTTTGATTTCAATGGTTAGTGAATATCGAGTTTTTCCTTCGGAAAATTTGAATTCCTGAAGCTACGATAGGTTACTGTAGTTTCAGTCATAGTCATTGGGTCCAAGTTTTCCGAATTAGGTTTCAAAGGGTGATGAAGTGGCTCGGCTCATTGTCAGTTTCAGAAAATGGGCAAGGTACGGTAACCCTAAATTTCTATTGCTTTCAGGAATGTGAGCTGATTGTGGGTAAGTTAGGCCACTTCGTTTTCCCCTTTGCAATCTCCAAACCAAATCATACAGTATCTACTGTTTTTATTAGGACAGTATCCTTTACATTTCCTAGTGTTTTTTTGAACTATTCTTTTATATGATTGGGTGCCGATCGTTTCGATAATATTGAGTGCTTCTCGGCTCAACGCGTCTCCCCTCAACCCCTCTCTAACCCTTTTCCATTTCATAGGCTCAACCACCCCATCCCTTCTCCTCAATGATTCCCCAAAATGACATCTTTTGAAAATTCTATTGTTTCCCCGTGTTTTTCTACTATTTCTTTTTGATTTTATTGAAATAAATTATAATTAATTGTCGCGGAGAATGAAGAACAGAGGAAATGCATATCTAGGTGGTAGATTGATCTAATGATAAGAGCCTTCTATTATAAGCAATCTTTTCAATAAGTCACTCAGTAGCAAATGGTAGTCATGATGCGGTACTGAATGCAAACTATTTTTGACGATTCAATCTATTAGGTTGTTCGGATATAAACGAGCGTTTTAGTAGTCGACAAAATTTACCTTAAAAACAGAAACAACACAGTTTAATCCAAAGTATATTCACCATTATTATTGATTGCTGCTTGCCATCTTTTGCGCAAAGAACTGATGCCGCTCTTGAAAAACTCAGCCGGCTGTGACTCGAAAAACTTGGTGACCCAATTTTGGATATCTTCACGGTTTTTGAATTTCTCATTGGCCAAAAAGTTTTGAATCGACCGGAATCAATGGTAATCTGAGGGAGCCAAATCGGGAGCATACGGCGGATGTGGTAAAACCTCCCCTCCTAGATCGTCCAGTTTGTGCTGAGTCATCTTTGCAACGTGAGGTCTAGCGTTGTAATGGATGAACTTTATCTTTGATGTGTCTACGCCTTGACGAATGAGAACTTCATTGGCTCGATCAAGTTGCTGTTTGTAGAGGTCGGATGTGACTGTTTGGCCGGTTTGTAGAAGCTCGAAATACACAAGGACCCTGTTATTCCACCATACTGAGAGCATAACCTTTTTCCCAGGAATGTCCGGTTTGACGGTCGGATTTGGCCGTTCTCCTGCTCCTAGTCATTTCCGTTTTCGAATAGTATTATCGAAATGGATCCACTTCTCATCTCCAGTAACGAGAGAATCAAAAAAGCCATCATATTTAGCGTGGCGGATGAGGATTCCGGCAATAGCGACCTGTGAAGCCTTTTTTGCACTGCTTAACTCGTGAGGAAGCCATTTCCCGCATCTGATCGTCTTTCCAATGGCGCGGAGATGCTCATCAATAGTAGAATTTGAACATAGAAACTGTTGAGCAAGTTCACGCGTCGTTTGACAAGGATCCGGTTCGATTGCAGCCCTCAAAATATCGTTATCTACCGCTTGAGGTCGAGGAGAGTGTTCATCATCCTCGAGACTTTCACAACCATTCCGAAAGCGTCGCAACCAGGCTCGGCATCGGCTTTCGGACAATACATCATTCCCAAATGCTTTGACCAAATCTCGATGGGATTCCGCGACTTTTTTTTGCCCAGTTTGAAGTGGTAAAGTAAGCAGACGCGAACTTGATGTTCGGTCATCTAAAGCAAGAAAAAAGATCTTAAAAATAACAAATTATCCGTTTAAAAAGTTTCCAAATATGCACATGATAGCGTAATTTTAAATACAGAAAGATATGTTTTAAAAGCTTCTCTCACAACCAAAAAGGTTAGCAACGCTTGTTTATATCCGAACAACCTAATATCTATTTTTGGCTATTCAATCTAGTTTAAAATTTGATTGCCCCAAAAACGTTTCTATTTTGTTGATTAAGAGACAATGACGCTCAAGGGGATTTTGTCGACTCTGTTCTTTGATAAGATAAACTCATTGGGGAGAAAGAAAAGAAAGTGAATGAGACAATCTTTGAATGACAACCCATCAACTTTCTCCCGTCAACACACTAATTTTGTAAACAGATACTTATTTTTGACACAAACACAATTTATCTGCTTTGATTTATTGTATTCTTGAATGATGGATGAAGTACATGGAAATGATCATCCATTGGAAATCCTTGACACGAGAATCAAATGGGCAAATTTACAGGTGAGCTGTGGAAGAAGTTTTTGAATTTTGAAGTTTATTTAGTTAATATCCTATTCCCTTTATCTGAATTCTATTTTAATTACTTGCTTGTCTGCAACGAACTTTTTGCACTTTTCAATTCTAGGACGAGCTTCAAAAAGTTCTCACAACGGGATCGAAATGTCGTCGCACCTCATTTGCGCACCAAATTCCCGGATCTGTGGTATTCCACTTAATGCATTTATATGCTTAGCTTTGACAGAACAATTCTCTTCAGCCAATTTTCAGGGTTTCCTCTCTCAAGTCGTTCTAATCGATCTGCATTGGTTTCCACAAGTTCCAAAGCTGCCAAGTAAAGTGAGTGCGTTTAAGGAATCGATTGGTCGATTAAAAACAAGATTCTTTTTAGAATACTTTCAGTTTCAGCCAAATTAAGTTTTTTCCACGTTACTCAAAAGCGGTTAAAAATTTTTCAATTCTGATTTGACAGGCCAAACCACCATAGTCGATTACACATTGTTCTAAAAACAAGACCGAAATTCCCACTGGGACTTGTGTTATGAGGTGAACGGACAGACACACACACAAACTTTTCGTCTTATAAAAATAAGAAATTTATAGGTGGTTTTGAAAGTGCCAATCTCGAAACCCCACGAGCCGAACCCTGAGGATGTAGAGACCCCAGCAGAGCGCTTGGAACCACTACTTCAAGCGGTATCTAGCAAACGTATTTTGTTATAATTTATTTGTAGCTACTAAAAAGCTTATCCAATTGATATCTCAATTAGAGTGTCCTCGCTATTAATACGTTTTCTAAAACGTGCCCCGAGAAAAAGTACCGTAATCCCGTCGAGAAAAATGCAAAATCCAATATATGCAAATGTGAAAATAGAGAACAAAATAAGAAAAAATATAAAAAATAAGCGTAAAATTTTGCTACGGCCTTTAATAGCTTAATTGAATTTAGCTGAATAGTTAGCCAATGCGTGGGCGCGTTTTAAAAAACGCATTAATCGATTAAAATTTGAATCGTCCAACTTTAATCGATTACCGTACTTTCTCTAATAGTAGTGCACCCCGGCGAGCCGAGTTGGTGACGATTTTACGGTTTCCAAGCTTTTGCAGAAGCTCAACACTCAAATCCCCCATTAGATCTCATCATCAGCTACATTTTCCGACTCCACATCGATAGGTTCCGATAAGCGGTTCTCGAGATTTCGAGCAATTTATCTGACGCTCAGGGTGCACTACTATTAGAGAAAATACGATAATTAATTGATCGCGGGAAACACACTCAAATCTGAATTCAGCTCTTCCAAGCCGAGCATTCCTTCTACGATTTCTACCGTAGTATCGAGAATCTCCACATTCCCAAACCCCCAGTCCCCCACTTCTATTATGCTGCCAAATTTGAGGTAGTCAATGCAGAATCAATGCAATGGTAAACAGAACTTATGCATTTTCAGAAAAATCACGAATATCTTGTGTTTGAGTACTTGCACGACACACATCACTTTCACATTTGGGACAACTTTAACGAGACACAAATTGATCAGGTAAGTTTAGGAGTTGTAACCAGAAGACATCGGTTGCTTAATCCAAAAAACCGTCATCTATTTGAACTCTAATAAAATCTAGTTATGCCAAAACATTTAGGTTCTCCTCGCAATCGCCAAAACTCAAGCTTGTGGTTATTTGCGTGATTCAAATTCGCGCCCGGGTCTCGATCAAAAAATGATGAAAACTCTCTATAAAGACTGCTTTCCAGTTGAGGTTTTTGGGTTTTATGAGAATCATTTGCAAATTTTAATAGAATACAGTTCCGTATCTAGGAGGAGGTATCTCCTACCTGTCTAAAAAAATTTAATTCCTTGTCCATCTCTAGATTTTTTTTCTGGGCATGGGCCTTATAGAATAGTTCAGTTTTACATTTAAATACCATTAGGAAATGTTGGAATTGCTACACAAAATGCCTGCATTCTATGGAGAAGAACTACAGCCATTAGTCGAGAAACTTGCACAGACTCATCAAAAAATCTGGGATCTTGACATTGAGAAGAAAGTTTGCAAGAAATTAGGTAATTCAACTTCATTTTCTTGACAGAACTTTTAATTTTAAGGAATCAAACCGGCGTTGATTCATGGTGACATGTGGAGTACGAATATTTTGTGGGAAGCAGACGATCACAATAAATTGCGAGCATTGCTCGATTGGCAAGTGAGTGATATTGTTGATAGTAGGACTTGGATATTTCGAACCGCAAATCCATCTTTCAAATGTTCATTAAAAACTTCCTAGATGACTCATCACGGAAATCCGGCAGCCGATTTGATTCGCTTATTCAACTCATGTATGTCAGGAGTACATAGACGCAGATATTGGAAAGACTACTTACGAATGTTGGTTTCGATTTGTCGAAAAGATTACGTTTACTATTGCAATACTTTTCAGCACAAATTCACTTACACATAAAATTTAGAATGCACAAACATTTGACGCATGCAATGGGCACACACCCGGTTCCCTACACGTACGAACAGGCATGTTTCTGTTAAAATGCTCTGCAAGTTTTGATATACTGTCAACAAATCGAGTTATTCTTTAGTTAGTCGATGCTTATGTTTTTCATTATCCAATGGAAACTTTCCTCTATTTGCCCCCACTCAATCCAATTGTTGCAAATGCGAATCGAAGTGAAGAACCCGAATTGGCACAAAAAAGAAAGAGCATTGTCGCGGAAAAGGTCTGTCTGTCAAATCGTGTTAAGTATTCAATTTAAACTTATGAATTTTGAATTCAGTGAACATACAATCTATAGAAAATCTATAGAAATCCTAGATAGAAATCCTGAACAATCTATAGAAATCCTAGATTAGTGCTAGCTGACTAACGTAGTTTTGTCAACATTTTATATCTTGATTTCAGGTAAAGTGTATGATGGAAGACATCCTGGAATTCCAACGATAAAACCAATCTATGATTTCTGTCTTTTTACTTGTATTTTTGTGTTCTCTAAATATGTATTTGACCTTTTCAAATAAAAAGCTTTCAAATAAAAAGCTTCAAATAAAAAGCAAATAAAAAGGTCACCCCATCCGATTGACGTTGTATGCAAATTTCTTGCCAAAATTGAGCCGATTTTTGTGAGCACGCGTGATAAGCCAAAAAAAATCGTTGCTGGACATTGGGAATATTTGTGATTTTTACACAAGATTTGTTCTATCACAGGTATTATGGCAGTTCGAAGAGGACAACTTTTAAATGTAAAAAGCGTGAATGTTTAAATCTCCTGGGTTTACATTGTAATATATCTTTAGAATGGAAACTCGTTTTTTCAAATCAAAAATCGTCTTTCCGAAATTGTACACTAAAAGGGATTTGAAATAGGAATTCGGTTCATTTCATCGAACTAAATTCCCATCGAAAATCGTGTCTTTTCCAATTAACCACACCCTCCCATTCCCTGTTTTTTTCTTTGAACTTTTCCGTCTTTGGCGTTCAGCCGGATTGAAAAGAGCTCTAAATTTGATTAGCCATCAAGAGCCATTCTAATCAAGATCAAGTGTCTGACAAGCAAAATGGAAAGGCCCACAAAAAGAAACGATATGCGTACTTTTCTGTCACCTGATTTTCCTTTTAAAGATTAATGATCATTGAATTCTCTTTTTTGCCTATTCTGTCAAAAAGATACGCGAAAGAGATATCCACAAAAACGTTCTGGCCTAAAACATCCAAACGTCTATCGCAGATTTTATCTACTCAGTTTTCGTTTTTCAAAAAAACATCCAACTTATGCAACTAAATGCATTTTTTTGTCAATTGTCAAAAACTTAGCATCTTTCTTTCTAATTTGTTTTCTTGGATTTTCTCCATTTTTAGCATCAAACCATTCCCTTTATCAGTCGATTTTTCGACGCATCGCTTTTAGCTGAAATTTTCATTTTCAAAAATCTTAACAAATCTTTTGGTTAGCTGTATAGATAAAATTGAAAATTTGTGTATTCCCCAAAAATTTGTTGATTCTTTTCCGTGGCGGAGCGTTTTCTCTACCAAATTCGTCATCCATTTGAAGAATTTCTTAAAAAAACACTATCCGTTTAGCGCCATTTCGGGACAAATCATGTTTTTAACGCAAAACTTTCTCTATTTACAAGGTATTTAATAGAGAATGTAATCAGAAATGACAAAAAGAAAAGAATTCCTATTTTTGTGTAGGTTGAATTGGGTGAATTGGAGTGGTTTTGGAACAAAATGAACCCAAGTTGCGTTTTAGAAAAAGTTCAAAATTCTCAGACGTCTTTTGTTCCATCTTTTGTTCCATCTTTTGGTCCTTGTCAAATCCGACAGACGAGTTGAGAAATGCTAGAGATAAATGTAAAGGAACGAATATACTTGATATTAAAGTTTTGATACATCAATGGGCGCACCAAAGTGCAGATCAATATTTCTTTAAGACAGTACTATGTTTTGCTATTTTGTGGCTCAAACATATTACCCTCGCTATTCACCATTTCCCTTCCACATTTCTTTGGTTCAATTAAGTAAAGATGAAAGCAAAGATTATCAGTTATTTGAAGCCAAAAAGTCACCCGGATGGGCGCTGGCTTTTTTGTGGCGCCGTGACTCTTCACTTCACTTCTTCACTTTGTTCTCGTCACTCCAATGTGTGACTCCAAAATTTATCAGCCTTTTTCACAAGCCCCAATGAATGTTTGAGACTTGATCCGATCTGAAGTCGTAGTCTTTCTTTTGAAAGCACATCACGGGGTTTTTGAAATTCAAATGATTCGTAAACTTTTCACTTCCAAATCACATCATTTCACTCACTTTCTCAGTTGCTGTTTTTCTCAACAATTTATTGCCCTTTCAGAGTTGGTGAGTACGGTTGAAATCACTGATCTTTCCACGCACCTTCACGATCAAAGCCAGCAAAACTTCTCGCAGACATGCAAACAAATTCTTTTCTTGCTATACAATAAGTTTTGGTTTCAGAATGATCATAGGTCGATCTCTCTCGAATTCGTTCCTCTATTTACCAAAGTGGTTCTCTAAAGCTGTTTGTTCAAAAAACGATGTTCAACTTTGGCCCATTTTAAAGCACAAAGACCATGATGTAATAGGAAATCTAAAGAATGCTTTTGGTAGTAGACTGATGCAATTCGGCTGACAATGAGTGCGGCGATCTTTGGATACCATACTAGCAGGAACACCGAGTATCTGAGAGAGTCCACGTTTGGTGAACCGCCACCAATTTGCTCTCATAGAAAAAATGAGTGTACAAGAGAGTGCTCATTTTCCAAATTTAGGCTGAATCCTTCGAAAACACCGCCGTCTCTAATGTAGTCTTCGGCTTGTAATAGTTTCTCACAACATAAACCCCTCATTTCTAGCAAAAAAAAATTTTCTCAATCAAAAACCATCACCCAGAAAGTACACTATATTTTCAGAAAACAGAAATTCCTTCATTTATCTCCAAAAAAAGCTCTGGAAAGCCATGCGGGGGCCGTAAATCGGTACAGTCCCCTCACCCCTCCGCTCTCCCTTTTCCACACCCATCAGCCCATTTCTTGTCTCCATTTTCTATCTTTTCCCCTTTCCCCAAAATCCTCTCCAAAACTTAGAAAACCGTTTGTCGAAAAGCTTACCAGGCCCACACGTAGGCGCCCAAATATTTTTTTTTGTAATGCCTGGTTTCAAAAAATATTTGTCTCTATGTCTAAGCAAAAAAAAACCCAAGAAGATTTTAAATCTTAACACTTTCGCTTTATTGTTGATTGATACAGTACTCTGAAATAAGAAAACTCCTTATCTCATCGTCAGTTTCTGGAGTGAGACAGGATACTGGTCCTTTCCTCTGCACACAGACAAGGCAGAAGTAGAAACTTTATTTTTGTAATATCTGCATGGTTTTTCCTTGTGATTCATCTCCTATGCATTTCACAGTCAAAAATTTTCTCTATCTTTGTTATTTAAAATTTCTAAACCTTTCCTTTGCTTTTCGTGAATCATCTCTCTTTAAACTCAAAGTATTTGCTTGACTCTTTTTCAAAAATTCCAAAAACCTTTGACTTTCCTGTCTTCAAGGTCATCTATCATCTATTTTTTGTATACAAGATATTGTTTTGAGAGTGAAACACGACGTTAGATCAATAAAAATGAACACCCATCCAATCTCAATAAGTGGCGGTGGAATGAATTGCATTTTGGAATGAAATCTCATTTTGTCCAAAAAAAGCATTTCATTTGTGGGGAATTTTGAACAATTTCAACGTCATTTAAACATGTTTGTTTACAAGAATTTCATTTGGGATAGGTCAAATTCGAAGGGAATACCTTGGAAAAGGGTTCGTTTTATTTTTGAGTACAAAGTACACTTGAAAGAACAAATTTATTCAACTCTTTTGTTCATAACTCAAAAATCTCCATTCTTGTTAAGCAACGTTTTTTTTGAGGAAGTATCTAGAAGTCTTAGCTTTCACAAGCCTTTTTCTTCTTTTGGCCGGTGTAAATGAATTTTTCATGTGCGGTCACATGTCAGAAAGTCTTTTTTCATAAGGAATACTTTGAAAAGAGAAAAAATATTCAGCTGTACGAGATTAAAATGAATTAAAGGAATGAGTGATGAGCGGTGGATGAGAAGCCGATTGCCCGTCAGAACTCTTTCTATTTTTTGTTTCAATAGCATTTCTTTTCATGACAATTTCTTACTTAATTTTTCCCTCTCAAAAACAATCTTGTTTTTGAAGCCATTTCTGCAAAAGTTTTATAGAAAACAGTTTTTTATTTGAAGAATGGCTTCAGCAAGTTTTACTCACAAATTGAACACTTATATTGTTTCACCTTTATGTCTCACTACAGTATATGCCTGTCTGAATATGTATTATAGTAATAGAAATTAGATATTCACGGTCTTCACAATATCTCTGCTTCCAAAAATCTCCCTATTTTCCACGAGCTTTTCTTTGGAATCATTCATCCAATCATCAAATATTCTATTCAAAATAATCTCTTCTCATAATATTCCTTTTTATTTAAATAGACTAAAAAACACAAAAAAAAGATCGGAATTTAAATTTCAAAACAAGCAGATGGATTTGTTCACCGAGTTGAAGAAAAACCGGGGATAAGGGAAAGAAAAGAGACAAATGTGAGTGACCCCCATTAGTCCATTAGTTGCATCGCCCCCATCCCCTCAAGAAGAATTTCCCCCACCTTTCAACTCCCCGCTTTCCGCGCTTTCCGCCGAAAATTTGAATCCCAATCATTCCATTATTTTCCTCATTCCCATTGCCCTCAAAAAAGACGTCAAAATTTCTTCTCAATTTGCCCCGGCAAATTCGCATGCAAATAAGCAGACAAATAAACGGGAGAAAAGAAAAGTGTTTGCTGATGAAATCATTCAAGAAAAAAGAGAATGGGGAATGGATTGACAAGAAAAATGAAAATGGAACAATACAGGCATCATTCCAATAGGCTCTTTAGGTGAAGAAGGGGGAAAACGCGTCCTGTACTTGATGTGGATGTACACAAGACAAGTTTGTGGTAAAATCGCCTTTTAAAGCAGGCAAATCTAAAGCTAAAAGTTTAGTGTTTATGCAAATTGCACAACTTTTGGATACAAAAGCAACACAACATCTAAAGTACTGCCTTTACAAACTTCCCAATCTGTGACTCATTCTCTCATTTTTGACCTCCTTGAATGATTCGCAAGATTTCCCTGCCCAAATGTGACTTTTTGTGGGTATTTGCTAGAAAATTGCTCCATCTCAAAACCTTTTTCCTTTTTTCTTTTCTATTCTCCGATCTTAGAACACCGGAACTCAATTCTTTCAAAAAAAAACTTTCAACAATACATTTTCTTTTCCTCTCTCAAAATGGGGCTTCCAGAAACCCCAGCAAATAGAAAATTATAAGATACCGTATTCTCTCTATTGGTACGCCGGTGTACTATTTTTTAAGCCCTCCAAACCTGGTGTACTATTAGAAAGTGGTGTACTAATAAAGAGAATACGGTAAGCGTTATGGTTGGCCATTTTTAAACCTTTGATCATAAATTTTTATAGGTAGTGCACTTTTTTCTATTTTTTTTGAGTTGAATACAAGTATTTATTGCTTCTTACAAGTGTCCGTATTAAATAGTTCAATTTCAATTTTCTCCTTCAGGTATGGCGTGTGAAAATAAGCACCGTACTTTGTGCCTTAACAAATGCACGATTGCTGACACATTCAATTTAGCCTCTTTCCTACCCAAATCTGTTTTAACAGACTTTTTTGTATTGCCACGATCTCTCAAATACTTTCTCTGTTACTTGAGCACAATTCTTTGCAAAACGGATCTTGCAAATACTTATATCAAACAGATAAAGGGTGTTCCTCAATGCATAACTTATTGCATCTTTTGGTGAGATCGAAGGAAAAAGAAGGAAAGGAAGAAGATAAAGAAAGAGTAGCCACTACTCATAAAATGAGGGGAGTTTTTTGAAAACACGAGGATTCATAAAGAAAAGAAAGCAAAAGAGGAGGGGGAAAAAATGAGAGGATTCCAGTTTTCCCCCTTCTTCTTCTTCTCATCCACCCCAAGTTGTTAGGAAAAAGCTGAGGAAGATAAAAGATTTTCATTTCAATTTCTACTTTACTTTTCTGAATCCTATCGCTTTTTACTTGCTAATGTTATAATGCATTGTTAAAGATTTACCTTGATTAGGTATGAACAATGTTATTTTCGTTGCAAACCGTTTAATCTTTCAACTTCCTCGTTTTTCTGTCGCTCACGAGATTTCATATCGGTTGATCTGATCGAATGGAAAAAAACTATTGGAGATTTCTCGAACCCGTAATATCAAGTAATGCAATCTTGATGTAGCCATCAATAATGTCTCATTTCGAAACCGAATCCCTGATCTCTTTTTTGAATGAAAATCTTTTTTGGAAGTTGCAGCAAAAATGAATGAAAATATTCCAGTTCTAGCTCTCTCTTCATGCCATTTGGATGCCAAAAGAGATAAAAGATCTCTTCTTCACAGTTTCGATTTCATTTCTCTCATCGTCTTTCTTTCTTTTTTCCTTACCGAAACACCTTCGATTTCTCACTGCCATTCGAAGAAAGCATAGAGAATCTCTTGATTTTGATTCACTTTGTCGTTTTTGTTTAACTTTAGAAAACTGTATGGTTTTAAAATATCAAACTTCTTTCCATTCTCTCTTATTAAACAAATATTTGCATTTTCTTTTCTGGAACTCATTCACGTGGATTTAAGCGTGACATCGACTTTTTGAAGGCATTATTATATGCAAAGGAATTTTCAATCTACCCGCTGATGCGACTGTAATACATAGTTGTAATAAAATATATTCTTATTTTTGAATATCTTTGAATTTTGTTTCATTCAGGCTTGACTTGACTTTGACTTCAAGGCTTGACTGCATCTTTTTACTTAACTTTAATCTTTGGCTTCTAAGAAAAAAAGAGAAGTTTGGAGGTTTTGAAGGGGGCACGTTCAACGTGTTGAGAGAGGTCATCGCATACAAGAGATCGAGAAATATTTCGAGGGGAATGGATAAAATGGAAAGAATGGAAAGAATGAAAAGAAAGCAAAGAAGACACTCCATCCATCCCTCTTTCCTTTGACAATAACTTTCAAAAGTTCACCGGTCACTCGAAGAGTCTTCAAAACCTTTTTCATATTTGAAGGACAAGATTTATTGCAGGCTTAGGCTTAGGATGGATAATTATTCCAGGCAGAGCCTATTCTAGCTTGTTTATCCCATGCAAATATTCAATTCAATGAGTTTACTTGAATCCTATGAGGATATGTTTTTACAATTAGGCCTAAATCAATCAAAAGTATTGCGACTGCATATTCATTACTACCTAACAACCATCCGTTCCTTATTCGTTAAGCTCACATTTTAACTAGTTCCTAGACACATTGTGCTAGACGAGTCTTCCTGTTTACTCTAACTCATGTCCTTCGTATCAATAAATCTTGTTCACAAACATAAGCAAGCAATGAAATCGAGAGAACCTGCTTGTCAAAAGTTCCCCTCTTTTCCCCTAAATTTTAAAAGAAAAAGGTCTCCTGTCCTCTCATTGCCCTTTCTTTTCCGTGTTTATTCCGCTTTCCACCTTTTTCATAGCTTCTTTTATAGAATCCCCGTTTAAATGCCAACTGGCTGTGTGTTGTTTTTGTTTTGTCTCCTTCCTTTTTTCCACACCTCTTTTCATATCGTGTAGCTCGTTTTTGATGAAATTCTTATAGACTTTCTATCTTCGAAAATAATGTGCACAATTTGAAGCTGACTTGATAGGTTCTTTGAGTCGGTCACAAGATTCGATGAAAGTCAATGATCGCTTCTCACTTCCCATTTCCCCCAAAAAGTTCACCTCTTTCCGAAAAAATGATTGGGAATAGAGTCTCAAGAGTACCCCTCTTGAACTCAAAAATTTCTTGAAATCTAGATTTTTTTTGCTAAGCGATCATACTAAAGAGCCAGTTTTTGTACGTTTGAAAAATCTAAAGACAATTGAAAGATGCCAAAATCGATTCAATTTTCATAAAAAAAAAGAAAACAGTTCCTCGGTAATTGCAATAGGTTGTTCCTTGATTTATTATTGATTTTGAAAGAATTGTTTCAAAGAGAACCCTAATTTTTATAAAATGTTCAACACCTCAACAATATCCCTCCTTTTCCTTCGCTTCCCCCTCCTTTTCCTTTCAATGTCCACCCCATTCTCCTGTTTGGATCCAATCTAATCACCGGTTCTCTCGCCTCTTTTTCATCATTTTCTTCTGTTCATCACAAGCTCCTTTTTTTCTTAATTGTTTACTTTTAAATCAAGGAAGTTGATCAAGCTTTTCGGGATTAGAATCTAGATTACGTATATAGTAGATTCGAGCAAGAGTTCTCTGAGCTCTTCATTTAGTTGTTCCTTCTTTTGATACATCTTACAACCAGCGATGGGCATGATGACTTTACCAAAAAGAATTTGCTTCTAAAACAGATCCACTCCAAAATAAGGTTCAGCAAAAACAGGTTTTCAAAAAAACGAAACAAGCTTGCTTTTGTTTTGTGTAAATGCATGTTTTCCAATAGCAATTTTGTTGAATAAGGACTGCTCAATAAGGACGATTTCTGAAGAAACGATCTCCATAAAACGCAGAATGTGTCTGATGAAATGGGCAATTTGAATTTGAGTGGATTGTTCGATTGTTTGTCCCTTTATAGAAGGAGAGACGGGAAATCACGTGCTGGTACAAATCCGCCTTTCATTGCAACCAGAGATGGAAGGGGGTCCTGGGGTCCCCCCTTTATCCCTTCTTATAGCCTCATCGGATTTTCCTCGTTTTCGTCAAGCCCATTTGGCTTCTTTACCCACTTATCCCTTCCTATGCAACGCATCACAATCTGCTTATCTCATCTTCACCACTATCAACAGCTAATGCATTTTTCTGACGATTTATTTCTGACTCAACTCCCTTCTTTGATATATTGATTTTAACAATGGTAAAGAATTTGACCATCTATAATAACGGAAACAAAACCAATATCTACTATTTCATAATGAGCAATAAGCCACCAATGCCGATTCCTCATCGAAGAGCCACCATATCTTTTCAGGTAAGTAACACTTGCATGGTTGCACTTTATACGGTGTTGCCTTTTTGAATGCTTTTTGTAATTTGCTTCCCCATGTGGATACAATCTTGGATCCGAACGGCCTCCTCCTTTTTGTGTGATCCATTTCCTAGAATCTCCTTTTAAAAGAAATGTTCTTTTCTATCCAGCTGCAACTATTCTTTTCTCTTCTAAAAGAAGTGCTGTCAGTGTTCATTTCTTTTCTCATTTCTCTTCGCAAAAAGAGGAGATTCAATTTGGATATGTCCATTCGTCTTTTTCTCTCGCTTTTCTCAGAAATCCTCTTCAGATGTCTCCCCCTTCTGTAGTCGATCAGATGTACGTTTAGGGTACATATTGTACTAGGGTTAAGAGGCGTAAGCACTTCAGTACATCGATGAGTACGAGAAGCAGGGTGCTTATCTTTGATATAACACATTGAAAATTCAGATCAAAAAGGGTCAATGATTTAAAATCTATTTCAAATTCTCCTCCAGATGTTCATTTCTTTAATCAAAACCGTGTCTTTTTTGTGCATAAAGTGTTGCAATGGAATCCAGTGTCTTTGGAAACATTGCTTCTTTTCCATTTCTTTGTCCATCTTTGAAATTCGACCCCCATTTCACCAAAAATTTTTCCTTTTTCCCATCACACCAACACGAAATTTCATCGGACAACAAATTTTTCTATCAGGAAGTTCGAAGACTATATTTCCAAGAGCAAAAGATCCAAGTTCATTTAAAGGACTAGAAATTCCGAATCTGAAAGATTTAAGCTCTAATCTGCTTGTCATTTAAAGTAATAAGCAATGAACGAACTATCAACAAATCCTCACTTTGTACATCCCTTTTCTTCAATTCCTACCGGCAATCAATAAAATCAAAAATTGATTTCCCATGTGTAAAAGTGTTCATTTTGGAAGATTTTATGTGAAATCTATATTTGGTGAGACTCTCTGCTTGATGGCCCCGGAAAGCGCTTCGATTTTCGATTTTTCGAATTCCTATCCTAAAATCTTTGTAAACAAGCTTTTCTCATTCTTATTGAAATAAAACGAATTTCCCATTTTATATTTGCAAATCTCTAGAGAGAAATGTAAATGTTTTTGAGCTTTTTCTTGTACACAGTTCTTGTACCACCGAAAAATTTTCCTGTTTTTTCCTTGATAATTGGTGGGTGGATTGGTGAAATTTATAGAAATAAGTTGAGGGTTTGGAAAATTTATGTCTTTACAAATATAGGAAATTTTGATTATACAACTTTGAAATATAGGTAAAAAGTTAGTTTTACTTTTTGACTAATATATCATTTAAGGTAAGAAATTTGGTATGTACACTCTCAAATTCTGCAATTCTTACAATTCTAAGGTCACAAAATGCAACCCCAATTTTCTAAAATGGGTCTAATGAACGATGTCTCTTGGTTTTCTTCTCCTTCAATCACCAAGCACAGCCATTTCTCTTGTTCACAACAAATGAGAGAATGAACGAGCGTTCATAAATAAGCAAAAAGCCCATCTTTTCAACGTTTTATTCGTCTCTTGTCCTTTTTTCTTTTTCCATTTCTCTTTCTATGCCCCGTATTCCCTAAACGACCAGGAGACCTGCGCGGGCCTCAGAAATGACCAAAATGGGCGAGAATCCCTTTTTAAGCTCTTTTTCTTTAAAATCACAAAGCAGAGTCACATTTTTTCAAAGTCTATTCCACGACAGATATTTCTTTAGTAGATAAGATTTACGCATCATCAACTTGCTTCATTTTCATATCAGTGACGATCTTGTACACTTAGATTTTACTTGTAGAACAGGCTTTTTCCTTTCTTTTCTAAAGTCACTACTTTTTGATGTTTATACTCGTTTGTGAATTACTTATCCCCGCTCCATTTGATGAATTCATTTCCAGGAAAGAGCTCGCGCAATGTTACACAAGAATCTGAAGTCGTTGAGGCGATCGATTTCTGAGAAACTCCTTGGTGCCAAAGCAGTAAAACAGACACAGAGGTGAGCTTATACATGCAATTTTCTTGAAAAAAAGCTTTTGTGGAATAAGAATAACTTTGAACTCAACAAATTCCAGCACGAATTCCGTTGAGAAACCCGATGAGGTGCCCGGATCATCACAATCATTGGCTGAGGATCCTTTCCGGGTAAGGCTTGCTTTTACACTGTGTGTTACTTTCAATAAACCTATCTAAATTCTTAGCTTATTTTGCAAATTTCAGGAATATCTGGCCTCCTACAGCGACAATGTGACTCATCTTGTGTATCATGGATCATCATTGAGATCCCTTTCATCTTATGATTTGAATAAAGATGAACATCGACAATCCACACACAGTCATTCATCTCAATCGAGTACCGATTCGAGTGACACGACGACATCAACGATTACTGGTGAGTCGAACAAGAAACTTCATAGAATTCATAGAAGTGTATAAAGTTTCATTTTTTGACACATACTTATATTGGCATTTTCATATACAAGAGCCATTTTCAGACTCTTCTTCTAAAGATGAGATTCCAAAAGATGAGCGAATCACAACAAGACGACGGGATTGCGGAGAGAAAATGCCGTTGAGACACGGGCTTTCTGTAACTTTTGCCGCTTGAATCCCTGAAAAAGGCAATCATTTTCAAAATTTTCATTTATTGATAATTGCATTCTACAGTATATTTTTTGTACTGTACCCGTATTGTCCGTTCTCCTCCACTCTGACATTTGTTCCTAATTCAGGAATTGATTCCTTATGTGTCTAATTTTTGCAATTCAACGAGTTAGTTGTGAGCCGATATATTGATTTTAATCTTATTCTTTTTGTTGAATACGAGTGAAATTCTGTGTGTGTGAAACGGCTGTATATGTATCCTTTTTTGCTATATCAAATTACGGTCCCCCAAGCAAATTGCCTTGTGATAACAGGAATTATTTCTGTAAAAATTGATGATGCCGGTTACCGCAAAAAAACAGAGTTGCAAATATACATAAATGTCTATTCTATGATAAACATTCGAGAGTTTAAAAATAAAATTGAAGCTTTATGAAATGAAAACGAGAAAAACGCACGACACAGATCAAATTTTAGCGTTGATTGAAAATAATACGCCAACAAGATAAACCTGTATGAACAAACAGATAAAATAAGTATGACATAGCAAAACGAAGACCCAACAGGCTTTTGCTGTGATCTCCAGTCGATACACATGAATTAGCTCTTTCGCGCTTGTATGACGTTTTTTAACATTTTTTCACTTTAAGTTTTACTTAACGCTTCTTACTTCTGACTGTAAATAGTTTACCCCGCGGATTCTCTCGGAGCTAAATCTAAATCCGAAAAAATATTTAGAAAATATGTAGATAATTCGTACTACTGAGAAAAAAACATCTGCTGATACACTGGTGGTCATATGTATTGTCACCCCGCCGCAGAAAATTTTCTCTCAAAGATTACTCCTTTAAAACGTAACCAAATTGAAAGTGCTAAAAAGGATTTTCTAGCTAATAAACTCTAGTCTCTAAAACCACAAAAAGATTTATTCGAAATGTTTATTTTCTTTTAAAAATAGCAAGAACGGAAAAGACACCTTAAAAACGGTGAACAAAAGTATTGTCACCTTGGCTTTTCTTACATTTTCTTTCTTGTTTACATTCATTTTTTGATCACTTTTTTAAATATTAAAATATTCAAAAAGAACCCAAGTCTCACCTCGACCGACGGAAGCCGCCTGTATAAATCACAGTTTGGCAAAGGCATCTCAGCAAGGACCGTGAGGACTCATCAAAGCAAAGTCGTATGCTAGACAACCAATAAAGAAGCCACGTATGACCCCTCGGATTAGGCGACTTCGTTTAGCCTTTGCTCTGAGGTACCAAAGTTGGGCGAGTGTCAATTGGAGTCGAGTGATTTTCTCTGATGAGACAAAAGTTAATCTGTATCAGTCGAATGGACCTCCATTAATCAGGCGACCGATTGGAAAGCGTCTACTACTCAAGTACATCAAATGCATGCTTCGATTTGGGGCGGAAGTATTATGTGTTGGGGCGTGGATTTTTATAGTTTTCCTTGTATAATTGTCAACTTGTAGGAGCGATGGTAAGAAATGTGATCGGTCCACTTGAGGTGATCAATTCAACCATGGACCCTCAGCGATACATAAGAATACTTGAGCAACGTCTACTTCCATTTGCGAGCAAAATCTTGCCTCAAGGATGGTTGTACTGCCAGGACAGCTCGCCAGTTCACACAAGCAATCTTATGATGGGACATGTCGGAAGGCTCTCGAATGGAGGACGGGTACGATTTCCAGGCTGGTTTGCGATTAATGGTGATTAAAGCACCTCCATTTCTTTGATCTTTTGGTGTTTCTTTGATTAAAGCACCTCCATTTTCACAATATTTAAACGTTATCGAGAATCTATGGTCAATTGTGAAAACGAAATTGGCGGAGAAACACTTCTCGTCCAAAGTCGAGCTCTATGACAAAAAAGCGAATGATTAAAAACAACAAAACCTATCATCTAGGTTTCGTCTACCGTCTAGTTTAGCGAAATTTATTAATCACCAAATGTGAACACTTTACGATGATACCTAGATCAAACATAAAATGACTAGTGTGCTTCACAACAATGGAAAAGCCATTGGTTTCATTTGGTTGAGTGATCAGACTGAAGGATTTCTCTCGTTTTCTCAAATACCATTCTTGTATAGCTTTCTTTTCTCTATCCTGTGTGAACCCTTTTGAGTGAACAATGAATGGAGATTTCTCTCTCATCCATGACTCAACCATTTCCCTCTTTTTTCTCAATATTCTCGGAGGGTTTCCATTTCTACGTCAACCGCTCTTTTAAAGGGCTTTCACTCGGCAACTAGTTGTTGCTTATTCTCGCTGTGTTTGCATTAAAATTGATTACCCGAAAGCAAAAAAGGTTGGTTATTTGTAATTGAAAGATATTTGATTTTACATTTACCAGATTGACTTTATCGTTATTTTCATTTCTACAAGCGAATGTTGGTTTGATGACCTCAGACTGTACATTTTCTTGTAGTTTTCAAAGCATATTGCTTTTGCTTTCTCTTTCCTACTCGAATTTTTTCCGTACACTCATAGAAGACCAATTTGTTGTTGGTTTTTTATGGAGGGGAGAGGTGAAAAGATAGATGAAGAAAGACATGTGAGCATGAACCTTCTTTTGAGTAGAAAAGACTAATGAAGGAAGGAATGAGAAAAGGAGTTTCTCCAGCGGAAGAAGAGGAGGAGAAGCAAAAAGAAGGGGTGACAGTTCACCCCTTTTTTGCTTACTACATTGTCCTTGCGCCTCTCCACTCTCTGCCCTTTAGGACAAATATTTCTGGAACTTTCATTCTTGGCAACGAGTCCATCCTTCATTTTTAGTGCCAATAGCCCGTAAACTTTCAAAACGGATAGCTTACCATTTTCTCTGAAATATCTACTATATATATATATAAGAGCGGTGTCTGTCTGTCCGTCTTTTCATTTAGAATTCATTTAGATAATTGCATTTCCCTTTTGGTATCAGCTCAGTCAAGAAGTTGTCTAGGCTGATTCTTTCCTAATACCCCCATTTAAGACTTAACATTAAACCAGATCTATTAAAGTCTAAATGTCAAATAAAAACAACGATATTAGCCTTATCCACGCGGACAGTAAGTTCCCATGGTTCAATTGTATTTTCAAAAAGCTTTTCTCGCATTTCATTGTCACTATGTTTTTAGCTTCTTGTTTTTTTAGTTGAGAGGTTGAATGTGACCGCTGTGATGTTGTGAAGTGTGAGTACACTCATTTGTTCGATCTTGACTCACCCATTCTCTTTTCCCAAAAAAGGGATGCTATTGTCTCTCAGAATAACGAAAAAGAGAAAAGCTCTCTGATTGTATCTTATTCTTCACTTTTCTTCACTTTTCTTTCCCCCTCTTTTCCCCAAATGAACTCTCCCCTTTTCTTTTCTTTTAACAAACAGCTGACCGGTGCCCTCTTACGGAAATGTCTTCTTGAGAGAAAAATCCGCTCAAGAGTTCGAACATTTTTCTTTTCGTTGAGACATAATTGGTTTATTTTTGATTCCAGAATGTTTTCACGATCATCTGTATTATTTCTTCTTCTTCGATCAGTGATCTCGATTGATCCATTTACGGCAAATCTCGACTGTCTTCGGATAAATGTTGCTTTCTGTTGCACGTCAAGGATCAGAGTTCGTTTCTTTTGATATCGTAAGTCAAAAAGAGCTTTAAGGTCTACAATTCTGTAAAGCTGATGGCCATAAAGTCATTCATATTTTTTAGAGTCTAACTTTTTTCATATAAACTTTTCTTTAGTCAGCATGTCCGGGTCTTTGCTCAAATATCGATTGTAGTCCATCCTTTTATAGAGGCAGTGAGTTTTGAAATTAATATAAAACATCTATATTTTCTAACTAAATTTTAGAAAAACAATTTTACAGTGTTTTCCACGGATGAGGATATCCAAGAGGGAACTGTTTCTGTTGATTCGTCCATTCAGAGAAAAGAAGCACCAACAATCGTTGTAACATCAACATCCAACCCTTTCCCTACATTAGTTCCGGAGGTTTGAAAATCGAAAACCTCTAATCATGAAAGTTTTTAGACAAAAATTGCTCCAGTAACAGAAACAACTGTTATTCCAATTACCGAAATTATGGAAACAACTAAAACGGCGAAAACGACGGCAATAACGGAGATGGAGAAGGAGACGGCTGAAATTGCGACAACCATTGGGATTTGGCATTTGGGAGAGGTGAGAAATAAGTTCAGGAAAAAATACAAACCAACTTTACTTTTAAAATCTTAACTTGGCCTACTTTAGTTTGGAACTGAGGCCTCAACGATCACGATTCCCATTGAAACAACCAGTTTGGTCACTGATCTCCCGATTACAATGGAGTCTCGAGCTACCAGAGTAAGTTTAAAGTTACTGTATTGCTCACCTTTATATAGCATGCCAAAATAAAACACTTATTCAAATCCGCACACATTCGATTTTCAGGTACCTCGTATCCGAGTGACACCGGATCCTCGAATTATTCCTCCACCCGATGAGCTTGCTTTTATTTCGGATATTGATGAAAACGAATTAAACGAAGATGGAAGTGAGGTGAGCAATCAAATACAATATTCATTATTTGTCTATTAGAATCCAAGAGACTTGTAAAAGATGTAAATTTTAGAATGAAAAATATGCACACTAGCTTCATATAAAGCAGATTTGCGTAGAAATCTCACGGAGTTCATCTGTAAGACAAATCCTTTCCAGATTCAGCCGGCCACATCCGATTTTCTTCACCATCACCGTTCCCAGCTACCAGAAATGTAAGCTTCGCTTTTTTTTAATAGCTAAAAATAACGACAATGAGGTTTTTTTCAAAAACACAGTGTGTTGTGGTTAACTTGATCTATCTTTGAGCTTCTAACGATCATCGACACCTGCTTAAAAGTTAACTCTACTACAGGTTTCAAGATAGAATCTCTATCTCTGTATCTGTTGACCAAATGTGTAATCTAAGCAAAAAGCTTAAACATATCACAAAATTTCAATATACTCTCTCAGCTTAACAAACGCTTTTTAGCACCCCGATACCGAGCGGAATCAAACTGAAGAGAAGTTCAAAGACAAAGATTGAAAAGATGAATCGGCCAACAAGCACAACACTCAGCTCATGGCAACTCTCAATTTGGGATGAAGAACAAAAAGAAGCTACCACAAAAGATTTCCCGATCCAGCAATCTGTAGTGAAAAGTCGACAAGAGTCATCTGCACTTCAAACATTTGGGTCTATTTCAAAAGAACAACGGTTGATATTTGACAAACCTGTAATGAAAAGTCGGCAAGAGTCATCTCCTCTTCAAATCATTGAGCAACACTCGCTTAGGAGCGAGTCAAAGGGAACAACCACTTCTTCCAAATCACTGTTTCCGTTCTCAAAAACGAAAAAGGCGGTTACTCGTCACAACATCTTCCGAATGAGTACAAGAATCCCAAAAAGACTCCGAATTCACCCAAAACGAATGATTCTCAATCAATTGAGGAAACATCGAAAGAGTCGAATTGACAACTTTCATTTGTAACTCCACCAACTTTCTATTGTTTTAATTCTCGAAATGATCGGGTCTCACTTTTTTGCTCACCACAAGGTTCAGTGCTTTTCATCGTTTATTTTTGATCGACTGTGTTCCATCAACAAAGCATTTTCTAAAGGTTGTACTTGGAAGAGAAAGAGAAGAGTTACCGTAAATACTGTAATAGTACCCCACCCCCATAATGACGGTGCGGAGTGTTGGGTAGTCTAGCTTTGAACGAGTTTTTCTCGACACTGGTTTATGCTACAATGCGCGCTTAGGTATCAAAAAATAGCCCTGAATTTCAGCTATTTTTTGATACCAAAGACGCATTTTTTGAAAGTACGGGCGCTTTGAAAAAAAATGAAATACTAAAAACTTTTGCGACTACGCGACTGTACGAGGGGGTGGGGTACTATTACAGTATTTACGGTAAGAGGTTATTGTACCATATGCTAATCACTTTTTAGTGAACGTTTTAGTTAAAGAGGAACAAAGTTTATCCACTTTACAACTAGAGCTTATCCATTCGATGATCTTAGAGAAGATTTTCTATAACAAAACAAATTATTTTTGTTGCCTTAACTCAGGGATTTTTGTGTGACTGTCAAAACGAATAAATTGTTTTGAGAGAGGTTTTTTTAAAAACAATAAAGCCCACTGTTAAAACAATGATGAAAAGCATTTCGTTCTAGAGTAGCAAAAGAAATGATTGATGGGAGTGTACAAGAGGTAATCCCATCTTCTACTTCTTCTTCATCTTCTACTCCATCAACAACATCATCCTCCCCTCTACTCTTCACTTTTCCTACTTTTCCACCAATTTTCTCACTTCCGACGTTTCCGCCGTTTACGACACCCACTCCAATCAAGTTTGTGCAACTGTCTAATAGTAAGGATAAGAAAAAACAGGTGAAAAAGCTTACATCTGTAGGTATTACTTACCTGTTTGGTGTAATTTATTTCAGTGGGATAGCCAATAGTTCGTTATTTTGATCCTAGAGAAACAAAATGAATGCCTAAAACACATTTTAAACATTCTAAATTACACTGCTATTCAGTTGGATGACCCAATTTTCCTCTTCCACCGAATTCCCATCTGTTCCAGCTGCTTCACCGGCTAATGATCGCATCTTTGCCTCTACAATCTCAAATGAACAGGTTAGTTTTCTTTCGTCAAGTCAGTTTTCAGATCCCCTTTAGCCAACACCGCTCCCCACTCAACTTCTCAAAGATAGGTCAACAAACGACGATGATATCTCAAAAGCCAAAAGTTTTTCTTACGGTATAACTTTAGCATATCGCTCAGTCAGCATCATAAATCCAAGTTAGATTCATATTGGCCGGCTTTTTTCTTACTAATACAGTCCATTTTAGCCTTAGAGCCTCTCGTTGAGAAACTTCTCTCATCTCTCCCTGCTCCGCTTAACACTAATGGACAACCAGACAGAAAACGGAAAAAATCCAGCCAAAAATCAGCACACCCACAAGTTCAACTTAAGTACAAGAACTTGGAGGTGAAATTAGAAAGTATTTTAAGAATAAGCTGTTGTATGTAGGGAATGGTTGGATCGGTGGAGACGAGCACCGAGATACCGATCCGAACAACGATCCCACCCGAAGGTAATCCATAGGCCGTCTCAGAATGATTCAACGTTGTTTACAGGAAGTTTCTCGTTTAAATTTGTGAGAAGACAACCCAACAATAACTCGATGGTTGAAAAGGTGAGTTTGAAACGATGAGTATCGTGAGACTATTATTAGGCCATCCTTCTCGTACTTCCATTTAAAACCAACAAATGCACTAATTGAACTACGGTTTGTTTCATTAAAAAGGCCAATTATTTTTTTTAGCAAAATAACACTAAAACGGGTTTAAAATGTCTTATGTGTGGTTTTTTGTGAGCGTCAAGTCGGGTAGTCAAAAAGGGCGACGTCTCGATGATGCGATTTAGACACTTTAGCTGAGGAAACCTATCTTGGTGTCAATAGATAAAAGATAGAGCACAAGAAGTTAGGTATAGAGCCAAATTTTCAGAGAAATTGATTCTGCCAACTTCTTCATAGAGGTCTTTATAGATTTTTACGAAAAACACGTTTTCGCTCTCGAATTTGCTTGAAAGTGAACCGAAATTGACTTTAAAAGATGGGAAATTGAACAATAAACACTTTTTATTTAGAAAAAACCATAGGTTAATTGATGAATTTGTTATTTTTCAAAGGAAGTACGAAAAGGAACGAAAAGACCTTCTGAACAGCCTAATAGAACAAAACAACTTTTATACAGGTGTGTGGAGTGGGTCCTGAATATTCTCCATGCATTCCATTAGATGTGGCCTCAGCTCGTCTTCTGAGTTGTCTCCAATCAAAGAATCTCCCAATTGGATGTCAAAAATTGGCCCGATACGATGTCACTCAAAAGGAGGTGAGAATATCGTACAAGTAGCTCTACTTTGTTTTATCTTTACACTTTTTTATCTATCAATTAGGTGAGAGGCGCTTTGGATCGTGGTGCATGTGGACTCCTCCATATCGCCCCATTTCTTGAGTGTGCAAGTCAGAAAGGCGACAATGTTGAGTGTTGCAAGACAAAGGGTGTACACACCAAAGGGTGAGTTTTATTCAAGTATTCGCATGCAATTGCTTGAAAATAAGGTATATTCCGGCTATCATGACCTCCTACAAATGTCTCACCATTTTATGCAATTTTTATTGCCATTTTAGTGGTCAACAATGTCTCTCTTTTTGTTCATCAGGACCGATCTCTCCGGGTATTCAACACCTCAGTTGCTCAAGTGCAATGCAAGAAATGTTACAATGTCATCATGCCGGTTTAAAGCCATAACTTTATTTATTGAGTTCTCACGCGATGTATTTATTTTACCGCAAAAATGATAACTATTTATGCTCCAAATTCGAAGAGTTTTGCCAGAATGGTCTCATTCTCATTGCTGAGTGCCTCACGGCATTGAGTCACAACTTGTCGTGCCGGTTCACCAACTGAAAGCATTTTATGTACAATGAACGTCATTACAAGAGGGAATCCAATCTTAAACCGCGCAAAATGCCAGTGTTAAGATGTGTAATATTTAGTTTGCTATGCCGGATTGTACATTTTTTTGTTCCTAACTATAAGTTCATTAAGAGCACCTCGCAATCTAGCAGCCAACTCGACGAGTTTGTTAAGTCGCCGAATAGCAGTAACGAGTCGAGCTTGGTTGGTGACTCGGAGCTGAAACCTTTTTGATATAAGATTTATTCATTGTAAATTTTTTAAAAACAAATCACTAATGGTTATTGTCTACGTAACCTGAGCAGCCTGTCGCATCGCCCGATCATTGTGTTTCACGCGAGTGTAGTATCGGCGAGCAATTGACCTAAATCAGGAGAATCTGATGAGTTTTCAGGCATTTATGGTAAGTTATTAGTAAGAATCTTAACGAACACATGATCACAATGTAGTGCATCTTCTGCACGAACAAGTGTCTCTTTGAGGAGATTTTGTGACTCGCTCAATTCCGCGTTCAAACGCTCTTTAGCATTGTACACTCCGTCCATCTGAAAAAATATATCAACAATAAGAATGTTAATAACTCGAAAACCTCGTTGAGAATCAAAGCCAACTCATCAAACTCTTTTGGAAAACGGGCATGCGATTCGATAGTGGTGACCTGAAATGTTCTGATTCATTGTCAATAAATCAAATGCCACAGAATTTTCCTACTTAATAATTTCATAGAATCTAAAAAATCATCCTGACTTTCAAAGTTTCCAAAGAATTTCCACCTGAAAATGTTCGGCTATTGATTGAACGACGGCTCCAGCTGTTTCCATCTCCGAATGTTCCACTCGCACCTAATATCAGAACTATCAATTTTCTCCATTCTTTACTCTTACTTGTTGTTGACTGACATCATATTTAATTCGCAACGATGTTCCCAATTTTGGATAAAGTCCAGAAAATCTGAAAAAATACAAAGTTCGAAATCTGAAATTTCGACTACTTGACATCCAATTGTTCAGCCTCGTTATCCAATGGTGGATAATCATCGGGAACAATAAAATTGTCGTAAACCCAATCGACCATCTAATTTGAAACAATGATGATTAAAAAAACATTTGTGCTCAAAGGAAAACACGCTTTATACCAAAAAATTGCATTTATCAGAAAGTATATCTTAAACGAAAGATGCTTCTTGAAAAGCTATTCTTGAAAAAGTACCTTTTGCATTCGTTGATTGAGCTTAAATTCGACGAATCCTTCTTGTTCGGGAATATTTTCTTCTGCTAAATGTCTATGCATGAATTGAGAGTTATTTAGATAAACCCACGTAGGAGAATAGCAAATCTGGAGAAACGGGGCAATGATCGAGTCACCTCGAAGATGTGAAGTAAATTGCTGTAATTGAGGTGATCACTTTGGTCTCTCTTAATCTTTAAATATTTTCTCTTAATCTTTTTTTGCTTACCTTCCATTATTTGCCATAAAAGCTTTAATGTGAACATCAAGGGCCGTGTCTTTTTGTGGGGCCAAAGCAACTGTTATCGTGTCGACGGGTTCAGTTTTTGGAAAACTAAAATTTTTGGCAGTGTTTTCAAAATATCTTCAATCAATTTTACGTGACATGGCTTTCTCCAGGAAAAAGCCCTTCAGCGAACATGACCACTCCTTGAATGGGTACTTCATTTGATGCATTCAATACCATTTCCACTTTTCCAGTCACTCGATTCACTCGTGGTATTGTCTCGAGTTGGGTGTCTGCCTAAAAAACTGTAAAATTCCAAATTGTTGGATTTGAGTAAAATCTAAAAGCAGTGTCTGTCCGTCCGTCTGTACAGGCTTTTTCTCAGCCGTCTTTAAGCCAAAAAAAAATTAGACTTTAGCTTTAGTCTTTAGTCTTCTGTAGCACATCTTATCTCTATAGAAATTCCTTACTGGAATTCGATTTTCGCCTTCTTTTTCCTCTTTCGACATGTTCTCCTCGTGCTCGTAATTGCTTAACTCCATCTGAAATTCTTGCTTTTTGTAAAAATAAACTATTTCGTACTAAAAGGTTATGCTTCTGCTGTCCATACTCTCGTAGAAGTTGATGTGCTTCTTCTTGGGGATCTCGTCGATCACCCACTTCAAATGTTCGGACTAAAGTTAGTTGGTTTTATTTCTTTGAATTTAATTCTTTCAAGCCTTTTCCATCAAGTAGTGCAATAGTGAGTTGAGTGGGTTGATCAGCTTGAGATGGACTACAGAGAACGGCCCCCGATACGGCTCCATTCACAAATTCTTTACTGATCACTTCTCCCGAGTTTCCGGCTCGAATATCAATCTGAAAAGATTGTATTAGCTCTTTTAGTTAAAAACTAGATCAGATAGTTTTTGCATAGAATGGATTTAGAATGAGAGGCAACCAAAGTTTTCCTTTTGTGATTTTAATATCTTGATATTGCTGACAATCACCTTTCCACTATCCCATACACAAGTAATATGTTCCGGAGTGGGAAATGGAAGGACAGTGATGACGATATGTTTTGATTTGATTCTCCACACTCTTGCTTCTCCATCATAAACACCCAGAGTACCATTTGCAAGGCCATATGCGAAACGTTGTCTGTAAAATGCAACAATTGAAAAAACGAAGATGTGGGTGTGCTGATTGTATTCTATTTAAATAATAATTTTGAATTATTTTAAGATTATTATGTTGCTACACGTTTTAAGATTATTTTCCTTCATTATTGAAACTTTTTCTTGCCCTCTCGGCTTTAAAAATACCGACTGGGGCTACCAGTGGTGAATTTATCGCATACACGAAATATATCAATCACAATACAACGACACACACAATACTAGGAAAAAATGTCTAATATTGCACAATTGCGTGCAAAACAACGGCGTTTTGTGCCACTTTCAGTTTTTACTTTTTTTTTAAATTGCTTCCTAGTTTTCATTTTTAAAATTATGCTAGTTTACCCTCCAAGTGCTGAAAGTGCAACAATAGCATCTGTTTCCATTAACTCACACCGCATGAGATCGTTTTTGAAAATTCGAATTTCGTAATCAGCCGAACCGACGACCAACTAGATAGATTCGGTTACTGTAGATTAAGTAAAAGGTATATTATGAATATAGGTACTTACCTAGGTATAGGATACAATTTTAAACAAATTGATTTTAATCCTTTTTGCCCACCTCCATTTGCCCATCCGAATCATAATCAACCAAACACATGGCAGTCACCGAATCACCAGTGACCGTCCAAAAGACATCCCTTCCAGCTCGATCAAATCCCCAAATTGCACAATAACCCCCACAAACTACCACCTCTTCAAATCCACCCATTGAGCCAACCTAGAGAATTGCCTTTAGTGTTGTATTCGAACTTTAACGACAACCGAATTAGGTATGTGAAAGTATATGCCTATTTTCTCATCAGCCCACATCCCAAAAACCAACCACGATGTTATTGATCCCATCAGGGATGTCTCGTTGAAAAACGGTTGTGTTCAAGTGAGCATCATAGCAGATTACCTAACGATCAATCTTTTCTTAGACAAAACTACTCATAGATGGACACCTGTGATTCGGTACCTATCACTAATACATCATAACCATTCCCAAATGGAGCCACGGCTATTGTTCGGATTTTTTCGCCAAAGTTCAGCTTACTTTCATCATCTAAATAAATGACAAGGTTCTCAAAGTTGCTACATACGTAAACAAAAGAAACTATGTTTTTAATATTAAATCTCACTTTTCAAGAGGATCTTGTTTGCGGTGGTGACGGCGATGAGTGTTGGCTGTGCCTGGGGACTCAACGTACCCATCACCACACATTTTGCCTCCAAGCGGCTATCAAGTGAATAGCTGAACACAGTTTGGAGATTCATTTGTAACAGTTTTACATAAAGATCTTGCTTTATTTTGGGATTACACTGCGAAAAAGTGTTTCCATGGTAACCATTGTAGCAAGCCCTTGGCGGCGACGGTTTTTCTTTCAAAAGTTTTTCAAAGTCTTTATTACTCCTGGCCCCTGACCTGTTGAAGTGCATGGATCGAATTTCATTACAAGCTACTACGGGGGCCATTCAAAAATATGCTTTAAAAATGTTACTTCACTAAAATGTGCAAATACCATCAAAATTGCGTCAAAAATTCTCTGTTTGGTCGGTTTTTTGTAATGTCGCGTTAATGAGGTGTCTAATACAGTTTTTTTGTCGTTTTGTAATGACGCGTTGGCTTATGCTTGTTTGCTCGGCTCAGTTTGTATTTGTATTGGTTGCAACATTTTTCCTGTGCCTATCTAACTTGAGCAAAAGGTTTTGTACATAGACAGGCAAAGTTTTTTGTTTAATTTAAATGTTTAACTTCCTTGATCCTGTTTAACTTTTATTCCCGACACCAAAAACCTTTCTTACAATTAGTCTCTAGCAACGATTCACTATTTCCCTCTTTCGAAAAGCCCGCGCTCTAAAGGTCTCGCAAAGATTTTGACCCCGCCTTTACAATTTAGCAACTAGCCATTGATGCTTTTGAATTTGCGACTTTCACAACTTGTTACGATTTGTTTTTGTCAGCTTTTTTACATTTCTTATTTCAGATGCCAGGACGAAAAGAAAGCGAGACATCGTCGGCGGGAAGTGAAACGGAAGAGCAGGCGGAAACTATTGCCAGCGATCTCGTGGTGACCAAGTATTCTGCTGCTGCGGAAATAGTCAATTCTGTTTTGAAGGTATTCTTATCAATTTTTCTTACTGACGCTCAAAATTTTCATTTAGAAAGCATAGCAAACATTCTAGCAATTGTTGTAGGATTGTATCAACACTTTCAATGGTCGAAGAAACATAAATGAACTTTAGGAAGTACTTGCCAATGTGAAAGAAGGAACGGAAGTTGCGGCTTTGTGCGATCTTGGAGACAAGCTTCTGAAAGAGAAAACCGATAAGGTTTACAAGAAGGAAAAGAATATACAGAAAGTACGTGTATAGTTTACTCGCTCAAGTATTGTATTCTTTAGGGTGTTGCTATGCCTACTTGTGTCTCAGTTGACAACTGCATCTGTCATTTTTCGCCACTTCGCGTAAGTATTTATTGTTTTGATAGTTAGAATGTTAGTTTGTAAAATTCATTTTCGATTTGCTACGTTTAGTCCGATCCACCTGTCCTATTGAAGACTGGAAACGTAGTGAAGGTTGATCTTGGAGCTCACATTGATGGCTATGTGGCAACGGCTGCTCATACGGTTGTTGTTGGAGCTTCAAAGGTGAATTGATTATATTGAACTTATTGTCATTTTCTTATATAGATCCCAACTAATTCTAAAGTGAATTTAAAGCGCATTTTAAAAACTTGTGATTGTTTCTACATTGATAACACTCATTTTATCTCTTAATAACTACAATATTTAGGATAACAAAGTTGATGGAAAGAAAGCGGATGTAATCCGGGCCGCTTATGATGCTATGGAAATCGGAATCCGCATGCTTCGCCAAGGAACGAAGAATATGGACATCACTGAAGCTATTGATAAGGTCACCTTTATTTTGTTGAATAACCACAGTTTTGTTTACAGACAGCTTCCGCATATGGAGTGAAGCCGATCGAAAATATGATCTCTCACTCACTTGAACGAAACAAGATTGATGGCGAGAAGATGATCATCCAAAATCCCGATGAAAAGCAACGTTCAGCCATGGAAAAGTGTACAATTGATAAACATGAAGTCTATGCCATTGATGTTTTGTTTTCAACTGGACCAGGTATTAAATTTAACGAGTTGAAAAAGATTTAATTTGTTGAATTACAAGGAACTCTCATATGTGCAAATTTGTACAATCATTTTTGTACTTCCTTAATTTAGGAAAAACCAAAGATATGGATGCTCGGACTACAGTTTTCAAACGAGAAGATACCCAATACAGTCTCAAGATGAAGGCGTCGAGGGTTTTCTTCCACGATGTGGTTTCAAAGTTCGGCTTCATGCCATTCACTCTTCGCGCATTTGAGGACGAAGTTAAAGCCAAAATGGGAGTTGTAGAATGTGAACGTCATGGACTTTTGCGACCTTATCAGGTAAAATATGAATTTTCTTGGCTTTCATGTATTTTGGCCATAGGTTCTCTATGAGAAAGAAGAGGAGGTTGTCGCACAATTCAAAGCAACGGTATTGGTTATGCCTTCGGGTCTACTGAAGATTGCTGGTCTTCCTTTGGATGTCGAGTCATTGAATCCAACCAAGAAGCTTGAAGATGAAGCACTGCTTAAGGTATATCATGCTGTTCTTTGTTCTGCTCATCAGTCGCAGCAATTAATTTTTAAGTACCTACTTAGTTATTTGAAAATAGCTTTTAAAACCAAAACTTTTAACACTATGGATGGTTGATTAAGCAGCATCAATGTTCTTTTGCCCGCTTGAACTAAGATTTTAGACACTCAACTCTTCGCTCAAGCCAAAGAAGAAGAAGCCCGCTACTTCTGGCACTGCTAAAAAGGAGGAAGCTCCCGTGGCCGGAGACGAGACCAAACAATAAAATAGCGAAAACATTTGGAATCTTGGCGGGTTTTTGTTAAGGGAGTGTTTAGTCATTTTTTCAATTTTTGGCACGTTGCTCCCTCATTGTTGCTTTTGTTAACTTGTTTTCCGGTTTATGAGCTAAATTTGTTGCAATCGGTGAACTTGCTTTGTGATTCCACCCGTTTTCATTAAATGCCGATTGCATTTTTACGTTTGTTATTTTCAAAATAAATTATTTATCACATCTAACAACCAAAAAAAACAACTTGGCAAGAAAACAAAAGTCCAACTTCTAATCAGAGCTTTTTCTGGGGCGGCCCCCTGCCTCTTGCGCGTTTTGCACTCGAAGAACCACCTCGACCAGCCGGTTCAAAATCTAAATATTCGATTGTGTCGTAAAAGTTGTTTCAAATTTGCTTACTTTTTCTTTTATTCTTGCCTTCAGCTGGTAAAAGATGCTTCAGCTTGTGATCACCGGGCAAAAACGTAGCTGGCGCACGCCCCGTTATAACTTGCCACTAAACTCAAATATGTATGCAATGAACTTATAGTTTAACTATACCTGCAAAACTTTATGAGGGTCGAGTCCATGATAGACATCTTCAATGTTCATTACAACGTTCTTCCAATCCAACATGTGCAATGTATTTTCCATGGAACGAAGTTCAATCAGATTTTCTTTTCTGAAAGCGAAGAGTTTCTAATAGATTCTTATTGCTGGCCAGGCCTACGAAAGCCTGAGCTAGCCAAAAGCCACGTCTAGACATGTACCGACCCTGGAACTCTATTGAAATAAACTTGACTAGTGACCAACGCAACAAGCAACATTTAATTACCCAATTTCATCTGCGGTGCAACTTGGAAGTAGTTGCAGGCTTTGTTCGTCTTTGACCATCAAGTAGTCTCCTGGAGTCAGTGAGCTTATTTCATCAATAATACGACACATATGCAGAGTGCGGCTTCCAACACTAAAAGTGGTTCACCTACATGACAATGCCTTTTCTCGTCAAATAAATTAACAAGAACTTACAGCTTCATTTTGCTGTCGTCATGGTGCCATGAAGAGCGATTTCCAAAAAACATGTTTTCCATTTGCAGAATGAGTGCACTCCTATGTCAATACGTTTTATTTAAATATTAAACAACTCACTTTGGATGAATTCTGAACAAGACATGTTTATTGGTTCCACTGAGAAGAGACTTCAAGTAATGATAAACGAACTCTTCATCAGACAAAGCCTGATTAAATAAAAAGGTTCGAAAGAAAACATAAAAATACCATTGCGCCAGATTCAGGGACATAGTCGACTTTCACATCAAATGTAGCCGAGGAACCGTCTTCTTCAACAACACCGCCTCTAGAGCGAACCTTAAAATAGAAACATTAATTATTCGACAACAAAATTTACCAAAATTGGCATGGCACCGTTTCCAAAACAAATTTTTGTATATTGTGCTTCAGCCTCTTTGATATGAGATGCAGAACCACTAACTTTTGTAGCTGCTTCATCGAGTAAAAGGTCCAAAACACCAGCATTACTAAACTAATTTAGTAATATAAAAAATAGTCAAGCTACCCTTTATTTGGCGAAATCGTTGATTTTTTCGGGCTGGTTATCGGCGTTGAATGCGCAAAGCCCCCAAGTTCAGCATCTACATTAACCTATATTTATTGATAGATTTAATAATCGCCTCATCCAACCTCTCCATCTTCCAAGCTTTTTGATTCCTCTATAATTAATCTTTCCTCCTGGATGCTATCCGATTGTGAGGCTATTGAAGCTTCATCGCACATACTTTGATCAAGATTAAAATCTACCTAAAACATTTAACAAGGGACTTGATTAAAGATTCCACGTACTACTAAACTACCAAATTTGTGAAAGACAGTAAATGTCAAAAAATCTTAAAATACCTTTTGCTCCGAAGCGATCTGCTTCTGTTTCTTATACTGAGACCTTCTCGTGGCCACTGAGGCCGTTTTCTTATCGCGTGCCACTTTTGATTTCACCATCCATTTGTAGAAAACTCGAGTAATCGCTGTTCGAGACACTTCACCTATTGGAAGAGGACGGCCAACATAACGAATAGTTTGCACTCCTTAAAAGAGTAAATTAAAAGAAATGTAATAGTAATAACTAACCTTTCGCACCATATTTATTGTAGACTTTTATAGGAATTACATAATCTCTGTAACAACCCATCCATTCGTTAGCGCAAAGAGCCAAAATAGCCGAAGCCTCCATGATGATTGAAGTATTTGAAGAAAGGCAAAGCTCTGTCTCCAGCTAGAACGCTCATAAAAAAATTTTTGACGTGCAAAAAACCTGTTCATCTGTTTTAAATGAAATCGTTGGCAAAGCGAAACGATCTTTTAAAATATCCAATGAGAGACAGGATGGACCCAATGTTTGAAGCAATGGTCGCTAAATTGCCCATTGATACGAAAGAGAGCTAGTAAACCCACAGCTAGAGTTCTCTTGGCTGTTGACGGTGTGACAATGCTTTCGATTGTGGGCAAGTCGGATTTTGCAGCATCGCATCCATTTTCATCAAAAGAAATCTGAAGATATCGATTAGCTTTTTTAGCAAAATTCGTCCAAACCTGGAAAATCGGCTCCTTCGAAAAGCTCTGGGCAAAGTTTGAAGCGTACAAATTTGAAAAGCGTTGCTTCCATCGTTGCTAAATCAAATATATCTTTTTAACATCAAAACGCACCATAATAAAATTTCTTGCTGACGGGGGCACCCAATTAAAAATGGTAGGTGGAGGAAGTGCTTCCGTTTGAAATTCGCCACGCTCCTGTGCCAGTTTCTTATCCCAAGCCTAAATAAAAAAATTTATATGAATTAAACAACGTTCCTGTATTGATGAGCATCCTATCTGAAAATAAATTCAAATAGGATGCCGTTAAACGTTTCTTAGGTAACCGGTTTATCGTACCTTCAGCTCTTCCAAATTATCGCCATATTTCGCTGAGCCTGTTTCGTTGAGGTGTGATAAAATGGCAACATATCTAAAGCAAATTATAAAATGAAACACATTGATCAAGCCTTTTCTGATCCTGTGCTTTCATAGCTGATGGTCGGCTCGTACTGAAATGGCCTTTGAAAAATGGAGACCACGGCATTTCATTACGTTCCTAAGTTGTTTATTTTAAGCTCCAAAGCAAAAAACATACAAATTTATTTTTAATAGCTTTCGGCTCATCGTTTTTCTCTTCGCCTACATCATCTTTCTCTGCGGCAATCTTTTTAAACAATTCTTTAACTTTGAGAAGAGCTGCGGGCCTAAAATTGATGACCTGGATGGAAAAAGTGAATGATCTAAAGAATTTTAAGCTTGACTTCAGGAGAGTACAACTTCTACCAATTTTTATCAAGTATTACAAACTTTGTGAGCCCAAGTAGTTTCTCTGCCTCACGTCGAATAACACCGGAGGCAGTATGTTGATTTCCCTTTTCGCGAATGAGCTTTTCGATGTATTGTTCCGGTGTCAAGTCTCCAGGGATACTTCGACCTAAAAGGAATTGATTTAAAACGCAGAGAGCTAAATCAGAAAACGTGAAAGACTGTACCCACCTACAACTTCTTGCCGTTTTGACAACCTTGACGTCGATGGTTTGTCCTCTTCAACCTCTTTTTCTAAAAACAAGCTAATTTTAGTTCTGAAAGTTTGAGCTCACCACGATACCACGGTGGAGGGCGATCCCACCAAAGCCACTCTTCGCCATTCCGCTTCTCCAAAACTTTCAATCGAATGCACTCAGAACAGACCAGTGAACGATGTCTGAAATAACAAATTAAGATGCTGAAAAATTCCAATGGTTTTCGAGTTCTTTTGAAAGAGGTAAAAAATCCCTTACCCAAACATTTCGTGAAAGACGTCTTCACCCTTCAGGCTCCGCGCAATAATCGCCTTCAATTCATCGCAAACATTTGATGGCACTTCCATCTAAAAGAATAGATGTAAAGAAACTTAATCGTCACAAAAATAAGTTGAAAAGAGATAAATCACATATAAAAAATGCTAGGGGTTCTTCATCGAAATTTTTTTAGCGAGGACGAGTGCATAGGTATGCGCCGCCGGTCGTTTTTCGAAATGATATTTCCTACACCCACATAAAGCTGAAAGGCTTAATATTTTTGACACACACTTAGAATATCACTGGCGGTACAAAAGGACAAATTCTATTTAAATGTGAATTAAAATTTTTCCATCTATACTTGCATTTATATCTTTCATCTACATGTGTGCATTTCTCTTCATGGATAGGTTTCGACTCGACACAAAACTCAGTTTTCTGCACGAGGCACAAATTCACAACGGGAATTGTCGAGAAAAGGGGATTTCAATATTTATTAAAGTTTTCGAAAACGGGAAAAAATTTATTTTAGGAAATAATCGTTTCACATGAGCGCACAAGCGGCACTTTCTGTACGCGGCGATCCGTCTTCGCCCATTCCACTGTCCGAGCTTCGGCCAGTGCCCAATCTAGGTAGGTAAGATACAGTTGACAATGACTCTTAGTGTTTCCGACTGATAAATTCTGTTGCAAACAGAACCAGGAACATAAAAAGTAAAGTAACTTCAGATGACTAGTAGCCCCAATTGCTCTTACAATTAGCAATTGAAAGCTAAAGGAACAAGTTCAGCTACCGTTTTTTGATCGCCTTCAGCTTTTGCAGAGTGGTTGTTCCTTGCTCGATGGGGCTTGGTTTGAGGGCATTTAACACCTGAATATTGCATTTGTTTATTTGAATTTGTCCTCGTACCCGAATAGCCCGTGCCGCATGTTCTTGAGCCTCTTCCCATTCTCGGGTTCCATCTTCGCTATGCACTTCACGATAACCGTCAATCGTCTGTTCTTCCCCTGAAAAATGTTTTTTATAACATTTTGTACCACATGTTTGCAAACAAAGCATCTAGGATTCATTTAGCTCAGCCTAACTACCTATACAAACTATGTACCTAGGTGCTTAAATATTGAACTTTCTTTTTTTCACTAAAATTTTCTCTTTGTCCGCTAATACCCTTTTGTCTCTCAGTGATCTCCCACGCGCTCATCTTTTCGTTTCGCTCCAAATAGTGTGTGAGAAGCTTTATCGCTCCAATATCAATGTAACCCTAAATTGAACTTAGATTCCCTGATCTCAATTACGATGGCGTTAAACCGTGTGCTATTTTGTTTTTTCATAATTTACCTTTGAGGTGAAAATGAAAACGCCTTGCACTTGACCCTTAATCGCTTTTGTGACCATCCTAAAAATCTCTCACATCAATGCAAATTGTTATGACCAACGTTCTAGCTGCATTGCTGACTAGGATTTTGCCGGCTTCGGTGTGCTCGCAAAGGCTTTTCGTTGTTGACACTGTCTCTCCAAGTACACAATACCTACAATTTTTCGGTAATAGTAACACTTTACTCATAAATCAATCAAAACAAAAACAAAAAATTTAAAATGTTTTTTTGTTGCAACTTTACCGTGGCTTCTTTTGGCTGACAATTCCGGTAACAACTGGGCCAGCGTGTACCCCAATTCGTAACTAAAATTGGTTGTTTAATGTGGATTCTCAGATCCCAATCTTTTTGTTGCATTTTTGCACATTTGAAAATCTCATATTATTAAACACCAGCCAGAAAAACCAGCCTAACGGCGGATTTTTCTGGCTCCGTGCAGAGGGATTTTATTTTCTTTACCCCTAGAGGAACTAAACCCGTAACCTTTCATACTCAAAAAATGTAAAAACAAAGAAAGCAAAAAAGATTGCATCGGGCCGGGATCGAATCGGAGACTAACCAATCCCAACGTTGCTCAACTTGGTAGACCCGGGACGCACTACCACTCGGCAGCATGCATTCTTTAATTTCGCTTTTTAGGAAAAACGGCCAAATTATGTGTCAAATATTACTAAATTTTGGAAACTACGTGAAAAGTTAGGTTTGTAATGTCAAACTTTCAGATCGATTGGTTCAGCCGTTTTTTCTAAAACAGCGGAACAGACAGACACACACAGGCAGACACACATACTCTCTCGCTTATAATTAGTAGGATGGGGAAATATCAAACTACTCCAGAGCAAAACTTGTCGATTTGCTGTTTTTACCAATTCGTGACAGAGTGACACCTTACCCGAACGGGAAGATTCAATTCCGGAACCAATACTTGTTTTGCTTCTATCAACATTCCGAGTGCTAGGTTGAGAATCTGAATTTTGCATAAAAAATATCGATCTGGCATCATTTGAATCATTACTTATAGCTTTTTTTCTCAGATAATTACCAATTCCAACTTGCAACTACACTTCTCGACAAATGAATAACTTGTGTGTCGATGTCAATTTTTATCATTTAGACTTATTTATCTTTTATTCTATTTATTAACCTTTTACCTTTTCACAGTAGCGCTCACACGAAGTCGGCACACCGCAAACCACCAAATAGGCATCCATGAGTGAAAGAACCTTGTAGCACTAAAATATAACCAACTGCTTTGATTCAAAATCGATAGATGACCAAAAAAATTAGGTATGCCTTACTTTGTGTATTTCGATGAGTCGATCGAAACGATGAGAGAGAAGGGTGACAAGCTCGATGATTTGGCACGGTTTACAGTGAACGTTGATTGTCAAAAAGTCGGCCATATCCGCCGACAAAACAGCACATTCCGAGAATTCTTCTAAAGTGAATTTAAAAAGACTTTTAATTTTTGAAACATGCTAAAAACTTACGTGCAGCCACCGGTTTGTGATTTCGCAAAGCATCGGCGATCTGGGGTGGAACAAACTCAAAAAGGAGCCGATCTGTCTGCAAAATTTGGTTGAGTTGTTTAAAGTATGTTTCATTATTCGAATCATCGCTTTTCAAAATCTACCTACCTGCCCCTTCTTCAGCTCCAATTGCTCGGCCATTCCGCGCAACTTCCTCACCGTGTCCTCAAGCTTCTTGCTGAAATCGGAAATCAAGAAAAGAAATTTCCACAGACTTGAGCTCCATTTGGCAGATTCGACTCTGATTTAACATGACAAGATCTCTTGTGGCATCATGCATTGGCATATCCGAGATACAGAGGTTCAAATTGAGGATATCTCTCACAGTGGTGACATGGGGAGAACACAAGAAAAGAATAGTATTTCCGCCAGCTAGTGGATACATTTGACCTAAAAAAACTAATAAATATATTGCTTTTAATCATTTTTATTTACAACTCTTGGTTGCCTTCCTGTTATTAGGTTGGTGTAAAAGTCTTTTCGTCCCTTTTCGTCCTTCCGTTCAAAAAACAAATTCACCAATGTTGAATACCTGTCAATATCGTTGTCAATGTTAGTCTTACCTTTCAGACAAAGTGGTTGTTGAAAAGCGGTGACACTTGATGTGGCATCTTGCTGAAATATTAGGTTGGCAAGAAAGTCTTTGGAACGAGTCTTTGAACTGGAATTTCTTAAAAACAAATCCACCAATTCAAGAACACTTTGTTCCATTATTTACAAGTTGACTCCAAAAAATGACTCGTAAAAAATGAGTGCAGCTTTCCCTTAAAATTTAGAAATTTTTGAAAAGCTTTTCCAACTTAAATTCTTTTTGCACCAGAAAAACGATTCCTTATGGGGTAAACCTAACATAACTGAGCAATACGCTCTAGATTCTCTATTGTTGGCCAAAAATTTTTTTACGGAGAAGCTTTGTATTTCAAAATATATTTTTTTGGGTCCATCTTCTTGGCACTGAGTGTTTGCTAAAAGAGGTCATTCTGAAAAGTTTAAGCATTAGATAAAATTTGCCTTAATCGCAAATTTTCCTTGTTTGAAGTACTTGATTTTAGGTTTTGAATGGGACCCATTACCCATTCATTAACCCATTAAAAACTGATCTAAAGGCTGGAAATTTATTATTTTTATCAAAAATTTTTTGAAATATAGTCAAGTTTATCAAAAAAATTTGGGAAGAATTCATGGCTTGTTTCTTGAGAAACTTTTTCCACGAACTTTCTTGTCAACCTAATAACTTGATTCAATTTGCCTATTATTTACACTCACTTCATTCCTTCTTGCATGATGTCTCATTTGAAAGATGAAAAGAGTATTCAAATAAGAGAGAATATTCTTAAACGTTAGCTAAACAAATATTTGTTTTATTTTCTTTACTTTTTGTGCCTACTTGAATATCAGCGGGTTGAACGAGTTGCACAACATCCGTCAATTTCAACATTTTCTTGTCAGCCAGCGCGTACTCACACAAAATGAATTGACCTGAAAATTATTAGAGTGATTGTTTACTATTGGTCAAAACTAAATAACTGCAGTTTTTGCACTCACCAACATGCTCAACGATCATTTGTTTGTTGAAGCAAATGTGGAACGGGAAAATCACATTGAAATCTTTAGTGCTGAGGGGAACTTGGGCTTTCTGAAATCTTTTCAAATTTCAATTACAAAAGTATTGGCATTGACACTCTTGTGAAATTTTTAAAACGAACGAACCAAAGCCAATTCAGAATGTTCAAGTTGAGTGGAGCGAGTGATACGACGGAATTTGTGCGCCAATCTCTCCCCCTCTTTGTGCCGATCATCAGCTCCGACACTAAAGGTGAAGTTTGAGTTGGTCAATTTCGAACTTCCAAAAAAGGTAAAACAATAAATGAACAGTAAAAGTTAACGCCTACAATTATATAAATAGTTAATCATAAGTTTTATTAGGCAGTAGGGCTCTTTACCTGAAAATCACATGTTCCACTAGCCCACTTTTTCTTCGTTCTTGTTGTCTTTCCAGGACGTTGATCTAAAAATATTGATAATTATTGTGACCTTTTTTGTTGTTTATGTGTTTTAGCCATTTTTTTGTTAAAATGTCTAGAAGAAATTTCCAAATTATTCTATTTCATTCACTTACCGAAACCTCAATGTCGAAGAGATATTTTGCCGTTTTTCTCACCAATCCTTTCACAATTGGATAAAGTCCCTGACGATTAGAGAAATAATGAAGTCGAAGGGATCTCAAAAGTTCATATTTTTAGAGAATCTTCTAAACAAACCCATCTCCTTGATCTTCACACTGAAATGAGGGTCCTTTCATTTCTGATTTGAAAGCGATTTGATCAATAAAATAATGCATCGAATTGAGATTATCAAGAAAATCCTAAATATACTTTATACTTTTTGTTCCGGCTGTTGTAGCGAGGCATCGTGGAAAGATTTTGCAGTATGTTTGGTATTGAAAGAGTTGCCAAAGGTTAAACGATACCTGTAAATTATCAGCCATACAAGCCAACATCCGACTCCATCCAGTCTCCGATGCATATGTAATCAAATGATCTCCATATAATTCCCACATATCATCCACTGATACACCTAGAAAATATTCATCTCATTTGTTTTTTATTTTTTTCAAAAACCCAAAGTTGCTGCAGCTGTTCGAAAGATTCTGAACGTATCACTGTCATCGTAATATTGCTGCACCTCGAACTCGGTCTCGTCGGCAAAGCCAGCTTTTCTTCTAAAGATTTTGCTACTTGTATGTCTGAGCAAAGTCGTACTGTTGGAACTGTTACACAAAAAGACAATGGGATTACGGTAACTGTAGCCAAAAGGAGTACAGTGAGTTTAAAATCCAATCTCATTTCACTAAAACTACATATCCAACTTGATCTCTTTCCACAAATCGAGTCCATATTTGCGGATGATCAACGTAGAGACGGTGATGTGAACCCAGCCGATCTATTGGGTATATAACAATTAACAGATTTGTAATCACACGCTTACCATTTATTATGTCAACAAAAAAGAATAGAAAGAAAATGAATGAGGAAAATGGTAAGTTTGAAAATAAAATCGTGTGTGGATGAGCGTTTGAATGATAGATTTTGATGACATCGAGTTGTCCGGGAGACCGAAAAGGACAGAAAAGAAGGGAAATATTTGGAGAAGGTTTGGATGAAGATGAAAATGAATTTCAGAGATCTTTAAGGATGTCGAAAAGATCGAGTGTTGAAAAGCTTTTCATGTAATTCCCATGTTTTTATGATGTTCTCTCAAATGCCTCTTTTTCTTTTTGGTCCTAGATGTCTTACATAATTCAACTATTTTCGATGCCTCAAGCTTTATTTAAAAATTTTTCATTTTCTATCACCTTTTCTCCATCGCCCGTAATTTCATCGAACATTTTCTCTAACTTCATCAATCTTTTCCATTTCATTTATCTCTTTTACAAATCCATCATGAGATCCCTCCAAAAAGAGAAGGTGACCACCTCGCGTGCATATAATTTTTGATGAGATCTCCATCAGCCTCAAAGTTACTCAACACTTCAAATTTCAAAAAAATTTAAAGTAAGAAAACTTTCGGCAAAACGTGTTTTTGTAGCCAAAAGGTCAAAGACTTCGGCTATGCGGAAATCACGAATCGTAAACCTTATCTTAAAAGGGGAAAATTTGAAAAGCCAAGAATCGATGCAAAAAGAATAGAGTTCCAACAAATGCCGCTACAACCACTAACGCTAATCACAATTTGTTGTTTTTCTTTTGCCTTTTCTGTTGACGTACGATCTCGTGTTGATTGTTCACCCGATCCACACTCATTAAACGAACAAAAATGCAAAAGTCGAGGGTGTGTTTGGGAATTTCCACAAGTTGTGAGTTTTTAAAACTTTTAAAAATTGAAAACGATGAAACCCGTTGCTTAGGATGCTCCTAAAGAAACCCCACCTTGTTACTTTCCATCAACGACCGGTTATGTTAAAACGAAAGATTTGGGTAATGGAGTTCTTGTTTTGGGTAAGTTCAGCTCCTTTAACTCGAAATTGTTTTCTTTGGTTACCTAGTATTAAATGTCCTATGCCACTCATAGCGGTCTTTTTAGAAAAACAAAATGGTCCATTAAACCCGTTTGGGGCGGATATCTCTCCGTTGAAACTGAAAACGCACTACATCGGCTCAACCTTTGAGTTATCAATTGGAAATGATGATCGGTAGTTAAATTTGTGTATTGTGTTTAGAAATTGCTCAGATACATTCCGCCACTAAATTTACCCAAAGAACAACCAAACGACAATAGCGATCCTTTGGATTTCCAGGTGCCACGAGGCCCATTTTTATCTACAAACAGCTTACAGGAGACATCCGGAACGAATGGAACCTTCACTTTTCAGATGATTCGACGATCCACTGGAAGAATTATTTGGGATACGTCAATAGGTTGAGAATTTAGTTTTGATTTTTAGAGAAAATCGATATTCAAGTTTCTCATATTTCAAATCTTCTTTTGTAAAGTACTCTTGTATTTTTAGGAGGCCTACTATTTGCCGATCAGTACATTCAAATCGCTACACTTTTACCGTCAACAAACATTTTTGGTTTTGGAGAACATGTGCATAAAACGTTAAAGGTATCTTTTTATAATTGTATAATGTATAATTAAATAGATATGCAGAAATTTGGAGAATATACGGTTCTTTTAGCACGATATGACTCGATACACAACATGGCCAATGTTCGCGACCGGGTTCCCACCCGATTCGGGTTCTCAACTCTCCACTCATCCCTTATATGGAGTACATCCTTTTTATTTGTGTAAGTTTATAGGTTACGTTCGGTTATGAATTTATCGAATCATTTGTGCAAAAGTGTGAAATGCTGAATGCAAATCCGCTTGAATATCTAATGAATGCTAGTTTTGATAGTTAATGCAAGGAATAATTTAACCTAATTGCAAATTGATTCACGGAAAACCTCGATATTTACAGTCACAGGAGAGTGTAGAACAGATCTTGAGATCTTTTTACATTTTTATTAACCGGTTGCAATAAGTTTTTACTGTTTTCTTAATTTTAAGATCTTTTGAGGATATCTTTAGCACCTATCAAAGCGAAAACAACACTACTGTGTGGGCCGTTCACCTGCCCATGATTCAATATAACACCAATAAAGAAAACACTAGTGCATGCCTGAAAAAAATAGATTTGCATCATTTCACATTGAGCATTTCATATTTTTACACATTTGAGTCGATAAATTCTTAATCGGACGTAACATATATTTTGCCTTCAACTATTTGCACTTTTAGGTATTGAGCCAGACGGGAAAACACATGGAGTGCTATTGTTAAACAGTAACGCTCAGGTAAGCTTTCGGATATTAGTCTTACATACAACTTTATAGCAGTAACTCTTATGTTACACAAAGTCTTATGTTTTCACAATACATTTTATAATTTTCTAGGAAGTAACCCTGGGTCCAGCGCCCCATCTTGTCTATCGAACAATCGGCGGTCAATTGGATTTCGTTTTTTTTGCTGGACCCACACCGGAAGCCGCTATTCAGGTAAAACCAGTATTTAGAACTTAAAAAAACTCATCTTAGGGCTATCTTTCATACATTGGAAAACCGTTTTTGCCGGCTTACTGGGCACTTGGATATCAGGTTTGAAAAAGAAACACAGTTAGGCAGAAGCATAATCGCATCTTGTTTATGTGAACATGTTTTAGTTATCCCGATGGGGTTATCAAGGTGTCGATGAAATGAAGACTGTAATCAGAAGAAATCAGGTAAATCTACACAGAAAGTTCATAACTTGGTCTGCTTTGGTGCACCAAGCTCACTCATTCAGGCAGCCGGAATTCCTCTCGATGTTGCCGTTGCCGATATTGATTACATGAGCACTTATGAAGATTTTACAGAGGGAGAGGTTTGTTTAGATCATTTTCAAGCACCAAATTAGATATGCAAATATCAGATTTCTTAACAGAAATGGTCTACTTTCCCTGAATACGCTCAAGAATTGCACTCGCAAAACGTGAATCTCATTCTCATTTTTGATCCGGCTATCGAAGTTGATTATGACACTTTTCAACGAGCGATTAATCAAGTAAAAATAATTTTTAAAAGAGCTTTCTACCGGATGTTCCGAAATTATTGCAACAACTATTATTGCTTGTGATTTTCTCTCTCGTTGCTCCGATTGAAATAATTTTTGTATTAATCGACAGAAGAAGACGTGACAAGTCTAATGATACCAAAACTATTACAATCGGGGCAACTGAGCGCCAAGATATTTGAGGTTAAGGCTAGATTGTAAAGAAAGGAAAAAGCGGGCTGAAATCAAATGTCAGATAGCCTCTGAAATCCGCCTAATTTAAACTCCTTGGATTATTCTATTTAGTCGATCTTAGAGACAAAAACTTGCTCTAAAAGACTCTACCATTGTTCGTTGAAAAGATTAGGTTTGGAACGAGATTTTACTTAATACTATACAAAAAGCTGCTGATGACTTTCTGAAACGATCAAATAAATGTGTGAGGTCCAGTTGAGGTCATTTTTAAACATAAACTTTATTCATGTATTCCTTGATATTTTTGGGTAATAAGCTTAGCTCAAAATTTTGGGACATCGGGTATTTAAACTCTTTTACTTAAAAAAAACTCGCTTAATTGTCCTGTTACTATTTGTTAACTATTTGATGCTAATTTTAGAACGTCTCTTTTGTTGAATGGCCTCGATTTGATCAAGTACCCACAAAGATTCAAGATCAATATCCGTTAGCAAAGAACACAAAAATGATGCTAGGTAAGGAGTAAATGTGAACAGAATGTTTTGCGAGGTAGATCTAACAGAGGCTTTAAGGGAATGTATGGCCCGAGAGAAATGTGGCGTTCCCCGATTTTCTCGATCCAACGAACAAAACTGAACTTTGGTGGATCGATGAATTTCGGAGATTTCATGATATGGTTAGCTTCACATACTTGAATATGAAACTCTTCTACTCTAATCTTTTATTTCCAATTTGATAATTTCTCATAAAGCTTCCCTATGATGGAATTTGGATCGATATGAATGAACCAGAGAATTTTCAAACGGGAACACTCAAAGGAAACAATTCAAATGGAAAAACCCTTCAATGTATTGTAGACGGTATAGAAAAAGATTTAACTTGAAATAATCGCAATTTATAGGTATTGATGGGAAATTCGACAATCCACCATATGAAACAAAAGCTGTTTATGATGGGTAGAAAAGTAAAGTGCTGAGAAATTAACTTCGCTCTTTTCAGATTTGATCCGTTTTTGGCTTCAAAAACTCTTTGTTTGAATGGTCTTTCGATAAGAGGCACAAACAATCTTTACAATACAAAAGCACGTGCAATTTCTTTAGAGGCCTTTATCTTTAACATTTATCTAGAGTCTTTATGGATGGTCTGAATCTCGTGCCACAGCAAAAGCTCATCAATCAGCCATCAAGAAAAGAGGAGCTGTCATTTCTAGGTTGATCATTTGCATTTTTAGACTTTCAGGGGATACACCTTTGGTTACATCTAGTAAGAAAGAAAATATATACATGTTTTCTTCACTTATCTTTTCCTCTAGATCAACTTTTGTCTCCTCAGGCCGTTATACAGGACATTGGTTAGGTGACAATGTGGCTCGATGGGAAGATTTGAGGACATCAGTCATAGGTTGAACTCACTAGAAGGATTAGAGAAAGTGATTGCAGGTGTAATCGAGTTCAACTTTTTCGGGATTCCCTACGTCGGGTCGGATATCTGTGGATTTACAGGTGTATAAAGGAGAATCCGAATTCAAAAGCGTTATCTTCAGGAGTAACGTGGGAAGAGCTGTGCCTACGGTGGCACCAAATGGGCGCATTTCACTCATTTTCCCGTGATCACAATATGCATGTGAGTTATTCAATGTAATGCAGATAAAAGATAAAATTATCAGATTGCTTAGAATCATTTAATTAAACGATTCTTTTCTCCAGTACATGCCCGCTCAAGATCCAGCCGTGTGGCCATCGGTGACAAAAGCGGCAAAGATTGCGCTCACTTTTCGTTATCGCTACTTGCCGTACCTATATTCGTAAGCTGTTCTTGTTTATAATCATATACTTGAATATAAATATCTCTAAGACTTCATTATCGAGCATCAACCATTGGATCGACGGTGGTGCGTCCATTGTTCTTCGAATTCTCCAGTGATTCGGAGACATTCTCGATCGATCGTCAATTCTTATGGGGTAAAGCTTTGATGATTGCACCTGCACTTGACCCTGTAAGTGACTACAAATGTTTTGTATTTTGTGTGCGCAACAATCATTCTGATGCTGAAAAATGTCTACTGGTTTTTTTAGGGAATCGATTCTGTACATGCCTATTTCCCCGATGACCTATGGTACTCACTGCAAGATGAGACTTATGGAAAAATCGTATAGAAAGAATTGAATTTTGATTTCAAAAATTTAGATTCCACCGGGTTACAACGATGTTCCAGCAAAAAATGATACACTGACACCAGTTTTTGCTCGAGGTTATCTGACTTTTCAAAGAGTCTGAAAGCTTTAAAAACCTCCACAAACGAAATTTCAAATACACTATCCAACTAAATTTAATGAATATTTTAGGTGGCTACATTCTTCCTAGACAAACTCCATCAACAACAACGAAAGAATCAAGAAACAATCCATTTGAGTTGCTCGTGACTGTTGGACAAAATTCGATCTCAGAAGGAGAACTCTATTATGATGATGGAGTGACACAATTTGATTCGATCGATCAGAATCCCCATTTCTCATTCAATTTCACCTACAGCTACTCGCGTACAGCAGCTTCTCTGAATGCTCGATGGTCAACTTCAATTTCAAATGTTTGTTTAATAAGTAAACCAAAGACTGACCACATAGGGTAAGCATCAAGTCAAAGTCAAAGTCAGGGGTATTCCTAGACCAAAAATTTCAGGCCAGACCATAAATCAATATGGCCTGACCTGGCTAGCCATGGCTTCCTAAGCCTAGGCTTTTTGGAATAGCCCTGGTCAAGGTTAATACAGTCTGGCCCTTATTTTCGATGATATGAACGTGTTGTTTTCAGTACACTCTTCCCACATTGGATATCATCGATATTGTCGGTTATGACTACACTCCTGATTTCAATTCGTTCTATCTAAATGGAAAGAGGGTAACGCGCCATATTTTTTCATGATCCGTACTATTTTCAGATCAACATCAATATACAAACTTCTTCCTATAGTCCTTTTACTCGTCGTCTTTTCATTTCCACCAAAAATCTCATTGATATGAATGCTGAAAGTACTACTCTTGCCTGGTCACATAAAGCAGTCTAATTGAAATTTTTAAAATAAAAATATCCTGTTTACTTTACTGTATACTGTATGCAGCTGTATCGTAAAAATTTATCAAACCATTCTTTTGTTGAGAATTTTAAACTTGGCACTCGGATTTGATGGCGATTAAAGTACAAAAAATGAATCACAAAAGCTTTAAATTGCGAAGGAAAGATTCAGAAATAATCTCAAATGAATAAATCTTAATGAACTGTGACTCGTTGTGAGTATTTGATATTTGAAAGAAAACAGAGTTAAGTGAAAGATTAGAAAGAAATCTATCAAAAGAGACAAGAATACCCGGAGATTCGTGAATTGAAGAACTAAAAATAGATTTGTACAAGAAAAGAGATCACAGAGGAATTGTGTGATACGATCGGATGAGCTCGACGAAATTTGCGACGACTCTTTGGAAAAGATCAGGATTGCCGAGATGGGCTGCATGGCCAGCTGAAGGGATTTGTTGCAATCTGGAAAAAAAATTTTAAACTGAATCTTTCAGTGATTTGAAATGGTTCTTGTTTATGGTTTGAAAGAGGTACTTGGAGCCGATTTTCTTGAGCAAAACGAAACTTGCAGATGCAAATTCTCAAGAATCGACGGTCTAGAAAATCCCATTTAAAACTGTTCAATTCTAACCTTGAATTTGGTAGATTCTTGAGGTTGTTGGCTGATGATGGCCCCAAAGAGGTGTCCTTGTCACCCCAAACACAAAGCAATGGGGTGCGCAGTCTGAATGTTTTGTATAGCGCCCAATGTTTGAGTGATTAAAAGAACTGAAAACATTTGTCAAAAAATTACTTGTGCACTTCGGTGAGTTCATGAGTGTTCGAGAGAGCCACCCCGACGACACAAGAAAAGATTTCCCTGAATGGGATATGGTCTTTAAAATATTAGCTTGGTGAATAAGTCTTTTCGTTCCTTTTCGTACTTCCGTTGAAAAATAACAAAATAAACAATTAAACCTATGGTTTGCTCTAAATAAAAAGCGTTTAGTGTTATTTTGCAGAAAAACAATTGACCTTTCTAATGAAACAAACCGTAGTTCAATTAGTGCATTTGCTTTAAACGTTTAAACGGTTTTAAACGGAAGTACGAACGGACTTATTTACCAACCTAATATTTTATTCAAGTTTGAGAACTAAATTGGTGCACTGATACAAGTAAGAAATAAAATAATTTTCAACCTGTTAAGAAGCGGGAGTACATATTGAGCACTCATACTAGCGGCAACGATCATTGGCTGTTTCACGCCAAGCGCTGATAAAAGAGATAGGAAAAAGGTGGGTTTATCCTGAAATTTTAAGTACACTGGTTTATTTAAAGAAATATTTAACCTCATTAGGAATAGCTGGTCCAAAAGTTTTCCCGGATCCAGGCAGATCGGGTGCCACACAGTGGAAACCGTGAGCGGCGATGCTTGAAAGAAGACCGTTTTCGGTCCATGTTGACGAGGAAAAGCTTTGACCTGAATAAAATGATTAGAATACCACAAAAAATTTTAGATGTAAAGAAATATCTATCAAACTAAAGTAGAGCTGTGTCCATAATCGTGTGAAGTTGTGTAAAAGTTAAACATTACCATGAAGGAAAAAGATTGTCCCTTTTGCATAGTGATTGTCGGGTGGACGAGCTTCTCGATAGAAAACTTGATGATCCTAGAAATTTACTTTTTGTACATCTAAAGCAATCCCTAATTCACCCCAATTTCAATTCGATTCTCGGTAGTGACCACTTTTTCCGAGAGTTTCTTTGTGTTTTCGGGGACAGCTCGACAAAGATCGGCTCTTGAAAGAATTGAAGATAGTGTTGGTCCTTCAACCATGATGGGGAAAAAGAACCTGAAATAGGAAAAAATACGACAAGTGTTACTAAAAAGAAAGAATTGCTAACGTTTTTGCAGAAATATTGTATGTTCAGTAGTCATAAGAGTGAAAACTGGGAACTAGAAATGACAATCAGGGAAAGAGAAATACACAAAGCCTGTTCAACAGACACTTTTCTTTTGTTTGGAGAGTAATCATTGAAAAGTCTCTCACCGATTGAGTACACTATCATTGTAAAGTGAAAGTGATATTACGATAAGACAAAAAAATTAAATTGAAATTTTAACCAAAGACAAACTGGTGTGTGAGGAGAGTGAATGAATTGAGAGATTGGGTGCTTGACAACACGTCGAGAGGTCCACAAAAAGGAAAGGAAAGGGGAAAGACGGGCACCAATCTCTCAAAAAAGAAAAGTCCGGGAAACATACGTGCAAACATTTCTCTTTTCTTTTTCTAGCACCCACCCATTCATGCACTCCAATTCAAGACATAGTTGGCAAAATACATATTTCCCCTCCCCTTTATACTACTGACAGCTATGGTCATAGCACCAGAGAGCTTGATAGACTTTACGTACATTTGCGTGGAAGAAGTGCTATTCTTGTGTTTGGGGGTACTTCTTTAGGATCCGGGGGGGGACGATTTTGCCAAACTTCAACTCATAATTTAAACACTTTTTTTGTGATATATTTTGAAAAACTCAAAAACTATTAAAATCTCCAAAGCCTAAGCTATCTAATAATGCTTTAAAGTCAAAATTGGACAAGTTTAAGATAACTAAATCAGTGACACAAGTCTGCCAAAATCGTTAAAAAATCCTCCTCCCCGATACTAAAGAAGTACCTGTGTTTGAAATAAAAACTACAAAAAGATATCAAGAATCGTAGTAGCATTTGGTGTACTATATTATTAGCTATAGCTAGGAAAATGGGAAATCAAAGAGAGAAAAAGGGGGAGAGGGTAAAATAATCCCCGGTTGTGTGTGCAAGAAGGTTCAGAAGGGAGATCATGATTAGGGGAAAACAAGGAGGAAAGAAAAGAAACAAAGAAATTGAATAGTTAAAAAGAATACGTTGAAAATTCTTCTGAGATGATATGTAGAGATAGATCAAATTATTTTTTTGCTACCTAGTCGGATAGAACTAGCGGAAAGTAGTCTATTAGTAAAAGTCTATTAGTAAAAGTGGTGAAAGATGAAAGATGAAGCCTTGTCTCTTGCAATCAGTTGAATGTCTCTATTTGCAGATCCATATAAACACCAACAGTGACACCCCACTCCACCCCATCCCCCCTCTTCCTCAACCCTCGAGGGACTCCTCTTTCATCTCGCATTTCTCTTCTCTTCCTCTACATTCCCCCAAAACAACTCCCCACTCATCTATTTGAGGGATTCAAGTCTTTTTCCCGTTTTAAAATGCGGTTGGGATTTTAGTGTCGAGAAAAGAGAAGGGAACACCCGGGGGAAATTTGTCTTTCCCACATTCACCACACAATAGAAGAAAAATGAGAACATAGCAAAAGTTAAACTGGATTGCATTTCGCCAAAATGCAAATTTCTGCCTTAAGAAGTGGGGGTGGAGGTAGTGGGGGTGGAGGTGGTGGGTAAGTGTGGAGAGGCGACCTTGTCAAGGGATTGTCTCCTCTTTTATTCCTTTCTTCCATTTCCCCATTCATTCCCGATTGAATCCGTTGACGATTTCGGAGAGAGTGAAACACGCTAAGAACCATCCATTTCTTTTTTTCTTTTCTACTCCTTCACTCAAAAAATTTGCATGCAAATTGAACGAGGTAAACCAGCCGAATCAGAAAATCGGGAATTGGAGATGCTCAAATAAAGAAAAGCAAATTCTGGGAGTTGTTTAGAGCAAAGATTTTGATTTTAAAAGCTAGATTAGAGTTATGTCAAAGTTGCAAAATATTTTTACATGAAACCATTTTCAGGATTTAACGAACTCCTGAATAAATCAAAGAGAATGAACTCCTCAATAGATCGAGATTATGAAAGAAAACGCAACGGATTTTAATAAAAAAAGTTGCAGAAAGCATAAAAAAATCAAAAGTGTATAGATTTCGGGGAAGGAAGAAAATCTAACGGGAAAGGGGGAAAGGAAAAAAAGCCTCATAACAAAAGACATCAATAATTTTGAGGGGACATAAATTCTGGACGGAAAGATGGAAAAAAGAAAAGAAATGAGGAAGATTCTTTGAAAGAAAGAGGAAAAGAGAAGGGTTGTATTGGGGTAAAGAGATGGACGGGTGGAGGTGGAAGGGCCGTTTCATTTCCTCGCCTCCTCTCCCTTCATCCAGCCGTTCGTGTCTTTTCCCCTGATCCCCTTTCCATTTCTCCGTCGGCTCCCCATAAAGCATAAACGAACCCTAGAAAGGTCCCTTTCCTCCCTAGAACACTCATCCAACACCACCAATAACCTCACATAAAAAGAGTACTTTTCCGCTTTCCTTTTAAATATTCGATAACCTACTAAATACTTTTTCGTGCTTGCGAAGTAAAACCATAAAAATTGAAAACTATTTCTTTAAAAAGTTTCATAATTCACAAGATTGAGAAAATAGAAATGTTTCCCAAAGAACGGTTGAGGTGACTAATGGTAAGGGAGAAAAGAAAGAAGTGATTGAATAAGTGAATCAAAGGGAGTGACACACTTTTGTATCCACGAATGATCATGGGGAAAATAATGTGGAAAACTGTTATATAAGCGTAAAACATTTGAAGTAGTTTGACAAAAAAGTGAGACTTCGCAAAATATTCGGCGAAAAGAATTGGAAGATCGATCAGTAAATGCAATGTTTAACGCAAGAAAGAAAAGTTTCGTAAATTGGTCAGAAAAAGAAGTGGGTGGGTGAGTGAGTGAATCAAGAGTGAGGCTTTCATCTGATCAGGTGTGGAAGCCTGTTCTCCCCTTCCATCCCTTTCCAAACTCTCCCTTCTTTCCTACGAGACATCAAAGCCTTTTCCTTATCAGCTTTCTTTTCTTCTCTTTCCATTTTACATTCTTCCATACCCGAATTCAGCGTGGCTATAAAATGCTGTGTAAATTTGAATGCACGCGTGCCAAAATGATGATATGAAAAGCGTTGTAGAAATCTAATACGAGAATTGATATTTTGATTGTTTTGACTGGAAAAAATATTTAGATCACATAGCGATATGAGATTTTTCGATATTGTAAATTTCCAACTTCCTCTTTGAAAAAATTTATAGTAAAACTGAAAGAAAAATGAGAAAGAATAAAACCGCAAACAAAACGATTCACACAAGAAAAAAGAAATGTCAAAGAAAGAAAAGCGCGAAAAATGTTTGTTTGATGACATTTGTGGGTATGAGAATAAACGGTTCGATTTCTAGTTTTTTTTATTGATGCCAAGCAAATTTGTAGCCTTGTGGCTGAAGTCCGCCTCGCATTGTGAAGTAAATAGTTTAGTTTGATATCGAAATAATTAAAAGAGATGCAATTCTCCCAAATAGGAGTTCATTTTCCGATACTTTGTGGAATTTGTGCAAAGATTGCAAAAGAGAGATTGGTGTTTTGGTTGAAAAGATTTGAGAAAAGAATGAAATGGAAAGAAAAGAAAAGAGAAAGGGAGAAATCTGATGTGTCTTTCCCACACAAAAGACAACGGGAAGGGGGAAGGGGGAGGGTGAGGGAGGGATGGCATCCTCTTCCCCCTCCTTCCCCCTTCTTCCCCCCTCCCCCTCCTCCCTCACCCACAATGGCTCCCGCGAATTGGCGCCAATTGCGGTCAACCCCTCAGAAAAGATAAAAAAGACTTTTTCAACAGACTCCAACCACTGCTCTTTTTCCCCAGTCAGCACCATCTGTTTCATATTTGGATTTTACTAGGGTCTTTATTTTTGTCAGTGGGGATCTGAGGTGGAATAGCCATACGAAAACTCATCTCATCGAGCTATTTCTACCAATGAAAACTGGAATGAACCGGCACGATCCTGTTATACCCCGCAAATATTTGTGGGCATGCATCAATCATGTTATACCCGTGCAAAACTAGCGTTGTTAAAATTTCCATATCACCAAAAGACCGATCGCTCACTGGAATCAGTTCTTTTGAAACTTAAAATATAAATTTTGCGAGGTATATTAGGATTGATGCAGGGGCAAATTTTGCGGGAGTATAACAGGAAAGTACCAAAAATCCAATTGATTAGGAAAAAACTGAAAAACAGAGCTATACGGAAAAAAGGATCCAATTTGTTGCTTCTGTAAAAGCGAATGTCATCCACTCATCACTACCCTAATTTCCCCCAAAGCGTCTCCTTCAATGTGTAAAATGATCAATCAATGACAAGAAAAACTTATCCATGTTTGTTCTCATCTTTTTTATCATGTAGATACTTTTCCATCAACTGTTTAATTGAAATTTCAGGAAATCAAATTTAATGTTTGTATCTTTATAAGTTTTTTTTCATAAAAAACGTAAATTTATCAAGATATCAATGGAGATTCTGTTTTTTCGTGAGATCATAGTAAACACCGTGAAGAGCGAGAAGCTCTTGATGAGTACCTAAAATAAAAGTAAGGACAGAAATGAGGATAGATAGATTGATTGAAAGATTGGTAGAGAGTTGGAAAATATTAGAAATTTTCCATTTTCACCTTTTGTAAACATTAATATTTCACCTTGTTCAACGAGTTTTCCACTTTGGACAACGGCAATTCGATCAGCATTAATTATTGTGGAAAGACGATGAGCAATCACAATACATGTACGACCAGAACGGGCTCGATCAAGAGCTTCTTGAACTATCTCAAATTTTAATATAAACGTTAGTTTGAAAAGTCTATTAATACATATTTCAATGTAGAACTTAGCACTTTCTTTTCTTATTTTAGTTACCTTTTCACTTTCTGTATCGAGAGCGCTCGTTGCTTCATCAAGAAGTAAAATCTTTGGGTTTCTGATCAATGCACGAGCAATTGCTATTCGCTGCTTTTGACCTAAAATTGAATGTTCAATCAAGAAGATGACTGTATCAGAAAGAGCTCACAGAAAACAAAAGTTCAAAAGAATTACCTCCAGATAATTGTGTTCCTTTATCACCAACACGTGTCTCATAACCCTAAAAAGTTTCAATGAGCAGTTCTTTCTATTATCAAAACCTGCGGCAAATTCGAGATGAAATTGTGAATATTGGCCTTTTTGGCTGCTTCAATAATTTCTTGATCTGTGATCTCACCATCAACACCATAAGCAATATTTTTTCTGAAATTGGAAAACATTCTCATTTACAACTCATCCAAAAGCTACCTAATCGAACAATCAAATAGAATTGGTTCTTGTGAAACGAGAGCCATTTGTGATCGAAGGTGATCGGGATTCATTTCACGAATATCAACTCCATCCAATTTCTTAAAGACTTGTAATTTACTTTTAGTTGTATGTTTTAATAGCCTGCTTTAATAGTCTGATTTAAATTCAACATTACTTACAATAACCCCTTTTGTTACATCGTAAAATCTCTCCAATAGAGCCACCACTGTACTTTTTCCACTTCCCGATGGACCGACAAGTGCTAGCGTTTCTCCAGGAGAAACCGATAAAGATAAACCCTGAAATTTAACTTATAATTATATTTAGATTTATTTTCTGATCATCCATGGTTCTTACAAGAAAATTTCACTTTTTTACCTTTAAAATTGACACCGCACTCCGTTGTGGATATGAGAAATGAACATCTTCGAAAGCCACCGAACCAGTCACTTTCTAAAACAGATAACCTAGATCAAAGATTATTTGATTATCTCCTCCGTTTGCCCTTAATTTAAATTTACATTTCTTAATCCTTTTGTACTCAAATTGTCCATGTTTGATCGCTCTCTCAACATGCTGAAAATAATCCCACCGGCAAAACGGGCCTGAAATTAATTCTCTTTCATAATGATCAAGCTTCGGCATTCAGAATCGTACACTTTTTTTATTATAGCTTGCTTACAACTTGGGTAGGTACTCACTTTCATATATTCGGGAAAATACGAGGTCGCAAAGCCAACCGTGGTTGTCGAGATTGAGACAGCATACATTACTCTGAAAACATTTTACTCTCAGAAATTGTCTTCTTATTTACCGCAGCACATCCATTGGTGATAGAGTTCTCTCCAAAATCAGAAACAATCCAAATCGATATGAGATACAATTCAACAAATAGATTGCACAAGAAGCAAATCTGAATTTGTTTTGAAATTGAAAGCTGCATAAAAAGCTTTGCTCACCCGTAAACAGCTCCTTGAACAGTTGCCTGTTTCAATGCTTCTTTATGGGGTTCATCAAGAAACGAGCAAAACATTCTGAAATTTCAAATTCTTTTAAACATTGCAGAATAAATGTGTATCTCAAAAGTGAATATAATAAGCTACTCACTGATAAAAGGTCCTTTCTCTTGTCAATGCTTGCACCGTTTTTATATTCTCAATCGCTTCCATTGCCACCTATAGCTTTATTGGTTTTTCTTCATATTTTGGTTTTTATGGGTTATGCCCGCGATAGTTATTTGTAGCCGAAATACGGGAAAACTGGCTCAAGCTTAGCACAAATTAGAGATTTTGCCAATGACCCAATGCCAATGACCCAATGCCAATGACCCAATGCCAATGACCCAATGCCAATGACCCAATGCCAATGACCCAATGCCAATGACCCAATGCCAATGACCCAATGCCAATGACCCAATGCCAATGACCCAATGCCAATGACCCAATGCCAATGACCCAATGCCAATGACCCAATGCCAATGACCCAATGCCAATGACCTAATGCCAATGACCCAATGCCAATGACCCAATGCCAATGACCCAATGCCAATGACCAATGCCAATGACCCGATGCCAATGACCCAATGCCAATGACCCGATGCCAATGACCCGATGCCAATGACCCGATGCCAATGACCCGATGCCAATGACCGACCGGCCGGGGATCCCAACCCTCAACATTTCAAACCTTTCCACTATTTTCCAAATCTTTTGCTGTTTGTCGATGTTTTCCTTGCATGATTCGAGTGCGAAAAGCTTGACCAATTCCTGAAGTTTATTTTGTAGCCGTTGCTTTGTACTTCAAGCTTTAAGACTTTTAGGCTCAAAAATTACAGTCTTACTTTTTGAGTAAAAAAAGAAATTGTGAACTTTACAATTTCCTCACAAACTAACCCAACAACGGATAGAGTCCAACAGAAAGAAGAGCCATTTGCCATCCAAAAAAGAAAGCAACCCCAACCCCGGTCACACATGAGACAATTGTGGCCAAAACAGTTGACAGACGGAAATCCATTGCCTAAAAGAATTCACTCACTCAAGTATGTCACGTATCCGAATTGCGTACACTTTTCAAATTCGGCACATCGGTGGCCAGTCGGGTGCAAATTTTCCCGGTTGCGTGAAGTGGCGAGTCGAAGTAACCGATCTAAATATCGACTTTATTATTCATAAGACACCATTAGTTTCAAATTTAATCCGTTTTTTTAATATTTTCTTTAGTTATGAAGTTTGTACTTCTTGTGAGAGAACGTTCGTAAAGATGGTGGCTCGAAGACGTTGTGTCATCAACTCGGAGCCAAGCCCGAAGAAAAACACCTAAATTTGTATAGGTGAAACCTGGACGAATATACAAAGAAATTTCAATTTACATGCGTGAGAACGGAGAAAGCCTGAGCGATGGCTAAAACGAGAAAGAGAAGAGCCCAGATATGGCCTTTGTGAAGGAGATCGGCCGGTGGTAAAGTGAAAATCTAAAAAAACAACATTCAAGAGTATATAAATCCAATATAATTTATGTAAATCTCTGTTCAGCTTACATCGAGCATTTGTGTGAAGAAAATGGAATATGCCGGGAATACGAATCCACCTATGATCACCCCGATCATTCCAATGCACAACCAGATCTATATAAGGTAGATAAGCTTTATCTTACTTTATTTTTTTTCCCAATCAACTAAATTACCCGTTCTTTTGATGCAAAATGCAGTATCTCTAGAAGATTCGTCTTCTCCGCTCCCACCTCATCGATCTCTAAAAATTTTTATTGGAGATCTCTTCTTTTTTTCGAAACCTCTTTTCAGCCGACTCAAGTCATCTTTCTTTTCATTGACTTCATTATTTTCCATCACTTCATTGATTACCGATGATTGTACAGTACTTGATCGATGTCTCAATGAAGGAACTGTTGAACTCTGAAAAGAATCTCTTGAACTTTCGAATATGTTCCTGGTTGGTTTTATTTACAAAGGAATAATCTCGATTTGAAGCTCAAAAGTGACTTATTGGTAAAGGTTTCTCAGAACGCTTAGAACCAAGCAAAAATCAACCTCACGACGGTAATTTCTTGATACAGGAAGCTCTTCTTTACCTATAATTTCATTATCTTTTGCTTTAATTTCTTTCACAAACTTTCCACATTATCGATAGTATCGGCAAATGTTTGTGCTTGAATGAGATCATAATAAAGGCCCTTTTGTTGAATGAGTTCATCATGTGATCCCTCTTCGATCACTTCTCCTTCCTAGACAATCGACGTAACTTCTATGTCCCTAGTAACCTTTAAAAAGGACTTTCATTCTTTCTCTTCTGTGCCGTTTTCCTTTCTAGATAAGAAAAAACCGAAATGGTTTAAATAACATTTGTCCCTTTGTGCACTTAGCATGCAATTTTTCAAGGAAAACCCCAAGTACCCTTTGAAATAATCAAATCTGTAATTTGCCTTGATAGCGATAATTTTGTCGGCATTTCGGATTGTCGACAAACGATGTGCTATGATTATCGTTGTGCGACCCTCAGACGCCTGAAAATAAAATTACATAACATTTTTGACTCTAGATACTAGACTGTTCAGAAAGTCTTTTCATTCCTTTTCGTACTTCCGTTTAAAACCAACAAATGCACCAATTAAACTACGGTTTGTTTCATTAGAAAGGCCAATTATTTTCCTGCAAAATAACATTAAAACTGGTTTCTTTGTTATTTGCTTGTTTGAATTTTTTTATTTTTCCAACGGAAGTAGGAAAAGGGACAAAAAGGCTTTTTGAACAGCCTAATATTATATTAATTTAGAATGCCAAGCCCTGTTTTCAACGTATCTAACCTTTTCTAAAGCTTTTTGTACAAGTCCTTCACTTTCTGCATCTAATGCACTTGTCGCTTCATCGAGAAGAAGTATTCGCGGATTTCTGACCAAAGCTCTAGCGATTGCTATTCTTTGCTTTTGACCTAAAACATTCATCCAAAAAAAGTAGAAAAAAATTATGAGAACCTCCAGACAATTGGGTTCCTCGATCACCAACAAATGTCGAATAGCCCTAATAGTAAAGAGTAAAGAAATAGAGCTAGAGGATTTTCATGTCAAATAATGGATTTTGTATAGAAAATTATTACTGTAAAGTGTATTCTGAAAATCTATAAACATCATCTAGATTTTTCCAAAGCCAAACAAATGAACTTACTTGAGGTAATCGCTTGATGAAAACCTCTGCATTTGCCGCTCGACAAGCCTGACCGAGAGTCTTTTGATCAATATCTTCTCTTCCAAACTGTAATCACAATTCTTTTTTTGAAATCAACCATTTCAATAGTTCTTTAACAAGACTAACACGGATATTTTCCTCGATCGAGCAATTAAAAAGAACGGGTTCTTGTGAGACAACAGCTATCTGTTCTCGGAGATATGCAATGTTTAACTCATTAATTGGTGTCCCGTCAATCAATATCTGGAATTGTTCTTTAAAATGATCTACATTGATTGCAAACCGATCCATTTTCTGCATCATAATACCGCAGGAGAAGGTTTACCACAGAGCTTTTTCCACACCCAGAACTTCCCACCAAGGCTACTGTTTGACCTGGTTCCACATTGAATCGCAATCCTTTCAACACCTAGAAAGTTTCCTCTTTCAGTTTTTATCTAGCAAATAATAGCACGAGTTTATTTTAAAACCCTACTTGAACATCGGGCCTTGTTGGATAACTAAAACGGACATCGTTGAATTCGATTTTTCCCTTCATCGCTCCACCCTTTTTGCCGGCCTCGCTTTGAGAATCAATTTCTGGAGTCTAGAACTTCATTTTAATCGTATGATGTGCTTAGTTTTAGTCGTTATAGTCGTTTATGAAATTATGCCATTTTTACATTATTTACCCGATCAAGCACTTCGAAGATACTCGCAGCGGCTCCTTGCGCGGCACCCAAAACCAAAAGTTATCATTTTAGCATCACGTTTTACTTACCCAAAACTGCAATTTGGGGACCACCTAAAAGTTGATTTGTATGTTTGTTAGTTAAATACTTGTTGTTTTAAATACTCACTTTGTCCGAGAGCCATAGATCCCATCATTACCGAGAAGAAAACCTAAAAAAAGCAAGCAATTAGTGGCCGGATTCTATCGCCTGGTCGAATTCTGTCATCGCGTGTACACCAATTACATAAATTACAAATCAAATAAAACCAACAGTTAACAATTCTCCTGGTGTGATCTCTCCATTATGAACCCAATTCACGCCAATGTAGAAAGCCAAAGCAAAACTGGAGAAATTTGTCAACTGCATCGCTCCAAATGATCCTCCAATAGAGGCCGCTTTGTAGATTCCCATTCGACGAGCTTCTGATAGAGCTTCCGAATATCTGAATTGATACTTATTATGAAAACTTTCTTCAGAAATTTCTTTCTTGTCAAACCTTTTTGATTCTCTGTTCAATCCATTGAAAGCCACAACTGTTCTGATTGATGAAATCACTTCTTCAGCAACTTTCCCCGCTTTCGAATATTTGATTGTTTCAAGCAATGTCAACGTGGTCATTGACTAAAAATTGATTTTAAACTTCAATTTACTCTTGATAGTTTACTCTTGAGATGAGAAATCCGCAAACTACTTGAAATGGGGTAAAACCGAGCATGATGAGGGTGAGCTTCCAATTGTGCGCGAAAGCCACCACAAATCCTAAACAACATATACTCAATAGGTTACCGATACAGTTTAATTCCATTTAAAAGTGAGTACCTGTAACGAACTGCGATAGAAATTGTATCATGAGACCGAGTTTGTCTCCGGTTCCTTCACGTACTCGTTCAAGTGAACTAAACATTGGGCAAACGATTGCATAAGCTTTGTGAGTGCTATTTGACTCCTAGTTTGTTATTATTATTTAATCTGAACTTACTCAAAAAGTTTTGTGGCCATTGTTCCACCTTGATTTTTGTCAAAGAAAGCGATATCTTGTCTCAAAATAGCCTCAAAGAATTTCCTCCTCAGTCGATCGTTCATTCTCTCACAAACAACCAAAAGACAGCTTACCTCAAAAAACGTTTTTTTATTTTGGTTTCAATTTTCCGTAATTTATAAACACAGTAGATTTTACTTGGAGATACGCTGCGATGAAGATTCCAACAGTCAGTCCTGCATATTGATAGACAACTTTCATAATTCGATCCTTGAATACATCTTCTGTGAATGAATCATCCATTGGAACACCTCAATTTGCTATTTCTTTTACAATTCTCATATACTTACTATAATTATTCTTCAAATAAATCTCTTCGTCGATAAATGATTGTCCAATATTTCCTTGTAGAATGGCCATCAATGGGAGACCGACTCCTGTACAAGCTGATACTCCCAAACCAAGCATTAACAAGCAAAAGTCGAGTTTTGTCAAGTATCGAAACTGGAAATTGAGCACGTACAAGAAAAACGCAAAAATAACGAACCAATTTCCTCAACGGTACTTTCTGTGGTGGTTTCTCTTCTTCTTCTTCTTGAGCATCTTTTGTCATCCCATTTTCATCCCTTTCTTTGTCAAATTCCACCTCGATTTTTGTGCCTTTCTTGTCGTTCACCATAATTCAGATTTACACAAATGATTCGTGAAAAATGAACCGGCTGTTTCATTGTCTTTAAATAATTCTTGGGCCTACAAACTTCGCAAAGAGCATTTCGTGCAGAAACAATAAGAAAAAAAATTGATAAGAGGGGGAATTGACAAGAAACCATAGAACAAGGCTTTAAGTGGGGTTTGTGCTGCTTTTGGAAAAGAATCGGGGTTTGTTGTCTTGAAGAACATTTATAGATTGTTTCACTACTGATCAAGTAACTGATCGGATTTGGGCTAAAAAAATTCAAATTTTTTTAAAGTCTTAAAATAATATAGTTGTGCAATCTAAAATAAAAAATTTTTAAAATCAAAATTGAATGACACTACGAGGGGGGGTCGAATCCGGGTCGTGTGGACTGCGCCACGGCAACAAAAAGTGGTGGAGCTTGCCGTGAGGCGAGCTTCACCGCTAGTAACAGAATACTATAATTGCTTGAAAACCCCCGAAATATTGAGCCACAAAAACTCGATGAGTCATTTATACCTCTTTCCCGTCTTCTTTTTGGCCTCAATAACTTGTGTCAACGTAGAATGTTTTCCTCCTTTTCTTTTTCTCTTTTTGCAGAACGAGTGCCTTTCCATACTTATTGGACATTTCACGTCAAATCAACGACGACAGCTTCTACTTCCCCAAAACCTAATGGAGATTGGAGAAAAGAATTTGAGGAAGAGAAGAGACAACTCTCTGCTAATAACAGGATATATACAAGTCGCTGAATCATTCGTAATAAAGTACTCTCAAATATTGTATTTGTTTTGCTTTCTTCTGGATAACCGCATATCACTTATTTGACTAAAGTCAAATTCTACCTCTGCAAATTTTATGCGTGGCAAATCTCGTCTAACAAACATGTTAAATTGTGTGTTTCCTTTTAGCAACGTAATGCGACTTACAAGTAAATGTGTAAACCTCAGAGTACCATTTGAAGCCTAACAAGAATTGTAAGAATCAGTGTTCACTAAAATTTTCTGCAAAGCACTTTTCAGTGCAAATGTAACTGCCTTAACTTTGTAATCCAAAATATTCGTGAACCCCTCTTATGCCCATCAGATCAACGAGCTACAATAGTTCTCCTCAACACCTCTATATCATCCTCCGGTTCCCTTTTCTCTGACATCCAAAATGGATTCTCCTTTGTGACCCACTCATCAAACGGCTCTTTCCCATTTCTTTTTCTAGGTGATATGTTTATTGCGTCGAGAAATGGGACTCAATTTGATTCGTTTTCTCTTTTTTTTCTAAAAAGATCCCATTCCTCATAGGGCATCACTTTGAAGGGATAGATATTTATTTTTGTGTTCACAAAGAGCTTTCATAAAGACATTTATTTTCTTTTTTTTAAGATTTAACATAATACAATATCGTGCTATAGTCAAATAAGATCATCCTGCAAAAGAACGAAAAAATCAAAAAAAGACCACCCACGAATTCCTTGTGAAATACGTTATCCCTTCTCTTCTCGCAATTACAATGTTTTTGCGGGTGCATAAAAAGAAACTAAATCCAGGAGAAGCTTCTTTTTTTTCAAAAACGCTATAGGAAAAGAGTAGGTGAAGAGAAAATTGTGGTCATTGCAGCAAGTAGAAGATAATTGAAGATTTGGGAGGAGAGACTTTGAGAGAATAAGAAGTGAAGGGGAAGACCCGATCTAGAGATATCTCCCCTTTCCCTTCCACAATTTGACTCTAAGAATCACTTAGTTTTTTCGCAGCACATGTTTCTGTACTAAAATATACTTAAAATAGAAGTCTTTCTTAAATCAGTCTAGTCCAATGATTCTCTGGACTCTCTGGACTCTCCTTTGAGACCAAATAAAAGACTGCCACGTTTCGTGTTGCTTTGAAATCTATCATATTCTACATTTTAGAAATACAAAATGATAATTTTTGGTTTTAGTTCATTATGAATTTGTCGGCACAATGGATTTGCATAAGTTGTCCATGAGCTGCAGAATTGAATGGCTTCTTATTCCAAGCAATCATGAAAATGGTGTGTTTGGATATGCTTCTAGCGGAATGTTTTCATTTCATCAAAAATTGGGACACTTTCAATTTGTCTCATAAATGGGTTCAAGCAGAGGAAAAAGAAATAGCAGACCGGAAATTCGAACGGCCGATTTTCACTCGTCGAAAGGTCTCCTCAAAAAGGGGAATGAAGAATGAAGAATGGAGAAAAAGTTGAAAAGTTGTGAAGGGGAAATCATTTCTTTTTCGTTGGCTACAAATTGCTCTCCCACAAACAAATCTCAATTCCGTTTCCTCTCACCAATTTCTCTTTAAACTTTTTCTTCCCGAATTGCTATTTTCTAAAATGGGTTGTACATTGAAGCTCATTGTTTTCTTTTAAATTGCTTGCTTTTCTTGCTCAAGAGTTATCTAGTCTCAGTCGGAGTTGTCCCTTTGTACGTCTTTTATGCTTATTTTGTCTTTTTTGCCCTTTTTTCTTTCATTCATCACCAAAATATAGTAATAAACGAGTGTCGACAATTATCTTCTTCTAAGCGTTTATTTTCTCGAAAAGAAATTCAATTCATTTCTCCTCGTTTTTGCACTCAATTTGGTCTCTCTTTTTTCTTCTTTGTTGAAATGTTTCTTTTTTTATTACTCTCTAAACTCATTGTCTATCAAATTTAGCCTACTAACTTTACTCGAATGTATTTCTCAATATTTCTGCAATGTTTTTGGATAAAGGTGAGATTTTTGCTTTTTGTGAGGACAAAGGAACCACTAATGAAATTTTGGGAATAGAGAGCAATTTGGCGGAGTCATTCCTCGAAAGTCTAGTATCCAAGCCTGATCTAATATTTATTCTGTATGAAATTTCGAATAATACTTTTCTTTATTAGAAGAAATTCAAATTTCTAGTTGATTGTCAGCAGTGTAATCATCGACCATGACTACAATTTATCGATCGAAGAGGAAGATGATTCGTTCGTTCACAAGATCATCTTAATCCATTGAAAGTTTCAGTTTTGATCACGGAAAGAAGAATTGCACCAGAGACATTGAGATTATCGAAACAATCACAAATACAACATATTACAACAAATTGAGGATACCAAGTAGGAGAATTATAGAAGAGCAAGTTAGGTATGGGAAAATTCTTTCAGAGGATACGGGTATGACAGTGAGAGTTGAGATATGGATACAAGCTATATCATCAATTGATGAAATGACAAATGATTTTGAGGTGAGTACAACGAGGAATCAGCTGGAGAATCAGTTAAACATCTTTATCGTAGAAACTTAATTTCAGATGGATATCTATATCACAGAGACATGGCACGATCCAGCTCTCCGATTTGAGCATCTTAATCCATGTAAAGGAAATCTATCACTCAATCATCAGGTGCAAATAAACATTGAATGCGGATAACTGAATACCATTTGTGGTTTCAGGTTTTGGACAAATTGTGGACACCGAATAGCTGTTTCATCAATAGCAAAGTCGCTCAAATACATGATTCACCTTTTCGGTTAGAACAGATGTTTGCAGTAAAGATTTGTCAACAAACTCTTTTAGAAGTATTTTCTTAATGCTTCATCCGAATGGAACTGTCATGGTGAATTATGTGAGTTTTCATTGAGAAAGTCGATATCAATAACACGATTTTTGTTTCAGAGAGTGCGAGTGAAGGGTCCATGCGAGTTAGATCTCGCTCAGTTCCCAATGGATACACAGGTTATTTTCGATCAGTCAAAAACCAAACATTAGTTCAAATCACCCACCGTTAGGCCGGTTTTTCGGCTGGTTTGTAAAATAAATCTATGATTGTTTTAGACATGCGGACTCATCTACGAGAGGTTGGTTATCCTTACAACTGTTTCTTTATAGTTACCACATAAAATCCCATAAAATTCAGTTTTAACTACAACAATCAAGAAGTGAAGATGAAATGGACAAGTGATGATGGAACAGCTGTCAGACCGCTAGATAGTTTGGATTTTGAAAGTTTTTTTCTGATTTCAAACTTGTTTTCCAGAAATCGTTCTTCCCGATTTCACTTTAATCGGCATTCATACGCAAAGCAAGGAAGAGGTGGGCTAAATTAATTTCATTAATATACAAATGAAAGCAACTTTCATTACCCATTTCGTTCAGCCATATCCAGCTGGTATGTGGGATGAACTCCATCTGACTTTGATCTTTGAGCGACGGTATATCTGGTATTTCATGCAAGCCTATCTTCCCACATATCTCACTATCTTTATTAGGTTTCTTTTTGCTTGAGACCTTTACTCAAAATATAACAATGAAGTTCTTTTTAAAATATTCTCATTCTGAATATTTGCAGTTGGGTTTCTTTCTCGCTTGGACCACGGGCCATCCCGGCACGAACAATGCTTGGAGTGAATGCTTTGTTAGCAATGATATTTCAGTTTGGAAATATTATGCGAAATCTCCCCAGAGTCTCCTATATCAAGGCTATAGGTACAAGATATAAATTTGCTTTAAAAAACAATTTTTTTCAGATGTTTGGATGCTCGTTTCAATGACTTTCATTTTCTGCTCATTGCTAGAGTTGGCGATTATCGGGTATAAAGTACGCGAGGTTGGCCCGAAACCGAAAAGTCCAAAAAGGAAAGAGGTGCATAGGATAAACATTTTTATAGTAGAATAATATGATTATATCTAATAATCTATCCAGAGTGAAGCCTATGAAGCATCTCCAAAGGGTCTTTGTCTTTACGAGAAACGATTTATGCTTCCCGCCAATTGTAAAGCTGAACTTAAAAAAGGTAGACACGACAGGCTTAAAACTATAATATATTTGTAAATTTATAGTTAAATCTAAGTTTTCAAAATAAACATTATACTAAAAGTATGCTAAATCAAATTCAGAAAGTAAATGGAAAAAGCAAACGGGTACGGATTGGCCACCAGAGAGAATCGATGAACTCTCGAGTCTCATGTTTCCTGCATGCTTCTTGATTTTCAATGTAAGTAATATAAAGGCATTGAACAAATATCTAATCTACATATATTACTTGCTAACACTTTTTTATAGTTTTAATTTTTTTCAGATAGTCTATTGGACGTACTACGGACGGAGTAGCAGTCAAGAAAAGCTCTCAAGGAATGGAACTGTTTTGATTATGTAGATAGCTTACGATTTACGATATATATTTCTTTGAGCAATAAATAAAATCAATATTTACAGGCAATTTAAAAAGCTTATTCCTATTTCACAACAGCTTCACTGTAGGCAGAAAAATTTCAATCTTTTTTTTGCTTATTTTATTTTGGTGTTGATTTATGTATGGGTAAGTAAAGTATAGATGACGTTATTCCACTGAAAAACTAATCGTCATGTGCCAGGAAGTGATTGTCTGGTGAAGGGTCACCTGGTATTGCTCTCTCGATTAGCTTTCTCTAAATTTTCCCAAACGTTTTATGGGAATGCAAAATGCCTCAAAAAGCTGTGCAAACCTTTTTGCCCCCACCTTTGCCCAGATCATTTTTGTCATTTCGGCCTTCAAAGTTTGCATTTTTTGTGAGGCCAAATTTTCCTTTTTGCAAAAATTCTCTAGCCTTTGGAATGCAAAGAAAAGTGATGCCGTTTTTTGAGTGAACTGTGCTGATGGATTTCGATCTAAAAATTTGAGAAGAATTTGAGCCAAATAGGTTAAATGCTGATGTGCTTTGATGGTGTTGACCTTTGGAAGAACTCGGAAGAAGCAAAAGAAGAAAAATGAAAGAGAAGTTGAATTTTCGCCTGAAAATACAACCAAATAAGAAGCAAGTAACAGTTTTGTTTAAGAAAAATACATTTATTCACGTGAATAATGTGGTACAAACAATACACAAACACAATCCCCAACACTGTTTAGCAAAAGAACCAAAACTGCTGCTAGGCACGAAGAGGGGGATTGAGATGAACATTCTATTAGAGATAACTAACTGATCAGAAATGTATCCAGCTGCCACAATCATTCATTGCTCTGAAACCAGTATCATCAATTCACATTTCCACATCCACATGGTCCAGAATGTGACAATAACCGGATATGAGCAATGTTGTTACTGACTGGCCCACACATTCACTCACAGTCATCCATTTACAATTACGTCAATTTTATTTCTGAATAACCATTTTCGCTCAAAAATTCATCTTTGATTGCACAGCCTCGTCGATGGACATTTTGCAGTGAATGAAAAGAAGCGAACTTTTCGCTCCATCAAAAATGAGGAGTGATGGGGGTGGATTGAATTGAGGGTGGAGAAAAAATAAAAAAAAGAAACAGTTGAGTAAACCATAAAGAATATCGGGTATAAAATGTGGCCAGTTGAAAGGTCGATTCGCTTTTTTTCATCACTTCAATTCCCGATCGGCCAAAGAAAGGGAAAACGAGGATGATTCGTCCAATCGTGGCTCTCGTCGCCTTTGCTGCATTGGCGTTCGTTTTTTTGATAATATTACATACAATAAATGTTCTATTAATTTCTACAAACCATTCGAATTCAAAATTTTAGTTACTGCACCCAAGATTGCTCTGATCTTCAAGGAGCTGTCACAAAATGTATAACAGACGCTTTCCAACAGATCACCATTGAACAACAGAATCAACTCACTACTGGTTTGTTTTAAATTTGTTTCAAAACCAATAATCTTTTATAGATGATGTGGTCACCTCACAAAAGGCTGATCCCGATGCACAAGCTAAACAAGGCAAAGGAGATACATTGCAAAGAGCCACTGAACTTCTCGTTGCTCAATGTGGAGTTGAGGTGAGAGAAAACACTTACAATGGAAAAATAGAAAGATATGTAAAGCGTAGTTTTAACTTATCTAAAACATATGCAGCTTTATTCACTTTTAGGTAATCAATGAGATCGATACGGCTGGCATTGACACCGACGCAATCTTCGATCAGGTCACAGCTAATGCTGTTAATCCCGCTCGAGTGAAGAGATACGTTAGGTGCGTGAAACGAAAGAAATAAACATTCAGATGATCATTCATATCTGAGACTTTTTAATAATTAAATTGCAAATAAGTATTATGAATTGAAGTCCAGATGAAAAAGAAATAGCGATTTCAGCGGCCCAATGGGAGACGCTTCACAGTGTCGTGAGGATCAACCATGCTCGGGAAGGTGGGGTTTTGGATAGAAATCTATAATAATTAGATGTAACAAATATCTAATGCAAAACAAAAACACTTTAGTGAACCAATCCGAAGAATCACTGGTGACTGCAACAATCTGCAACGAGCCAAAGATGGAGCCTCGTTGATCCCATTCGCCAAACTTCAACCACCAGTTTACGATGATGGTAAATTCTCATTTAGTTTGCATTTAATTTGGATAATTTAATTTAAATTTGTTTGTTTATTCATTTTCATTGTTGTTATTTTGCATTATAATAACATTAGGGATTGGATCGATCCGTGTTCTCACAACCAACAAAGCCTCGAAACTTCCCTCAGCCAGAATTATCTCCAACAAACTCTTCCAACAGGTATGAAATCTTAGATTTGAATCTGTGTATATGATGTTTCTTTATTCACAAACATTTAGACCGACCCTTACCCAGTGGACACGAGTGGATACTCCCACTTGTTGATGCAATTTGGTCAAGTGATCGCTCATGATCTTGTTCTCACTCCATCTTCAACTGGTAGGGAATATTAGAAGCAACTTTAAAGACAAATACATATTAGAAAATATTCCAATTATTAGACGATAACTTTTCTATTTTGATCTTTTTTACATAAGATCTCTTTTTCTAGGAACTGGCGGTGCCGCTTTGGACTGCTCGATCTGTGATCCGACAATGTATGACAAGAACTGTGCTCCAGTCACCGTCCCAACTGGTAATACATCAATATTAAAATATAATATACGTTGACTGAAATCGTTTTCTTAAAAGTTAGCCAAGAATAGGTAAATTCAATGATTGACTACGGATATCTTCAGGTGATCCCTACTTCAAGACCTCTTGTTTCAAATTCACTCGTGCTCTCAACGCTCAGACCAAAGTCGGACCGAGAATTCAAATCAATCAGGTAAATTATTTGTTGTTATTCTTGAAAATTCTCTTTAGCAAACTCACTTTTTGGATCTTTCCGTTGTTTATGGAGCTAATTTGTGCGATCACAATAAACTGCGCTCGTTTGCCAAGGGACAATTGAAGACACAAAGCCCACAAGGATATAACATGATGCCCACTGATTCAGCTGTGAGTAGAAAAATATTTGCTGAAGAATGTTGTAGTTGAAGGATGGCAAATTCAGGACACAAACTGCCACTCGGGACCCGCTTATCCATGCACTCTTTCTGGAGATCTGCGAACATCCCTTCATCCTGGTCTCTATGCTCCACAAATGTTCCTCCTTGCTGAACACAATCGAGTAAGTTATGGACGTGTATTTGTTGCACAAATAAGCACAAAATTATTAGCTTAGAGTTATTTAATGTCGTTTATAGCAATGACACATGTATCAATTGTACTTTCAGATTGCCCAAGCAATTACCACAGCTCGTCCACAATGGCCTGATGAGAGAGTATTCCAGGTTTGCTGAAAGAAAATTCTCAACACGTTTGACCAACTTTTGATTTCAGGAAACTCGCCGTATTGTGATTGCTTTCTATCAACATTTTGTTTACACACATTATCTTCCAAAGATTCTTGGATCAACCCTCATGACCAAGGTAGACCGCTTGTTGGATTTGACTTTTAAAAACAAATAAAATTCGGTTTTCCCACCAAACAACAGAGTCAAAAACTAAAAACCTTATTTTAGTTCGGTTTGAACCCATTGAGCACAGGATTCTTCACAGGATATAACCCGAGTGTTGATCCGGCAATCATGTCTGAATTCGGTACAAATGCTTTCCGATTTGGACATTCTGAGGCCCGCAGTGTGAGTAGAATTCTTGGCTGTGGCTATCGTATCCTGCTTGATTTTTGGTTAATCATGAGTGTTAATTACAATATATCATAGATCTCTTTCAGGACTTTGCTCGTGTCGACAATAACAACAAGACAGTTGGCACACCGGTCATGTTGGGAGGTTAGTTTTTAGAGTTTTTAAAAAGATAATTCTTGATAACTGAAAGGGTTGATTGAAATATTCATTCTTTTTAGATAATATCTTCTATCAAGATCCAATTTACAACAAAACAGCTCAACAGTACGAATCACTCGGTCACGGATTGATGTACACACAAATGATGAAACAAGACAATCAATTCTCATTCGACATCCGAAATCGAGTTTTCGAAATCCGTGGCAAACCGGTAAGCATAAAGAAAATTTAAATTCTGCAGTTAAAAACTGAAAAGTGCTCAACTATAAATGTTTAAGACTATTGTGTTTTTAGGGATCAGGAATCGATCTTGCTGCCACAAACATTCAACGCGCTCGTGACTTCGGCGTTGGACCGTACAACAGATACCGTACATTGGCTGGACTCAAGAAAGCCGTCACAATGGATGACTTTGCTGATTCAATCCCAGCTGCTAAGGTTAAAAAAGAACTAACATGCCGTAATTATCGTCTTCAATTATTTGTAATGTGCTGATTCTTTTATTTTACTACTAATAGTTAGAAAGTTTTTTTTCCAGATTGCCATGTTGAAGACAGTTTACACGAGCCCGGATGATGTGGATCTTTATCCAGGAATGGTCATGGAGAATCCAGTTGCTGGAGCTGTTGTAGGTTTTTGAAAATTATTCTTTTTCATATTTGGAATATAAATTGTACCTATATAGATAAAAAATGGCAAGCGATACAAAGAAGTTTAGGTTGGACCGACCGCTGGTCACATCATTGGAACACAATTCAAAAATCTCAAAGTTGGCGATCGTTTCTTCTATGAGAATCAAGTGCCCAACAGTCGAGGATTGAATGCACGTGAGTAAAAAGATATTTTATACTTAGATATGAGAAAAGGTTTCACTTTAACACAAGTCTAATATAATGTCATTTCAGAGGAGATTGCCGCAGTTCGAGCCTTCGATTTCCGATACATTTACTGTGCTCACTCACCCTCCACCACACAAATCCCCAAGGATATCTTTGTCTACAAGTAAGATTTTTTTCAGAAACTATCCATTAGCATTTTCAGCATTATAATATTTGAAAGCTTATTAATGATAAAGTTTTCCTAACCATCAATTTCTAGTTCTCCACAAGGGCCATGCTCAAACTTGAAGCCGATCGACTTGACGCCATTCCTCCCACCAAATTAAGTAAACAAATCTTTCGTAACTCTTAATAAGTGATCAATAATGAAATGCATACTGTAATAAACGGTGCGATTTATTTTGAAAACACAATTCAAAAACTACATTTTGAGTAATGATGGATTTTCTGTCTGACTGTCCAGAAAGTCTTTTCGTTCTTTTTCGTACTACCGTTCAAAAATAACCAATTCACCAATTAACCTATGGTTTGCCCTAAATAAAAAGTGTTTAGTGTTCAATTTCCTATCTTCTTTTTAAGTTCACTTTCAAGCAAATTCGAGGGTGAAAACGTGTTTTTCGTAAAAATCTATAAAAACCTCTACGAAGAAGTTGGCTGAAACAATTTCTCTGAAAATTTGGCTCTATACCTAACTTCTTGTGCTCTATCTTTTATCCATTGACACCAAGATAGGTTTCCTCAGCTAAAGTGTCTAAATCGCATCCTCGAGACGTCGCCCTTTTTTACTACCCGACTTGACGCTCACAAAAAACCACACATAAGACATTTTAAACCCGTTTTAGTGTTATTTTGCTAAAAAAAATAATTGGCCTTTTTAATGAAACAAACCGTAGTTCAATTAGTGCATTTGTTGGTTTTAAATGGAAGTACGAGAAGGATGGCCTAATAATAGTCTCACGATACTCATCGTTTCAAACTCACCTTTTCAACCATCGAGTTATTGTTGGGTGGTCTTCTCACAAATTTAAACGAGAAACTTCCTGTAAACAACGTTGAATCATTCTGAGACGGCCTATGGATTACCTTCGGGTGGGATCGTTGTTCGAATCGGTATCTCGGTGCTCGTCTCCACCGATCCAACCATTCCCTACATACAACAGCTTATTCTTAAAATACTTTCTAATTTCACCTCCAAGTTCTTGTACTTAAGTTGAACTTGTGGGTGTGCTGATTTTTGGCTGGATTTTTTCTGTTTTCTGTCTGGTTGTCCATTAGTGTTAAGCGGAGCAGGAAGAGATGAGAGAAGTTTCTCAACGAGAGGCTCTAAGGCTAAAATGGACTGTATTAGTAAGAAAAAAGCCGGCCAATATGAATCTAACTTGGATGACTGAGCGATATGCTAAAGTTATACCGTAAGAAAAACTTTTGGCTTTTGAGATATCATCGTCGTTTGTTGACTTCACGTTCCCAAAAAAAATGCAGATATAAGACATTTTAAACCCGTTTTAATGTTTGGCAATTGGTGCATTTGTTGGCTTTAAACGGAAGTACAAAAAAAACGAGAAGACTTTCTGGACAACCTACTATTTGATACGTTGTATCGAATCGTTGTCCTAATCGATTTTTCTTCTGAAACGATTATAGTTGGGTTTGACCTTGAATTAAATGTGAAGGTTTTCGAAGCCTTTGTTTTCAAATAGGCTGCAGATTATCTAATTTCATTAGAAATCAGTTTTTCCGACTGCACCTGAAAATGATTGCAATGAGCTTATTACATTTGTATTAATTCACAAAAGCGTTTTTTTATTGAAGCAAGTCGACCCGTTTATGTTTGTTGACGGGGGGGGGGACATCAAGCAAAAATCCCTTTCACAAATTGTTTGCATGACTTGTCTCTTCTCTCTCGTTCTGTCTCCTCTTGCACTCACCTTCAATAAACCTCTTGTAAACATGAAAAATATTCGTACCGAACCATTGTTGCTTCATGTTTCATTTTGCAGTTAAACTACACTAAAAAGTGTGTTGGGCTAATAATTGAACAAGCCGCGATTGAACAAATCGGCAACAACTTGTGTTATTTAACTAGTCCTAGAATTTCATTAGAATCTTTTAAAAACTTTTGTTCCAAACTATTATTCTAATGAAACTAGTTAGCAATTCTTTTGGTGAAACCTTTTTTCTTAACATTCTATGGCTTCCCCTCTCCATCATTGATTTTTGACTCTGAACCATCTATGTGTGTTCTATTTATCACAAAAATATTCTTTTTTTGATTTCTTTTTTCCACGTCAATTTTTTCTGTTCTTTTTTCTTTTCAAAAAGTGAATTCGGTGAGCTCCCTCGTCTTGCACAAATTCCTTATCAAATCATCCCTTCCCCATTTTTTTTCAAATTTGGATTCCTTTGTTGAGGAAAGGATCAATCTTTTTGAAATCGTTAACAGTAATGATTACTTTTATTAATATTATATTTACTTTTACTTAAAAAACATATCTTTAAAAAATTTGAAAGGTTAAATATGAGCAGCCAACCATGGGACACTGAAAGCAATGTGGCCGAGTCGACGAGCATTCCGGAGAAGAAAATTGTAAGGAAATGTTTCATTTTAAACTCAACAAAGAAATCATGGAATTCAGATTGTTTACAGGAAACTAAGTAGTCACTAGTAGGCAATACAATTACAATTCAGGAGACAGATGAACGACGAGTCGGGCTCTCACGAGAAGAACTCGAGAAATACCGAAATGATCCATTTTGGCGTCAAGTGCGGTAAGTATTCCAGTTTTGGCTGTAATGACATATTTTTATATAACATTATTGGAAATATCTTATAAAGAATAAAATTTTCTTGCAGTTACTTCTTCTTTGGTCTCTATTGGGTGGCTTGGTTAGCGATGATTGGTGGGGCAGTTGCCATCGTAGCTACGTCCGGAAAAGTGAGTTGACAAAAAACATTGAGCGTTTCTCATGTTGAATTAAAAATGGAACCTTTAACACCAAATTTTTATGCCTGATCGAAAATAAATGTCTAACATTTGAAAGTCATTTCCAAAAGTGCAATCAACTTCAGATTGGATCCTCAACGACAGCCGCTCCACAGACAGTGCCCACCACTACCGCCACAAATGCTTCGTAGTAATCAAAGATACAAAATGTCCTTTATTGTATATTGAAAGAATACAACTTTATCTAAAGAAAAGAGCAGGCAAGATTGAGAAAAAGATTGAAGTGGCAAAGGGGTGAGAAGTTGTTGCCTCAGATTTCCACACATCACCACCTCCTGAGCCCTCAGCACGCGCTGGCTGAAGTTTGGGATTTTTGTTTAGTACTTCGATAGCTCTTTAAATCTTGATTGTAACTAACTAGTAAAATTACAAGGGCTATGTACAGGCCCGTCATATGTAAATTAACGTTTTTGAGAAGAATTCTCATGCAAACCCTCATTCCATTGCACTTGTCACTGTCACAAGTGTTACATGTTGTCCCATACGGAATACCGGCAATCGATTGACAGTCATAGTTTGTGCAACCCCGTCGGAATACTGTTATTAATTACTTGTTGTTTCTCAAAATATCTGATACTATTAAAGTTGAGGGACCCCACTTTTTTCCGAAATTTTCTGCTATCCTTAGGTTTTCAAGTACGCTGAGCACGAATATCACATTTTTAAGCTCGGTTTTCAATAAAAGGTCAATTTGACTTTTTGAGTTTCGAAAATTCTATCATTTTAAGGGTTTTTAGCGTTTTAAATGCAAATGTACAATTAATAATTTTAACAATAATTGTTTTTGTCGTAAAAGAGTTAGAGATTTTCTTCGAATTTTGGTCGCAGGTAGTCGGTCTATACCCATGCGAATAGATCAATTCAAGTTTGAAATTCTGATTTTGCCATCAAAATAACCCCTAATCCAACGGCCCTCTTTAGGGCCACAAAGATAGCTGACAAGTAACCCGTTAAAAGCCTTCATTTTAAACTATTATTTTGCAAATTTGCATTTAAGACGCTAAAGCCCTTAAAATGACACAACTTTCGAAATTCAAAAAGTCGGATTTTTTTATTGAAAACCGAGCTGAAAAATGTGATATTCGTGCGCAGCGTACTTGAAAACCTAAGAATAGCAGAAAATTTTGGAAAAAGTGGGGTTCCCCAACTTTAATAGTACCAAATATCTTTATTGATTATCGAATACCTTTATCTTCTTTGTCGACAAACCGATAACAGAATCGTGTATCTGGTGGACAAACGTCGATCACCCAACGATCCGGATTAGCACAAAGTTCGCCCTCACAAGTTTGACACAAAAGTGCAAACACATCGAAAATGGGACTTCAATCATATTGCTGTCTTTAAAAATAGGCATACCTGTCTGGATCAAGCTGGCAAAGAAAAGCACAGCGATAGTAATTTTGTACGAAGATCTAAGTAAGCACATTGTTGAGACTGGTACTTCGATCAATTTTGAATTGAAAAGCCCCTTATCAATGTAAGAGAGGCAGGAAATGTGGGCGGATGGAAAGATTCTAACTTGAGTCACCAACGATTGTTTGCAATTGTTTGTTCCGAAAGAATTTTCTTCCCACATTTGCTCTTTTTTGTCCCAAATGTCGAACATATCAAATTTATTTGGAAAAACAACAAATGAGATCAATGTAGGCAAAGTTGAAATACAGAAAAAATAATATGAGCAAGAAAAGATCACCAACAACACTAGCGACTAGAGATTTTTGTTGATACCAAAACCAGAACACTTAAAAATTATTGCACAACTAAAAAATTTTAGGTTAACAAGCCATACTGATTATTCGGACTTTGGGTGTGAAGGATCGACTGGAACTGATGCTGCACGTTCTTCACCTTCCAATTCTTCCATTTGTGTTCCACTAAGCTCGTTAGTTTCCTCCTCATCCGAGAATTCACTTTCTGGGTAAACATCTTCTCTAAAAAGTTATATATTAACAAAAATGAATAAACCAATATTTTTACCTATCTACGGCAAAATCGGCAGAACAGATCGAGTAAGTAATAATCGAAAGAAAAGCGATTGGAACACCAAATAAGCATGTTGAAAGCAATGGCTGCGTGACAAACATTTGATGAACATTTGTAAATACCTAAAAAGTTAAAGGTATTATGGGTTCAGAAACAAACTTCATAGCCAATTCGTTTCACTCTTTGAACTACGCCTCGCCCGCCAAGAGCAACTCCTCCTAAAATACTTCCGAACAATAACAAAATAATAATAATAAAGCTAACCTTCTGCTTTTAAATTTCGCAGCCATGTAACAATGGAAGGTGCTGTGATTTTCTCGATTTCATCACTGGTCAAATAGTACTCATACGATGTGTAATTAAACAACAAAATTCCTAAACAATTCTATCATAAAAAATCTACCATATATACCTGGGATTTCAACGTCGCCTAGTACGATATTATTAGCAATCTCATTTCCATCTAGCCAAGCAAATTGATAGCTCCTTCTGAGATCGGGATCAGTTCGGATTTGCTTTGCTGCTTCTTCACCCTCAAGTGCACTATAGAATTTCTACTATATTAATAAAGACCAACTTTTTTATACAAAATTGCAACAGGGGAGTTTGGTGTGGAGATATCCGCATTTGCCAGAACTAGCAATACAAGAAGTTTGTTGCTAGATGCCAGATCAGGAATCATTGATCCTTAAATCAGTTAGTAATAATGATAATATTTTAAAAATAAGAACCATAAAAACAATTTACCTGTAGCTTGCGGTAATAGCGGCCAACGTTCGGACAAAATCCAATCGTGAACATATTCTTAAAGTTATTTAAAATTAAGACCATAAAAATCTAGTAAACCCGGAGATTCAGTAAATGGAGTCGGGGGCGCGTCTTTGACGACAAAGATACGGAGACCGGGATAATCCTCTCGTAGTTCTGGCGGAATAATGGATCGTCGAATCTAAAAAAAGCGACTTGTATACAATTTTAAATGAAAAACACCTTGTAAAACCTCGTTTTACCAAATAAATTTTCGGCTGCTTTGTCAAAATCATCTCGAAGCCTTAACAAAGTTTCATCTGTCGTCTCATCATAGTCGATAAACACAAATGATGGATCATCCTTTGATTTCTCGCGAATCTGACATTTAATTTTTAAATTAACAAGTGAAAAATAAATAAATACCTCATTCAAGAACACCATGTCTTTAATATCTTGGACCAATGGTGATGACGCCTTAACCGCAAAATCGATCATTGCCTCCTTCTTACGATCACCATCATAATTTAAAATTTTACCGTTTCGGAAACTAAAAAACATTCAAATAATTTATTGAATTAGGCATTCTAATTAAAACTCACAACATTAAAGTCGGATATGCATGAACGCTCAACTCGGTACAAACGGATGGAAATCGAGTGCAATCCAATTTAGCAATACGAATCGGCGAATTCTTAAATTACAGTTTAATAACTCTACATTGAAAAACCAACCAATTCCGCGATTGCATGAGCAACGTGCTCCCAAACCGGAGCCAATCTTTTGCAATGGGCACACCACGGAGCAAACAACTAGAGACACCATATAATTTGCTTGGAAAGATACTGATACTGATAAAGATCAAAAATACTGATAAAGTCGCACCTTTACAAACCAAAATCCTTCATCTTTCACCTCAAGAAAGCCTAAAAAAATAGATTATATCTCCCTACATAAAACATACGCTCGTTGAGATCGATCACCGAAGATTGGATATTGGCGAGAGCGACACCCAAGAGTAGAGATAGGGTGATTAGCCGCATAATCTAAAAATATAAACTGTATACATCAGCGAGGTATGTAATTTTTATTACAAATACAGTGCTACGCAAAAATCTTGTCGCTTCGTCTTAGCAAAAAGTTTTGATCTAAATTTCGAATAAAAAACCCTTTTTCCAAAAAAGTTTTTGTCTTATTAGTTAGCCGTAATCATCTAGTTTTCGAAACATAAGTAAAAGTTTATCAAAAAAAATTTATTGTACTGTGCTTTTTGCTTTTGCCTAGGTGTAGGTAGGTAGGTATTTTGCAAAAGGGATACAAAACGAAAAGATACAGCATAACAACATTTTTTACACACACGCGCGCTCTTCAATACCCAATGATTTAGAGAGCGTGAGCGCCCACCCCAATTTCTCCCACAAAATACTGTAGACAAAGAGAAAGAAAGTGCCCAGTCCCACCGCGATTTTACTTCAAAATCACTTCTCTCAACCAAAGTCTGAATATTGAGCGCTCGTTTGGTTGTTGATCTTCTCGTTAGATTCAAACTTTCCAATAACTGTTCAACACACTTTTCTTGTTGTTGCGCCTTAGTTCTGTTTTCTTAGTCTTTGTCAAAGTTTATTAAAATTTTGTTTAGAACTCGGCAAACATGGGCATTTCCGACAATGACGTCCAAAAACAACTCCGTCATATGATGGCTTTCATCGAACAGGAAGCCACCGAAAAAGCTGAAGAAATTGATGCCAAGGCTGAAGAAGAATTTAACATTGAGAAGGTAAAATTTGAATGTTTGCTCTAGATTATTTTTAAATCAAATTTTTGGGCAATCTTAAAACGACTAATGGGATATTTTAAACAAATTTGCGGTTGATCCACACAATGCCCAACATCGCCCTAATTATGAATTGCTTGCCTTTTGACGTTTTAAATTTAGGGACGTCTTGTACAACAACAACGAACGAAGATCATGGAGTTCTACGAGAAAAAAGAAAAACAGGTTGAACTGCAGCGAAAAATTCAAAGTTCGAACTCACTCAATGCTGGACGTTTGATGTGTCTAAAGGTATAAGTTTGTAAAATTAATGGGATGATCTTTATGCTTTCTAGGCTCGAGAAGATCATTTGCACAATGTTTTGGAAGAAGCCAAGGCCAATCTCTCGAAGATCTCCGCTGATCAAGCCCGCTATCCATCGATCCTCAAGGGACTTATCATGCAGGTAACAGATTTAACTAATAACTAATATTTGATCTTCTATTCTTTTTAACGGCTGTATTTTTTTGCCATGATAAACTAGCTCTTTATCAAAGAATTCAGGCTTTCCTTCAAATGTTGGAAAACGAGGTAGTGCTCCGGTGCCGAAAGCAAGACGAGCACCTCGTTGATCAACTTTTACCTGAATGTCTTGATGCTTTGGAAAAGCAGTGGGGCAAACGATCAAAGGTTTGTTTTCAAGTCAAACTTTTTGTCTTATGAATTAATTTTTAGGTCTCACTTGATCGTTCTCATTACTTGCCCTCTGACTCAGCTGGTGGTGTTGAGGTCAGCGCGAAACAAGGAAAGATTAAAGTGTCTTCTACACTTGAGAGTCGTCTCGATCTTATTGCAAACCAGGTAAGACTTATAAAAAACAATGTTAGTATAGTTTCACCATCTTTTTTAATAAATAAAAATACGCTTTTAAATTTTCTAGTGCTATTGTTGATTATTTAGGAAATATATCTTTAAAAACGCTTGTGAGCAAAAACTTTGCTTTGTTGAGAAGAGCAACAATTGCATCAAGGAACCGATGCTAATCTTTGAAAATAAGAATTTTGGGCCAAATTATTTAAGATAATTTTTCCCCATCAATTTTTTTAGATTGTGCCTCAAATTCGTACAGCTCTTTTCGGGCCGAACCAAAACCGCAAATTCTTCGACTAAGGTGACTATATTTTTTTGCAAAATTATTTGTTAGTTTGCGCACCACTATTTTTCCAACAGTCCTACATTCCGAATTTTGTGATATATGTGAAAATTTATATAATGTTTTATCATAGTGTTAATATTTTTATCTCTGTGTTTCCATTTAGTTGTCCATAGATTTGATAAAGGAGTTTATTTTGTATTTTTCGATTGCAACCGAAAATTTTAGAGAAAGATGAGTGAAAAGACCTTGAAAAAATTTTTTGATACTCTTTGTGAGGGATAGAGAGAAAAGTCTCTCATTTTGTAGAGTGGTCAATCCTGGTACATTTTCCATAACTTCAAGCGATCGATGCTATGTAAAGTCAAACGAATTATCTTCTTGTTAAGCTTAATTTCAATTATCAATAGCACTAGGTATGTTTGATCGTTATCTAGTCGTTATCTTTTTCCGCGTAGTCGTGCTTTAGAACCGCTCAGCTGTTTCATGGAGTGCAACTCAAAGACTATATTCCCCCTGATAAACTAATAAATCGCGAAAGTAAATTTTCTTCAAAAATGGCTTCAAACTCGAAATCTTTCAACAACTACCAAGTGAGATTTGCCCGATTTTGCAAATGAATATCTTCTAACAAATGCCAGATTTCTTCATTGACGAGAATCGCCTTCCACTTGCACCACCATGAAATTGAGAAAACGTTCATGTTAGGTACTTCAACGAGTCTCATTGCGCTGGCTATGCTCATGTTTGTTTTTCTCAGAATAATGTTAGACGAATCAATTTAGCAAATAAATATTTATAAAGCCAGTAAATATACAAAATAACAAATTTAAAAACATAACGAAAGATAAAATTGTTACCCGATACAAGATAATAATTGTTTTCAAGGAGTTATCGAGGAAAGTGGCGGAAATGGCTGTTGTTTACTGAGCACAAGTATCTGGTGCGAGTGTGAAATGTAGCCTTTTATCTTTTTCTAAATTCTAATATTAAATTTACTTCTAATAAGGATCTACCTCAGAAACAAGTGTCGCAACAATACATTCAATCTCGTCTTCATCCACATCATCCAATTCTTGTAGTTGAACTGCTATCATAAAACCAGCCAACGGAATTCTTGATTCACCAACCATTAATGCTCTAAATAAGTTTAGCTTAGCTTGACCAGTAGTAATTTAAAACCCACACTTTCTTGAATAATGTACGAAAAGTGATTGCTCGTAGTTTTTCAAGAATCAAATATAAGCCACAGTTTATGAAAAAGTCCTCGTTGTTCCTTAGCGCACCATCCAATCGTGTTAAGTGCCCTTCTTTAACAGCTTCAACAACCTAAACATTATTTTAAAACTATTTGGCTGAAAAATTGATAAAAAGTAGCTATAAAAATATTTCACTGATTGAATGAGCATATTTTTTTAATGAAAATGAAAAAAATTTACCTCTACGAAAGAGTCAAGCTTGTATTTCCTTAAAAGTTCCGTTTTTGGCATATGACCGAGAAACATCTGGAAAAAGAATATGGTAAAAATGTGAATAGGGCGTTCTTGAACCTTAACTGGAATCAGGAACGTCAATATTAATCGTTTGTTGTGCCCCTGAGTAGTTGGGCAGTTGCGAAATGCATAGGTCAACGACTTTTCTGCTGAAAATAAAAAAATTTAAGATCCTGAAGTAAAAATAACCAAGAATCAGTTCTCCGTCAAACATCGCTTTTCTCCCCAAGTAATAATTGTACGTCACACGATCAGCCATTGAGAAATGCGCTTGTAAAGGACCGGCGTTATCAATGGCTCGGATCAGAGGCTTGAGTAAGTTGAGTTTATTAATCTTAAAATATTCATTTAAATACAAACGCATTAAAACAACCTTGAAGTAGATTCGAAATAGTTGATTTGTCATATTGAGCATGGATATTTTCTTTGTAATATTTGGATTTTTACTTCTAAACATAGGCAAATCTAAATCCAGAAAAAAACATACGCATCTGTAACGCAACTTCTGTAACACTCCATAATATATTTTGCACTTTCTTCGTAAAATGATGTTTCTTCCCCTTCGGTATCCTCCATGTCCGCGTTTTCGTCTGCCTAAGGCAACAACGAGTATAGAACTTTTCTAAAAACATACTAATTTAGCCAATTGAATCAGATCTCGTGATGTAGCGTAGAAAATCGGCATATACCAGTTTGATTCCTTCATTTTTTGCATCAACTCCGTATTTATGAGTTGAATTATCTAGAGAAAAAATTTATCAAATTAAAATAGCAGCTAACCTGTATTTGAGTTTTATAAGCATCCTCAAAGTTGTTTGCAGAAATGTAATACAGAACCTAAAAATTAGGTGTACGCTTACTATTGGCAAAAGGTACCTGAATGTGGAGGCAACAAATAGAGTCAAACGTTTCAAACGGAACAAACGCTCGGTCGACTCGAGATCCAAAATCGTGTACCTAAATGTTTTTGTAATTTGAGAACCAAAACACAGCAAACTTGCAAACATTTTGCTTGGCTATGCGGCCCATTAACCGATAGTAGTGGAGCAGCATATTCGGCGGCCGACCATGACTCTTCTTCGAATATTCTAAAAGAGAAAGATTATAAATTAAAGTTAAAATTTTACCTTGTCATTGTATCGATATAATCATCAGGCCTGCGCATCCGCTCTACTGAGATCATCCTGAAAGATTACAAATTATTGCTTCAGCTTAAAAAAATAACATGACTTTGAAGTTTAAGAAAAATTGTAACTTTATGAAAAAACCTTCAGACAATACATGCTAACTTGAAAAAATGCCAGTAGAATAACTTAATATCATAATTTATGAAGGTTTTTTCAATTAGACGGCAAACCATTTTGACTCAAAAAAAACTTTAATCGGGCACCATCCACTGTCATTTATTAAGCCATGTTTTGTTTTTTAAGCGCGCTTCTTTTTATTTGGGTTTGCCGCCATCCAAACCATCTCGCTCTTTTCTATTCCCGTTGTGTTGCATTTCACCTACCGTACTCAGCTAGCATCTTAAACTAGAAGATTTCTTTAAATGTCATTCACAGTTTTAAGAGTCGTTTATAATCATCAGAAATGACAGTTTTTCTTCTTTTTCTGCCATAAATAAGAAAAGTACCATTAATGTTAAAATTTTTAGACAACCTTTGAATCAATGGAGGAGTATACACGCGAGCCGTGCCCCTATCGCATTGGTGATGACATCGGTTCGGCTTTTGCAATGGGACTTGTTGGTGGATCAATCTTTCGTGCTTTTTCGGGCTTCAAGAACTCGGCAAATGGACAAAAAATGGTAAATTTTTGCTATTGAAAAAGATGTTGTTAGCTGCTAACGCAGCTAAAAACAGCTTTTTCAGCTGACAATTGGGACAGCGGAGGTAGTGCACTTAAAACCTTGAGTCGAGTGACTGACTCAGTTGGTAGAGTTGGCGATTGATTACTGACTAAAGTAATTATTTACTCTCGAATAGGTTGGAATGGTTCGTGAAGTTCGAATGAAGAGTCCATTGACGGGGGTTCAATTTGCTGCGTGGGGAGGCATGTTCAGTACCATCGATTGTTGTCTTGTCGCGATTAGAAAAAAGGTAATAATTATCGAATAGTTGCTTGATTGCTGATCTTTTTAGGAAGACCCTTTCAATTCAATAACTTCCGGTGCCCTCACTGGTGGACTATTGGCAATACGCTCAGGGCCTAGAGTAATGGCTGGGTCTGCACTTTTGGGAGGAATCATTTTAGGTAGCACAAACGATTTCATCATTGGCTTACAATAACCTTAAAAAGCTTAAAATAAGAGGTGAAGCAATTCTCTCGTTTTAGCAATGATCGAGGGCGTTGGATTAGTAACTGCACGTTGGATGGGCTCGATGATGGACCCAACATCACAACCGCCAGAAGCACTTGGTAAAAAAACTTTTGCACTATTTTATTTTTTTTGTTTAAGAAGATCCAAGAGCCCTTCCACCAGCAAAGTTGCCCTCAGAACCTGGCCTCTCACAAGCACCAAATGAAGCGGCTCCCTTTGGGCTGCCTGGCCTCAATATGAATACGGCGTAATATTGATCATCTAGATCATGGATTATCTAGTTTTAAAATTCATCATCATTTATTTGCTTAAAAATTATTTGTTGTCTCATCAAAGTTTCGATCCTCCAGTTCGCTAGTTGTTCTTAGAAACTTGGCATTACGATTCCATTAGCTTAGGATTTTTCAAATTTCTTTGAATGATTGATCTTTTGAATTGTTTTTAATTTCACCCTGTTGCTATTGTTCGAGTGTTATTAGATGATAAATAAAAAAAATGTCAGTTTATGTTTAATTTTTCGTTTATAACGATTTTTATTTTTACTCGATAAGACTGAAAACTTTTTGTCGTGCATCATGGTGGGGTTGTAGTAAGGTCGATGAGAAGAGTGGTTCTCCGGCTGGAAAAACGGCAACTACTCGGTATATTCACCAGAAACCTCTCGGTAGGTATCACTGTAAATAAACTTTTTCAACTTCTATTTTAAGAAAAACACATCTCGTACGAAGGAAACAAGCGAAACCCCCTCTGAAGAGAGCCAAGAAGATTATTTCCAGGTGACATTTAAACCTTACTGTTTACTAGAGCTAACCAGCACCTTCTCTTGTCACTGCAAAATGCTTTATTTAGGATCTCAACGCTCGAATCAACAAGTACAAGCACGAGCTCTCAAAAAACAAGTCGTTGGCCAGTTTCCGGTAATATTCATTCTTCAATTTATTCAAGTGCGAATTTTTAGTGCTCGAGAGCTCACCTCTCAAATTGCCAACATCTCTCAAAGTATAGCTTCCGTAAAGTCCAAACAGAGCCTCCTCTCTAGCCTCATGGATCCTAACTCTTTGTCAAATATACCATCGAGTGTTTCAATTGAGGTGTGTTTAGCTTATGATCCTGAATAGGAAATATTTAGATTTTAAGCAATGGAACAGCTCAAATGGCTCCCTCAATTTTTCTACGGACCCCTCTGAAAACATATTTATTCAATTGCCCAGAAGGTTTTCTTTTTCTGCGTAAAACTTTAAATTTTGTTTAGGTGCCGCTCGCTTTATTCCAAGCTTGCGATTAAAAGGCAACAATATTCAAGATATTTTTGTAACAAGGGGTATGCTAAATAAATCTTGTCAATATCGATAAATTTTAGGTGTTTGGGATAACATTGGAGGCATCTCTGGAATTTTGTTGGGAAAGGATCCATCGACGCCAATTACACGATTGCACGGTGCAATGAGCGTCAAGAATTTTCTCGAATGCATCCGTCCATTTCAAGACGCTGATTTCGGTTCAGCAAAATATCCGAGTCAGGTATGGCTGTAATTAACTTCAACGATACAATCCCTATGTCTAGGTGGAAGAATGTCCTTTCTCTCAAGGAGTCTATGAGGATCCTGCGATGAAGGTCACCTATATTCCGCTAAGCGCACCTCTTTCTGCAAGTGTTGGCAACAGGAAGGTACTCTTAAACTAGATTATTGTTTGCAAAACTTGATTTTAGGGTTCATCCTTGGATATGGCCTATCTTATTCAACTTACTAAACCCACGAGGCGCATCGATGTCAATAAAATTTTGAAGTTAAAGGTAATTTTTATTGTTCTCGCTGAAAGTTATGTGTAAAAATTTTGGAGCATATCATGTTGAGAGGGGGAGGGCTTTTTTTTCTTTCGTGAACACTTTTTCTGGACCAGTTTTTGTGTTTTGTTTTATGGACAAGTCCAATATCGGCTAATTTTTCTACGGACCCCTCTGAAAACATCGGCTAATCGAGAGTTGAAATCCTCGTCCGATAAGGACAGTAGCTCGTAAGCTTCCCGAGGTTTGCATTTTGAAATCGAGCGCGTGATGCAAGTCTTCCAATCTGTTGACTCATGTTGATCCGGCTACTTCCAACTCTGTTTTTTCAGCGGCTGATTCTCGAGGGGTTTAAATGCTTTGAAATGGGTGGATCTATTCCACTTTTTAAAAATGCCACAAAAATTTTAAAGGGGTTTTTCTCTCGACATTTTCATTAAAGTTCATTTCCGATCACAAAAATGCTTGTGAAATGCTAATTTCGACCAAAAAACCCGATTTTTGGAAGTTTTAAAAGCACGTAAAAAAAACAGGCTTAAAATGAAGTTTCTCAAATTTCCGTTGTGATATTTGTAATCAGCATAAAAAACTGGTCCAGAAAACGTGTTTTCGAAAGAAAAAAGTCCCCCCCCCCAACATGACATGACATGATGACAAATTTTAAGGTGCCTAAAGGGCCGTTAATTGGACAGTTAAAAGCTGGAAACTCGATAACGCTTAGCGACGGGTCTGTGATTACTCCAGATGATGTTTATATGGATGAAGACCCAAACGGTTTGTAATTTCTGATACACTGCAACTCTTCCCAAGTTTATTGTTTAGGAACAGAAATGCCTGTACTACTGGTAGCTGAATGTTTTGACCAGCATTGTCTGGATTCTCTTGCTTCTAGTTCAGTTCTACAAGTTGGTTTAATACCTTAGTTTATTCACCACGTAACACGCAATGATTTCAATTTTAGCCATTTCTCAATGGGACTCAAACTTTGAATTATATGGTTCATCTCTCCAAATCGGACATCTTGAGACTGCCAAAATACGAAAACTTTCTAAGTGGGCTGGGATCAGAGTAAGCTATTGCTTAAAAGTTGTCGCGTAAAATGAAGTTAAGTTGTCAGCATATTATCGTGAACGGAGACGGCCCGTGCATCCCTCATTCAGAAGGAATCTATCGTCAGCAAAGGCGTCTGCATCAACTTTCTGGAATTCTCTACCCCGATCTTTTTCCCAAATGGACCGGAATAGTGACACAAGTACTTAATTTATTTAACCAGGCAAACAGTTTTTAGAACTCTAAATTGGCACGAATCGATAAATCATTTGTTTATGCTGCCCCTTTACAACGATTTTACATGCGCACCGGTGGAGGAGAAGAGCCGATAACTCTTGGTTCCTTATAATTAGAGTTTATGTAAATACTGCTGAATCAGATTTACGCGAAGAATTACTCGAGGACGAGAGAAGTAAAGACTGCCAGAATACCACGGAGGAAAAAGATATATTTAAAAAGAAGTGCTTTGAGCTTGTAGAAAGTAGGTTTTTAATAAGAGTTATTTATTTGTGACTATTATGGTTGAAAGTTTAGTGTCTGAAAAGGTGTTAACTGAAGAGCCCGTCGAATTTCCGTGTGTTTCATTTTTGGGGACATCGTCAGCAACTCCAAGTAAATACAGGTTGGTAACTGTTGGATTCCAATTAAGGTTAGTTTAGAAATGTTACTGGCTATCTGGTAGAGACAAGCCCATCTTCTTCATTTCTCGTTGATGTTGGAGAAGCTACTCTGGGCCAATTACGAGTACTTTATGGTGATCAAAGATGTCTAGAGGCAATAGTTTTTTGTTTAGTCATAAAACTTTTATTTTGAGATTCTGGTTGGTTTAAATGCTGTTTTTATCACACATGCTCATCAGGACCACATTGGTGGTATCTTTTCCATTATTGAAAAGCGACGAGAGGCTTTCACAAAGCTTGGTATCTTTAATTGCTTATAATTTTATAAACCCAATTAACAGGCATCCCTTTTAAAAAAATGGCATTGATATGCAATAGAAATGTCACCAAGCCACTCAAAACCTATACACAAAGCTTTTCAAGCATTGAGGATCTTTATGTTGAAGTCAATCTATCAACAGTTGTTTCAACTTCCCACGAGAGGTGTAGTTTTTGATCCTTTTAAAAAACTCAAGCTTTTAGGAACATACCACTTTCTCCAGTTCAAGAAATTACACCACTTTTGCCGCATGACTTATACAACGCATCGCTTTGGGGAATTGAACATGTTCGCGCAGTCCAAGTTCACCACACTCGAATGGCAAATGGATTTGTTTTTCTATGTAAGGGCAAGAAGCTAGTCTTTAGGTGGGTATTTTTTCTTTTACAATTCTGTTATATCCCCACAAATTGGGAAACCTAGTGATTCAGGTCGAGGATAAACTGTTTTATCTAGATTATCTGTGTGCTTTTGATTACAAAGTCTAAAATGACTTACTATGACTTAAATAAAGTTCAGTTTTAATTTGCTTTTACTTTTAAATTGAGTCAAAACTGATAATGAGATATCATGTGGGATATGACAGAAAAGTTCCATTTTTTTGTATGAAACCTTAGTTATTTAGTGGCGATACAAAACCATGTGACCTGTTAGTTAAAGAAGGTGATGAAGCGGATTTATTGATACATGAATGCACATTTGAAGATGGATTTGAGGTATTTATAAGGATTCTTTAAAGAGTGAAAACAATAAAAAGATCTTTAGAAAGATGCAGAACGAAAGAAACACTCAACAATGGGTCAAGCTGTTGATATTGCGATGCGCATGAAAGCAAAATCTACAATCCTTACGCATTTTTCGGCTCGATATACAAAGGTTGAGTTTCTAGAAATTTTGTAGATTTTGTTACTAGGTTCCACCCCTGCCAGACTATTTGGATGAAAAAGGAAACATTGGCGTGGCAATGGATAATCTAAGAGCACGATGTGATCATTGGCAATTGATTCCTCGGCTAATTCCCCTGTTTCGGTAACTTCGTTGCAGATTATTTTATATTTTGATTTTCAGGCACATGTTTAAAGAAGAGCTATTTGAATTGGGTCTAAGAAAAGATCAACGTGATCTACGCCAACAAGTGGTTTGTAGTAAAGTTTTCAATTTCACGCATAAACTAGGTAGTTTAGATCGATTTCAAAAACAGCGAGAGTGTTGTCAATGTTCAGAAGACAGTGGTCGGGAAGGTTTGGATCCATCGAAATTTTGAATAATGACTCATTTAGAGAGCTGCTCCTTCAAATCTTAGCAAAAATTCGAAGAAAAATCGTACTCCTAATTCTTGATCTTTCCGTTTTCTAGTCATACTGCTTTTTGAATTTTAGTTGTGATTTTTATTGTTGAATAGTTGAAAAAGTATTGTTAAGGCCTTTTGTTGTTTAAGAAATAAATATTTGTTAAAGGGACAAGTAACTATCGAATGTTTGGTTTATAGCCGTATTTGCTCAAACTTTTAGCAATTTTTCGGTGAAATTAAGTTTGGTCAGTCTCATCTCCTGTTTGTTTAGAATGAGCTCTATCGGGACCGGATATGATCTTGCTGCGTCAACTTTTTCGCCAGATGGGCGTATATTTCAGGTAAGCGTTTTTTTAGTGCTTTACTGGGTTAGGCGTAAACTGTCATATGCTTTTTTAGATTGAGTATGCTCAAAAGGCTGTCGATAACAGTGAGACGATGATTGCTCTGCGCGGAAAAAATGGAGTTGTTTGTGCTGTTGAAAAGGTGAGAAAGTCTTTCCATTAAAAAAATAATGTTTTAGGCGATCCCATCAAAGCTGTATCAAGAGAATTCAAAGCCGCGTATGATGACTGCTGCTGAGCATTTGGGACTTGGATTGGCAGGAGTGTATCCTGATTGCCGAGCCATTAGGTTGCGATTTTTTTAATTGATTCGACGCCGAATTTTAGAGACTATGCTGTGGAAGAGGGACTCAAGTATCTTCGAGATTATCGGTGCCCAATTCCCGATAAAAAACTGGCTGCAACTCTTGCGGAGTACGTTTCATCTTCATAAAAAAAAATTTTTAGGCATGTTAAAATTTTTTTTTTAGATATGTTCATATGTTCACACTGGGCATTAGCCGTCCTTTTGGTTGTTCGGTTTTTGTTAATTCTTGGGATAAGAAGGATGGAGGCAAGATTTTCTTGATTGAACCAAGTGGTTTATCATACGAATACCGAGCGTGGGCTGTTGGGAAAAATCGTCAGGTTTTCACCATACTTATTCTGATGATCTGTTCGATTTTTAGGCTGCAAAGGCGGAAATCGAGAAGTTGAAGTTGGATGAACTGGAAATGGACCAGCTTGTTAAGGAAGCGGTGCGGATCATCATGGCCATTCGTGATGAAGGAAAAGACAAGGTATTCTTATAACAAAGCTCGAAAATGTCTATTTTATTTAGAATGTCACAATCGAAATGAGCTGGGTCGGAGAGAATACTAAAGGAAATGCCGAGCTTGTTCCAAACGCCACGGTTTGTCGAGTATTAGTGTTTGAAAATTGATTATGATTAGATTGATGCGGCTGAAGAATGGGCTCGCCGGGCCCTTGACGAGGACGATCTCGATGACTAAACACTGTTCTAAATGTCTTAATTTATGATATTTATTGTTTTTTATCCAATGTGCACTGGTATTTTCATTTCAATTCCCTTTTGCACTACAAGCCGGTCTTCAAACACTCAACCTGGTTATTGCGGTTATGTTAAAATATTTTTTAATTTACGCGAGAAATTTAAATGTGAATAAATTTTGATAAATTTGCTAAATTTTGAGATGTGTTTGAGGGATGTCTGCCTGCACAATAATTTCTAAATCATGCAATTGCTTATTTTCCTATTCTCTAGTTTAGATGGATGTTGGTGAGGCAGCCGCATCGGCAACATCTACGCTAAAGGCCGATGTTAGGTAAAACCTAGGATTTTGATCCACTATGTTAACCAAAATATATATATAATTACGATTAGAATGGTGTTGGTTGGAGAAGAAAAAGTCGGTAAGACCTCATTACTCATGGCTCTTTTGGAAGACGAGTTTGTCGATCATGTACCCTCAAAGTTTGTTTGAAGTTTTGCTTTCTTACCATATTTTGTAGGTTGGACCCGGTGCTTATTCCGGCCGACGTTACTCCAGAAAACGTGGTTACTTCGATCGTAGATACTTGCTCTGTGTCTGAAGATGAAACTTCCATTAGTAATGAACTTTCTGCTGCCAATGTTATTTGTCTTATTTACGATGTAAAGGTGGAATCAACTGTTTCAAAGGTAAATATTTGAGAAAGTTTTTATCTGGTTTTTAAAGGTTACAACCTACTGGCTCCCACTAATCAGAAAGGTTTTGGGCGAAGAACATGCAACACCAATTATCTTAGTTGGAAACAAATCTGATGGACCGAATAATCATACACAACAGGTAAAAATTTTAATTTTTTATACTTGACTTTGATGTTGACTGATTATGTTTATAGGTTTTACCTATAATGGAGCAATGGGGTGAAGTGGAAACTTGCGTGGAGTGCAGTGCTCGTACGATGAAAAATGTTTCGGAGATTTTCTACTATGCTCAGGTATTTGACTTGTTCCACTTTTTTTACTTTATTTTTTCAGAAAGCGGTTGTATACCCCACAAGGCCCCTTTATGATGTTGACGAAAAGCGGTTGACCGAACGAGCTCGTAAAGCGTTGATCCGAGTTTTCAAAGTAAGTGTCCACTAATATTTAGTCGGCCAAGCTCAAAGTTTGCAATAGTAGGTTGGTGCCTAAATCTTTGCAGTCTATTTCATAATTCCGTTTAAAAATAACAAATGCACGAATTTACGGTTTGTTCCATTAGAAAATTCGATTATTTTTCTACGAAAAAACATTGAAATGGGTTTAAAAATGTCTCATGCTTGGATTTATTCGGGTGCATGAAGTCGGGTGGGTAGTTAAAAAGGCGACGACTCGATGATGCGACCAGGCCCTTTGACTAAGAAAACCTATGTTAAGGTCAAAGAAGCGAAAGAGCACAGAAAGTTAGGTTTATAGCCACCTTCTCGGAACGATCTGTCCAGCCAATATCTTTATGGAACTTTCTATCGAGTTTTGCGCGAAAAACGAGTTTTTGCACTCAAATTGGCTTAAAAAATAGAAAAATGAACACTAAACATATGTCAGTTGGTGGATTTGTTATTTTTAAACAGAAGTATGAAAAAGACCGCAAAAACATGCACAAACTTAATAGTATAACGTAATGTTTAGGTATGGAACCAGATAAACGGTTAGTTTAGATATGCGATCGAGACAATGACGGACTACTTAATGATTTGGAGCTGAACGCTTTTCAAAGATTATGTTTCGGAATTCCCCTGACGCCTTCGGCTATTGAGGATGTTAAACGAGCGGTTGCTGATGGCTGTCCTGATGGAGTTGTTGATGATTCTCTAGCGTTGGCAGGTAAAAATTATCCCGTTGACTGTCTAATTATTGATTTTAGGATTTCTTTATCTCCATTTGCTATTCATTGAAAGGGGGAGACACGAAACAACTTGGACAGTTCTTCGAAAATTTGGTTATTCGGAAAACCTCCGACTGTCTGACGACTATCTTTATCCAAGGATTATGGCAGGCAAAAAACAAACTTTTGGTAAGATTACATTTAGGTACCAATGGGTTGTTCAACCGAACTCTCACCGGAAGGAGTGCAGTTTGTGTCCGGCCTCTTTGAGAAGTATGACGAGGTCAGAGTTTTTTAGTATAAAGGTAAAATTAATATTTCAGAATAAAGATGGATGTCTTGATCCTGCCGAGTTAACAAGTTTGTTTTCTGCGTGCCCTGCCAACGCTTTTTCAAGAGAGGTGCTTTCAATCTATAGATCCTTAATGCTTACGTTTTAGATACTCGCTGCAGTAGAAACGAATGTACGAGGATGGCTTACATATAGTGGATATATGGCTTACTGGCAGTATGTTTTTTTGTTTTTCTTTAGTCTGGTAATTACATAGTATGACGACGTTGACTAACTTATCGCAATCATTGGAACAACTCGCTTATTTGGGCTTTGCTGTTGGACGTGGTGGTACCGGTAGGTTTTGGATCATATTTTAAATTTAAAAGCGTATCTAGGAAAGTCAATAGGATCCACTCGCGATGCTATACGAATCACAAGAGAACGACGCGTTGATCTCATGGAAAGATCTACTGATCGGAAAGTGTTTCAATGTCTTGTTGTTGGCGCGAAAGATGCTGGCAAGGTTAAAAAATTTTAGTTACTTTTTGGATATGCAATTTAGACTGTTTTTATGCAATCAATGGTAGGGCGGGGCTTAACTGAGGTTGCTGCTATTGGTCGACGCCATTCACCTTATGTTATCAACCGTGTAAAAGTAAAAGATCAGGACAAATATCTTTTGCTAAGAGAAGTAGGTTTTCTTAATGTTGAATAAAGGCTGGCTGTGGCCCAAATGAATCCGTTCTCTTAGGTTGATGTCCTAGCACCATCGGATGTCCTCTCTGGGACGGAAAGCAACGGAGATGTGGTTGCTTTTCTTTACGATATTTCAAATCCGGATTCTTTTGCGTTTTGTGCCACACTATACCTCAAATATTTTTACAGGTAAAATTTTGTTACTCTCCTGCTCATGAAGTTTTTCATTTTAGAACTAAAACTCCGTGTGTAATGGTTGCCACAAAGGTTGAACGCGAAGAAGGTAAAGTGATTAAATATTTCATCAACATAGTTTTGGATTTTATTTTATAAATTTAGTGGAGCAGCGCTATGAAACCCAGCCGGAAGAATTTTGTCGGTTCGTTTGTTCTATGTTTATCTTGTTTGTCGTGGCCACTGGTTTACTAATATATAAATTTCAGGCAACACGAACTTCCACGACCAATTCGCTTTGCTAGGAGTCAGGTATTTGAGGTTGAGACTTATATCATATAACATTGTTTCAGATTGGTCAACCGTCGGGATCTGTCTTCGAACAACTTGCAACGATGGCCTGTTATCCTCATTTGCGACGCGTCTATTTCCTTCATGACTCAAATCTTTTGTCTCGAATCACATTTGGTGCTGCTTTGGCTGCCCTGGCCGGATTTTTGGTTTACAAAAATCTTTAAATCTATTTTAGAGGTTTGTAAATTGATGACTAGGTTTTGCTCTGCCACGTTAGCTCAAAGGTTTTTAGAATTTTGAATTATTTAATGACTTTTCTACTTGTATATAAATTTGTATCAAAATACGGTTTCATTTTGTATTTTTGTTTGTTTACATGGTTAAGGAATAAAGTTTGATCTCAATTGATACTTCAAAAAGGCTAATGCGCTTTACGTTTTTTTAAAATTTTCTTTCAATGTTTTGATAGACATGGCCTTTAGAAACAAATGAGTAACAAAGAATTGGAAGAGGAAGATTCTTCAAAAAATGAAGATTTCGATGACGTTAGTGGTAGGCAAAATCTTTGAGTTTTTGAATTGAAACATTTTTTAAGAAAGTGTCTCTGAACAGCTAGAGCCTGAGACAAAAAGGAGTCGTAATTTGCAAAAAGAAACTGAGACGATTCCCGAAGGAATGTCGAAACGTCAATTCAAGAAGTTGCAGAAAAGTGACCGGTATGTTGAAATTTTAAGTTGATAAATTTTACTATTAGATGGCAAGAGAAACGAAAAGTGAAACGCGCTGAAGAGAAGGCAAAGCGAAAAGAGCGTCGTGCACAACTTAAAGCAGATGGAAAAGGACAAGAATTGGCAGGGAGGAGATTTCATAGAAAGATGAAAGATAGCCAATGCAAGTTGAGGTAAAAATTATATTCTGATTGCAAATTTTTATATTCTAGAGTTGCCGTTGATATGCAGTTTGATCATTTAATGACTGCCCGTGACCAAAAAAGAACTGTCATTCAGTTGTCTTGGTTTGGATCCTTTAATAATAAGGATACGTATGTCTCTTTTTTAGGTGTTATTCGGTTAATCGGCGAGCTGAAAATCCACTACAATATCATATTGTTTCTCAAAATGGCAAAAGCAGACAAGTTGTTTCATTGTAATAAGAATATAATGTGTTTTTTTAGTATTTCGATAAGACATATGAGAATTGGGATGCCCATAGACATTTGGAGCCGTTGGAAAAAGTATTTGATCCAGAGGAAATTGTCTACCTAACTGCAGACTCTGAAAATGTAAATCAGTTCTTGCTTTCCCGATATCCTTCGATTATACCCCGCCACGCCTTCATTTCGGTTATACTTATCCAAAATGGAGATTACGAGTATACATTGCAGTTATAATTAACTAACTTAAAACACAGTATACTATGATAAAATAAATCGTTGAAAATGGGGGAGGGAACCTCCGTACCCCAAATTTTGGCGGCGGGGTATAACCGAAAAGTACCGCATTCGCCAAGACGTTGTTCTTCAGGTTATAGAGAAATTGGATGACACCAAAGTGTATGTTATCGGTGGAATTATTGATCATAACAGTCAAAAGGTTGGTCCCTTTTTCTCGGTTATTTGCAAACAGGAAAAATTCCAGTTTTTATGTTACAATTTGGCTAAAGATCATGGATTTGCACATGCGCGTTTGCCTATCGGAGAACATATCAAAATGGATTCTCGCAAGGTTGGAATTCGTGTATTTGACCAACTACTTTTTATTCATAATATTTAGGTTCTCACTATCAATCACGTTTTTGAGATTTTACTGAGAGTCTCTGAAGGTAACACTTGGCCCGATGCATTGATGAAAGTTCTACCTCAGCGAAAAAGCGCTGCCAAGGTTTGCTTTATTCAAAAAGAATCAAAAAGAATTCAAATTTGTTTCCAGAAAGAAACCGACGATTCCACATCACTACCAGAGCCAGACGATGATAAAATTAAAGAAGAATTAGATGAATGATCTTTGTTAATTTTTTCGTGCAACATTGTTGACTTTTATTGTTAGTTTTCTTATTGCTATATAAATTGAGATTCATAACGGAAGGTGATGATAATGGTGGAGAGTAGAGAGGTCAAAGAGGTGGGGCGCATTTGCTCTGCCAGGGGCATTCGCTGAGGGTAAGGGGATTTGGAGGAACATTCTCCCAAAGCCTTCTGTCGGCTCCGCTCAATGTGGGGCAGTGGGAGAGAGTGAGTGCGCCGCATCGGATTTCACACCTTCCCGTCGTCATCTCTTGCCCACAACCACAACAGAGACACGTCCAAACTCGCATTTATAAGCCTCCAAGGGTTTCATGCCCTTTCTAGTCTAGAAGTAGCTTCCAATTTTTGTATTTTAATAAATTCTATTTGCTTGATGGCGGAAAATTATGAGGTCCGAGATCTGTGATGGGAGATGTGAACCGCGGATGGGGGTCTCTTGCCACCATCGCTCACTAATCCAATTGCGCTCCAAGCGGCTCTCCCTTCCATCTCGGCTTCTCGAGAAAGGCTCACTGCATCTTTTCACAAAGCAATCTCGCACTATCGAGAGATAGAAAAACTGCCTCTTTAAGTTGGTTTTGGCCTGTGGATTTTTCGGTTCAAAGCAGCTGTTTTTCATACTGGCTGTACCTGAAGTAAAAACAACGGTGATATTAAAACATAAAAGCATAACGTCAACACTTTTATACGATTTAAGAAAGTTCCTCGATAGTAGAGACAGGAATGGAGAATACGCGGATCTCCCTTCAGTTCCTTTTCATCGGTGCTCCCCTTTGTTCATAGCTGGGTCTCTTTAATTGGCGGTTTTCTTCTCTTTTCCCTTTTTCTTCTATTTTCTCTTCTTTGAATTATTTAGTTCTTCTGCATTTCCCCCATTTCCTCCATTTTCCACATTACTCCTCTTTTCTCAGTGCCCTTCTCTTTTTTGTTACTTTTTAGTAGTCGGTGGGATTTTTTTTGTGATCGTCAATGAATTTCGTATTCAAAACGGAGATCTCTTACTAAACGGAAAAATGGAGATCTTTTACTAGAGATGCATTTCATTTGTGGGAGCAACTAAAAACACTTTAATGAGAAACTGAGATTTTTGGGTCATATCCTGTTATATGATCCTGAAAAATGATTCAGGTCAAAATGACTGCTGTAGCTGCTTTATCAGCTTCGCTGGCCACCCGCTAAAACATTATTTCAGAACTTTATGATCTATATGATCTAAAGTGACTTTACTAGGGCCTAAACAAAGTTCAGATCTACAACCGAATGCCCTCCTCCGCTCCCCCCTTGTATGGTATTTCTTTGGGCTTAAAAAAACAAGTTCATGTCTACAATTGTACACATGAACACAAGCAAATCGAGCGTTTTTTTCTTTTCCCGAATTCTCGATGACTTAGCATTAGCTAAAAGCACCCTAACACCATGAACACCCATCGTTGAAATGTGTTTTCAATCAATGGCCGCTTTCCCCAAAAACTACTTGGTGCTCATGCGCTCATAAAAATCCGAATTGAAGTCGCCGAAAAGCTCCGCTTAATTTTTGCGTGATTGGCCGACAATTGTTGAGAGATTGAAATGAAAATATTTCTAGTGTTAAATGTGTATACTCTAAATTGAGGATAAAATTGCCAACATTGTGCTAGGTTTAAGAACAAATTTGACATCCACAAAAATTTCTAGTTAAGCTAACTTCGGGTATTTAACCGTTTCGATTTCAACTTGGTTTGCTGTTTGTAGATTTCGATAGAAACTACTAGACCACTTCAACGGCAATTTTTTCAGGATTTCTTGCTACAAGAAAAGAAGGTAGAATTTTCCAAGTTTTGCTTTTTGGTCTAAAACCCCCTGAAAAAGTTCCCGGTCAAAAAAAGTGGTTAAATCTTGTTTTCCTTCGTACATCTATTGCTAATCAGGTCTAAAATGAACAGGTCTAAAAACTAACTATTAGCTAAATTTTTTGGTACTTCTAAACCCTCATTTCCGGACCGGTCCGAAACTAATCTGTCCTGATCACGATACCACGATCTTCCACATTCACTCTTTTGCCTGAGCGTCTAGGTGATCAAGGTGGAAATGTTTCCTCAACACGCACACACAACAAGTGTTTGGTAGATTGTATCTCTTTTTGTATTCGAGCCAAGTGTCTTTTTCTTTATCTCTTTTCCCAGCTTTTGAACCTCCCCTCGGGCTCCTCCTGGGCGCCATTAGGTGGCGTGTTGATTACACAGCTCTTCTCCCCATACTCGCCTCTCGATATCTTGATCCTCCCGGGGTGTGGACTGGACTGGGAGGGGCTTTTCGATGGGAAGGGGATCTTTTCTGTCCTGTGAAGGAGCCGCTTGAAATGAAGGGGATCTCCTCTACTCGTCGTCTCCTTTTTCTCTCATTTGTGCCCCTCACCCAATCTTGCGTCTCCGACTCCCCTGGCCCTGTTCCTGCCTCTGCCCCCCCGCCACCCATTTGATTCGCCTCACCTTTTTTGGCTTTTATCCGTCCCTCGTCGGATTTCGCCCCTCTCTCCCCTTCATTTCCCTCCATTTTTTGCCTTCTCCTTTTCTTTTACCGCTTCTCCCCGAGATTCTAGCTACCACCCCAAAAATATCACCCGCTACTCTCTTTTCACCAATTATTGAGTTGAGAGCCTCTGTTTTTAGAGTGGTAAATTATGACTTCCTCAATTTGGATAGAAACCTTCTGTTTTGTTTCGATTAGACTACAGTTTGGTAGAAAAAGTATATGCAAATTTCTTTTTTTGCCAGAAACCCAAATGTGAGAGCTCTTGAAGCCTTACAGATTTTTAGAGCAAAATTTTCTTTTCCACGGATTGCTTTTTGTGACAAGATACTGTGAGGTAAATTTTTTAAAGCTTAATTCATTAACCTCACTGTAAACGATTGCTTTTAAGAACAAAAAAATAAGTTGGATTGGACTTCGGATCACAATTGGGTTTGCAACCAAAACTACATTGATTACAAAAGTCAAAAAAAGGAGCGACAATGCAACAATTCATCTAGTGGAGAGGGGCGGTCAAGTGTGGTGGTGAAATGGGAATGGTTAGGAGATGGAGATGGGGTTGACTGGGGTGACTGGAAGAAGCTCGTATCCTTTCGTTTTCTCTGTGTGTGCTCTGTTGGAATGGGAGAAGGGGAGGGGCTCTTCCGCCCCATTAGGAGCCGCGGTCTGATGCGACTTGTCAACAGGGTCCCCCCTTGGATCCCTCTGCACCCCATCCCCCATCCAACAGGGCCCATTCCCCATCAAAGACCCAGGCCAAAAAAGGAAGAGACTCACTCCTGATCGGCCACAGCCCCTCACTCAATAAATACATTTTTTCCTCCTTCTCTATATCTCTATGTTTTGTGTATCACTTATCTCCTCTCTGCTCTTCACTCCTTTTTGAAAAGTCATTAATAAATTGGAGGATGACGTTTTTTTCGCGCCTTTCCTTCCCCTCTTTTTTTTGAGAAATACGCTAAACGTGGTTCTGAGTTTTTAGCCTCAAATTTCTCACACCGCCAACATTTTCCTTCTTTCGATGAGTAAATTTTTCGGGGATGCACACACTTTTCTTTGCTTTCTAGAGCATTGCTAAAACATTACATTTGTTGTGTTGTTGCATAAATATAGTAACGTAAGTATAAGAGGCTTTATTTAGCAGTAAGTTGCGTTATCCAAATTTGTATAAAAAAAAGAAGCTCCTCTGCCTCACCATAATCTTGCGGTTGAAATATCGATTTTGTTAGAGGCTTGCTTACTATTTATTGCCGCCAAATGCTTTATTTTTAACTATATATGTATATACCTTTCAATGTGAAAACGAGATATTCAAGATCTCAGAAACGTTTTCTTCTTCATCAACTCTTTTTCTTTTTTGCCGTTTTTAACTTTTCTTTCCAATTTCACCTTTCAAATCATTTTCAGAATCATCTCCATCAATTCATCCAAATCTATTCTAATCGTATTTTCTCACGATTTTTGCTCAATTTTTCTGATGGCGTGAGCGAATCGGCGAGTCCCGGAGAGAGAGTGGAAAAAACGGCCATCACACCGAATAAGTGAGTGAAGTGAGAGGAAAATGGGGGAAAGATTGAGCAAAAAAAGAAAAAGAGCCACTCATTTCCGAACTTTCAGACTTGAGGAGTGTTTTCATCATTAAGCTTAAAGGGGTCGATTGCTTTTGAAGTGCTTTTCTTTCTTGTAACAAACGAAAGTGCTTAATCTCAACAACAATAATTATTAAGGCATCTTATTGTTATTCGAAAAATCTAGATATAGACAAGATCTAACTATAAGCTCGTTGTTTTGTATATTTTTTGGGTTAAAACAACAATCACCTAGATATCGGCTCTTTCAAAGAAAAAGACGATAGACAAGTTTGCATTTGCACAATAAACCTTTGGTTGGATAACATCTTAAAAATTGGGTCACACCAGCTCATGTCTAGTGTTAACCTAACAATTTTATTGTTTTCAGGAGATGGCATCGGTGGCAGCATGGTTGCCGTTTGCGAGAGCGGCCGCCATAGGATGGGTGAGTCTGCTAGTGAGAATGAAATGAGCCTGAATAATCAAACTATAATACTAAACCAGCCGAAAAACCTTTCGGCTGGTTGGTTTTATTTCATTCAAAAATTTCATTTTTTTCGACCCAAAGACGGCTGAGAAAAAGCCCGTACAGACGGATAGACAGACACTGCTCTTTTATGTATAGTAGATGTCATAATAACTCGATTGCTAATTTTAAAAAACGAAATATGCGACGCACAACTACATAGAATTCTAAGCCTAACAAACTAAAAAAACATGTAAATCGGCCCATGGGGAGCCGAGAACTCGCGCGTACAGACACTTTTCTTTTATATAAAGTAGATATAAAGTACTTTGTTTAACTGCTAGTGAGATTGCAATTCCCATTTCAATTTAGGTCCCTATCTCGCGACAACCGATGCCCCGTGCACCCATCGCCATTCAGGTAATTGAAAAATTAAAATTAGCTCTATTCTGTTTTCAAGTCAAAATCCCACTACATCACAATCTATTTCTGTTATCCGATAGCTAAACGCGGCTTTCAAATGCGGCTTTCCTTTACATTTACATTTACAACTCTAGCTTTAGCCTAACTCATTGTCTAAAGTGGAGTCATTTCATTTGTCTTCTAATTACTCCTTTCTTTTGTATCCCCTTTGTGCTACCATAAATATTTGAGCGTGGCTCTATGGATAAAGAGGGAAAAGCACTAATTGACCACAAGTACTAATTTGTACCCATTTTTTCGTTCAGCCAAACTCCACTTGCGGTGGATTGTGTTTAGGTTAAAAGAAAAGGGACCAATTGATTGAGAAAGAGGGAATCGGTGTTCTTTTTTGACTTTTCTTTTTTTGCGGGCCAATATCAAAGGGAAAGGGAAAGGGAAAGATGGGGATCGGTTGTTGAACCACCTTGAAAAGAAAAAAAAGAAGAGGGTGAAGAGTTAAGTCTGCTCTTTTTGATTAATAGGACAAAATATGAGCTTTTCAAAAGAATGCGAGTACAGTTATTCATTTAGGCCTTTTCTATTAGGAATTTAATTCACCAAGTACATTCTAGTGAAAGATATTGATCACAATAGGTTCGAAATATTTGATAAACGTTTTGTCTTTGATCGCTATTGCTGAGAAAGTTGTTTTCTTTAAAGAATCCATTCATTACTGTATCTTTTCTCTACCGACAGGCTCAGCCAAGCACTCTCCAGTTTACTCAGGTTTGCTTTCCTTTTAAAAGAATGCCAATTGACAAGCTAGCTCCATTCGATTTCCACTTTTCCTCCCATCCGTGTATGCATCAATCGAGTGAACGACTGCTCCTTCACTCTTGCATTCCCCTCCACTGCCTCCACTCTCCTCCATTCCTCTTCCATTGCCCTTCCTTCTCAATTTCTTTTCCCTCACTTGCTTATTTCCTCTTTCTCCATTTCTTTTGTGAGAAGGAGTCCCAACTCGATCTTTTCTTTCTGACTTTTCTGCCCTTTGAAGCACAAATCAATCTGCACACAACCGAGTTTTCGGCTATTCTTGGGCGAAAGAAAAGATCCGACAGATATCAAAAACAGAAAAAGGTTCAAGGCATAGTTTTGCTGCAATAAGATTAAAACGATCTACATATTAATTAGAAACAAAAATGGTTTTTGTTAGGAAAAAGGTTAAGGTATCCACGTGCGAGACAAATGGATTATCCCAGTTTCCATTTTTACACACACAAGTTTAACCCTAAAAATATTGTAAAATAAAGTCTTGAAATAGGCTAAAAAACAGTATTTTCCAAAATTTTAACTTTAGTCACGATTCCACGTACATAGTAGCTTCTTATAGAATGAATGTTTCTTGTGCATCTTCTCCATTTTCATTCCCAAAAAGGCACTGGGGGATCCATGTGCACTGGAATGGCAATATCGTGGTTGGTAATGAGTCAATTCCATTCAAATGCTTCTCTTCTTTTCGATTCTTTTCTCTTTTCTCGATTTCTTTCTTCTCTTCTTGTGGGTTTTCTCCCCTCACAAAATGTGTCCCTATATATGGCCATATATTCGAACGAAGAGGAAACGATCTTTCCTTACGCGCAGAACACACATATATCTGTTTTTTGATGTATAGGTGATTGAAAAAAGAAGCGTTTCATATACAAAAATCTAACAGTTTCTGAAAAACCTGTCGATTTGATCGCTTACAAACCTCATATTGATTCAAGACTTTAAAAAAACTACTTGATTAGTCAAAAAAAGGCTTAAATAAAATTGTGAATGCCATATATTTATGTAGGATCATTTATCTTGTAAAATATATCATAAAAAGAAAAAAGAAACCACACGAAAGTCCTGTTTTTCCGTTTAACCGCTTGACCATCGGTGTCAAGCTGAACCGCGAAATTTAGTGTACTTGTTTATCTAGCATAAATCATTCGGTTTCAAATTATACTCTTTCAAAATTTGCTTAAAACGAGAAAATAGTTTGAGAATAGACTAGACAGAGACACTCCCGGCCATCGAATGATCACTCGAGAAAGGATCGAGTTTCTCCCCTTCTCTTTTCTCTTTTTATTTTATGTTACCTTTTGAGCTGCAGACGATCAGGGAGAAGTCCATTTTTACACACAAATGAGTGATCTACGGAGAAATATTCAAAAATAAAAGAAATAGATAAAAATATTGAAAGTATTTAGGCAAAGGATCTAGCGGTGGATCATGTCTCCGATGAGAAGCTTTCGATAAATATATCCGGACGAAAATTTGAGACATGGAAAAACACGTTAGAGAAATTTCCCGAAACATTGCTTGGATCAAATGAAAAGGTACACATATCTGAATTCAAAAAACTGCCAGAACTTTGAAAAGCTGTGATCAATATGCGCAAACAAGTTATTTTTGCAGGAGTTTTTCTATGATGAGGAGACGGGCGAGTATTTCTTTGATCGAGATCCTGACATTTTCCGGCATATTCTCACATTTTATCGAACGGGGAAATTACATGTAAGTGTGCAAAATTGTTTTTATTAGTATTAGGCTGTCCAAAAAGTCTTTTCGTTCCTTTTCCTACTTCCATTTAAAACCAACAAATGCACCAATCGAACTACGGTTTATTTCATTAGAAAGGTCAATTATTTTTCTGCAAAATAACATTAAAACGGATTTAAAATGTCTTATGTGTGGATTTTTTGGTGTGGAAAGTCGGGTATTCAAAAAGGGCGACGGCTCGACGATGTGGTTTAGACACTTTAGTTGAAGAAACCTATCTTGGTGTCAATAGATAAAAGATAAAGCTCAAAAAGTTAGGTATATAGCCAAATTTTCTGAGGCTTTTATAGATTTTTACGGTTGTTACGTTAGAGAAATTGATTTCCTTATTTTCAGTATCCCCGACATGAATGTTTGGTGGCCTATGATGAAGAGCTCTCTTTTTTTGGAATCATGCCCGATTTGATCTCTGGTTTGAATGATTGAAAAGATAAACAAATAAACATTAATTTCAGATTGTTGCTATGAGGATTATAAAGATAAGAAAAGGGAAAATCAAGAAAGATTATTAGAGGAACGATTAGAGAATACAGATGCGACAAAATTAAAACAAACAACACAGGTTTGTGCTAAGGAAAGAGTTCGATCATAGTTGTCGATAGAAATGTGAAACAACGATTTTCAAAAGAAAATGTTATAATTGATACTGGATTGTATATACAGGGTGCCCGAAAAAAAAGTGGTCATCGGTTTCAGTCTGGAAAACTTTTCTTGTTGATTTTTCAAGGCTCATCGTGGTGTCAAAAATGGTTTTGCCTCAGGCGTCACACAACAAGATGAAGTTCATTTTTTTGAGCAAGAACAAAACAAATTTATAGAAACAAAAAGTAGAAAGATTTGTGGTGAAATAGAGGAATTCAAAAGTGTGTTTTTCATGTATTCCTATACGTGGATTTTGAGCTCCCCTGATGCATGACCCCCTATTCACAAAATCATCAAAAAAATCAACTTCATCTTGTTGTGTGACGCCTGAGGCAAAACCATTTTTGACACCACGATGAGCCTTGAAAAATCAACAAGAAAATTTTTCCAGACTGAAACCGATGACCACTTTTTTTTTCGGGCACCCTGTATATTTTAGTAAAATATAGTAAAAACAAATAGTGTCAGGCACTACAGTATTTGAATAATAAAAATACTACTGTATTTGAAAATTCGCGTTTTCTTCGAATTTACAACATTTTATTAAACCACTCATGATGTTTAACTATGTTTACAAAGCGCGAAAATAATACACATATCTTTGAAGTCAAAAAACTATGAATTTTAGCAAAAAATGTGGGCAGCTTTTGAGAACCCTCATACATCATCGGTGGCTCTTGTTTTCTATTATGTGACCGGTTTCTTCATTGCTGTCTCCGTTCTCTGTAATATTATCGAGACAATACCTTGCAGGTAAGTGCATTTGAAAAGCATTTATACATAGATTTAAATCGCTGAAAGATTCAAGTGATTGAGTTGAGTGCAGACTTGAGAGTTTGTTAAAGAAAAAAAAATCGAATTTGAGATACGCAAGTGAGGAGACATTGGCCTCGATTTCTTGCGGGGATCTTTATGAAAAACAGGTTAGATTTGGAGAATCGATTTTTGAACTTACTCGTTCAGTAAAAAGCAATCTACAATGAACCATTTCAGTTTTTTGTTTTGGATACGGCGTGTGTGATCATCTTTACAATAGAGTATTGTTTACGGTTATACGCAGCACCCGATCGGTGTCGTTTTGTGCGATCGATCATGAGTGTCATTGGTGAGTGAAAAGTTTGAACAGTAACAGAACTATGATGATTATCATAGTTTTATTAAGTTTATAAAAATTGAATTAATATCGAAATACATTATATATTTGTGTTCTTTTAGATGTTGTTGCAATATTGCCCTATTATGTTGGATTGGTAAGTTTTTTATTTATTCACCTGACACAAACAGTAACAACAAGCAAGCAAAAACAAGCAAAGAAGCAACAATGCAAAAAAATATCAGAACACGATAATTACACACAGTTATGCTATCTCGATATCTCGAGAAGGCCACAGTGATTTGAAAGAAAAGAATCAAAGTTGCATTTAAAGTTAAAATTAGCACTTATTGCTTTTAGGCCTTTCAAAATAACAAGGATTTCTCAGGCGCCTTCGTTACTTTACGAGTTTTTGTAAGTTTACGATCAACTTTAAAGCCACTATTGTTCATCTTTAGAGAGTTTTTCGTATCTTCAAATTCTCTCGTCATTCACAGGGACTTCGGATACTTGGATATACGTTAAAAGTTTGTGAAAGCAGTAAAGAATTTAAGTAACATTTCAAAGCAGATACACACAAGATTCATCTATCAATGCAAAGTAGGCAAACTGCTGCTCTAATGTAAAATTATTGATCATCAAGAGTCAAACTTTTTCAATTTCAGTCTTGTGCATCTGAATTGGGTTTCCTCGTATTCTCCTTGGCGATGGCAATCATAATTTTCGCTACCATAATGTACTACGCTGAGAAGAAAGTTCCCCAAACAAGATTTACTTCAATACCTGATGCTTTTTGGTACACTATTGTAACGGTGAGTTGGTTTGAGAAAAAAAAGACGCTCTACTTTGTTGCATCACATAAGATTCTTGATATCTTTTGACCACAAATTGACTTGATCATTTTAGCAATTGGTTTAGTTAACCACACTCGGTTACGGAGATATGGTTCCATCGACTGTCATGGGAAAAATTGTTGGAGGGATTTGTTCACTTTCCGGAGTGTTGGTCATCGCCTTACCCGTTCCTGTGAGCTAATTTTGAATTGACAGTTGCAATGATTGATTTGTAGTATATTAAATTGTGAAACCCATCATCATTTAGGTGATCGTGAGCAATTTCTCGCGGATATACCATCAAAATCAACGAGCCGATAAGAGAAGAGCGCAAAAGGTTTCAAATTCTAAAGATTTCAAAAAGCCTTTGATTTGTATGTTATTAAATTAGATTAGTGAAGTTATTCAATTAAATTAGTGACCAATAAAACCCGTTAGTATCAGATTTTTTGATAGATTTTCGAGAAATGAGTTCAGTTAAACATTAAACATGACTTTAGTGTTACAAGCCACCTAGTATTGCAATTGGACAACAGCTACACTACATAGTTTTCACTCGACCTTTTTGAAATTGATTATCGGGCATTCCTGTATATTTTTTCAGAAAGCCCGTTTGGCTCGAATACGAATTGTGAAGAATGCATCCGGACAAGCACTTTTCAATAAAAAGAAAGCACACGAAGCACGAATGAGAGCTTTTGAACAAGGTAAACTAATAGATGTGATAATATTAGGTTGTCCAGAAAGTCTTTTCTTTCCTTTTCATACTTCCTATCAAAAATAACAAATATTCACCAATTAACCTACAGTCATGTGCAAAAGCCTTTTAACACTAAATTTTCTAAAAAGTTTCATCGATTTTCTTTGATGAAGTTCATGGCGCTCTTTAATAGTTTTAGTTACACAAATATATGTACAATTTATTTACATAAACGTTGTCGCTATACAACACTTATTCATCGAGAAAAAAATATAATTATCAAAACACCCCTAAAAATCGTGATGCAAAAGTCTTTTAACACAAGACGAAATTAAGCTATAATCAATATTTTGTCGGCCCTCCTTTTGCCAAAAACTACTTCTTTAATACGAGTAGGCATCGATGTAATTTATTCATCAAGAATTTCGTCGTCGTCTTCCAAATTTTTCTGATGTAAAACCATAGCTCGACTTTGAAATTGAATAGTTGGAAGTAGGAAAAGGAACGAAAAGACTTTCTGGACAGCCTATTATCTATTATATTAATCAGAAGTTATTCAACTAATAAGAACTTTGCAGGTCTCCTATCATTTGACGCTCTTCGAGATGAGGATATTTTTGAAATTCAACATCACCATCTCTTGCAATGTCTTGAGAAAGCAACGGTAAGTGTTTAGATAGGCATTATATTCTTTGTTCAACATAGAAACACTTGTTTAGTACACTTAATTCCTTAGCAACCTTTGATGTGACAAGTAAATATGGATATGCGTTAAAATTTAATATGATGTGCATTAAATTAAATGTAGGAACGAGAATTCGTCGAGGCCGATGTAGCATTTGAGGGAGCTGTGAGAGCCACTCCACCACTCACTCCCTCATCATCATCTTCACAATTGAGGAGGTAAACATGCTTGTAAATTGCGCAAAGTCCACAAAACTAGGTAAGTAGAAAGTTTAAAACACGATTCATGACATAACTTATGTAAATAATTTCTAGACGGCAAAGTACATCAGGTTGGTGTTGTGTGAAGCGACAGAAGAGTGATCATGATAATGATATGGAGGCACAAAAAGTCACCTTTGCTGATCACAATCAGGTACACAATATGAAATTTATAGATATTGTATAAATATTAAACAATTATTGATTCTTGATCTAAACTCTAAAAATAAAATGTTCTCAGGTTCATGAGGACTCAGCCGGACTCGACAATTCCGAAGAGAAAATTTGTGTATCTCAATTGTGATTCATTCAAAAAAGATATCTATATCTATCTCCTTATATTTCTTTGCACTATTATAATATTTAAATTCAGCTCAGAATTATGTACGATACGGGTTTAAAAAAGATGCTATAATATGGAAATTATTAACTATTCAATGTGTTCAAAAGTAAATTTAATTTTTGAGTTTTTCCCTTGTCCTCTAACATTCTCTTTCTCTTGATTCTCAGATCCTCATTTCATTGTTAAAGAACAAAAACAAAAATGTTTAATATAAACCATAAAATGCTTTTGTTTTTGGTCTTGTTGATTTTTAGAATTTTCAAATTGAATACACAAGCCGAGTCACTCACTTTCTTCATCTTTTCTTCATCTTTTTCGGCTCTACAAAACGGGTTCAGATCATCTATTCTATATATATATATATAGTTTTTTCTGGTAAATGAAAAGTATTTGCATAAAATTTTATTTAAAATCCTTCAGAATAGACAGAAAGAACCTTGTATAACACCAAAATGTTGAAGAATACACATTAACATCGGAACGACACAAAACTGAAAACAAAAACAAAACACGGAATGATTAGCCACAAAAGCAATGCAAACTCAAAACGCAAAATCTTTTAAATGCTCAATTGAAACCGATATTTATTTTTATGGCTGTTGCAACAAATTTTTTTGTTGACCCATTTTTATTTTTATGCTTTGAATTTTGTGCTTGAGATCGTTCAAAATTCGAAGCTCTTGCAACATTGAGTCTCTGGGTCTTCTTGGAAGGTAAATGGTGAGAGTGGACAAAGAACGGATAAATGGAAGAAGTGAGAAGGAGATTGCCTCTTGTTCAATTGCTTCTCCTTCACTCCTTCTTCACTCCTTTACTCTCGAATCACATTACCGCCTCGCCTTTTCTTTTCAATTTCAAGAGAGATGTCCATAATGTGTTCAAGTAGATGACAATGAATGCCTTCTAACAAGACCCACTTCTTTGATGTGCATTTTGACTCACCTACTCACCTGACCTAGATGACCCACCTAGATCTACTCACAAAGTTTGTAAGTAGATCTTTAAAAAGAAACTCAATTTTTGAAAACACGAAGTTTTCCTTCGCATATCTTTTACATCTCATTCATAAATTCAAATACCTCGTAAAACAGAAACAACAAGGCAAAACTGTTGCTCAGTTAGTATAAGTTGAAACAAAACCCACTGACCACTGATTGGGTCCTTATTTATTGTCTCATTGTCATTGTCATGTATTTGCTACTTTCCGATTTTTATTTACTTGCCAATTATTTTATTACGATAACTTCTTTGTTGTTGATCATTTCTTTTGATTCTTCTAATATTATGTATGATATTGTTCATTTGACCGTTCACTTTTCCATGAGGCCAGGTGTTCCTTTCCCCTTTGTCCATTTTCTTTTCTATAATCTTTTCTCAAGTACTCAAAAGAAACAATTTCTCAATTAGTCCTTTTGATTGTTTTTCATTTGCTTACCATTATAAAAATGAGTTTTTGATTTCTTTTCTTGAGCTTCTGAAAATGCTAAACTGACAATCAAGTTAATTGATCTAAAATTTACGATGTTTAGAGAGAGTGTAATTCTTTTTTTCCAAAATTTGAATGGAATTAAATAAACTTAAACTCCTCAAACTTAGGTATAAATGAATAAAAGAAGAAAAAGAATGAAAAAGGACAGAGCTAATTACTCAATTTGGCTAATGCATGGGTCTCTCCCCATTTCTAGCTTTTCCTCTTTTCTGTCCTTTTTCAGTGATCTCTTTTCTTTTCATTACATGAATCTGTTTCTGTCACTTCAATCCCCCTTTTCACCAAACTAAACCCCACAACCATCCAAGTAGGAGAAGCACTCGAAAAAATTCAATTTACCCCCAACGAAGTGTTGTTTTCTTTGAAAATCTCCAGATTTTATTCACCTAGTTTTGAAATTCAAACTATCTGACTATGAGTACTCTACAAGAAAACCGAAAAGGCTAAGTTTAATTACAGCCAGGAATTGGCACAAGTTGTAGTAAATGTTGTTGTTCAATCAACAGCCAGCCAGCCAACCCCCTTACGTTGTATAAAAGTGATGTGAGGGTTGTGGGCTATACTTGAAGAAGGGTTGTAGGATTCTCTTCTCGATTCATCCCTTCCAAACCTTCCCATTCTTCCTCCTCCTCGATCTTCTCCGCCAAATCTTTCCCTTTTTCCTCGTTGTCGGCTTCCGGTCGAAGCGTGCAAGCACTGGTTGTTAAAGGAGAAGAGTCTCCTTTTTCCTTAGCTTTTCCCCTCTCAATCGGCCACTGATTGACTCGGCTTCCTTGTGCTCATCTTCCAGTAGACCCTTGACTTCTCCAAATCTTTGAGCCTTTTTTTCTTTTCATCCTCAACCTCTTCTCTTTCACCAACGATGGGAAACCTTGTACCAGACACGCGAAACTTTGGGAATCCGCTTCCGATTACCCTTTTGCTTTTTTGGGAGTCGACCCCCAGTTTGACCCTTAAAACTTTTAGCCTGCTTGGTCAGAATTGTTAGTTTCAAGTATATTCATTATCGATTCCGAGGCTTCTGCCTGGTTATGAGATCACTGATGTCAGAATTGAACGTGTTTTGGTTATGGTGCACTTTGAGCGTCAAATGAGAGAAACACAGTCTTTCCGGTGCAATATTCTGTGAGATGCCATAAAATGCTGAAGTGTTTGCAGAAAGTTTCTTTTTCTTAAATTTTGAGCATAAAGTATAGCCAAAAGGAGTTGTTCTATAAGATTTTAAATTCAAATTCTTTCTACTTTGTACGATTTTCTTTATGGCATTTGTAAATAGACGATGTGAGGGAATGGAATGGAAAGATGATCCCTGATGGTGGGACGGGGGCTGGGGTACCCTTCTTCTCCCTGGGTCAGGGTGCTTCTCACGCCTTGTACCCCTTCCCAACTCTTCTATGTATTACCTTTCTTTTATCTCGCATACTTTATTAAGTTACAAAGTTATTAACAAAAAATTTAAATTATTATTGGTTATGGTCCAGTTTCTCTAACAATTCTCATTATGTTTATTTTAATAATTCTGCGAATTTCTTCTTTCTCATTCTCAAAACACAAATCCGATTCTTAAAACTCCACAGGACAAACAGTTCGTTGAGCAGTTTAGAAATTTATGTTAATTTCCAATTGTGCCTTGCTTAGGCTGATCTCGCAATGAGTGAGTCATGCATTAATTCGGGATGCATATCCCTTGTCAAACTGTGATGACGATTCGTAGTCATTTCAAAACAAGGGAGCATCCAAATGGGATGAGTCTCGAATTTCCTAAGACAGCGAACACAGTGTTCCCTTAATAGACAAGCTTGACCCTTTTTCACCGACTCTCTCCTCCCTTTTCCCCAATACATCCCAAAGGCATAATCACCGGCCGCCCAATTTCCGATGCCCTCGTCCTCTCCCATCTTTTTCTTATTCAAACCTCAAATTTGCATAGATAATTCCTTAAGACCTTAAGACCATCTCATTCAGCAGAATGGCCTGAGAATTTCATACCTCCTGACAACATAAATTCAACAATCGGATCGTCATTTCAATATGTGATTTTTTTTCGGGTATTGTGCATATCAACCCAGTTTTGCAAATTGCAAACATTATGTAAAGTGCTCAAAAGAAGAGTCACAAAACTTTCACAGTTGTTGAAAGAGCGACACGAGAACGAGAAACGCAAAATTGGTTAAAAAATTGAGAGCTTTATGAATGCCAAAGGAATTTTGTGTTGTAGAGTGAGCAAAAATGGACCCACGTATTAACAAAAATGCTGTAAAAGACTCATTCCTTGGGATTCAGACCTCAGCGTTGTTCTTTCTTAAGACTTTGGTTCTTTCCACTTTTAAAAACCTGTTTAAAGCTTTGCCTTGGTACAACAAGAGTAAACTGTTTTCTATGTGCAAGACTAACCTGCAGCGTTCTTAACTCAAACTCACTCACAAGAGAGATTCCTCCATTCTCTCCATTCTCTCTACCCCCGCCCCCAGGTTGGTTTCGCACCATTAGTGGCCTCTTCCTCCCCTCATCTTTTTCCATTTCCAATTTCCTCCGTTCTTCTCCATTTCTTTATTTCTTTCTACATACATTCTTTGGGATCTCCATTTTGTGAAGAGTTCTCCCTTTTCTTTCCAATAGTATCCGCTTGGTGAGCTTCTTCCATTTCTTTTTCCCAATTTCTTTTTCTTCCTTGCTTAGATTGCATGTCATGTATCCATTTTCTTTCAATTAGTTTTCACTCTTCTCTTTTTATCCAATCATCACCGGCAAATTCACCCTTTTTAAATGAGATTAATGCTATGATCAGCCTATATAGTTTTTTGTTGATTTCGAGAAATCATTGATAACGTTTGCATAACCTGCAAAAATACAACATTTTAATCAAAAATATTCTCCGTTTTTCTTTTGTTTTTACTCGCTTCCAAATGTTTTATTACTAATCTTTTTCTTTTTATGACTAGGTGTGAAATTTCGTGTCCAATTCTTTTCACAGAGAATCATCATCCATCTTAATTGTGAAATAATTTTCAGGATGACATACCATCGATAACCAATTCATTCTTCCCTTCTCTCCTCCATTCCAAATATGTGGATCTTCTTTAGAATAGTTTTCTTTTCGACGCTTAGCTTAGCCGCTACATTAGGTAAGTTTAGCTTAGTAAAATTGTAAAAATCTTACGGTATTTACGCCATAGTCAAGTTTAAAACCTGACCGTTTAGCTTATCGCCCAAAAGAAAATTTTCTAGGTCCACCGAAACTCTTAGAAGAGCCGCCGAATGAGGTTTGGTTCCAGAAAAGTCAACCCGATGGGACGGCCAGTCCGGTGAAACTCAAATGCACCGCTTCTGCAAATGCTGAAGAGTATGTTGAAGAAGGAAATTTGTTTTGAGATATTTATTTAGTTTGTATAAGACTCAGTTTGTAGCATAGTATTTATTTCAGATTTGTCTGGCTGAAAGATGGACTTGAGTTGGAGATCGGTGGAGAGGATGTGGACGGTGGAGTGACATGGGAAAGGCCAGGACAAAATGGATCTATTGTTATTTCAACACCGACAGACAATAATCAGGTAGTTGCATTGAAATAGCCCACAAAAATGTCTATAGCAGATATTTTGCACAGTTATAAATAGTTTACACCACAAACCTTTGTTATTGTTTAGACGTTTTATCAAATGAGACATTGCTAAAGTCATTTGTTCTTCTTTTTTCATTTCCTTTTTAGGGTTACTATCAATGCTTTGTGAGCAATCCATTTGGAACGGCCGTATCGAATAAAGTTTATGTGAGAATGGGAGGTTTGTGAAAAAGGTTAAAACGTGACAAATCTTTTATCTATTTGCAATTATCGTATTTTTCCTAATATTAGAGTGTCCGGAATGAAAATGCCCTCAACATCGATTGCAATTTTTTTGGTGTAGCGAACAGCTTCGTGTCTGATTTTTGTTTTGTTTTAAAGTTATATATCTTTTCTAATTCTATGTTTTTATAAAAATTTGCTGCCTTATAATTTTGACTTTTTTAGAATGGAAGATCAGAAGTACCGAATTTGGGTGGGCTTGCTCTACGACTTCAAACAAGGAAAAAGTGTCCGGGAGAGCCATAGCTCAAACTTGAAAGTTTTTGGAAAAGCTGCTTATTCAGAGGAAGCTTGTAAAAATGGTTTCAACAATTTAGAGAGGGAGACGAAACTCTACAGGATTGAGGACATGGTCACCCCCATCCAGCGCTCAACGATGACGATCTTCTAGAAGCCATAGAAGATGACCCAACATTGTCAACTCGGGAACTTGCAACGATGTTTGCTGTAGGCCACACAACAATTGCGCACCATTTACATCGTTTGGATAAAGCGAATCTCGTCGGAAAATGGATATCCCATCAAGTTAGTGGCGCTAATAAAGCTACTCGAGTGACAATGGCCGGTATTCTTTTTCGTCAATCAAAAAAATCGAGATTTTTGGGACACTATTGTGACGGCCTATGAAAAATGGATTTACTACGATAACCCATCGCAAAAGCCGCAATGGTTAAGTCCAGGAGAACAGCCAAAAACGACGCCACGACATGATCCACATGGAAGAAAGGCCATGTTATCTGTTTGGTGGGATTCCCGTCGTCTTATACACTTTGAGGTTCTACCTTCTCGTCCAACAGTCACCACAGATCTATATGTGCAACAGCTGAAACGAGTAGACCAGGAGGCTCTCAAGAGTCAAGGTGTAAACACATCGACTGTGAGATATCTGCAAGATAACGCGCGCCCACACACAGCAAAGAAGGAGCAGGAAAAACTCGAGGAATTGCGTTGGGAATGTCTCCCGCATCCGCCGTATAGTTCAGATCTGGCACCCTCAGACTACCACTTATTTCAATCTATGCAGCGCTTCCTGGCCGATAAACACTTCAAGGACCACGACGAAGTCCTAATTTGGGTAGGCCAGTAACTCACAGCCGCAGGATTTCTTCAGCAAAGGGATCCGAGATTTAAAAGAAAAATGGAAAAAGACTATTGCCAACAACGGAGAATATCTTTTGGATTAAAGCGCATTGTTTTCTTTTTGTGAAGATAAATTTGTTTTTCATTAAAAGGGTATTTTCATCCTCGACAACCTAATAGTATGACATGCCAAGAGGAGCACCGCGTAGTCGGCGTTTTTCCCGCACTAAATCATTTTTCCCGCACTAAATCATTTTTTCTCGCGAACCCATGGACCGATTTTGTTTGGGTTTTTTCTAAAAAATGACCACCTCATTCCTCTATTTTTGGAAAAACCCGAACAAAATCGGTTCAGAGGTTTGCGAGAAAAAATGATTTAGTGCAGAAAAAACAATGATTACGCGATGATCCTCTGGGCATGTCATACTATTAGAAAAAATACGGTATTTACTGCACCCATTTTCCTATATCTGTTACCGTTTATAATTTTAGTTTTGGAGCATTTTGCGAGGCGAGGTGTCCGAGTTGTCCGAGTGGATGAAGGAGCTCCTCTTACTCTCAACTGCACCCCACCCATGGGTCGACCAAAACCCACGATTTTTTGGCTATATCGGTAAGTATTCAGTTTCTATTCATTTGTTACTTTGTCTCTATTTGTTTCTTTTTCAAGAGAAACTTTAAAACGACGGATCAAGTAAGTGAATCAGAGAGTTATCCCAAAAGAAAGAAAATAGGAGTAGCTGTTAATAGAAAAAAAACGCTTCGAATGAAAGAATGAAATGTCAACGCCGTTGTGCATGCTTGATAGATTTTTGATATTTCGGATCTTTACGGTTATCCGGGGAGGGGAGAAGTGGCGATTAGCCGTCGCTCTGAAACTCGACGGATCCTTAGGGCAGATTGGTAATTTCCAGTGATTTTGAATTTTACTGTAATGCCAGATTCTTTTTTAAAGCACGACCTCCCCCCCCGGGATAACCGTAAAGATCTGATATTTCTAAGCAAATTTTTCAGCGACACAAATCGAGAGGATGTGATTGAGACAATCAAAAGAAGACATATTGGAATTGATGCTGAGGGAAGACTTCACTTCACTGCTGTACAAGTAGGAGAGATATAGTATTTTAGATAAAAATATTTTAAACGTAGTACTATGCAAAAGTGGCTGAACCAATATGCAGTTGGTTTATTTATTTATTATTCAAGGCGAATGTTTTCATTTCAGAAAGAAGATGGTCGTCGGGGTCTCCTTTATGAATGCGCAGCTTCATCACCCGTTCTTCGAGGAGAATATAGATCAGGAGAACGTGTTCGATTAGAAGTCAATGAGAGACAAAGTGAAGAATGTTTGCAATAAAAACTCACATTTGACTTATACTGGTTTATACTGAAATAACATAAAATCTTTGAGTACTCTCCGTGCCAATTCGAACTCTTTACTCGACACCCGATGAAGTAACGGTGAAAACAGGGGAACGACTCAAATTGCAATGTATTTTTGGAGGAAGGTTGAGTTGTTATTTGTTTTCATTATTTATTTGAAGTTTTTCTTGACGTGACCCATTATAATTCAGACCAAGACCGGTGGTGTTTTGGGAGCGAGAAGATGGGGAGTTACCAAAAGATCGCATGAAAGTGAGCAAAAAGAGAAGTTTTATAGAACAGCAACAGCTTTGTAAACATTTTTTTGAAAAATAGAATTGGCTCTTTCCAGGATCTATCGTCGGGCGAATCGGACTTTGGAATGGCTTTAGTTATCGATCACGTGATCCCACAAGATGCTGGAATTTATCTCTGTCGTGCTCAACACCTTCAACATGTTTTCAATGTGAAAGTTCATGGTTTGAAGATTTGATCACAAAAAACCTAAGCCCATTCATTATAGCAGCTCCTTTCTGGGATGAGAAGCCACCACTAGATTTGACAAGTAGTGAGGATTCGGAAGTGAGTTTTGGCCGTTGCCTTTGAAAGATTAGTTTATGGCTATTGAAAAAATATGAAGTTCTTTAGGCGGAGCTTCGCTGTATTGCAGGAGGTAGTCCAATCCCCGTGGTTTCCTGGTTTCTCAATGGACGTCCCCTATCCGGTCCACAATCAGGTAGTCATAAACGCATTCGCGACGATCCCATTTTTCGGTGTTTTGGTCTCTGAGACCAGAACGATTTTAGCGCCAGATCAAGACGAAAATTGTACTTGAGAGGTTTAGCTAGGAAATCCGAATCTGTCTTTAATTTTCGATTATGAACTCATCATGGTCACTACCAAGCAAGTCAAAAACTTGGGTAATTAAACCGAAATGGATAAAAAAGAGCGGACCCGGGAGCTTGTTTCTGCTCCCTATACCCAAAGACTCTGTGCCAGGTGTCGAGCGATTACTCAAAGATGAAATTTTCATTGTTTTGCATAAACGCGCGGCTTCTGGCACACGGCGCAGATTTCTCAAAATAACCCGGATTTTTTCACAAGAAAATCAATAGCTTTGTTATTTCAATATTTCTGCGATCTCTTTTCACTTTTTATTAGAAAAAATATCAGAGCATTTTTTGATACCAAAAGCATCAAAATCGGTCAAGCAGGAAAAAGTTTCTTTAATGTCGGAGTTGGGGACTCCTCAAAATGGCCGAGACCTATACTCTTATTTCGAATATTTAGGGTTACTGTAGATCAAAACTAATACTGGCTTCGAATTCCCCACCCCCAAAAACCCCCATATACAAATTTGCAGCTTAATCTGTAATCTTAAATTATAACAATTTCAAGTGGGGACCAGCGGGGGGCATTGTCGTGAGTGTGTTAAGAAGGGTCTTTAAAATAAGTTTTGATCTCCTTGAAATAATAGCATTTTAAATGGTATTTTTTCATTAGTGCAAGTTTCAGAATACGACGATGATCCTCGGCGCCAGTTTTTCCAGGGAGGACGCATCATGAGAATCACGGTTGGTTATGACTTCATTTTCGCATTCATATTATTGTATCTTATTTATATCAACTAAAATAATGTGTTGTTTCTAAATCTAGAATTTGAAACAAGATATTGACACGGGTGTCTATCAATGTAATGCCTCGTCATCACTCGGATACGTCTATTCAAATGTGTTTATCAATGTGAAAGGTACGTTTTAGTCAAATCTCTAATTCTTTCTTAAAATACATTTCTTAGATTGACAACTTGAAAGTTGGTACACTTTTCCGTATTTTCCAGAAAACATATTTAATACGCCAATTGAATTAGACTTCTCGAAATAAAAGTTATATATTATTTAATTTAAGAGATGCTTAAACAAATTTGGGTAACTTTTGAAACGAATTTAAGCAGAAATTCAAGTTTTTCTGAAAATTCTGCAAACAGACATATAACTAAAGCAATTAGACAAAACGAGCTGAGAATTCGGCTATATGCCTAACTTTTCATGCTCTATCTTTTTTCTATTCACATCAAAATAGGTTTCTGTGGAAGAAAGTGCTCAAATCGCTTCATCGAGTGATCATCAATTTTGGTTCCACAACTTCTTGCCTCCTAGAAACCTATAAAATCGAAACTTTTCTAAATCTGTCAAATTTTAGAGGATAAATAGACCTTTTTATGGGTGAAAACTGTAGATTAATTGATGCACTAGTTATTTCTAAAAAGTGCAATGAATAAGTGTACCAACTTTCAAGTTGCCAATCTAATATACAGGGTGTTCAAAAAATCCACTTCGGGTCAAATTTTAAAAATATTTCCGGTGGCTCAAGGTGGTAGGTATAGTGCAAAAATGATTTTTTTTAGGTCGGGAAATTTTGATGCTTTCATGATTTCCACTGTATCATGACTCCCAATTACAAGAAATTTCTGAGCCACCATGGTCACCACCATGAGACTTTTGCCATAAAATTAAGACTTTCTATTGGCGTCGTGGTGTCATATTAGCGTCATTAAATAAACGAAATTTTCGGCCAAAGATTTATTCATCTACATTATATGATAGTCTGTCGTACACAATAGATTCTCAACTCGCTTTTTTAAAGAAGTGCCCCGTTTTTCCAAGGAAACGCTGGTCAATAAAGTGTATGGTTTAAATTTGTAGTTATCCTATTAGTATTGATTATGCACCACGACGCCAATAGAAAGTCTTAATTTTATGGCAAAAGTCTCATGGTGGTGGCCCATATGGTGGTGGTGGCCATGGTGGCTCAGAAATTTCTTGTATTGGGAGTCATGATACAGTGGAAATCATGAAAGCATCAAAATTTCCCGACCTCAAAAAAATCATTTTTGCACTATACCTACCACCTTGAGCCACCGGAAATATTTTTAAAATTTGACCCGAAGTGGATTTTTGGACACCCTGTATTCATTATTATTAGAGAATTGCCTAATCTAAAGAGTTAAAAGAATTTTTAGCTCATGCACCGCACTTTTTGATGCCGTCGAAGCGAGAGTGGAGTGTTGTGATTCGCTCAAATATCGATCTTGATTGTCAAGTGAGAAATCGTTGAAATACATTGGCCAATATAAAATGGCACATCATGTTATAATATTTGTTATTTTATCGCTTTCTTAGCCTTAGGCTAAATAAATTGATTATTGGTAAGGTTATCAAATTTACTTTTACATAGATAAAAGAGATTATAAAAACTTAGGTTGATGCTGCTCCGACAGCCGACGTGCATTGGGTGGACGAGGACGATCGACCAGTGATCCCCGTTGAGCCAAGGGTTACGGTAGGAAATTTCAGGACAATAAAACAATGCACTTCATATCAATTTCCTTCGAAGATTCTCCCCAATCACACTCTTCGTATTCTTGATGTTCACACAGCCGATGAAGGTCTTTACTATTGCAATGTCTCCAACAAATATGGCATTAATCGGGCCACAAATCGACTACAAGTCTATAGTGAGTGAATAAAGTGAATAAACAAATAAACTAAACATATTTAGAACCAACATATTTTGTTAAAGTACCAGAACCGAGAGATTTGGAGGTCGAAGCTGGGGCTGAGGTATTTGACTGACTTGGAAGATATTTTAGCTCATATGATTCTTTGTAAGGTATTCTGTACGTGACATTTTTTTCAAGTGAGCATGCAAATTTTTTAGGCAAATAAAATTTTCGTAGCCCTTTTCAGCCCTATTTTGTTCAAGATCAGAAAGCGAGAGCGTAACCTAGAGTCGTTTCGTTCAGGTGGAATTAGAATGTCGAGCGGAATCTGATGAGCGACTAAGTGTGAGATACACATGGAGTCTCAATGGAGCTTCGATCAATGAATCGAACACGTTCCGGTGGGTGTCTTGTAAGTACAGATCAATTGAAAACATATTGTAAAGAAGTAAGGAGGTAACAGTTAGAATATCCTGGTATGCGATAACAATATAGGTATTTGTTAGTGAATGTAAAATCTGGCGACATTTGCAGATATATTGGCGATTACAAGCTTCGTCTTTCTCGTGTTGCCGGTCGTCACTCAGGTCTCATCGAATGTCAAGCACTTACCGATGTCGATCTAAAAATTGCCGTTATGAAACTCGCCGTGAAAGGTACATTACAAATTAATCGATATAAAAAACTATTTTGGATTCAATTTATTTGCATTCTTTGAATATATTTTTTTCAAAAGTGTTTTCCAGATGTCCCTTCATCTCCCCGTCTCACCTCTTGTTCATGCTCCGAGCGAAAAGTTCTTCTCAAATGGGATCCCTCAAATTCTCATGGTTCTCCAATCAAAAGATATTTCATCGAAATGCACACCGATTTTGAAAGAGTGAGCTAAATAACAAGTTTAACACATTCGCGACGATACGGCCCACCGGTGGGCCGTACTTTAGTATTTTTTGAGGCCAATTGTGCTGAAAATTTGCAATTAGGGGTTTTCGAGAATGAGGAATTCGAGTCCGTTATTAGTTTTTAAAGAAAACTGCTCTATTTTTGGATATTTCATTTGGTTTAATTACCCAAGTGCAACCCTACATCCAAGGCCGTGTGCCAGAAGGTGCGCAATTGCAAAAACGTGAAAATTTTCATGTTTACGTAATCGCGTGGCTTCTGGCACACGGCCTCGAGAGATAAAGGAGGAAACCCAAACTGTTTTGCCTTTTCCTCTCCAATTTGGTTTAATTACCCAAGCTTTAGAGAGTTTTGTGATGACCGTATTGGCTCCGAAATTAAAGTTGCTCAAAGACCAATAACGGATTCAGATTCTCCATCCCAGAACGCCTCCCGTTACAAATTATCAGGTCTACAGCTAACATAGATAGCTGTCGTCCGAAGCGGCAGCCAAGCCAAAAATGACTTTGTCGTGAATGTGTTAACGGCAAACCCAAAAAAACTTTTAGGATCATTGGGAGGTGAAACACGAAGAAGCTGATAGTAACAAGGATATCTATGAGAAAGAACTTCCATTGAGTCCATGGGTGAGTAAATTCATTGTCTATGTTTGAGGAATATTGGATAATAGAAAACTGGAATTTCAGGTGAACTACACATTCCGAGTAATATCCGAGAACTATTTTGGGCGAAGTGATAAGAGACCGGCAGCTTTAGATGAAGGTAGGAAAAGAATGAAACAAATGGGGGACGGCTATTTGGTTCACTTATAAAACTATTTTCATACGTTTTTCTACGAATCTCAATCTGAACTGAAATTTTCCAGGTGAAAGCCGCGATAATTGTCGATGTCAAACGAGGGCCTCGTCTCCATATGTGAATCCGGCCGGTGTTTGGGCCCAAGGGGATAAACCTGGTGAGGCTTTAAAAAAAGCTCTTTAAAAAACTCTAGGTATAATGTTTGCCTATTTTGTTTATCTTGCATTCTTATAAGAAGTAAAACAAAACCGATTACTTTCAGCAAAGTTACAGTATTTTATTTGACAGAACTCTCCCGAATAAGAAGTATTCGGACTGACAATGAGTATTAAATTAAAGCTTTTAAACGATTCAAAAGTTATTCAATTGATCTGAATATTTTTATACCATTTTTATCAAACAAGAGATTAAAACTTTAAGTTTCTGCCAGGCTAACACAACTGGCACAGCAGAAACAAAAATATAAAAGCAATTATTAAAAGTTCCTAAAGATAATCTAATCGTACATTGGACTCCGATGGAAAAGATCGATTGGAATGCCCCACATCTACAATATCAGATCAGGTTTCAGTTGTATCTCTTACTTGATAAAGCTCATTACAGATACAAATTGAATAATCCATCAGTTGCTTGGGATGAATTCATTGTTGAGGATCCATTAGCTGTAAGTTGATTAAACTTTGAGACACAAAAGGCTCATTTAGAATAACACGATTATCCGCGAACAACCAACTTATAAGGAATACCTAGTACAAGTTCGTTTTCTACTAGTTTTTCCCAATTATAATATAATGCATACATATGCTTACCAAACCTAGGTTTTTCTTCACATAAACTTTAAATATCAATAGTTTCGAAAACCTAGGTGAGAGCCGTGAATGCCATTGGGGCCTCAATCAACGAGCCGGAGATCGTAAAGGGATTCTCGGGAGAAGACGGTTTGCAAAATTCCGAATTTTATTAATTAAAAAGATTTTAGAAACTAGTAGTTTACAAAGTTTTAAAGATGAAAGTAAAATTTAGAGCCAACTGAAGCTCCCGGTGCATTTTCTCATGGAGAATTCTTAAATTTCTCCTCCCTGAACGTTTCATGGAATTCGGTAAATGAGAAATCGATTCATGGATATTTTCTTGGATATGAAGTGAGTAACCAGGCTATGATATAAAATGCCTAGCAGATAACATATAGTATGATAAATTTAAGTACGTCAAGCATCTTTTGGGCAGTGTTTTGTTTGAAACTAAATAGTGGCAGAACAGACAAAATGTATACTTTTCTAGGTGAGCTTCTAAATGTAGAGTAAAATTATTCAGATCGAATACTGGCCGGTGGATGACGTGGTGATCATGGCCGAACAAGTGATTGTCCCCCGAGATACACAATTTTTTCTTCTCTCCGGCCTTCGTCCACACACTAACTACACTGCTGTGATACGAGTGAAAAACAAGTAAAGTTTAACGTTTCAAGATTCCCATACTGACTAAAGGACATTACTTTTAGTCAGTACCGTGGTCCCACATCGAATACAATCCATTTTGAGACACCAGAAGGAGGTAAAAATGTGAAATAATAATAAAATGAGCTAAAATTTGCTTATTCAATTCGTTCAATAGTTGATCGAATTTTTCAGTTCCCTCAGCGGTCGGAGCACTCCATGTCTCATCTGTTGGTGCTCATTCAATTCTTGTCGAATGGCGCCCCCCTCAACGTCCAAATGGATTCATTCGTGGCTACTTCATCACATTTACCAATGATCAAAGTGAAAAAGAAGCAGTTTGTTTTGAATTTTCAAATTTTCTAGATGATACTGAAGAGACGTATGTGCTTCATCGTCAGACCCATTATCTGCACGAGCGAGCCCACTCTGATTCTCCATACAAGGTAGATTTCTTAAGCTTTTTGAGTAAAAAGACAAATTTAGGTAGCTGTTTGGGCGGAGACAAAAGCTGGTGAAGGACCAAAAACAATGCGACCCGTGAGGACATACCCAATTGGAGGTGTGCATGATCAAAAAATAAAGAATATGGCATAATGAGTCTTTCGGTCCTTTTAGCTTCTAAAAGATTCAGTTCAGAAAGAATCTTTCAGATCCATATCGACCTTCGTTTTTGATAGCGAATTTGAGTGGCGGATCCCTAGATGTTGAATGGTTACCAAGAGAAGCAGCTGGAATGCCTGGATCTTCTTTTTTGCTCAATTACACTCTTGCCGGTAAATGAAAAGAATTTTCAGTTTAGTTATGTTAGCTTTTAGAATATTTACTTTAAATTTGCTGCCTTTTGAAATATTTCTTTACAGTCAAAATTAAATAATCGCAAAAAAATCTTTCAGAGACTGGTCTGACAAACCAAACATTCCCTGTTTTTCTACCAAACACAAAGATTCATCTGGATGGATTGAAGGAGGGATCAAGATATGTTCTCGTGGCAATTGCACGTGATGGAAAACGAGAGACTCCATCTGAACCTTATTACATTGACACTGAAGCACCCAGAGATCCGTCAAAGTTGAATCAAGGTTTGCAAAGAGAAACTTTAAAAGAATCACTTGACTGAGTTTCAGAATCGGCAAGAACGGCAGCTTGGTTTGTGTCAGTGTTGTTGGCAGCAGCGGTGGCAGTGTCTCTTCTTCTCGCATCATCTTGTTGTCTTCAACGACGTCGAGTGTCTGTTATCTAACTTTATACGATGCAAAGTCAAGTTCGACACAACCAAAAAGCAATCAATGCCGGTTTTAGAATAAGAAAAACAAGTAGCTAGTCATTTTTACCAATAAACTTTCAGCTATAAGGTCGGTCGCGAAGAAGAGAAAGTTGGTGTCCCTCCCAGTAACAGTCGAGAAATCAACGATATTGAAGAGGATCGTAAATTTCTCGAGTACAACTACGGGTATAAAAAATAGTCGTCGAATTGCCAAATGTCTTTAAATAATCTTATTTTTCGGTCTTTCACATTTTTCTAGGTAAAATTAATTGAATTTTTAGAGGAATTTTGCTAAGATTTCCTGCCATTTTCGTTTGCACGTCGTTGTGATATTTTTTCTCGTTTTGCCACTTACGTATGATTTGCAATGCACATAAAAATTCAGATCAGAAAATCAAAGATTGAGTTATAAAGTGCGCGTTAAAAGTTTACAAAAACACCCAGTTCAACGTCATTGAAAACTTTTCAGTTGACAGCTTCAAAGGAATAAAAATTAAGAAGTAAGATAAAAATGAGCAGCTAAGCAACAAAAAAAACATTTTTAAAAAAGTAGTCATAATTTCCCCAAACTTTCCCCAACTTTTGAATTACACAGTCAGCAAGGTCCTCTGTACAACATTTGAAATTTGACGATGCTCCTGTGCAAATATGGAAAACGATTTGACCACGTCTCATATTGATCTAACAAATAAATTTCTGTCGATTTTGTCGTGGATCATTTCTCTTCTCTATATTGGATCGTTTCCATGGGACGGTGAGTCTTTTCCCCTCTCCATCGCTCATTCCGAAGAATTCTATCAAAAGATAGTGCCTTTTTGGGTCAACAAATTCATTGAATAGACCCTCAGGGATCTATCCATTTCCTTGCCTTTTCCCCTTTTTTATTTATTTTCCTCCTTTGATTTTCTCAATATGTTTCGAATATGGAATCCCTGGGCATCTCGTTTTGTGTCTCTTTCATTCACACATCTCGTTAACCGAACGGTCGCCCGATTTTTGTGGTCGGTTCATTTGCTCACTTTTCTTTTATAAATTACCGTAAATTTAGCATTTAACCATGAACTATGGTTAACGCTTATAAGAGTTTATTAGAGAGAACTTTCACGTAAGAAATAACTACTAGATTTTTAAAATCATCTTCATATCAAGGTATACATTTACTTCGAAATCCACCATATCTACAGTCATAGAGGTCATTCTAGAATCTTTGGAAACAACTATTTAACAGCAAAATTTGGGTTTTATGGGAACTTAGGACAAAAATAGTAATTCATTGAACAGTTATTTCTTTTCTTCTTCAGTAGGCATTGACGAGAACCGGTTTATAAAAATTCGACTGGCTTAGAGTTGGACGCTGTTTCCCCGTTTGTGTGCGTTCCTGGGCTCAGGTTTAGGGGTAAACTCACCATAACATGGTTCCACAGCCCCAGGCACCTCTTTATTCACGGGAACACAGCCCTCTTCACGTATCATTTCACAGTCCGTGAATGTTTACAATTCCAATTGTGTTAATTGCATGTAATTTCCTTGAAATCATTAGTAGAAACTTTATCGGGGATGAGGAAACTAAGGGAAAATTAAAAGAACACAAGATTTGACAGAAGGGAAGTTTACTCAGAAGTCACGACCCTTCTCGCAAAAAAAGGTGAACAAAAAGAAATAAACGGGCGAAGGTAGCCAGGGCGCGGTACAAAATCTTACCTTAGATTTATGAGGACAACGCTGTGACCCATTTATTGTGGTTTCGGTATTGAATCAGAGAAGCACACAAACATCACAATAAATCATTCTAGTAGAAAGATGTAACAAAGAAAATCACTGATTGTAAGGAAGGCTTCTATCAAAGCCGTAAAACCTTTATATCACCCCGACAACCTAACAATCTATCTAACTATTCAGGAATGCGTGGTTGGGTTTTCTCTTTGGAACTTTTCTCGGCTTCTTCACATTTTCGACTTTGTCGCCGGTTTATTATAGGTAACTAAAGTAATTTTCAACAATGTTACTGAAAACTTTAAGAATACAGTAACACTATAATAAAGCGTTTTGTGTACTGTAGCATACAGAGTAGAGACGAGAAATTAGAATATTTACAATATCTTTCAAGCATAAAGAGTTCATCAACCAATAAGATTCTTTACCTATCTTATGTTTCAGTGTCCTGCGTGGAGAGCCACGAGCGTGGATGACTACAGAACAACATATAGAAAATATTACTGTTACAACGATTAGTTTAATGGTCGAAGGTTGAAGGCAAAATGTGATGCAACGATCGAACTCTTTTAGATACAAGTGAAATTCGCGCAGAAACCACTGCAACACCGTGCCCTACTTACCCGACGACAATAGAGCAAATTTTGACAACGACTGGTTTGGAAAGCTTTGCATTAAAAATCCTTCCTCAATTTAGCAACTTTGTTACAGATCGCGCAAAGAAATGGCCTCGAGTATTTTGTATGATCAATACGATGCCCGAGAAACATCACACTCGTGTCAAACAAGTCAATGTATGCTATTCTATTTTTGAGCTTTCTTCATTTATTTTTCCTCAAATCAAAACCCATAAAGTTCGCGTGTTTCCAGGAGACATGGGCTCGTCATTGCGATGGGCATGTATTCATGACAACTGAACTGAACGAGACGCTCACCCCGTTTTGGGAACTTAAATTTGGGTGAGCATTCGGAAAAGCTTTGTAAAAACTTAAAAATGGTGATGTGTTGAGATTTAATTCACTCAATTAAGTCTCTTCTAGGCATTTTATTATCAAATCCATTACATAAACGCATAAGGAGCGAGGGGGCTGAAACTAGGCTAAAGATCCGGGTGTGCTAGAGTACAGACCATACCGTAACATTAGCGGCACAGTGTTAGCGGAAAGACTCTGTAATGTGTTAAATGTGCTTTTTGATCATCCTATTAACAGGAAAGATCCTTATTCTTTAAGATTTCTCTGTGTTTCAATGACAAAAATAACAATTACAAACACAAAGAATCAACTATTCCAGAAATGCAACTCATAACACGCATAATTACTGCTGGATTTGGGACCGGATTAGAACCGCATTCACAAAAGTGTACAACGAGAAATTGGTAGGTGAATAAAAGACAGAAATCTAAATAAAATACTCAAACAGACAGATTTCGATTGGTTTCTGAAAGGAGATGACGACGCTTTTTTCATCATCGAAAATCTGAAGGAATACCTGAAAGATAAGGATCCCGAAAAACCATACCTTCTTGGAACAATGCTGCTCTATAATCTAAAGGTTGGATAGTTTGGATAAAAAACATGTACGCTAACTGTTTGATAGATGCAATGATTTTGCAAAAAAAATAATTTCAGGGTCGGCCAAAGGATTTTGTTTATCCAAGTGGTGGAGCCGGTTATGTGTTGTCGAAAGGAGCGGTGAAGAGGTGACTCTTGAAAGTCAATAATGTGAGATTGGGGTATTCACAACCTTTGCTTAGGTAAAGGTGCCTACAAATCACAAAAAATGCGTGTATAAAGTGTCATAAAATAGAATCCTTTAGTTTTGTCTCAGTGATGCACGACGGAGAAAAATGTCTAAATACTTCCTATTATCATGAGGACACTGAGGTTATAAAAGATTGAATTAAAAAGAGTCAAATAAAATTCAGATGGGTTGGTGTTTGTACAATGCAGGAGTTGAAGTGTTGACATCAGTGGATACATATGGAAGACATATGTATGAAAAATGAAAAGAATAAAATATGGATAAATTCTACAGGATGTTGCCGATTGATGTCTCTGCAATTGTCGATGCGAATAATTCAACAAGACCCGTTGACAGAGGATGGGCTATTCAATCTACACAGCTTCCATTCAAACAAGTTTGTATGCAGCGGGAAAAGTAGAGAATAACGACTATGTAGGTGCCTATGTTTTACGAAGTTCGCAAAGGTACTAACAATTATTTCATTTGGACATTTTCTCTAGTCAAGATGAACCAATTATTTATTTAGGGTCCGGAGTGTTGCAGTCACCATCTAATCTCAACACATCACATTCCCCAAGTGCTCATCTCAACATATTATTATCTTATTTATAATCTCACCATTGCGGGTCTATTAAATCATTGAATCATATCTGCAGCAAATTAAACTTACAACAAAAAGAGACCAGAATTTCGTTGTGTAGTTTTGGTCACCATGGTAACAAAAGACAAATACATACGACTTTATTTATTTGCACATTTTCATCTCACTTCTGCTTCATTTTTCTGTGATTTCATGACTAAATCAAGTAAGACAAAAATCCTCGTTCTCGGGCCAACCAAGGTAAAAATAGTATACATAAGTAGCGACAATCCGAAAAGTTTAAGTCCGGCAAGACGTCGATTTCTAACTACTTGGCCGACTCGCTCGAATCCCATTTTGGTTACAGACCAACCAAAGGCGGGCAATAAACTTAAAATCAAAATACATCAATATTTAGGTGTTAGAATCGTTGAATTTGAAAGTAATGACTTGGAGTTGAACGGAACCAAGATAGGTTGGTTGAATAAAGGTTTTTTCTTGATATTTATGTGCCTCATATAACTTTACAAACACAGAATTTACAGTTGACGTAAGAGTATATAGTAAGGAATTTTAACGAACTTTGACTCCTAAACACGTGACAAAGCAAGATGAGCATTTAGGTAATAAGCGTTCGATGCAGATTTAAAAAATAAAAACATCAATTATTAGACGCCGATGTGGAGTTATGGGATTGTTCGGGTGACGAGAAATTCAGTAAGTCCTTTGTTAAGTAGATTAAGTGGTAATTACTTTTAGCCATTGGGTATTTACTCAATTGAACACAAGCAGACAAGAAAGAACGACAAAAATTCAACTCGATTTAAAAATTAAATTAATTATTTTTCTGATAGTGAAGCGTTCCTGTCAAAGCAAAAACAATCAACCTTTCGATGAAAACTCCATTTTCTCAGATAGATGTTGGTCGGCACTGCTTGATGGAACACATGGTGTCATTCTAGTGGCAAATCCCGAAAGACACACTGGAGAGTCGCTGATTCCATGGTGAGTAGCAAATGAATAAAGGTGATTGTACTAATGTGCAGGGAACGAGAGTTTATCGAACGTGGCGGAATTCCCGTCGATCGAGTGTTGATGGTTCTTCTTGATTCTGATCATACATCCACTAATCACTCAGCAATATCAGGTAGCAAATAAAGTCAATCAAAGGAAGGAAAGATACTTCCAGAGTTTCGATTACCATCTTCTTTAAATGGAGTGCATTGCGTTGCAGCCTCCTTACCAAAAGACGGGGACAATCTACGGCTTGAATTTAATGCATTTCTCTGCAATGTTATCGCCGAAATCTATCAAGATAGACACTTTTAACTGTTAAGCTTTTTCTTGCAATTTATGCCTACGTTATGTACTTTTGATGAAAATTTATAAAACTTTAACAAGGATCAACAAAAAAATCAACAACAACTTCTGAATAACAATTAAAATTCTGATATAACGTAAAAATTTTCTCACTTCTTGTCAACTTGTTGATTCCATCTTCGCTTTCCGGTTTTATTTGCCAGATACAAACGATTGTACTCTACCTGAAAACGGTATTGAAAAAATAGCTTACTGAAACCCACTTTTTTGTTTAGTCTTTTGTCCTTTGTTATCAATTGAGCCTTGACTTCAGCGAGTGATTGCCTAAAGTCCGTGAAATCACCTCAAATACAAGTTTTTAACTCACCGATATTTTTCCAGTGTTTGATCTTTTTCGAAAGCTTTGTCTTCAATAAATTCTTCGCTCAAATTGTTCAAAAGTCCGGATTTCTTCAGCATGAACTTGAAACCGTGCTTCTAAGCGAAAAAATTTATTTTCACAAAATTTGAAAATAACTTGTTCGTTCTCAATCACAGTTACCACTTCACCAGAAGTTCCCGCACGTCCCGTTCTCCCAGCTCTAGCACAATATTAAAATGGTGACTATAAGAACAACAAACCTGTGAACAAAAAGGAGCTCACTTTTTGGACAATCATAATTGAAAACAACATCAATATTTGCAAGATCAATACCGCGAGACAAAACATCCGAGGCTATGAGAACACTTTTCTAAAAGATGATTCAAATTTGTGGTCGAAATCTTTTTGCACACACCCCTCCCGACTGGAAACGTTGCAGAATTTTACCACGGCGTCTGCCAAACAAATCGGCAGTTAGATGCCCAACTTTGAAATCAGTTCCGGCTAATTGTGCAAGTACTTGAGAAAGTCTTTCGGAAGATTGTCTAAAGGCATAAATAAAAATTAAACTAAAAACGCATACCTTTGGTTTGAAAAGATTAGCACACGCTCCCATGAGCTTTTAACGATTTCTTGATAGACATAAAGCGGGTGGTATTTCAGGCTGCAGCAAACAATCCGATGAGAGATACTTTCGGGCAAAACTAGCTCATCTGATTGAGCGCCATTTTGAGTCCTTGTTTCAACCTTAAATCATCAAATTTTAATTTTAATTCAATCAAACTTTCTCTTTATCCCAACGAGGACTAAACAGTTGTGGTCTATGAAGAGCCCAAAGTTTTAGTTTCTCGACGTCTTTCGATAATGTAGCTGATAGTAGGATTTTCCGAGGGGCGCTTCGTGACTCAACAAGTTGCTTTAATGAGCTCACTTTCCAAGTAGCTAAAACACACAGATTCCTGAATTAGGTAATAAAAGACAAACTTGATGTAGAATTAATTTTCTGTTCAACTAATTCGAGCCATTCCATCCTTAATAGATCACCCATTCTATCGGCCTCGTCAATAACAAGTAATCTAAAAAAAGAATTCTGAAACAATGAACATGATAATACCTAACACGCGAAAGATCAAGTTCGCCTACATCATCACAAAGGTGACGCACGAGCCGATCTGGTGTAGCAATAATAATATCAACCGCCTCAAATTGTTTTTATGGCATTACTACAAAAAATTTTGACTTTACCGATCTCCCATTCTCATCGAAGAGTTTTCTTCTTTCTTTTGCATAGGTTTCAGCCCCAGACATCGCAAATACTTTCGCACCATATGCATTGAACCGGTTTAACTCCTAAGCAAACATTCTGCTAAAACAACTTAAAGAAACCTACTTTTTCCACTTGTTGAACAAGAGGTTGAACGGGCACAATAATCAGTGCAACCGGTTGATTTCTCGGACGTGCTCCGACGGCTGCAAGACAGGGCAGTGCGTAACAAAGCGTTTTTCCACTTCCAGTTGGCGAAGAAATCGCAACATCTCGCGGTCGTATTGCGGACGGATGTCGTAATTCGCGCAAAAGTTTAGGTAGCACGGCCGCCTAAAGCATTCAAATTTTTAGAAAAAAAAACTCTAAACCTGGACTGGAAACCATTTCTTGATTTGCTTTTTACATACGTCAAAGATTTCAACCGGCAACTCGGTAATTGTTTCTAATGGCTCTAAATTTTCCGCCTTAATTGCAGCAGGAAACCAAATTGCATCATTGATCCATGAACTGGTAAACCTGGAGAGTTTCATTTTCAAAAAGAAATGAAGCAAAGAACTTACTGAATAGGCTTTAATGGAATAAATTTGTGTGAGCCAATAACGGAGAAATTTTTTTGGTAATCTTCTTCTTCGCTAAACTTTCAACATGTGAAAAGAATAAAAATAAGTTTTACCGTTTCATTTCTGCCTCTTCATATTTGACTTCCGATTCTTCATCTACGCCGTTTTCATCACTCTTCGGTTCATCCTCAACTATTGTTTCTTCAGGCAACGTTGGCGCTAAAATGGAAAAGTTGCAAAATCGATATTTCTACTCCAAGAAAAAATATAAAACATTTACAACAACCTTTGATCTTTTCTGCCAATTTCTCCATTGAGACTCGTTCAGCGACCGCTATCTTGTAATTCGTGTAAATCTAAACAAAAGGTGCTTGTTTACCTGAAGGCAATAATTTTTTATTAATAGAAAATCAAAATTGCTTTGAAACAGGTTGCTTTGAAATCTAGTGTCGTGGAAAGTGTATCGTACACGCATTAGGCAATCAAATCCCGGGGAAATTCTCCGACTAGGTTCTCTCTTTCTTTCACTCTGAGGCCCTTCGAAAATATGTAAAATGGTGCCGACTTTCCCTACCTAGACAAAAAATTTATACTTATAAAAATATTTATAAAAGAAGATACTTACCTAGATAGATAGGAAGAGGAAGGTTTTATGTACCAAGTTTCTTGTTCATTGCCTGGCAATGCATACTTGCTAACAAGGGAATATTTTGTCTAAACAATTTTATGTTCCTATGTATGTATATGATATTCGGTTATTGCATTTCAACAACTTTGGTGGGGGCCTTTGGTTTTTCCCTTTTTCTAGGGTAATCGAGGGCGCTAAGCACAAATTTCGCATTTTTAACGCATAGATTTGCTTTTAAAAACCTGACTTTTTCGACCTCGGAAGTAACGCAAAATCGATGCTTGTTTGACAATTTTGTATGCTTGGTCTTTATAAGTATGCAAATTTGCATGTTTACATTTGGCTTTGTGAGCGTTTAGCCGTAATGGCTCATACAGTGGCGGAAAAAAGTATTGGGCCCCCAGACTGTTTTTAATTTTTGCTTCAAAAAAAATTTCTATCGAAAGCTTTTTGAATTCGTTCTAAATTTCTAGAAACTAGAAGAACTAAGCTTCGTAATGTTATAAAAAGTTTTGAATTGCAAAGTTTATTTAACGAGAAAAAATATACGTGCACAATATTTGCAAAAACCGGCGGAAAAAAGTATTGGGGTTCTGTCCAAAAAAAAAGAAGAATTCACTATTTTGTTGGGCCATCTCGGGCTTTAATAATCGCCTCCATTCGTTTCGGCATGCTTGCAACTAATTTCACTGAGATCACTTTATCCACCGAACGTTGACTGTTGGGTAAATCTTTTTAGTAGGCTTTGTATTTTGATACTTTGTTCGATCACAAAGAGCTTATTATTAAAGATTATTAAAGCCCGAGATGGCCCAACAAAATAGTGAATTCTTTTTTTTGGGCAGAACCCCAATACTTTTTTCCGCCGGTTTTTGCAAATATTGTGCACGTATATTTTTTCTCGTTAAATAAACTTTGCAATTCAAAACTTTTTATAACATTACGAAGCTTAGTTCTTCTAGTTTCTAGAAATTTAGAACGATTTCAAAAAGCTTTCGATAGAAATTTTTTTGAAGCAAAAATTAAAAACAGTCTGGGGGCCCAATACTTTTTTCCGCCACTGTATTTGGGGGTGCCTCAAAAGATCTAGTGCCTAAGCAGGCCCGCGGTGGGGGTGGGTGCAGCCTAAGTGCACCCCAACTATGCGCCATTAAACTGTGACTAGATCTTTTGAGGTCGAAAAAATTAGAGCTTGAAAGTAAATCTATGTTAAAAATGCGAAATTCGGGGTCTATCCCAAAACAGCACCGCCAAAATAGCGCCGACCAAAACAGCGCCACCCAAAATAGCAGCTCCAAAATAGCAATTTTTATTAGCAGCTTTTAATTTTGATAATTTATTTAAAAATAACATGACCAACAACAATAAACGATAACAATTAAACGATGCATAAAAAACTTTAAAATAGGATGAAATTAATAGTCCAAGAGACTCTGAAACATCATAACACTAGCGATGATGAACATAAACGCCTAGAGCTTTCAAGTGAACCGTAGTAGAAATAAAAAGTTAGTGAAAATGTTAAAAAACAGGCCGTAAAAGGAAAAAAAATTGTTATTTTTGGTTAAAACCAATTTTATAAACGCTATCGCAGGTTTCTATGCGTAAAGCTTTAAGAAAATCGGATTCTCCGCCCTAAAAACACAAAAAGTGGACAGAAGAAGTTAAAAACAGCAAAGAAAAAGCAAAAGCAAAAATCTATAAAATAATTTTTTTTGCTCGTCGCTGTTTTGGGCGTTTTTGCATTGGCGCTGTTTTGGGTACGGCGCTGTTTTGGCGGCGCTGTTTTGGGATAGACCCGAAATTCGTGTTCAGCGCACTCGATTACCCTAGAAAAGCTGAAAATTTCGACAATATAGGTGGTCCGCCAACCACCAAAGTACCAAAAACTTTTTATAAATTTTGTTGCACTTAAAATTTGAGGACTGTTTCCTCGTTTTTTTATTCTGCTTTTTCATATGTATGTATGATATGAAAATGGCACCTTTTAGATATGAACCGGCTGCCACCAAATATGAGTGGGAACATGCCTGGACCGCAAGAAAGGGGTCTCCGTTCGGTATTTGGTTGGTTTATAACACAGTTTTAACAATAAAATTTTTAGTGGGAAATATTTCATACGAAGTTACGGAGGACCATTTGCGGCAAGTCTTTCAAAAGGTAGATTTTAAGTATGGGTGAATTTTATTGTCTCTTTAGATCGGACCAGTTATCAGTTTCCGTTTGGTGACGGATCGTGAAAGCGGCAAGCCAAAGGGTTATGGTTTCTGCGAATTTGTTGACCAGCAGACAGCTGAACTAGCTATCAGGAATCTCAATGGGTAAAACTTAGGAATTACAAATATGTAAATATTTATTTGTTTAGTTTTGAAATAGGTGGTCGCAATTTACGCGTCGATAGTGCTGCTGCCGGTGATCGCACAGCAGAAGAGGTTGTTTTTGCTAAAAATTAATGTGCTATTTGGTTACAGCTGTCGGTATTACAACAAGCTTTTGCGGTACGTCAAGATGAGAGTCCGTACGGACCGACGCCAATTGAAGGAAAAGCTGCCGAGGTATACATTTGGTTTTGGTAAATTTTAGGTATAACTTTAAGCTAAAAATTTTTAAGAATTTAGGAAGAATTCAAGATTTTTAGGCTGTTTCACGAGCAGTAGCGTCATTGCCACCCGAAAAGATGTTTGAGATCATGAAGCAACTCAAAGATGCTTGCAAGTAAACTTAAATATGTCAAAAATCGTTTAACGATATCTATTTAGAGCTAATCCTCAAGAAGTGAAAAAAATGTTGATGGATAATCCACAGTTATCATATGCGCTTTTGCAAGTAAGCGGTTTTTTTTCTTTATTTTTCATTGTGTTTGAATTCAGGCACAAGTCGTTATGCGAATAGTGGATCCTCAAGTCGCGGTGGCAATGCTTCAACGAGAAACTCCGGTCAATTCAACACCATTTCATCAACGACCAGCACATATACCGGGCCCATCTGCACAACCTCCATCTACCACTATACCTCATCCAGGTTGCTAAATTTTTGAAAAGTTATAAACTAACTTTTAGTAAACATGCCACCGCCGGGATTCACTGCACCCCCGCCTGGGTATTCTCATCCTCCACCAGCTCCAGTTCAACAACAACCACAAACGGCTGATGAAGATAGTCAACAAGCTGCACTACTCGTACAGGTAAATGTGTATTGAAAGAGTTTTATTTCGACTTTTTACTGATATTGCCAATCAAATAAAAGCAGTGCTGCGTTGCTCAACATCAACAGTCTTGTTCCAGGTTTTGCAACTGACCGAGGAAGAAATTGCAATTTTGCCGCCAGGAGATCGGGAACGTGTCATCGAGCTTCGCAATCAATTACGTCAACAACTATAAAAGACCAAATTTATTTTGTCCGTAGTACCTCTTTAAACTATAATATTAGTTTTTTTATAACTTTTCTTGTTTTTTTTACTTTCCTCATTTCAGTCTCTAAAATTCTTTGCTTTGTATTTTCAACTTAAATAAATCAATTGTTTTTACTATCAAGTATTATATTAAAAGTTCATTCTTTTGATACATTATTAATTTGGGTAGGCCTATAGCCTGTAGAGGGGCAAAACGCCTAGTTGCAAAAATGAGGTGCCCCCTAAAAGCGTGCCCCTTTCAGTTTTGTCTTACGGTTGGCCGAACTGCAAAGGCCTAGGCGTTGCGATATGCGATACGTACTTTATTTAAGTGTGGAGAGCAGCAATGTTCAACCTGTTTGACATTTGTTGACGCTTAAAAAAATTTATACATAACATAGGTATTCAAGTTTCTTCCAGGTAAACATGGGTGCTGAGGGGCGACGAGCTGCAGTTGCAAAGAAAAAGGTACATTTTGAAACTTTTAGATTTCGTTGATATGTTATTAGTTTTTAAAATTAGACACCTTATTTTTTATTTAAAAACTCCAAGTTTAGACAAGTCCGCCAATTCTTTCACACGAATTCGTCATTCAAAATCATGGGGATATTATGAGGTAATGTGCTAACTATTAATTTTGTTAACTAGGTATTTACAAAAATAAAAACATTACGCATAGTATAATCTAGAAGTCGGTATTCCTCTTATCCTGTATCATCAGTTTAGTTGCATTCTTATGCTCATCGTTATCGGATTCATGTTCCCGGTTGGTTGAAAGTATTTTTATGTGTTAATGATCATATATTAAGGCTACTGCATCGCTTTCTGCCATTTTTGTTGTTCCACAATATAACGAAACGGTGTCTATTCCAACGGAAGTTGGTCTGTTTTTGAATTCCCTTCTATGTTTATGGTTAATTTTAGGCCCATACGACGTTCAAATCTATAGAAGCGGTGTTCGAGATATTTTCACGGTTCTTTTTTACACAGTTGCTTGGATCACCGTTCATGCAATTATCCAGGAATACATTCTCGACAAGCTACAACGAAAGGTATAAATGACGATTTGTTTTCTAGTTTATTTTCAGTTTAGGTTCATCTCTCCAAATCAAAGCAATACAAGTTCGGCGAGTCAGGGCACCATCTTTTTTTTGCTACTTATGCTGTTGTACACGCCGCATACGTAATCGGAGATTTCATTGACGTGAGTTTAGATTCTTGAGTCTACTTCTGTTTTAAAATGAATTGTTTTAGTCACATAATGACTTGAAAAACGTATGGAGTGGTTATCCAGAAGAGCACCGTGCTATGACTCTTAACATGAAGCTCTTTTTCTTGTTACAGGTGAACTTATACGATTTTTAGAAGAATTTTTTTTGTTTAGATTGCTTACTGGGTTCACCAATTTCCGGAATTTTATTTTTCGAAGATGAAGAAAGTAACATTGTTTTGGTATACATTCACATGCGCATGTTTTTAGGACGAAATGCAACACCGAACTGTTGTCTCTATTCTTCACATTGGCTTCATTGCCGGAGCTTACATTATGAAGTACATTTTAATCTACCTTTTTATAATCCTAGATGGATAACTTAAAAGAACTTTAGCTTTCAACGACTCGCTGTACTTTTGCTTGTGATTCAATATGCATCGGATGTCATTTTCCATTTAGCTCGCCTTATCCACTTTTTGGAAAAAAAAAGTATCGCAAAAAATACGTATGTAAACTGTTTTAGAAAGCTTGACTACTTATTGTTTTAGGTTCAAAGCTTGGAATTTTGTGTTCATCTTGGCACGTCTAGCTACCGCCGTTCTTGCTGTTGTTACTTTCTGGTACTCTGTTAATGTCTGGTTTTATTTAACGCTTTTGGTTTAGGTATGGTTTGCGACAAACTGGTCAACCAAGTGTTGACATTCCCAATGGAAACTTTAACACTTCGTTCATAAGGTACGGTTCGAGAGAGACAATTATAAATTATTTTTAGGTTAAATTCTTTGATTGCCACCCTAGCTCTACAACTCTTTATGTTATGGCAATTTATCACTTTCCACTTTGGACGCCTCCGTGATGTCCGACAAAGGTTTATCTTGAAATTAACGCGTTTCCCCCAAAAATACTTTTTAGGAAACAGAAAGGAAATGAGACCAAAAAACAATTGGCTGCGGCTTCCAAAAGAAACAATAACCGTACGGAAAGTGTAAGTTTTATGCCGAGGCTAGCTCAAAATCCTGATTTTGACTTTTTGTTTACAAACAAAGGTGTTTTAGGAGTCGTCTGCTCAAGAAACCGCTCCCGAAGATAAAAGCCCCGGAAAACGCAAGCAAAAGGCCCATTAATAAATTGCTTTATAGCCGTTTGGATCAGTTTTATTTGTCTTTTGTATTTTATTGTTCTGTAAAGGCTATTTAAAATATACTTTCAAAGTGTCCCCCTTGCCCACTCAGCTGAATATCTTCTAGTTTCGTGGGGAATTTCAGCCAAAAGGGGCAGCTAAAAAAATCTACGCAGAAAAAGGGGCGAGGCCTCGTAGCTTTCATAGATGTCCCATTTTGTTGAATTTTCCCACAAAATAAAAGATATTCAACTAGTGCTTAGGGGGACACTTTGAAAGCAAAATTTAAATTGGCGTTTTCTGTGAATTTGGGGTTGTGCTATGTAAACTATTTATTTGCTTCTATGAACCTTAAATTTAGGTGTTAAGTTACATTTTTGCTAATCGGGGAACCGAAAGCATTTTTCACGTTGATTGTGGGGGTTTCAGTATTTCATCATATCTAATCGTCTGTGTTTTTTGCTGTTCCAAATATCCATACTATCACATTTCGTGTATTTTTTCAAATAAGTAGTTTCAGTATCTTTTTTGAAATTGTTTTTGCTTGTTTGTAGTAAAAGTTGTTTTATTTCTTTAAAAACGGCTTCAGCGAATGCGGTACAACGAGCCTCACTTACAATCTTTTGACCACTTCCAAATTTTAAACGGTGTATCTTTGTATTAAACACGTAGGTGCCTACCTCGGCTCAATTTCAGTTTAATGAGTCTGATCACAGAGCCTTCAACGGCTTCATCGTACTTCCTAGATGAAACGATCCCAGTTACCCTGATCACAAATGGGCTGTATGTTTTGGCGAATGCCTTAAATTGCCTTAGTCAGCTTAAGCTTTTTGTTTTTCAGAGGAATTATTAACCACGTGCATTTACGTGTAGGTGAACGTCGTTTGCCCAACAATGACACAGTAAGCTCGTTTCCTTTTATTCTTTAATTTATGCCTCTATTTAGGAGGTTCGAATTGAGGTTAGTCGCCCAGATGATTATCGCTTTGTTTTCGCAAATGGAATAACTCGAGAATCGTTTGCTATTCTTCGTGATCGATGCAACATATCCACTGATTTTCAAAGTTTTGCTAAACGGTATGCTTTTCGCCAAAAGTGCAATGCATTTTTTTTACTAGTATTGTTCAACTCATCAAAGACCGGGAAAGTTCCACCCCTCCATTAAGGATCGATTGCGTCATTGATACAAAAGACGATACGTGCAGGTATGCAAGCAAGAAACTATAATAGTTTTTTATTGGTTTTAGCCTAGAGCTTGTCAGTCAATTACCCGTACATATCTCGAAAATTGATATTACTTTGCGTCGCGTTGTTGGTGAGGAGCTGAATTATCATTTAATTGATGCACTGAGTCGGATAAAGGTAAGGGAATCTTTGCAAACTTATGTATGATTGACACTTTGGAACTTTGGTGGTTGCGAGGGGCTACTTTTACCCTGGCTTAGTTGGATCTAATGTTTTGATTGGTTGTATTGATACCTTTTATTTATTCTAGGGTAATCAAATATGCTTGGTAGATTGATGACTATTTTAGCAAGTTTTTGGCAGTTTTAGCCTAATCTCATGTACTTTAATCACCAAACACTACCTCAAGGCTGCTTACACTTGAAGATCAAATAAATGCGGCAATATGAAACTTGAAACACGTTGTAAATGCTCCAAAAGTATACGCATATTTGATTACCCTAGAATAGGAAGATAAAAGGTACCAATACAATCACTCAAAATATTAGATCCAGCTCAACCAGGATAAAAGTGGCTTCTCCCAATGAGCAAAGTACCAGCACTTTTGTAGGAAAAACATCGTGTACAATTTGAACAAGAAAGAAAGGAAAGAAAAGAGTTTGAAATTGAAACGAAAGCGGTTGCTGATTGTGAAAGCAAAAGGCTTCGAGAAGAAATTGAGGTTATGTTCTCAACACTGTCTGCCTGACCATAATTTAGAGACTAAAAGAAAAAGTCAGCTCATTGGAAACCGATTGCAGGGTTTGTTTTCTTTGTTTTTTTTTATATTTTATATCCAGATTGAAGCGGACGAGAAAGAAACAGCAAATGGTGCTCTAGAAGATATTCGAAAAGATCTGAATGATGCTGATCAAGAAATCGTTGGTTGTTTCGGGGTTTCAACAAATGGAAAGTTTAGATGGAATTGAATGAAGAACAAAAGTTTTTGCTGGAAGAACACGACCGTGTTTTGAAAGAGGTAATTTGAAATTAAAAGCTGTTTTATTTGGTTCGTTCTGTTTAGAACGAGCGTTTGAAAAAAGATTTGAAAGAAGCACTGCATGATAGAGAAATAGCCGAGGCCAAAGCAGAACAACAGCGAAATCGAGCCGAGGAGAACGGCCGAAAGTTACGTGAATCGAATCGAATTCTCAAGAAAACTTTGGTGAGAGAATTTCTTTGTTATTTTTATTTATTGTTTGAATACGCGGTGGAATTGTCACTTTTAGGAAGCAGTTGATGAAGAAGGGGATGAAAATGAAAGGATCGAGGATCTGGTCCGTGATAACACAAGGAAAGCTGAGGCCATTCAAACGCTCACGAACGAATTGAAAAAACTGACCGAAACGTCAGTTTTCGTATAATTTTATTATTTTTACAGATACGTTTAGATACCAACAATTACGTCTAAAATCGGAAGAATTACTAGAAGAGAACAAACAATATCGAAGACGAGAAGACACCGCAAAGAAGAGTAAACATGAATATAAACTTGTATATAATAATTTCTATTTTTAGTGTATGGAAATTTGGCACCAAATCGGCAGATCCCTACAAATCATTCTTCGACACAACTCGTTCAAGCTAGCCCATTCTCTTTTCGACAGCATCAGCCTGCATATGTAATTTTTATAAAACGTAGCATACGAATTTTAATGATTTAGACTCCGGCAAGTACAAATTTACCACTCGGAACTTTTAATGCAAAACAAACAACCCGCCAGACATTAAATCCATTACTGGCAAGTTTGTTTCGTTATCTAAAAAGGTAGCAATACGTAGTTTCTGATTTTTCAACTTAGGCCACGTCCTTTCATCCAACAGGTACAATTGAGACTCCGCTACGTAATTCTCCACAGCAGCAAATTCTCGCCAAATTTCGTGGTACTGAAGCAAAGGAAAAGTAAATGATATTCATTTGTCTAATTAGAACACATTTTTAGTCAAATTCCTGGACCAAGTGGGATTTCCAAACAAAAATAATGATCATTACTGAAAAGTCAATCCTTTTTGCTTGTTAATCTTATTACTGTTTCCAGTCACAAAATCTCTTTTATAGTGATTTCATTGTATGATCGACTCATTTCCATAGTTGCTCAATACCGAAATTTCATATTTTACGAAGATTTAAAGAATATTTTATCAATAAAGAATATTTTAGCTAATGGAAAATCTTTGTGCGATAAACTTGTCGATTTTACCATAGCAAAATAAACTAATTGCAACGAGTAGCTGTACAAAAGTTAATAAGGAAGTGCCGAGAAAGAGACCCGTTTGGCCGCCGAGTTCTATAAATTATCATTGGGGTTGTTTCGGGAAACCTTACCCGAAATGAAATGGGGTAGAGTGGTCGTATGTATTTCTTCGTATTCCTCCTCCTAAATTATTTTGAGTTCGAAGAAAAACTAATCAGCACTTGTAGCTCATTGAAAGCAAGCTCAAGTCGGTAACCATAAGATTTCTCTCCAATTTGATCGTCCGGCGCCGAGGTCCAGTCGATTGAAATTTCTCGGCGAGAGCAAGATGGAAGACACTAAAGAGGGCGACAACTTAAAACAATATCTAGTTGTAGGCATGTTATGGGAAGCATTTGTCGGTGAATGTTTTTAATTTTTTAAAATTAAAACTTATTTAGTTGGTGGCATGGTAGGCATGGTGGTTATTATAGTATGCATTTCAACGAGTAGGAAGATGGGATTATGATAATACTAGATCTTTGGCAATATTTCCAACCTTGAACCTTTCCAATCTCGGCCATTTTATGTCACTATAATTGGCGATTACTGTTGATACATTACAAACGGGAACGGAATAAACATAATCAAGCGTTTCCTAAAAGAATTTATGCTTGTTTTTCTCTCTCATTCGCCAACTTTATAATATGGTAGAGTGCAGTTGTATTTGCCGACAACGCTCTCTTTGATGTACTCATACACATAGCATGTATACAAACCTGTAGATTTAAGTATACAAATACACAGTTTTATTATAGATCACCTCTATTTCTTGGTAAAATCGAACAACGTGGATTATCCGATAGACTTATAATCAACCGGGAGTTGAAACGAAACTGAAATTTTTGAGAAATTACCTACATATTCTGCAGAAAATTATTTACTTTGTTCCATGAGTTTGGATTGAGATAATAACGAGGAAATGTCGACGTTTCAATATTCTCATCACCAATAAACATGATCACATTTGACTAGAATTTACGTTATGCATTTATGTATGCAATCTGGGCAGTTGTATATCTATTAAATATCTAAGGTTTAATCTACTCGAAACCTGGAAATGATTATCGTTGACGAGTGGGCTGGGAATGTTTTTGATGAAGAGCCTAAGCTTGGCTAACTCGTCCGCGTCATTTTGGTTGTAGCCGTTAAGCTTGAAACATCTGGAACTAGGTTTTAGTAATTAGGTTTTTAAGCACAGAAAAAATAGTACATGTAGAAGATAGGGCAAATTTGCATCTGATTGTAACCGTTGCCATACGACAATGCCACTCTTTGACTACGTTAATCGAGTCATTTACTAGTTAACAAAGTTGGTAAAGTATAATATACCTTCCCCGCAGCATCACAAACGTCGGTGAAAAGATGTCGCAACAGTTTGCGTTTAACGACCCTTGAGTGCATTGTTGGAAAAACTGAAATTTTGTGTTTGTTGTTTCGTGGCACAATTCACCTCATTGCATGTGATTGAATTCTCTTCAAAAACGAATTTGAATAGATCCAATGTTGAGCGATTCCCACGCCAAATCTCGTAGTTCATTTGAAGATTTCTTCTAAAATGATCAAAAACTTTTCATTATTATAAGCGATTTGTTAGTTCAAATTAATTTGTTTGACACAAGAGCGATCCAGCAACCAGGGTTGACAAAATGTTTACTTGTATTCATCAGAGAACTGATCAATGTACACATAATCAAAACCGGAGCCGGCAATGAAATATTTCAAGAGATCCTTGTAGGTGCCATTTAGATGACCACCCAATCTCGTTTCCATATCTAGATAGTTGATGATAGTTTGGAAAAAGTTTATGTATAACCTTTTACAATATCTTCAACATGAACCGCATCGGGACTGTTCGGACAAAAAATCAAATTGGGAAAAGACAAGGATTTCACCTAAAACACATTGTCTAAACATTACACGTTGTATTATGCTGCTCTTGAGCTTGAGCACATTGAGTTTTTGTATTCGGTCTCTTACAGTATGCCTAAACAAAAAATTTTTAGGCAGTAAGATCACTTTCAAAATATGAAAAAATGCTCATAATTAGCATTGTCCAAAATATTTCGAGAGTCGTATTTGTACCTGTTTGATTCTCATTCTTGTTTGTGTGTCATTGCTAACGTATGAACTAAGAATATATTGTGCATTCCAGATGGCGCCTGCAAAACAAATCGCCACAACAACCAGCCAGAAAACACGCATTTCGAGCGAGTGACTCTAATAGTTGAAGATAAATAATGCATATTTGAGCAAAAATATGATTTTAGAACTCAGATGCAGATAAACCTTTATCCTGAACTATGCAGAGATAACAATAGACATGCAATGATATTTTTGAACTTTGTCTACCAACCATCATGAGTTGTGAAAGACCGTGCAACTCTTTTCTCCACAAATATCTACACGAACACTTTTGTGGAAAGTTCGTGGGTGGAGTGATCGGTGTTGAGGAATCCGAGGGAAAAGTTCTCGAAAGGATAAGTCTAAATTGGTTGTTAGGTCTTTGGTTGATAAGCATAAAAAGTTTTTTATCAACATTTTAAAATAGAATTTATAAATCACCTTGGTGATCCTCGCATCCTCCTTTCCAATGTGTAGATTGATCCAAAGAAATCGGGTGGATCTGATTCATTTGACATTTCTTCAAGATCAGCATCGAAGTTTTTATTCATGTTTAAGTAGAATACAAATGATACAAAGTGTCCGGCATCAATAACTTCTCATCGTATCAAAATAGATGGAGAAGGGGGAAAAGGGTAGGTGAAATCTGATACCCTTAGAGATGATCGTTTACTTATTCTTCTCCTCATAAATACCACCTCCGAAATAAAGTATGCTCTTCTCGGTTAATGGGGACCATGAAACTTGCGCCACAAATCTTTTTATAAATTTATTTATAAATTATGAATTATAAATAAATTTATTTATAAATTATAAAACCACAAAATTATAAATCCTATGTTAATCGCGAATCTCGCGCCGCGAACTTTACGCCGCGCTGTCAAAAACGAAAGTTGCGCTACGGGAAGTTTGCGCCGTTAAACAAAGCGAAACTTGTGCCACTAGTCAAAAGCGAAATTTGTTTTTACCAACATTTATGTCTCGTGTCACTTGTTTTTCATATTTGCTTTTTCTTCACCGTATTTCATACATGCTAAGTATTACTATTTTAGAGAAGAAGGAGTTTAGCAGTGCAAACTAACACTCTAACACATATTGAGGTCCAAACTAACACATATGCTGTGTTGTTCTTGATTTATAGAATTCAAAACTTTTTAGTTTAGGGAATTACAAAGAAATCGACTGCCCAATTCGTTGCTCAATAGCTCTTTTAACATCAGAAGGAATTTAAAGCTCGATATGATGAAGCCTCAGCTAAGCAAGTCTGTCAACTTTTCCCCAACCTAAGCACGTTGTTAATTTTCACGCTCGTCGATTGCTCGTCATCAAAAACGATAATTTTCAACGTTTAAGTTACCTGAAAAGCTTGTCTTTGTACGTTGGCCCTACAATTTGAGCTTTTCTGGTGCTTCCAGTGTCTCCGTTGTTATTTATTAAGGTGTTTTGATCTGTGCATTGTTATTATATTTTTATGATAAACGTTTTATGGTTGATGTTGGTTATTGGGCGAGATCAAATACACAAGCTTTAAAAAAGGATTTTTTACTTTTTAAGTGCAAAACAATTAAGAGCGCTTTGTAATGGTGCAATGGTGGCGCAATCTTCGCTTTTTGTTTTATGGCGCAAAATTCGCGACGCAAGTTTCACGATTAACATAGGCGGCGCAAGCTTCATAGTCCCGGTTAATGCGCTTTCTAACATGTATCAACTTTTGACTTTAGAATATCCACTTATAGTTAGTGTAAATTTTCTTTTTTTGTTGCTTTTTTTATTGCTTTTCCATTTTCTTATTTGTATTGTGTGATGTATAAAGCTATTAAAAAATTTATTGCCATTCGGATGGCCAAATTAAAATGACAAGGATAAAAAACACAAGCGAAACAATTCGAAAATTTTAGAAAATCAGAGGAGAATCTGTTTGGGGAAAATCATATAACAAACTTAACTGCCACTTTTTGCGTGAGCATTTCTCGAATACAAAGATCAAAAGAGGAAAACAAATAGTTTAGCTGAATACTGTATTGACTCTAATGGAAGCCGCGAAATACATATTAGGGGACTTCTATTTTTTCGATTGTTTCCCATCTGCGGCTTTTTTAGAAGCAATACGGTAGTTAAGATCTAAGATAATATATCAAAAATATCATCAAAAAAAAATTCAAAAACATTTTTCTTGCACAGATTTGTTAGAAGGCTTCGACGTCGAGAGAAGAATGGGAAGACTTTGAAATTTAGCATTTGCATTTAGAACATACCCATATCGTTGATTCACGGACAAAGGAGAAAAAAATGTAAAATAAACGGTAATAAAGCTTTCTTCTTTTACTTGAATGGCGGAGGATTCTCGGTGAATGAGGACTAGTTTTAAGAGGAATTGGAATTTTTGGGGGAATTGATAGAGCCTTATAAATAAATTGTTGGTTAGCCGATAAAAAATAAGATCTTTGAATATTTGAAAAATGGATACTTATCGGTTATATCCCCACAAAATGCACAAATTTGTGGAGATATAACTTACTGGATGCGTGGACCAAACTATTGTGGGACTTTAACCGACTAGTACCGAAAAGTGTTAATAAAAGCGAAATTCCTGGCAAACTTGTCCAAATATCTTTTTAGAGATGAGTTAATGGATGTGACTGCGTTAAACTCTTCCCGTTCCTGTACTTCCTCCATATACATCATGAGTCCTCTCATATTGCACAATCTCATTGTAAATCAATGCTGAAAACTTTTGCGTTTACTTTGGCAAATCATGAGGTGGTCTACTTGTGTCATTACAGTATCTACGGCAGAAACTTTTTGAATTCCTATTTCAAAACTCAAAGTTTTTTCTTTATGCACTCACTTTTCCACTCATCAACGGAATGTTCCCTTTTATCCACCTCGTTATTGTATTGTTCGGGCGGCGGAGCGAAAACCTAATTTTGAGGGTGATTTTTTTGCATTGAAAGGGATAAAGAAAAGGAGATTTCTTGCTAAAGAGATATTTTTAAAGAATAAATTCTTTTTTTATTCTCACCTCACTCTCATCAAACCACACATTCACATATGGATGTTGGAGTGCTTCATTCACCGAGATTCTTTCTTTTGGATCAATCACCAACATTCGACTCAACAAGTCACGAGCTTGTGCGGCTGAATTTGAAATGGTTGTCGGCAACCCTCAATTTTACATAGCATTTCGACAGCATATATTTGAAGGTGTGACCCTTTTTTCTACTGAAGGGTCCCTTGCACCCTTGCACTCCCGTGATAAAAGTTTCAAGCTTTGTAGATGGTTTAGATGATGAGCTCAGTCCAAAATTTGCTATTCAACTTATACGAGGTGCTTACTGTGCAATACAACTTTTATTCGATTTTAACCAAAGAAAACTAACCAGTTAACCGAGCATTGTCTGTTGGTTGAGGAAACATCGCATCGGGAAAGAGAACTTCGAACGATATTGGACGATATGATGGACGATTTTCAACATAATTCCGTACTGTTGCTTGCAATCTCTCAAGAAATCCCCTAAAAGTTATTAAAGGTTATGATACAAAGTGTGTCAAAAGTCTCAGATAACACAGCATTCAAGGGGTTTGCTAACGAAAACCCCGTTGATTCTTTTGTTGTTTACCTTGAAGGAGTCCCAAGTTGTTCCACGATTTTTGTCCATTGATCGATATGATCTGTGCCTGGGAATAGTACTCGTCCCCTAACCAGTTCTCCAAATATACATCCAATTGACCAAATATCGACTAAATTGAGATATTTTGATGTTTCAGTTTAACACATTTTGGGGTACAGTCACGTAGTCGTTAATAATAATTTGGTTCTGATAATTTGGTGAACATTCTAATCTAAACTAAACTATTATAATCATTGGATAGCCCTGAATCTCCTCTTGAAAACTAGTACAAAGTTACCGAGATCTTTTTGCGAAATGAATAAAAAAGCCCTTAAAAACGTGAGTTGACACCAAAAATAACCGTCATTAGTACGACCCACCGGTAATATACTTGAATATGTATTGGTAGCTTCAAAAATCTTACCATTAGCCTCATATCCCATTCCAAGAATAACCTCGGGTGCTCGATAATATCTTGTCACCACATAAGGAGTCATCATAAAGGAATCACCGGCACTTCTAAAAAAATAATCAGTATAAAAGGTACGGAGAGTTATCTTTAGATAAGTATCTAGGTGTTTCTGTGGTTTTTATTTGTGAACTATTCACCTCGCCAAGCCGAAGTCCAAAATTTTCAGTGTGCAATCACTCTTGACGACGATATTGGATGGTTTTAGGTCCTGAAAAAGCTAGATTAAACCTGAAACTGCAAAAATCAATTTAAACACATATACCTATTTGAATTTACTTACCCGATGAATAATCCCAGCAGCATGCAGATGCCGAATCCCACAAAGCATCTGATAGAGAAGATACGAGAGACGCTCATGATCCAAATCCATATTTATTACCTGGATTATATTTATGTTATACATTTATTTGTCGTTCTTTTGATCTACCTGACATAAATTAGCATCCATGAGCTCCATTACAATGTAGAGATCATCAAATTCCCGTAGTGAACGTTGAGGAGTGAACGCATTCAGTAGTCCGATTATCTAGAACAATAAAAACAACTAATCTTTGAATGATTGCCATGAGGATCGAATAACTTTTGTTTCAATAAGCTAATCAATAAAATGCCAACATTCAAAGCACTCACATTTTTGTGATGAACGAGGTTCATCAGCTTGAACTCTCGATAGGCCCGTTTTGCATGGGTGACATTTTGAAAGGGTCGAGAGAGCTTTTTGATTGCAACTGGCTCATTGCGTATCGTATCGTGAGCGGCACTATAAATAATGAAAAAAGATAAAGTTAAGAAGACATGAACTATTTTATCAATCCACTAGAGATGCTTATTAATGTGACATACCAAACAATGCCTTGAGCTCCACTTCCGATGATGCGCAGATTTTGATACCTTTTCAGCACCACCAATCGAGTATCACCTAGAAAAGTTTCATCAAAGCATATAATAAGTATCAGTTTTCTTTGATTTGTGTTTAAAGAAAATTCTTTTACCAATTTCCACCGTATAGTAGGGATCATCAGCAGCCGATGTCGAAGCCATTGTGGCCCCAGAAACGCTAAAAAGTTTGGTTTTTGAAAAGTTATTTATACTAGTCTATCGTTTTTAAATTATCTGCATTGCACATTTTTTTGCTTTCTGAACCTGCGCAGTGATCCGAGTGGAGTGGACGGGCAACTGTCGAGTGAGATTGGTGGATCGTCGCCTCGACCACCTGATGAACCTAACCACTAAAGGAAAGTAAGTAGTAAGTATGATAGTGTAAGATCAATAAAACTTTATTTTCCAAAATACAGCGACAAGAACACCGTATTGAATTTTCTGAAAACCCGAGTGCATCAAATACGCAAGGCACGATACAAAAGCTAAGATCATAAAAAATGTTTTTAAATGCTTGATTGCGAAATGGAAAAAGAACACAGATATTTGCTAAAAGAAATCGATTTGCAAGTAGTTGAGGGGAGTGAAAAGGGAAAAGGGACAGAGGGCGAATTAAAAAGGACGACAAGGGGAAGAGCCTAAAAATGCAAATGAGTGGCGGAAGGGGAAAGGGTAGATGGGGTGAATGGGGTAAGGAACTATAGGAGAGAAGAAGATTGCAAGTAGAGAAGGGCGAGGAGAAACTGGAAAGGAGAAGAAGCTCGCAACGGGGGCACAAATTCGTGGTCAATTCGGGAAGGGGCCGACCTCCGACGGGCTTTGGCAGCCTCCTCGGGAGCGGGGGAAGGGATGAAAAGGAGCAATTCTGAGACAAGAAAGAAATCTGGAGAGAGTAGATGGATTAGAAGTGTTAAGGAAGGGTTCTTGTGAGAGAAAAGGGAATAAGAAAACGGAGAAAGTACACGGGAGAAAAGAGAACATTTTGACAAAGTCAAGAGACTTTAGGTTTCCCCGAGAGATTTCGATAGGTGAACACATTTGAGATTGAGGAAGAGTCGAAGAGATGCAGCTTTTGGCTTTCAGAAAGAGTACAGATGGCAAGGAGCAGCGAGAAACGTTCAAATGGGGTAGAATTGAGAGATTTGAAGAGAAAAATCGGTGCAAGAAAGAAATATTAAAGTGGATAGAGAGGGTTTAGAGTTGAATCATCTCTTGTGCCTTTCTCTTCTCTTTACCCTTTCCCCCACATCGATTTGGCCACACTCGCGCGATACGCGACACTCACGAAATATGGATGGGTGGGGGAAAAGGTAAAAGAAAAAAGATGGGATGTATTTTGCATGTGTGCTGTGAGAATATAAATGAAGAAACACGATAAAGTAACTTTTACCCTTTTTCAACATTTTCCAAATGCATACTAGTTGATTTTATTGGATTGGTGAATTGAAAACTGCCGGCTATTGTCACATGTGACAGTTTGAGCACTTTCTTCAAAAGAAACCCATTTTGGTGTCAACGGAAAAGTTGTAGAGAATCAAAAATTAAGCTTATATCCAAATTTTCAGAACGATTCAAAAACTGGTTTTCAAGAAATGCCAAATTTACGAATTTTCACAAAATTCGCATTTTAAGCGAAACTACTAAGTGTATCTTTTTGGAAATTTGGCTATAAGCCTAATTTTTGATTCTCTACAACTTTTCTATTGACACCAAAATGGGTTTCTTTGAAGAAGCTGCTCAAACTGGGACATCTCCAGTCCTCCATTTTTGAGTCTCACACTTGTATCACACACAAACCAAAAGAGGAATCGGTAAATTGCCTGTAAAATGGGCAGAAGTCATCAATAATAATGGAAATTATTTGGAATGAATTGATGGTTTTATGTTGAATAAATTTTAGTTCAAAGTCCGGCAGTTTTCAATTCACCAACCCAGTAGATATCGTAATGCGATAACAGTCTTGATTCAGCTTTTATTCTATTCTATTTTCTATTTTCGAAAACAAACCAGATGAGAGTTATAAATAAAATATAAGATTGGGATATTTGAATCTAGACCCATTACGTTATTGACCACTCAATAGCATAAAATACAATAATAATTTTTATATTCTATTAAACTCACCTGAGAAACACTACCAATCCAAGATGAAAGATGTCCTCGTGTTCCTCGAAGAATGTTCCCTATCGATGCAGCTCCCATCCCTGTTTCAGCTGATGATGGCTGACCTGGAACTGTATTTCCTTTTATATCCATATTTAGTTCAGTTTGTAACCGTTTGCACTAAAAGTCTTGACTTAAGAGAAATCGATGATGTTTGATAGTTCGTATCAAAACGTCCAGGAAACATAGTTAAATGCTTAACAAAAGAAAGATGATAAAATTCAAATATTGACATATTTGCTACTGTAACCACGTGCACACTGTTGGATAGATTTTTGATTTTTATAGATTAAAAATAATTTTATAACCTTTTACGTAAACCGATTAAGTTTCATCCTGGTATCCAGGATATAACACGTGCACATTGTTGGATAGATTGAATGCATGAACACGCATGAATTTATGCGCCGTTTATGAATTTTTATCCTGATGCAACATAAAACGCTGCATGAATATTTCTATGAGAAACTAATTAAATCAAATTAATTACCACAAGCAAACCTAAGTAAACCAAGAAACGCCTTTGCAGCATTTTAACTGAATGAATATTGGGTGATAGTTGAGGGTACTCAAATGAAGGAGAGACCTACCCTCACTTGAAATATTTCTCACGAGGATTTCCCTTTCTTCTTTCCTTTCATACTTCAATCTAAAGGAAACTTCCTTTTCAACAAGTATCCTTTAAAGGGCACTAAAGTTTTACTTATAGAAAGGACTTTGAGGGTGACCGGCTAAAGAGCTCAAAGTGAAGTAGTGAACTCGCACTCCGAACTGTAGGAAATGATTTGGGAAAAAATACTAGCAAAAAGCGTTAGGCATACGTCTGATTGTTCGGCACAAAAGTTTTCTAGAGCGCTTTGAAAATCGACATGAATCCGGTACCGAACCATTAAAAACATGCTTTTTAAAGCATTTTCAGAAATCAAATTTGATTTGTTACAATCACAAAGCTGATCAAAGACAGCATGCACTTTCAAATAAGATTTGCAAATTTATGTTAACACTTGCTTTAACCAACCTGCTGCCCGTGCGATGGCATGGTGATGAACAACAAAATCATCGACAGGCGAATCCATCACGCAAAACTCTGCAAAATCGATATGAGAAAATAAGAAAAGGCTTTTTGGAAAGGGAACGAGAACTTGAAAGATTAAAACAGAACACAAAAATCCCCAAAGATTTATGGGAGCGGATTTCTAGAAAGATTATGGCGATGAAATGGCGGAAATACTTCAAATACTTCAAACCAACAGCAGTCTGTAAGGTCACGAGGTGCAAGTATCCAGGTATGTGCGATAGAGGACTTCTGATAGCGAGGGAAGCCGGTAGCCCGAAACTGAGCCCGCCCACTATTTTGCCTCGAAGACTATCCGGTTCTTTGAGACTGGCTTCAAGGTTTGGAGCATAAGATGGAAAATGGTTCTCGATATTAATGAAAGATACCTATATCTTAGATTATGTACGTCTACTTTTTGGTTTTTAGAATGAGATATTTCAGCACAAAAAGCGCATTACTTTAGTAATGAATATAAGCAAACTCGTGCTGGGATATAATGCCGAGTATCGATGCAATATATGAGTAGCGTGTGTTCCTCGCGAGTAATGCGTTTTCTAAAGGTCACCTATTTAAGAAAACTACCGTAGTTAAATCATTAGTTTACATTCAATTGACCTAATGTTGGTGTCATTCGATGAGGAATTATGAGGCTCATTGATTGATACCAAACGGGGTGATCGAATGTAAGCTAACGGTTTGACTAGTTTTCTCAAATAGGTGCCTTTTAGAAAACGCATTACTCGCGAGGAACACGCTCTATACAGGATGCTCCCAAAAACGTTTTTAAACCGATTTTTATCGATTTTTTGACGCTTTTGGATCTTGATAAAAATGGTTTTTTCACAAATTTTTAGAATTTTTAGTTTTTTTCTGATTTCATGAAAAACACCGCCCCGATACACGGTCGGTGCTTTTCCAAATTCGTGTATAGGGGTCATGAAATAAAAAGAAACTCTAACTCTAAAAAATTGTGACATCGAAAAAACCATTTTTGTCAAAAGAGGTCATATCCGAAAAATTGATAAAAATCGGTTTAAAAACGTTTTTTGGAGCACCCTGTATATTAGTGACATGGAAAATATACTAAAAAGTTAAAAGCTTAATAAAATATTGCTTGCCGGGAAGGTGAAGTGAGTTATTCGGGGAGATGCAGAGACAATAAGGAAAAGAGCTGAGAGGGACCTATGAAGGGGAGGAAGGGGGAGGGGAGGCAAAAGATAAAATCCATAGTGAGACCAGGTGTTGAAGAGGGATATGGGGGACACCTCTACTCAATGAGGGCAAAAGAGGGGCCCATTTTGAGCAAAGAAGTAGTGAAGAAAAGAAAAAGAAACGATTATCAGAAAGCAGTGAAATGAAACCAAGGCAAAAAGTTATGTTAATTTGTAGGATTAATGAACATAAGAATTTCGGATGCATAACTACAGTACTATATCAAATGCTATCAATACGCTCCATGTAAAGTGGAAAATGTCAAAGAATCTTACACTCACATAAATAAAGAGCTTGAAAGCTTAAGCAGGACATATAACAAGTTCGACCACATAGCCAATAAAACAGAACATATGTATGCGAATAAAAGATTAAAAAAATATCTTTTATTTAATTTTAATTTTAAAAATATCTGATTAATCTTAAAGCCTTGAAAATAAAAAGAGATAATCAAACGTCGAAAATAGATGACGGCAAAATAGGGTTTAATTTGAAAAAGCAGCATATACTTATGCCGTTTAATTATACGTATGTAGTTTACTTTTTGTTCTTACAATGTTGTTTTTCAGAAAGTTCAAAATATTCCTAATGTTACGATTAATATCTGATTGTGAGCATGTGCATAATTAAAATTTGTTTTGTGTCCCAACTGCTTATGTTAATTTCTCATGTAAAGTGGTATGAAATTCGCAAATCATTAGATTACATTACCTACAAGATTACAGAAAAAGTAGCCGAAAAAGAGGGAATGAGGCTGGGATGGGAGCTGGGGACCGAGTGGGGGAGAAGGGTCCTCCTATGCCTCAAAGACCGGCTGATCATATGCAACATATTGATCTTCCCCTCGAGTCCCTTTTTATCCGTGCTCACGGTACCCTTTCCTTTTATTTTAAGCTACTTCCTTTTTTCCTCCTTTTCATTGTAAACACAATTAGCTCCATATGTGTACATGGATTCACCCCCTTTGGCCCTCTGTTTCTGAGGTTTTCCCTTCCCAATTTGTGATATCCCTTGGGAAATATATCAAAAACTACAAGTGAGATTATTTGAAAAGAATACAATCATCCGTGATAACGAGACAGTATATTTTTTGGGGGTAACTGTATGAATAAGAAAAGGAATATTGTTGGACAGAAGAAAACAGCTCGAATACACAATTTAAAACATAGAAAAACTGCTGTAAGATTGAAATTTAAATTCAAAGCTAAGAAACTTAAGAGAACGAGAGTTAATCAAAGTGAAGAATAAATACGCTCCAGGATAGGGTTCATTTTTCTTTTTGCCGATGATAAAATCAAGTAACACTCGAAAAATCAATCTCGATCACTACTCGAAAAATATTAAAAAAAGCAAAATACAGGAAAACGATTGAAACTTTTGCTGGCATTCAAAATCTCCTATTTATCTAGTTGCATAGCAGTAAGAGAGGGAAGAAAGGAGATGAAATGACGGGGGAATGATTTCTCGAGGTTGGGCCCCTTGTGGGTGAACAAGAAAAGAAAAGAAAGAAAAGGAAAAAGAAAGGAATAGAAGTGAGTAGTTGCATGCCAAAAAGGGACTAACGGGGTGCCAAAAGGGGAGAAAAAGAAAGGCAAAAGAGAAAATAGAGGAGAAAGCCCGGACGGAGGGAAAGGGGACCCCTAGAGGGCCTAAAGGGGGGGGAGGGGTGAGGCCAGAAGAGAATGCTGAGTGGTGGTAAGGATGGAAAAAGGGGATGACGTTGAAAGAAAATCCTCATAGAAAGCATTGGAGATTCTTCTGCTGTTGGGGGAGTCCCACTCGTAGGACCCCCCGGGAAACAACCCTGTGCTCTATTCGGAAAGGGGGATGGGGGTGGGGGGTAGCCTGGAGGATCGATGGGCCACCGGGGGACTCCCCCGACACCCAATATTTCCCCACATACTCACCCATTCACCGATAGTTAGCCTCCCTAGTACCGCCTTTTTTCATCTCACACGAAAAATGTTTTAGACATTTTTTTAGATGTTAATGAGAAGTCACAAACTAAACTTGTTGATTTAATTTGTGCTTGCAGTCAGATATGTTGTGTCCTTTTTGCAAAAAATCTTTTTTGTTTCTGTGGTTTCTTTTCCAGTAAGCTTTTCAATAATTGAGCTAAATTTTTCAATTTGGCGGCAATTACTTTCTAAGAGATTACCATCGGATTGAAACAATTATATTGCATAACAAATCGATGATCTTGGCATTGTTCGTTATAATTTTTACTCTAAAACAATTCATTATCGCTATTTAAGTGTTCATTCTTTTCCCACTAGAAAAAATGTACATTGTCACGCTAAATTGTGCTCTCGGATTCTAGTGAAAGGGGCAATGGTTGACCGGTCGGTCCTCTTCCCCACTCTCTTTTTCTCCTCTGTTTTGACCATCCAATCGACTCTTTCACATAAACAATTCCTGACTCATTCTTTTCCTTTTTGCACTCATTGCCTTTAATTGATTTTTTAAAATGTCATTTAAGCCGACGAATGAACTCACCTTGGGAGATTTCACCAGATGAACATGCGGTCAGTCGGGTACAGGTGAGACGAAGGAAAATTAAAAGAAATAGTGTAGTTATATGTATATCACTTATAAACATTTGAAATACATTGTGATATTTGATAGTTCATTGCCGCTGGGCCACAAAATGGGAAATTGACAGCAACGCAAGCGAGGGAAGTGCTGCTGAAAAGTGGACTTCCACAGAACATCCTAGCACAGGTAAAAATAGAACAATATAGGACATCCATTAATTTAAACATGTGCATATTGCAGATCTGGGCACTCTCTGATTTGGACAAAGATGGTCACCTCGATGAACGAGAGTTTTCAATAGCAATCAAATTGACGAGGACTGCTTTAGCGGGTTTCCCCCTCCCACCACAGCTACCACAAACTATGCTACAAGTAGGGAGTAAATTTGTTTGACTAATATTATTAGGTAGAACCCCAATATACGTTTAAATCAGCTATTATGTCCTTGTTTTTAATGCTATGTAGCAAATATCTAACCAAAACACTCATTACCAGATCTCCCCAGCAAGCTCAATGCCCGTCATGCCACCCCCGATGAGGCCACCACCTATGCCGCCAAGTAAGCTAAGAGCTAAGAATTAACAATTAGATTTGTAAAATAAATAGCTTTAAATAATCGTAACGACTTTTTCCTTTCAATTCAACTTTCAGTGTCTCAATTCAACACGGCCCCACCGGCGGTAATGCAAAATGTGCTTCGCACGGGTTTTTCGACGGGACCCTGGAAAACGGGTAATTTTCGAATTTCCAATAGTTACTTTTAACGAAAGATTATATTCTACGCAGAATTCAATGTTCATAAACATATACTTCATAACTTTAGGCAGAGATTGTGGCAATTGGGTGGTTCCACACCAGAAGAAGCTACACTTCGCTCAACAGTTCAACCAACTCGATAAGGTTAATTTTATCATTCATTTAAAAATATTGTGGTTTATATCATAACTAGATTTTTAAGGAACGTGTTGGTTGGTTATCGGGAAATGTGGCTCGAAACGTAATGGGACAAAGTGGTCTTCCGATGCCGACACTGGCACACATATGGAATCTTTCAGATGTGAATAAGGTAATTGGGGAAAAAGCGTCCAAAGACAACAAATTGTGTGCTGTAGTTTAAAAACTTCGCAATGATTTTCCTCAAAATCCTCAAACTTCCTCTGCACTTGTATTCCCAATTTTTAGGATGGCCGGCTAAACGTCGATGAGTTCTGCATTGCCATCCACCTGATCGAAATGCACAAAGTAGGTAGAATAGTTGTAAGAAACGTTGAAATTATTCTTCTATTATCATTTATTCTTGTTTTAATTTTTAATATTAGGAAGGATATGCTCTTCCCGACACAACCCCACACGATTTGGTTTTGTTATGTGGTGGCGATCGAGCACAAACCGAGAGTCCACATTTAGTGAGTATATGCGGTTGATATATGAGTCTGTCTTTAATATTATGAAACAAAATAGGTTTCTAATAGAAGATATATGCAGTTATAAAACATAGGTATTTATAAATTTATACGTATTCTAGATTTATAAACCTTGTAGGAGCCCGGTGCCCCACCACCGCAAAAGGTGACCACTCCGAGGACATTTGAGGATAAAAGAAAAGATAACTATGACAAGGGGCAAGCAGAATTGGAACGAAGAAGACAAATATTGCAAGAAGAGGTAAATTGATAATAAAGGAAAGATAAGATACGATACCTAGATAATATTTAAATATAGGAAGATCGTCGACGAGCAGATATTGCAAAAAAAGAAAGAGAAGAATTTGAGAGAAGAGAAAGAGAAAGAATGGAAAAAGAAAGAAGAGCTGAGGAAATGAGAAGAGCCGAAGAAGAGAGAATGGTAAGGGAAATGGGGGAAAGAAGAGAAAGATGATGAGGAGAATGTCATAAGGGAAATGAGGAAAAATTAGAGAAATCATTTTAGAGAGCTTTGGAAGAACAACGAATGGAGGAGGAAAAGAAACGAGAAGCAGAAAGGGAAACACAGAGAAAAGCACAAGAAAAGATTAGAATGGCTGAGATGGAAAAAGTACGAATCAAGGAGATGCAGGTTTGATTTTGAAAGGAGATCAAACATAGTTACGTACACTCGTTGAAAACAAAAACAAATTATACTGACAATGAATTGTTACTGTTTTCAGTCAGCAAAAGAGCGAGAAGCCGAACAAACCGCTCAACGGCAACAACGACAGAAAACACTTGGATTTCAGTTACAGGCTCTTGATGAAAAGACAACGGATATGAATGAAAACATTACGGAAGTAATAGACAAATATTATTTTAGCTTAAACAAACACCAAGCACATTTAGGCAAGAAAGAAAATCGAGGAGATCACGAAAGAAATCGAAGGAATGAGAGGAGAGCGGGATGAAAAAATGAAGAGAATTCAACAATTGCACACACAACATCAACAGGTAATTTTTTGATGTTATAATCAGCGATGTAAATGACACTTTAGATCTAAACTCTAAAGTTCTTTGATTTAATTAGTAAATTTATTTGTTTTGAGATGGCCGTGAAGAGTCAAGAGTTAGCCCATGCGCTCCTCCAATTACAGAGTGCCAATCGTGAAACGACCACACAACTTGATGAAATTGATCGAACACAAACAGTTAGCTCTTTTTTGTGTTAGAATTAAGCATTAATACATATAAATTAGTCTTTTGATTATGAAATTCCTTTCAGAGAGCCGCCGAAACGAGGGTTTTAGTGGGAAAGTTGAAGGAAGAAGTTGAAGAAGTACGAGAAAGGACTGAGACACAAACTGCACTACTGGCGAAAGTAAGCGAAAATTAATTTTAGTGGAAAAATTCTAAAGCCAACGAGTAAAAAGGCATCAATCCGTATTTAAAATAATGAAATTTTTTCTAATCTAATGCCATTAGCCATTAGAGAACACAGTACAGTACATTAGAGAACACTGAAACAAAAGTAAAATTTCAGAAAGAAGAAACACTAGAACAACAAAGACCGGACTTTGAAGCGTTTAAGGCAGATTACACGGAAGCCTTGAGATTATTGACAAAACTTCAAATTGAAGCTAGACAAAAAGTTGAGGAAAAGAGAAGATTGGCACAACAACAGGTTAAAAGTTATAACTGTTTACATAGTTTACTGAAAAAGTCTTTTTCAATGGTGATTTACTCTAAAAGTTTTAGGGTTTCCAATCAAAGCAGCCCTCACAGGAATCGTTCTCTAATGTTCAAAACCCATTTCAACATACCGAAACAACTTCTTTGACACATGGTAATTTTGGCATTAGCATAAAACTATTGTAGTACATGAAACTAATACCATATGAAAAATGCGAACGCTTATTTAACGCTTTTTGTAATTAAGTAAAAGCAGAACAGAAAAGTAGTGAAGTTGCCAGACAAGGCACGTCTAGTGGTGCTTACACAATTATATTATTATAATACAATTTTAGCTGCCTTTCATTTGTTCGCTGAGAACGCAAGAACAAAAGTTTTAGATGCGCGCTGTTATAATCGCCAGAACGGATACTTACACAGTATTGACTTGATCAAAATTCGAAAAAAACAATTTCTGTAAATCAATTGCAACTTATGATAAAACTTAGACATGCTATGTTACGGTTAAGCAAAAAACATCGGGCATAAGCTCCCAATCAAAACTCTGTAGCCACGTTCTAACCTTGCCCAAATGAAAAGAAGCTCATACGTTGTTTTGACAGGCTTGTCAAGATTTGATTTGCTTAAACCGCTCAAACTAGCCTGTTGAACTTTAAAAAGAACAATCAAGCTTTTGTAAAATTTTTGCCATGATACTTCAGCAAACTGGTTCCTACAGATTATTAAACAACAGAGCTCCTCTATTTTCTAATAAAGTTATTGCGGCTGTGGGGGAAAAGGCTGATTTTCTAGATGATAATGAATAATACGGATTATATTGTTCCTTGTTAGTTTTTGTTTATTCAGACGAAAACTTAAGGTAAAAAATCGCATTATTTTTCCGCCAACCTAATATGTTAGATAAGGCTTGTTACATTTTATGTAACAAAAACAAATATCATTTAGGCACCTCAAATCAACTCCCTTCTACCGCATCTTCAACAGGAACATCCAAGTATAGAGCCAAGTACGAATTTCAAGGTCGAACCGAGGATGAGTTATCTTTCTCGGAAGGTTTGAAAAGCTTCATTAAATAGAAAAATCAAATATCTTATGATTAGGTGATGTGATTCTCGTTTTTGAGGGACATGCTTCAGAACCGGGTTGGTTGGCTGGACAAATCAAAGATCGAGTGGGATGGTGGGTAGAGTGTGTAGTTATTAGCTATTGATCAGCCTTATCTTTTATTCATTCAGAATATGAAGAAACTTTTTAATTTCTCAACAATTTATAAAAATAAACCGATGAAATAAAGTAGTTTCCTAGGTTCCCGGCCGCTTTTGCTGACCCTCTCGCTCCAATCAACCCAACTATTACACAGGTATGGCAAAATAGAATGACTATTGTGTAAATATGTAGGAATTTTATAATATACCATACAAAATCTCGACTTCAGCCAATTCAATCGGCATCTGAAGTGGCCACCTCACCGTCATTAGAGCGAATTGCCGAAGAGGAACCAGTTGAAACTGTAGCTTCGATCCTTCAGAAAACAAATCTTGTCTCCACAATGGGCGCACCTGGTTTGTTTTTACATAAATAGTTCCTACATAAATAATTTTGCATAAATTCTCCATTTAACACATTCGCGACGGTACGGCCCAACGGTGGGCCGTATGTGGATTTCACACTTTTTGAGGCCGATTGGGCCGAAAATTTGCAATCAGGGGTTTTCGAGGATGAAGAATTCGAATCATTTATTAGTTTTTAAAGAAAACTGCTCTATTTTTGGATATTTAATTTTAATTTGTTTTAATTACCCAAGTGTAAACCCATATCCAGGGACGTATGCCAGAAGGTGCGCGATTACAAAAACGTGAAAATTTCATGTTTTTGTAATCGCGCACCTTCTGGCACACGACCTCTAGGGACTAAAGGGCAAAATAACTCATTTATGTACATATTCAGTCTCTTCGTCCGCACATGTAATCTGCGTATGTACCGCACAATTTGCTTGGCGAGCCCGAAACGAGGAAGATCTCAGTTTCTCAAAAGGCGACCAAATTGAAGTTATCGAGCAACAAGAAATGAAATGGAAAGGAAAAAAAGTCGATGGATCGGTGGGGTGGTTCCCAAAAAGTTATGTCAAAATTGATAAGGTATAATCAGTTGTTTTATTAAAATGAAAAAGGAATCTAGGCCTCATCGGCCCAAACAAACGGTAACATCCAGGCTCTTCCACCTGCTTATGACACTCCGCCAGGAGATATCCCACCGAGTATCAGTCAACAGGCAATCAAGCAGCGTCTGTTTTACATATCTATAAATGCTTAAAACATATTTTGGATATTTTATGCATAACTTAAAAATTTCAGAGCAATCAATCACCTCTCCCCCACCACCGATATATGACGCGCCACCGGGAGACTTTTGTAAGTAGAACTTTAAATTTAATATTTCAAATACAAATAAAGTCGGGCAATGTCTAAGCAACATAATAAAAGATTAAAAATTGTCTAGAAAAAACCAAAAATTCGCCCGAGCTTTAGCTGCAGCAGTAATCCCCGCGTATGACACTCCGCCAGGTGGTGACGTGATTACATCGACAAGTCAACACAGTCTCGCTGAAGGTATAGAAAACAGTTGTTATTTTTTTAATGGGTGTTAATAATGCGATAATTTTATCTTTTTAACGCCACGCTTTAGCTGCTTGGAAAGCTCCATCAAACGATCAGCCAAATGGAGAGTGGTTTGTAGCGGTGTTCGATTTTGACGCTGTTGAGGATGGGGATCTTGCGCTAAAAACTGGAGATCGAATCCTCGTCATTCAACAACAAGAACAATGGTGGAGGGTTGGTTTTAGAAAATTGCACTAGTTTATTGGTAGAATTTAGTAAAAATCTCAATCTAGACAAGGGATTTCAGGGAATTTCCCAAGGACGCGAAGGGGTCTTTCCGGCAAATTACGTCCAGAAAGCTGAGGCAACAAACGGCCAAAGTGGTTGGTTGTTAAAAATTTGACCTTTTAATATTCCAAAAAGTTTCGCATTTGAGAATATACCATTTGAATTTTCTTTAGCAAGCAGTTTTCATGGAACAGAACGAGCAAAAGCGATCGTTGAATTTACCGCTTCAGCGCCGAATCAACTTGCCCTTCGTCCAGGAGATATCATTACTGTTCGGTAAGAAATTAAAAGATAATAAGGAAATGAGAATAAAAGCACAAACAAAAAAAGTAAAAACAACAACATTTTCAGACAAAAGAGTGAACAAGGATGGTGGGAGGGAGAAACGGTGAGAAATGGGACAATTCACGCAGGATGGTTTCCAGGAAATTACGTGCAAGTTGAGGTGAGAAAACTGTTTGGATAATAGTTTATTTATTACAATTAAAATTATTTTGAGATATAAAATTTAAACTTAGGAACAAACAGTGCTGTCCCCAAGTGGAGATCTTGCAGTGGCTCAATTTGATTATGAAGCCACACAGCATGATGAACTATCATTCAAAGCTGGAGATAAGGTATACTAAAAGTACTTTTCAATAATACTTTTTCAATCAAACATTCCAGATTTTTGTTACTTCGAAACACGATGTTGAGTGGTGGGCAGGACATTTACAGGTTCAATATGAACGTTACAAACAAATAATTTTACTATTATATAATTGTAAAATGTCGGTCAGCAAAAAATCAGGGATGGATTTATGGGCTCCAAAACTTGTACTCGAGGGCTTTCGACTACGCTGATGACCAAATCTGAAGTCAGAAAGAGGCGGACGCACCCCAGACCGTCCCTGAATCTCCAGCCGTTGTCCCCCTGCGTTACCAGGGGGTCACCGGCTGGTATGAATTAATTTTACGAAGCTGAAATTCCAAGGCATATAACTGACTTTTTAAAAGTTGTTTAAAATTTAATAGAGACAAAATGTACCGATTCCAGGAATCCCCAAGTCGATCCGGTCTCTTCCCATCAGCCTACGTACAAATGCACGTTGGAGGTCCTTTACAAAACACCGAACAAGATCAAAGGTAGATCCCGATTATAACCTATGGTAATTATTTTCCCAAATGTACTCCAACTCTATTCAAAGCTGTTAAATCGATAATTTATTTTTTTTCTGTGACTGATATTTCGTGGTTGTGGCTATTTGTAGCCAAGAGCATAATGCTGATGAATTTTTGTCTTTTTCTTCCCTGGCCTCTCACACTTACCACTGCAAAACCAAACTAGTAATAAATTTCACATAGATATAGTCATTCACTTAGTGCTATTTATTTATAGTTAAATTTGTCGACCCTTAAAAAGCCGATCCCAATCAAAAATTACCAAACTTTAGATTTGATCGATTCTTTTTCTTTTTAGCTCATTAACCTGTATAAGAGTAGAGAAGAATAAATAGTTTTTAGCAAAAATCTAAATACATACATATGAATGGTTTTGTGTGCATCTATATGGCGTTTGTCTGTCTGTTTGCTTGTTTGTTTGCTTTGCTCTAATAGCATCACTTTTATGGGACTTTGAGCTGTGGGCTCAAGGGCTCAAAGTTGAATATTTTGCAGAACTTAAAAGAGATTTGGCCTTATTGCCTGTCACTTATCATTTCGGCAAATGGGGTACAGGAAGTGTGCAATACTTTTAATATTTTCAATTGGTGATGCTATATTCACAATATTGTCAGTATCGTGATTTTGTCTATTTCCAGACCAAACATCATTTCATCAGCATCGTCTCATCATCCGCATAAATCACAGAAACTCATCCAACTCACGCAGGTAACATTTTCTCTTCATGTTAGATAGTGTTTTGCTGAAAAACTAACCAAAGAATTTTTTCTAACTTTCCTATGAGTCAAAATTGATTAATTTGAAGTTGAGCTTAGTGCCTTGATTAAAATCGGAGTGGCTATGGCTTTGCTGATTTTTAAAGCGATACAGACAAACAGTAAAACTTGATCGAAACAAGCAGAAGCGTGTGTTTTCGCAATTTTTATTTTTGCTTGAATATGTTGTGTGTATAGGAATTGCTAATTTCTGAAGAAAAATATCTTCATGATCTCGAGACGGCAAGCAGAATATTCATCAGACCCTTGTCAAAGGTATTTCCTCAATAACAGAAATTTAAAGAAAACAAAACTAGGTTATTTCACCCACAGAAATCGAGGTTTTATCGATGAATTGGGATCAACTGGTAAAACTATCAAAGGGTATAACACAACGGCTCAAACAAGGTCAAACACCGGGTAAGTTATTTACAAATGATGAGTCTTAATTTCTAAACTGGTCTTTGCAACGTTTGTGAAAAAATTCAAATTTACTAAATCTTTAACATACTTCTCTGAGTTCCTTTCTAGGCTCAGCTTTACTCTCCGAAATCGAAGGTCTTCAACAATTTATCGGTTTTTGTTCAAAACAACAAGTTGCTGTCGATGTACTCGAGAAACTTTTGAAAGTTAGATAAACGAGTAAACACATGTAAATCAGTATCAGGATTCGTCAATTCAAAGAATCTATTCAACTTGTTGTCAAAATCCGGCAGCTCGGGGAATGAGTCTGCACACGTTGTTTCTCGTGCCACTTGGAAGGATCACAAGGTGATTTGGGTTACAACCAGTAAAGTTGCAATACAGACTTTATGCTACGAAAGTACGTACCTATTATTCCAGATATCCTCTTTTGATCGAGAAAATGATTGAAGCTTCAGCTCCCGATTCATCCGATATAGCCTCTTTAGATATGGCTCTCTCGGTGACAAAGTCAATTTTGGAGGAAATAAATCGATCCATAAACGAGGTTGGAAAATGAATTAAAATCTCTTTCAGCATTAATAACTCTATCACACTAAAGCTAATAATGATATCAATTTTTAGTCAGATACAATGTGTTTCCTGGGTTGGTGCCAATCCCATCTGCGTGTTTCCATTCAACCACCACTTGAATTCGCGGCTCCAACGAGATTTCTGGTACTCTCTATCAAGAATTAAAAGCTTATAGGCTATACATATTATACATATTATAATAAGTGCTTAATATTAAATAGTTTCTTCTAGGGTTCTCGTCGTGTGCTTCACTCAGGTGTTCTATGGAAAGCTCGATCGGGTAAAGTTCTCATCTCAATTCTCTTCAATGATTTTCTGCTCCTCGCCACTCCGAATGAGCCAATTCATGATGTACTTTTCTTTTTTAAAGAATCTACTTGTATTTTAGTTCTTTGTTGTAATAGAAATTTTTAGCCATCGACCTTCAAGTTGTCACATCAAAGTGATATCCATTTAACTACGTATCGTCAACCATTCCTTCTTAATCAAATCATCGTGACAAAAGACGAGATTGACACGAACTTCACGCTGCATAATGATACTTATAGTCAGTATACTTACTCTAAAAAATTGAAATATTTATAGTTAAAGGGTAATTGAACTAGATTTTCCGCTGCTGAGTCAAGATATCACAGCCAGCCACACTGTTAATCATTTCATTCGCTTCTTAATTCTTATTGTTAGTGCACTTTTATAGGTTTATAGAGTTAAACTAGCCTTACTGATCTATTCTAAAGAAATACTCTACTTTAGAAGAAGAGTGCAAATTGAAAGCGGCAAGTGGAAATGCATGTCGACTTTGGCTGAGCCACCTTGGCCCGGCCATCGAAACAGCTCATCAAAGGGCAAAAGTAAGTACATAACAATAAATGAAAAATAATTACCTACTACCTATTCAATTTTAGCCTCGTACTTCGTCAACGACCCGTCCACCAATTGGTCGTTTACTTGTCGAAGTAGTGGCTGTTGAATCGGGTGGAGTAAAGACTCTTAATCCACACTCACTGGTAGAAACTTTTCGAAACCGTAGCTATTTCGTTATATTTTTGCGGAGGTCCTGACTTAACTTTTAAAATGCTTGCAGCTTACCATTCGACTGGGATTGCACGATAGCATTGAGTGTTTTCAAGTGGATCCAAGTCGAGCCGAGATCAAGGTATGGCAAAATGTTGTTGCACTGATTTTTGTAAATGTTAATTTGCCAATTTTAGCAATCTACCCAATTTACATTTACGGAGACTGGTGGAATGCTTCGAGTGGCACTTCTTGAACCGAGGGTTTTTAGCCCTGATGTACCGTTATACGGTACATATTGTTAGATAAATATGCATAATTAAAGTTTTTTCAAAAGTTTCAAATCTACCCTTTTCACTGAAAGCTTTTAGAGCTAGCTTTTGAAAGTAAGGCTATTGTAGCAGTGTTCGGGGCTTTTTTATGATCTAGTTGGCCGCTTTCAGACGAAATGGCGATCCCCCTGCCACAATTGATTGCTGATTGTTCTCAACATCGAGGACCGATCAGAAAAACCATTCAGCTATTTCAGGGTTCAAACGGTTGGTCAAAAAGAAAAAAATACTTGAAAGGAGAAAGTTCCGAGAGAGTTTTTTGGCTCGAATATCTTAAATCCTAAACAAAGTAATAGTGTGCCATAAAAACGAGATGAAAATCATTATTAATGTCTACTTTAAATTTGAACGTAAACCTATATTTATTGTTTATTTATACACTGATTTTTATTTAACTAGTTTAATCTAATTGAAGTTTAACATTTACTCTTTGCCATTTAGGTACGAACTCGACGAAAAAACAAAAGGCGATCATTCAGATGAAATTCGTCGTGCACATTTACGAGAGTGCACTCTAAAAAATCAATTATCAAAATTATTAATGCTTACGTTCAATTTGAATGCATATATTTTATTGTTTGCTTACCTATCTTATGGTTGATCTAAAGCAATGCCTTGATATCTAATTCTAATCTTTGCTCGGGTCTACCATTGTTTTGCACTTAATCTCACCACTAAATCAATTCATTTATTTACGTTTGCTCATTTTCAGTGCATAATATGTATATGAAATCATTTATAAAATTGCGATAAATTTACTTATTATTCATTGAACTTCCACAAAATTTACGTGAAATCGCAATTGTTCAAGAACGCAAACACATAGAGAAGCCTGATTGCACTTACAAAATGTCCGTCATATAAAATGAAGTGATGAACATAAAGAATGAAATGTGCGAAACCATATTTCACTTTTTAAAACTCATTTTTCATGGCGAAACTTTTTGAGGCGGTCAATTCGTTTGAATGCTTCTGGTGGTGGATATCGGAATGATCCAAGAGAAATCTCATTTGATTGAAGAAGAGATAATTGACGATCAATTTGCTGAAATAAGATAATATAGGCCGTAGCAATAATTTTTATTTTGTAACAAGTTGCCGATTGTTAAAAACAGTTTTCAATGAAAATACATACATCATGACAGGGTGCACCCTCGCGATAACCAAGCCAGATCCGCTGGATTGCTCTCTAAAAAATTTTGCGGTCTGCACAACAACATGTCAACAAAGTTCCTTTGATTAGAGTGAAATGCTCGAAAGAACAGTCTAAACTAACTTGTAGTGTAGATTCCAATCTATGCACAAAATGTGGCATCTCACACCGGAAAGGGGGTGGGCGATGTTTTGATGAAAGATTCAAGAGAATAAATCTGAATTTGGAAAGAGTTTACCCATTTGGCTACAGCTGTGCTCTTTACCACAACACTTGCTCATTTCTAAAAATTTGCCTGGTTTTTTGTTTCTGCCAACCACAACCTTTGTTTGGGTCTCTCGAGCGCCAAAGGGCCGCAATTTTGCGCTGAGTCTAAATATGATTTAGATGGATAAAGTAAAGCTTTAAACTATATTTTCACACAGTTAAACAGAAAAGGTTTATGACTTTCTAACCAAGGATATTTGCATACCTTTCTTGGTAAATTTGCAAGAATTGGTGGTGGGCGACATGGTGCAGACAAATTCCCGAAAAGAGACATTCGGGCTTTTGTGGACAATGAAGAGACAAGATTTCTGGAATAAATTTGCTATTATTTTTTGTTTTTATTTTCTCATAGATGGTTCCATTTACCCATGTACCTTGTTCTCGCCACTTCCATCTCACAATTTTCCCCGTTTCGGTACAAGGCCCAAATGGATTTGATTTGAGTTTTCAGAATTTCTGGCAATCTATCTAAATTGCTAACATTAAACTTTAAAGATTAATGTCTAATATAATTTTATTTGCATTGTATCTAATTTTTTGATGTAAATAGTCGGAAATTGCTCTAAAGTTGAACATCTGATTTCAAACTTATAACTAGAATGCATTTAATCAAATAAAACTTTAATATTATAGTTAAATTAAAGTTTTATGGCATGCCAAACCTAGATAATACGGTTCTCGGCAAAACGAGTATCTTCGAGTTTCAGTAGGGATTAGCTGTGAGATCTCTTTCGTTCGGCTCAACTGGCTAGTCGATTGATCAAAAGCGACGGGCCGATGGTTTGATTCTTTTGTCAGAATACCCATTTGTTTATCCAATTCTTGATGGTCACAATTCTATTCATGTGTAGGTAATGAAATTTCGAACTTGGCACTCACTGGAAATCTTATCCGAGCCCCGATTACTAAAAGTAAGGAATGCATTACTACTAGACTGAATATTCCTCGCCAGATCATTGCTTATCTAAAGCTGGAAAAAAGTTTTTTGCTTTACAGAGTTTAAAGCTATTGTACCGGTTTAAGCAGCTGAAAACAAAGTAAAGAAGAAAATGAGCCAATTGAACTCATAGTCGGTTCTAGATCAACGAAAAGAACTATATATCAACTGCTCCTAGAACCCATGTGAAAAAGAAAGAGAAAACTAGAGAATTCTGGCTAAATGATCAATTGCTAGTATTTCCTCAAAACCAATTACCACAATCATTTTTTGAAAATGGAACATTTTTATTAGGCGTCAATTTGGTATGGATTCTCAAAATTTTTCAAATAAATCACGTAAACTGGAAAAAGTGGGTTTGTTTGAGTGGCGCCGGAAAGAAAGGTCGACGGAAATCGGTTTTTATTATTTGCCGAATGGGGTTTGATTGAGACAAAAAACAAATCTATAGCAAAAAAAACGCAATATTACATAGAACTGGGAACAAAGTAGGATTGGGAATCTTCAAAAAGAGTGAGGAGCACTCTAGAGGCTGAAAGATTACAATCTTTTACCTCACACACCAAACATTTCTCGACGCTCTTTTTTAGTTGGCACTCAACTTTGAATGAAAAGGTGAGACTGAGATTGGGAAAATGGGAAAAGTTTTGATGGCCTTGTCGCTCAATCAGCTGCGCACACATGGGGATGACCTTTGAGAAACATGAAGAGCCAAGAATTCAAGGGGTTTTGCTTTCTGGGGTCAGATTTGATCTAGATTTGGATTGAGCTCTTAAAAAGAAAAAAGTGTTTTAGATTCATATTGGGTTAGTGGGTGTGACTTTGCACTTTTTTTAAACGAAATCCCAAAGATGTAAACAAACACACGAGGGAGAGGGGCATGTGGAAAATAGATAAGTGAACATTCGCTTTCGCAAAAACAATGGGCCTTCACTTTTGACATATTTGGTTTTTTGGAATTATACCCTCTAACTATTGAAAATCTACCAACTGGACATCTGCAACACGTTATGTTGTACGAATTCCTACAAGGACACAGGTCTCCAGTGTTCAGCTAATATCGTGAATGTTTATGGGGAAGGATCAGCTTCACTACGGACATGTGAAAACTGGTTTGCTAAATTTCGTTCTGGCGATAAATCACTCGGAGGCAAAGGAAGGGGTCATCCAGCGGTCCAGTTGGGTAATGCGAAGTTGCTCGAAATTCTTCAAATCAACAACAGGCTTTCTTGCGAAATAGCAGAAGAGTTATTAATTGGTCATACAGCAATACCCGACATTTGCATAAACTTTAAATCGAGATTAGGGGCTTGGATTCCACATGACTTAACGGACACCCAGAAATGGCAACGTGTTTCAACCAGTGCCGCTCATCTTTTTTACCCTGTATTTTGACAGAGGATGAAAAATGGATTCTAACTGTCAAGTTGCGGAGAAAGCGCTGAGGTTGCTGAGGAGTGAAAGCCCGAAAGTGCATGAGAAGAGCCAAATGTGCATGAGGAGAAGTTTATTTTCTCGGTGTTCTGAGATTTAGAAGGCCCCATCTACTGGGAACTTTTGAATAGTAAGACAACACTTAACTCAATCAAATACTCGGAGCAACTCGACAAGCTAGCCAAATCTTTGGCAGAAAAAAGACCCTCAAAGACGAAAATCATCCTTCAACATGGTAGTGCTAGACCGCATGTTTCGAAGATGACTCGTTCCAAACTAAACCAAACTCGTTCCAAACTAAACTCACTTGAATGGGAGGGCCATCCGGCATACAGCCCTGATCTTGCACCTTCTGATTACTACTTCTTCCGGGCAATGAGCAATGATTTGGCGAAGAAATACTTTGATTCTGAAGAAGAGATCAAAACATGGCTGACAGATTGGTTTGCATCAAATCCGAAGAGTTTTATAGAGAGAGGCATTCGACTTCTACCAGTAAAATGGGTAGAAATCATGCTAATTAAGGCGAATATCTAGAATGATTTAAAGTGGTTAACTCAATAAAAATTTCATTTGAAAAACGTGCAAAGTCATACCCACCAACCCAATATAAAAGGATTAGGCACCCATTTCAGATCAGAGCGCACCTAATTTTTCATTTTTCATATATTTTCTCAGCTGTGTATGAAAACACAAAGTATGTATCAAAGTTTTATTTCTTCTCAAACATTATAACTTTTTGATTTGCGAAAATGTATTAATAATTGCTTCTATTCATAATTACTTTGATTCAAAGCTGTTCAAGGCATAAAGTTCGTTCATTATAATTCATTATATTTCTGAAAAACTAACAAAATTTCAACAAATAAAAAAGAAGATCCAACAAATAAGAAAATGAAAAACAATGTGATTGGAAAAAAACGGAGAGATGGAATGTTTCGGTGAAAAGGGGAAAAGGAAAGGGGGAAAAGGAGGAGGGGAAAAGGAAAAGGGGAAAACAGAGAACAACCTTCAACAAAATGGTAGGAAATTAGCATTTGTTCCACAAAAAAGAAAACACATTTCACCGCCCACTTTCTGCTAAAATCATTCACAACAATAATCGAATCAAGACGAATTTTTATTGGTAGGTATTTACAGGAAAGTAGAAGTCTTCTCTTAGAATTGATTTACGGACAGAGGGCTCTTTCTTGACTTGGTGATTGGTGGTGCATGGCTATCGTTATTAGTTGGTGGAGCGATTTGTCGATTTGAAAACAAATAACTCCTTTAATCTACTTTGGGAACCTTAGGAAATTCCCAAAAAGTTTCTTCTGGTTTGGGGAGTTATTGTAAAAAGATATGGGTCTCTAACTCGGCTTAACCAGATATCAAACCAGCTGCCCAAGATCTAAACATTTGTTTTTTTAAGTTACTATTGTTAGATATTCATGATTTGGGAGTGGAGTAGTACCTATGTATGTGAAGCTTCTTTTTAATGCGCAACTGCAATATCAAGATTTCAGATGTATAGGTGTTGTCAGTCAGTTGGTTATCTAGGTACCTATTCTTTAACAATTTTAACCCAATGATTGCACTGGGATGTCAGGATATCTTGTAGTTAGCGCGATCCTTGAGTTAAAAATCTATTCGAGGGTAAAACTTTGAGTACAATTAGACGTGAAAACAGTATCAACACCGACATTAATGTTTTCAAACAGGAAAAAATTCTGCGTAAATTTTGGCTTAGGCTTAGGCTTAGGCTTAGGCTTAGGCTTAGGCTTAGGCTTAGGCTTAGGCTTAGGCTTAGGCTTAGGCTTAGGCTTAGGCTTAGGCTTAGGCTTAGGCTTAGGCTTAGGCTTAGGCTTAGGCTTAGGCTTAGGCTTAGGCTTAGGCTTAGGCTTAGGCTTAGGCTTAGGCTTAGGCTTAGGCTTAGGCTTAGGCTTAGGCTTAGGCTTAGGCTCAGGCTTAGGCTTAGGCTTAGGCTTAGGCTTAGGCTTAGGCTTAGGCTTAGGCTTAGGCTTAGGCTTAGGCTTAGGCTTAGGCTTAGGCTTAGGCTTAGGCTTAGGCTTAGGCCTAGGCTTAGGCTTAGGCTTAGGCTTAGGCTTAGGCTTAGGCTTAGGCTTAGGCTTAGGCTTAGGCTTAGGCTTAGGCTTAGGCTTAGGCTTGGGCTTAGGCTTAGGCTTAGGCTTAGGCCTAGGCCTAGGCCTGTCCAGGCCTCAGGCCCCAGGCCTCGGGCCCAGGCCTAGGCCTCAGGCCCAGGCCTCAGGCCCAGGCCTCAGGCCTCAGGCCTGGGCCCAGGCCTCAGGCCCCAGGCCTCAGGCCCAGGCCCAGGCCTGTCCGGCCCGGCCCAGGCCCAGGCCTGGCCCAGGCCCCAGGCCTTGCCGGCCTCAGGCTTCGGCCCAGGCCTGGCCCAGGCCTAGGCTTAGGCCTAGGCTTAGGCTTAGGCTTAGGCTTAGGCTTAGGCCTAGGCTTAGGCTTAGGCTTAGGCTTAGGCTTAGGCTTAGGCTTAGGCTTAGGCTTAGGCTTAGGCCTAGGCTTAGGCTTAGGCTTAGGCTTAGGCTTAGGCTTAGGCTTAGGCTTAGGCTTAGGCTTAGGCTTAGGCTTAGGCTTAGGCTTAGGCTTAGGCTTAGGCTTAGGGTCGTTAGAAATTAAAACTAGACAACTAGACAACTAGACAACTATACAACTAGACAACTAGTCAACTAGACAACTAGATAACTAGTCAACTAGACAACTAGATAACTAGTCAACTAGACAACTAGATAACTAGTCAACTAGACAACTAGATAACTAGTCAACTAGACAACTAGACAACTAGATAACTAGTCAACTAGACAACTAGACAACTAGACAACTATACAACTAGACAACTAGTCAACTAGACAACTAGTCAACTAGACAACTAGACAACTAGACAACTATACAACTAGACAACTAGTCAACTAGACAACTAGATAAAAGTAATGTAAAATAGAAAGAAAACATGATTGTGACGTCATAATAATTTAGATGTTTAGTTCTTTGTTCAACACTTCATTTCAAAATGTTACAAAGTATTTGAAGACTTTCTATCAGATTTTCTATCAGCTAAAATTTTCCCAAAGTAAATGACCCAGATCTTTGACATCTTTAAAGATCTTTGACAATTTATTTGCAATCCCTTATTGGAATTTTTAAGAAACTGAAAGAGTAGCAAGTTTTCACTAACATGCGGAGAAGGGGATTGAGAATTGAGAAGAGAAAAAGGAGGGGAACGGTGAAAACATATGGGTCAAGCCTTTCCTTTTCTCGGGGGCAAAGTGAAAGCGCTCAACCGCTCACCACTTTTCCTTTCTTTTTTTTGTACAATAACGAAACACTGAGTGAGTAGAGGGGATTGTACCGAAGATCATGGAGTGGAAGTAAATGATGTTTTCTGATGTAAAGCTATAAAGTTGATGCTTAGTCATGGATTTGATCAAAAGAAAAGATCAACAGCTTGCATTGGCAACAGCTTCATAGGTGCAGATTTACAAATTCTCTATCTGATAGGCGAGATTTTAAACAAAAAGTTCAACTTAAAGATCCGAATAAGGTTTTTAGGGATTAGTAATCAGGAAAATGAATCAACGATGAGGAAATCTTAAAAATTGATAGTTTTTGATGATTTAGCTTTAGAAATGCTACCCGTTTTATCCGTTTTATCCGTTTAAACACTTGAAAATACTCGAGATCTTCATTTTTATCAAAATCTTTCTTCATTTATCTTTTTATCTTTTTATCTATATTTTTAGAAAGCTATACAGTCCTTAAATACAGTACTCAAATAATAATTTTTAAAGAAAAATGATCCAAACTTACTTTTGATTTCTTTGTTGCAAATTGTACAGTGATAGTGCGAGAAATGGATCTGCATTCGATGACGAGAAAGTGACGATGAATGACAGAAAACTTTTGAGCAAAGTGAGCATGGATAAGTACCTGAAGAAGTTTTCGTAGATGTTACCGTAAATACTGTAATAGTACCTAAAAGCACATACCGTAAATACTGTAATAGTACCCCCCTCGTACAGTCGCGTAGTCGCAAAAGTTTTTTTAGTATTTCATTTTTTTCAAAGCACCCGTACTTTCAAAAAATGCGTCTTTGGTATCAAAAAATAGCTGAAATTCAGTGCTATTTTTTGATACCTAAGCGCGCATTGTAGCATAAACCAGTGTCGAGAAAAACTCGTTCAAAGCTAGACTACGCAACGCTCCGCACCGTCATTATGGGGGTGGGGTACTATTACAGTATTTACGGTAGGTCGAATTTGTTTGATTTACCTTTTAGATCCGGTCTCTTCAAATCCTTCTCCTCAACAGATCCGTCCGATGGAGAATTATTTCCAAAATCTGAAATTCTTCACACTTTCACACAAATTTTTTCTCAAACCTTCATCAGCTTCAAATTTTAGATTCATTTTTAACATTAATGGATGGTAGAAAGGATTGTTGTTGTTGTTGTTGTTTTTTTCGATTAACATTTCCTAAAGCATCTAATAGAAATCTTTCTTTAATCAGTCAAACCTTTGCCTGAAAGTTTGTAAGTAATGCTCGAGCATTTTCCATAAATTTCGAATTTTAGAAGATCGATCAAATGATTGTATCTAAAAGCTAATAGTAGAGAAAATGATAGAATAATTCAGTAAAGATTTTTTTTTCAAAAAGAAAATATTTTTGATTGAAATTGAAAAATTATGTAGAGATTAATGAAAGAAAAAGATTTTCTTTTTTGCCTTTCAAAAGAAAAGATAGGATTTATAAAGAGAGGAAATGAAATGTTTAAAACTACACCTACACACTCAGCGATTCTCATTTCAGAATCAAAAAAGAGAGAAGAGAATTCGGTGAACTTTCTACCTATTAGCTACATTTGAGTCAAAAAGAAAAAGGAGATTATCAAAGGTGTTCACCCACCTCCTTCTGTTTTTCTTTTTGCCACCTTTAATCGGATTTCTCAATTATGAGTGTGGTAAGTTCAAACTTTTCTAATCTCTTTTCTTTTTATAGAAGAACGGCAACAAATTATTGGATGAATCAAAACCCAAGGGATTGAAAAATTCGAATATTTTTGTAAAGTAATTGAAAATTGAATTTTCGACGCAACATGCGTTAAAGAAGGATCATAACAAGGGGGGAATTGGGGGCAAAAAAAATGAATGCAAAAGAAAACACTGAACTCACAAATACAAATACTGAAGTTTTTAGGGTTTTGGATGGACTTTAAAAGTTGATTCGATGTCCAGATGTGGAAGTATTTAATTCTAATAGTTGTTGAAATGTAAAATAGCGTTGTAAGCTGTGAAGAGTGAGGTCTATCCGACAGAAAAAGGATCGAGAAGAACGACTTGGCCTACTTGCTATTCGGTTTGCCGTAGAGGTGAAAAGAAAGGTGAAAAGAGGGAAAACGGAAGAAGAAAGAAGAAAGAAGAAAAAGAAGAAAACAAAGTAGCTCGAGTGGGATTGAGAAGGGAAAACATCGAATAAACCGGTACTTTCATTCATGGATAAAATGGGGGGGAAGGAGAAGGACCAGGTCAAATCATACGATAAGCTTTCATTGAAAAACTCTCTTTCAACAAAAGACTTGAAGCCGACGTTTTGACAAGAAATTGGTAAAGAAAAGTGAAAGATTTCCCACGATTGTCAAGGGTTTAGTCATCATTGTAGAGATAATTATTTGAATCCACCAATTGTTATCGTAACAATGAAGACATAAATTTCACATTTACTATTAGGTTGGTAAAAAAGAAATGCGCGTTTTCGTTAAAAGTTTATTTTATTATAAAAACAAGATAACAATACATTAATCCAAAAGGTATTCGCCATCTGCATCAATGACACGCAGAGAATGGATGCCCTTCTTGAAGAACTCGACCGGCTGCGACTCGAAGAAGTTGGACACCCAAATTTGGACCTCGTCGCGGTTCTTGAACTTTTTCTCGGCCAAGGAGTGGTGCATTGATCGGAACAGATGGTAGTCGGAAGGCGCCAAGTCTGGGCTGTATGGCGGATGAGGCAGGACTTCCCAGCCCATTTCTTCAATTTTCTGCTGGGTGATTTTTGCGACATGCGGCCGAGCGTTGTCGTGGAGGAATTTTGTCGACGCCGTATCCACACCTTGACGTCGCAGCGCCTGGTCCACGCGGTCCAATTGGCCTTGGTAGAGGTTCGCCGTAACTGTTTGACCCGAATCCAGAACCTCAAAGTACACCAGGCCTTTACTGTTCCACCAAACACAAAGCATCACCTTTTTTTCCGTGGATGTCCGGTTTTGGAGTCGGTTTTGGAGCTTCACCGGGGTCCAACCACTGCCGCTTTCTTGCTGTGTTGTCGTATTGGATCCACTTCTCATCCGACGTAACAATGGAGGAACCATCGTTTACACTGACTTTCGGATAGAGCATCTTCGTCAAACACTTGAGATAGAGCGCGATGAGCTTCCGCAGCCGATTTGCCTTGCTTAAATTCATACCACAAGCAAGCCCACAAGCGAAATTTTTGGTCCGACATTTTCTAAACACTCTTTCTTGTAAAAAAACAAAGTAAACATAGACAAATTATATATCAAACGATGCGCAAAAACACGCTCTTTCCAATAGAATAAACTATTTTTAAAAATCTTTTACTGTGAATAAAATACAAATCAACAAACACGACGCTCATTTCTTTTTTACCAACCTAATAGAATCTACAGTACTTTTAAATCAAAGCTCAAATTTTTTTTTGCGTAAAAATGGACAGTTCACGACTTATTGAGTAGAGAAAAATGACTGAAAAGAAAGTAAAAAAAAAAAAGAAAAAAAGGAATCGGATAATCAAAGGAAAAATGTTGCGGGAGAGGGGGGAGATGGGTATTGTTTAAAATGATGAATCTTCCACCATTCGTCACTCTTCCATTTCTTTTGTTTACGGTACAACTCCATGAATCGAATCCTTTCTTTTCATTGACACCAAATCATTCTTTTCAAGTCGAAAAAATGTGAATCGATCGTAAAGAAAGTCATTTATTTCAAACATAATTGTAGACGGGATTTTCGATATAAAGAACGTCGTCAGCATTGTGCTCTAAACGCTCAAAACGAACGATTGGTGATGGATTTGGTGTAGAAATCGTGATGAGAAGTGAACTTTTCTTTTCATTTCTCCAATAATAAAAACTTGCAGCAAATAAAAGTGCAAATGAAGTAAACATTAAAATCTGAAAATTTAATTATTAGTTATTACATAAATAAAGCAATTTTTATTTTTATAACTTTCTTTACTTACGAGAAGCAATCGATTCTTTATTTTATTTGAGTGAATTCGTTTCATTATCTCTTCTAGTTCATGTTTACTAGCCTGTAATCAAAGTTCGAATTTAAATCATTTCCAAAAATTTCACCAATTTTGTTTGATTCAATTGAGAAATCGCTTCAATATTTGTGACATCAATTTCCTTATAAAAATCGTGGATTTGTTGAAGCAAGAACAGAATTATCTGAAAGCCTTATCTGAAAGCCTTTTCTGAAAGCCTTATCTGAAAGCCTTTTCTGAAAGCTTTATCTGAAAGCCTTGTCTGAAAGCCTTATCTCAAAGCCTTATCTCAAAGCCTTTTCTCAAAGCCTCTTCTGAAAGCCTTATCTGAAAGCCTTATCTGCAAGCCTGAAAACTTTTCTTGTCTTTACCTCTTGTTGATCCACAAGTTCTTCCTGAAAATTGCCGATTTTGTCCATGCTGATATTCTTTGCAAAAAGTCGACCGTTGTATAACTTAACACTTTTATGATATAAATTATCAAGCAAAGAAACCAAAATTTCCAGAACATCGAGTTTGTTTTGACGTTGTTTCGCCAAAGCTGCATCGACCAATTTTGAAAAGTTCGCTTCGAAACTTTCTTGAAAGTTATTCTAAAGAAAAAAATCCTCGTATTTTCAATGAATTTCCTTTATTTACTTGATTGATAAGGGGGATTTCACAAAACGCTGAGCTTGTCACTGAGTTTTTTCGGTACAAAACCCATTGGCCTCTTGAATTGATCTAAATTGATCTAAATTGATCTAAATTGATCTAAATTGATCTAAATTGATCTAAATTCTAGATTTAGCTCTAGTTATGAAGCCAGAATCTAGCTCTAGTTATGATTTCAATTTGTTTGTTTCAATTTATCCGAATATGAACACAATTAGAAGTAGGGCAGATCAAAGACTTGCGCGTCGTCGGGACTCGAACCCGTGACCTTTCGCTTACCGGGAAACTGTGTCATTACACCAAAACGCGCTTGTTTTCCCTTACTCCAGAGGGTAGTTAACTAAACAACTTACGACAGCAGCCGCTTCACTTGTCCAATACGCGTAAGCAATATTTGAGGTGTCGATTTTCGGTTGATATCCAATTGAATGTCCGCTAATCCATTCATAAGAACCACGATAAACATTAAAGTGATATCCAATGAATGGTGTGTGTTGTAATCTTGCTAATATCACTGTAATATAAGGCGTTTTCGTTTTTGATTTTGAAATAAACCAATTCCGGCCAAGAAATCGTTGACTCGTTTTGTGGGAATGTGCGCAAGATTTCCTCCTCGTTTTATACAAGCAAAGGCATGAGTATCGTAATTAGCCAGTGTCTCGTTGTACTGTAAATTTTATTATAAATTTTATGTGTGCTTTTTTTTTCTTTTCTCACTAGGGAAAGGCAAGCACTTGAACGAGACCAAATTCATCTTATAGAATCGGCCACGCTGAGTTCGAATCTGCTTTTAGTTTTTGCGCTCGTGGCCTGTAACGCAAGAGATCTGACTTACAAGTTTTGAATGGATTTTTGATCTCTATTTGGGGTCTTTACGCAATCCCTTAAAGGGGGTGTGACAATCGCGGCCACCTAATCCGTGAACCCTTGAGGAGCAGGAACATTTTTCCGAGCTAAGTGAAAAATTTTTCTCGTTTCGGTTTTTTGAATAAAAGATTGAGTTGGCCACCTAATCCGTGAATCCTTGAGGAGCAGAAACATTGAGTAATAGCAGTTAAACTAGTTTCATTAGCAGTTCAATTGATATTCCGAGCTTTTCCTTTGCTTCATCCACCTGGGAAGTTTCCACAAGTATGACAATGCTGAAGTAAAAGTTCCAATTGGGACAATTCGGCGATAATAAATGAAGGTAATAAATAATAATAATATAATAATAAATTTAATAATAATAATAAATTTAATAATAATAATTATATTATAATAATAAATTATATTATAATAATAAATTATATTATAATAATAATAAATTTTCTTAGCCTACTCTTTATCCGAATCCATATCAATATAAAAAAAGTAAAAAAACCGAAACATAAAAACGTATTTCAAAAAGAAGAAAGTGATTTTTCAGCCGATTTGCAGATGAAGAGTGTCCTTCCGCGTTTGAATCGGTTAAAACCAATCATAAATCTTTAGCCGATTTATTTTTGGTGTTAGCAAGTTGTTTCTTACTCAATTAAAACATCATGGTGATTATTTGCAAAAAAATGTTTCACTTAGAATCAGCCGCGATTGTCAAACCCCCTTTAAAAAGTGGCTGCGTGACCGAGGTGATAGTGGTTACGGTTACGAGAGCACTAGCCCCTCCTTTTTTTTTACCCTGCTTCGTTTCCCCTTTCCATTTCTTTTTGCTTTTTTTCTTTTTCTATCAATAAAATCTTTTTGATAATTCAAAACAACTTTTTATCTTTTTATCAACTTAAACAATAAAGTCAAGCTTCTAAACTCCTTAAAACAAATAAAATGATCAAATGTTTAGACGTCTCATAAAATGGTATTTTTCTTATAAGCTGTTTACCGTAACCCGCCAAGGGCTAGTTCGTGGTTAATCGTGTTTAAAATGAAAAATTTTTGACAAATTTTCATTCTGGACAATTTTCAATAGTGTAATTTAGTTTATAGCCCTATACACTCATTTATAGACTGGTTTTTTGAATAAATTGTCCAACCTCAAAATTGGTGGACAATACATCATATCGGAAAAGCTTATGAGAAAAATGATATTATGTTTATAGCGAGTAAAAACTCGCAGAGTTTGGCGAGCAAACATAACGTCTGCTTTTCTATAATCTTTTGGAATTTTTATTAATTGCCTATCCTCAAAATGCTTAAAATAATGGAATAGAATGCCATAAAAAGTTGTTTTTAATCACCAAAAAGTCAGTGCTTGCCTTTCAAGAAATTTTTGAACTCTTCCCACCTCATAACAAGATCTTTCCAGACACCATTTGGGTAAACTGGCCTTTGCTTTTGTTTTGAAATCCTGTGAAAATGCGACAATAAAGCAGCTAATGAAAATATAGAGCTCAAAAATATGAAATGAGTTCATTCGTTGAGTGGATTGGAGAAGGAAAATGAATAGAGAGATCCCCGATTCCTTCATTCAGTCCACATGTGGCCATTTCGAATTTATTTTTCTCTTTACACTTCAAATCTCTTTTTGTAAACAATTTTCAAAATAGAATGCCCAAAATAAAGCATCGATTTGGTGTTTTTTCAGCCCAAAATAAAGCATCGATTTGGTGTATTTCGGCCCGAAATCTCGGCCTTTCGACCAATGGGCGCGTGGTGTAGGGGATAAGATGTTTTTCTCTCAGTTTGACGGCCACTTTGATGGGCCGAGTTCGACTCCCGGGAGCACTTTTAAACAGGTTGCATATCAGTTATACCATATGCATCTTGGTAGCGAGTGCAAAAGTGAAGAACTTTAGAAACAAGTTGACTATTTCTAATTGCAATAGTCGCGTTTCAAGGGCTCACACTACTTTTAGCTTCCCGAGATTTGCAAAGATACGGTGAAAACTTTTAGCTTTCGATTTCACAAAGATACGGTGAAAATGTATTGTTTGTGTTGGGGAAGTTGATTGATTCAAAAAAACAAAATAGCTTTTATTACACATTCTCCACATAACTTTGATTTACGATCGGATTGTTGTCGTTATTCGAATTCGAACGAAATTTCGGCAATCTAAAAAGACAATTTGAACACAATTTTTCTTTTTGAAGGAAAATACTTAAAAATTGAAGACACTTTGCCCATTTGAATCCAATTTTTCCGATACGCTACAAATGCCAGAAAACCTGTTAAAGATGTCAAAATGAGGAAACTGGTGAAAAGCTAAAGATCGGGGTTTTTTGAGGTGACAACAAGAACAAACGAATTGTGTCCGGGTTGAGCTCTCTTCTCGTTGAAATTCGATAACAAATTGTTGTAAAGAGTCACGAAATGTCTAAAGGAATGTAAAAAAAGAACTATTGTTAGGCACTTGTTTTGTGAAATTGTCAGCTTGAATGAGCTCTCGATGATTTCCCGCGAGTACGGTATTCGCTTCGAGGAGTTGATCCAATAAAAGATCGATATCCTGAAAAGTTTTGAAATTGAAAAGAATGTTTGTTAAGCTTTGTTAAGCTTTTTTATCTCGTATTAAACCTCTCTTGCATCGGTAAGATTGCTCTCCATTGTGTTGAGGATATCCGAGATGAACATCAAACTGTGCATCGTATCGTTTGCCACCTATTTTGATTGATGATTCATTGATTCATTGATTCATTGACTCATTGACTCATTGACTCATTGATTCATTGACTCATTGATTCATTGATTCATTGATTCATTGATTCATTGATTCATAACAGTTTTATGAAAGAATCACTTGTAAAATAAATCTTTTTTCAGTTTCAGATTTGTTCATTCTCGAGACAAGCTCATTGGTGACATTTGCGTAGAGTTCTGTGTGAATGCGCTCGAAAATCTGCAATGATTTGGTAAAAACGAAATGCGAAACCATTAACAAAACCTACACTAACTTCTTTTTCTTCTTCTTCTTCTTAAATCTTTTATTTACCTCATCTCTTGCGTGGGGGAATTCACAGATTCTCGCGTGTGAATTGCCAAGACTTTCCTCGACCCATTGACCCGAATTTACAATCTAGAAATCTTTTTACTTAATAAATGACTATGATAAAATCCATGATATGATATATTACTGAAAAAAAAACCGTAATGGCGACTTGATAAGAGTGAAAGGGAATATTATCGGCATGATGATAGCCGGCCGGTTTTCCATTGGTCCATTGCCATTTCTCGTAATTCGCGTTGAATTTCAAGCCGATCCACACTCGTCCACCGATTTCACTGCCTGTACTTTGTCTTTAAGAGTCAATTTTTGCCTTTTTACCAACCAAAAGCATTCACGAGAAAATCATTGGTTTCTCGATCGGGAACATAGGCGAGATGTCCATCCTTTAATCTACACGCCTTTTCCGCGTCATCGAAAGAAAGCATTGCAAGTTCTAGCTAAATTTCTAGCTCTACCCCTTTTTTTAAAAAATTTATTAATATATTTTACCCGATAACATGAATTTCGACGACAAAAAAGTTTTGAAGCCGAACAGGTAACTGAAATGAAAAGGGTTTACGGTGGCTTTTTTTTTCTTTGTAATTACCAAAAAGTAGAGTTATAGCAGCAACGATTTGAGTCATTTTAATGAATTTAAGAATTTAAGGGTTTAAGCTGATGATGAATTTTGAGAAATGTGTTGACTAGAAGCAGAAGACTGACTCTCGAATGTCCGCAAAATAAATTGTCGAGGCACATCTGGAATACGGTTGGGAAAAGGGGAAAAGAAAAAAAAAGAATCTCTTCATTTGAGAGTAAATTCTTTGAGAAAATACTGTGAAAGATTTCAATTTTTAAATAAAATAAGCAATTCTCTTATGCAGGTAAGCCATTTTGGTACATACCGTAAATACTGTAATAGTACCTAAAAGTACATACCGTAAATACTGTAATAGTACCCCATCCCCCTCGTACAGTCGCGTAGTCGCAAAAGTAGTTTTTAGTATTTCATTTTTTTTCAAAGCGCCCGTACTTTCAAAAAATGCGTCTTTGGTATCAAAAAAATAGCTGAAATTCAGGGCTATTTTTTGATACCTAAGCGCGCATTGTAGCATAAACCAGTGTCGAGAAAAACTCGTTCAAAGCTTGACTACGCAACGCTCCGCACCGTCATTATGGGAGTGGGGTACTATTACAGTATTTACGGTATGTTTGTTTGACACACTGTGATCTGTGAAATATCCAGTGAAAGTTTTGATTGACTTACAATTAGTCAGATCAACACTCTCTGTCACTATCATTGCTAACAAATCCAAAAATTTATTATGCAAAAAGTTTCAATCATCTTAAAAGTCATTGAAAAAAAATGAAACGGTTGTGATATGTTTTGTCATGAATTTAGTAAGGTTGTTTGTTTTCCATTTCATGCCAAATGCGGAATGGTCGAGTGACGTCATCCAATTTGATGCTGAAAAGTAATGCATTGAAAGGTGTTATTTGTCAAAAAAATATCTAGCTGATAAAATAATGAACAAACCACTCGAGGGAACGCTTCGAATCACTCTTCGGGTTCTTGAGGAACTCGTGAAACTCGGCATCGGAAAATCCGACAGCAGCAGCCTAAAGTTGTTAAAGTAACAGAGCTTGAGTCCTTCATTTTGATAGGAAATCTTAGGTTTATCTATGCAATTTAAATCTAAGATCTACATTCTAGATTTCCCATTCAGCGTCAGATTCACAAGTACGACTGACTCTTACATTTGTCTCTTAATGACCTTAATGACCCTGAATGATCTTAATGTCTCTTCATGAGCTCTTAATGACCATGGTTATTTCTTGATCCACGATTCTTGATTCAAATTTTGTATCACCTTTCAATTTTTCATTATCAATATCTGTGTTCTTTGTCCAAAAAAGTTACGTTGATCAATTTTTGCTCGCCGAAAAGGTGGCATTGATAAGGGGGAAAAGGGAGAATTGTTTACGAAACCCGAAAGTAGTTTTGCCCAAATTGATAAACTTGTTTGTTCGATATTTGTGCGGGGTAAATATGAGCCAAAAAAAGTACGACCAAAAATGATTACCTCAGCAGAAGTGGCTCCATAATAAATAGCATCGAGACGAGCCCATAAAGCAGCGCCCATGCACATAGGACATGGATAGCACGAAGTGTACAGGACACAACCCGAGAGATCGTATTTCTGAAGTGTGAAATATAAGAAGATACAATAGTTGTTTGGTGTGCTGTTGAAGTGTCTATTTATTCTGATACCTGAAGGTTTTCACAAGCGCGACGGATCACTGTGATTTCAGCGTGTGCGGTTGGGTCACAGTCATGAAGGACCTAAAAAAGATGTTGTAAAGGAATGTTGATATTTCATATATTAAAAACTTTTTTGATATAATCGTATAAAGATAATGCTTAATAAATACCTGATTATGTCCTTTGGCCACGATTTTCCCATCTTGCACAATAACGGCGCCGAATGGTCCGCCTTTACCCTGACAAAAGATTAGTTTTAAAAATGTTAACTCAAAATGTTAAGTCAAAATGTTAAACAATGTAAAAACAGAATCGAAATGAACCTGTGTCATGCCGTTGATCGCCTCTTGCACGGCTTCTTCCATAAATTGAGGATTTATAGGGGCAACTGAAACATAAAAACAGTGTTTTTTTTTGCATTTTGACAAATTGAAAGCGAAATTTTTGTTAGATCCGTTTCCTCGATATCAGTGAAAGGAGCAAGGAATTTGTCAAAATTTTCTCACGAGGAAAGCGTCAGTTTAAAGATTTTGGTTGAAAAGATTGAAAAGTACGATACGCGTTCGCAACTTCGGCTGGCCGACTGGCTAAGAGTCCTGTATCTTAATCGGAAGGTTCAATCCCGTCGGCTAGATTATTGATTCCATATCTATGAGTTTTTTCTCCCCAACATTTAGAGGTTATGCTTTTATATTGTACCATATTATTCGTGTGAATAATGTTAAAGGGGAGAAATAAATGGATGAAGATCAACCTGTAGTCGATGAACACCAAAAAGTTCGCATTTCGGCAGTGGCAGCGGCCATTTCGAGAATCAAGTGAAAATGTTTTTCGGAGAGGTTTAAAGAGGTGTTTGTTTGGATTCAATTTATAGAGATTCGGCAAAAAGGGCGGAGGGGGAGGGGAGGGGAAATGGGTGATAAGAAATGTCCTGTTGTTCTGAAGACGCTGATCAAAGTGATGCGTGACCCCCTCAACCCTCTAGGTCTCCTGATTTTTCCTATAACACCAAAAGGCGTCAACTTTATAATACGTACAGACGCATCCCCGTCGACAAAATAAATAGACATGATTAATTTTTGAGACTTTTATGAATGGTAAACAAAAGATGAAAGCTTGACACTCATTCACGTGCCAGGGGAGACCTTTGTTTTGAAATAAAGTGAGAGAGAGAGAGAGAGAGAAAGATGACGAAGGAAGTTTTTGTGGCCAAGAATTGTATCTTGATTTTTTTATTGGATTGACGATAGACGCTACAAATGCTTGCAGAAACGCGTAGAATGACGATGTTTACAAACTGTTTTCACCAAAAAAAAAATCGAGCCAACTTTGGGCTTTCGAATGGCACCAAAATCAGACGAATTCATCACCTATGTACCGATAACGTGTTATTTTATTGTTATAAATAGTCTCATTTGTAGTTTGTAGTCTCCTCCCATGAGATAGGACTACAAAACTGGAAAAAACGTCATATTTTAGCGCAAAGATGGTGGATCGACTTCGAAATGTCATTCAAAAGCCCAATGTTGACACAATTTTTTTGGTAAAAACACTTTGTAAAAATAGCCATTCTATGCGTTTCTACAAGCGTTTGTAGTCCATCCTTGTAGTTTGTAGCGGCGACTATCGGCGTATTGAAACTATTAAATTTTATCCAGCATTTAAACATGCGTCATTTCAAATATACGTCATTGTTTTATATGATTTAAACTCACTTTACTGGCAGAAAACTAACATCGCTCTTATAGAAAATTCTTGGTTTTTGAATGAAAACAAAGAGAAAGCCAATGTTAGCCTAAATCTCTTAAATCAAAAAGTTTTCTGATTAGATCTTTACGCATTTCATTGAACAAATGGCAGATGAATAGGAGACGTTTAGGGTTGTCTTATGAATGTGCAAGTAACTCAAGTAATTCAACCAAACATTCAAGTAAGTTTAACTTTGAATAAGTTCTCTTCGAAACACGAAAATGATGACTTTTTTTTTCTTTTGAGATCTCTTTCTTATCTTTCTTTCTTAAATACTGATTTCCTGCATTGTTTAGAGTAAATTGTTGCACTAAGGACTGGGTTAATATTCGAAACTTTTGAAAAAGATAGAGCGACTTAAATTCCAGAATACCGAGATTATAAACTTCTTATAAAAATTTGACTTGACACCGTTTTCAACCTTCTCCTACCTAAGCAAACCATTAGCATTTTTCTTGAAAATTACGGTTAGAATCTCATTTGTTCGATTGCATAATATAGGGTAAAAATGTTTATCTCATCTCGTCTATCTCATAAGTTTGAGCGGCACTGGCTTCAACTCATTACCACTTCAGGATGTCCGATCGGTCATATAGAATTCAAAGTTTTGTTAGTTTTTTTAGTTTTGTTTAGAATTCAAGTGCATGATTGATTTAAAATGCTGGTCAATCGCTAACTCTTCGGAAATTTCGCGTAAAAGAGAGTGGTTGATGAAATAAAGAATTTCAAATAACTTAACATCATTGAAGGTTACCCCGTAATGACCTTTCCATTGACTTTAAGGGATTTATTGCCTCAACTAAACTTAAGAGATCAATACTGAGATGAAAGGCACACTTTTTTTCTGAAAATATTTCCAAAGTTGGCTAAAAGTTGGATGCAATTATGCCTTTGTAAAAACTTATACAAAATGTCATATTAAAAAATGTTTGGATGGCAAATTACTGATTTTCATAGAATGCATAGAATATTAAAAAATAACTAAAATAAAAACATTTCCTTCATTGTTTCCGATAGAGTAAAGAAGAAGAAGAAGAAGAGGAAAAGGAAGGGAAGAGAGAGGAAGAAGAAGAAGAAGAAGAAGAAGAAGAAGAAGAAGAAGAAGAAGAAGAAGAAGAAGGAGAAGAAGAAAGAAACAGTGGCAGTAGATTGGCAGTAGATCAAAATATAAGGCATAGCCTCTCTAGTCCGAGTCCACCATTCTACTTTTTTCTTTTACTTTTTTGAATTTGCAAAGTCAATTGTTCTTTGTTTCAAATACAATTTTATTTTCAACTACTTCTCATAAAAATGCTTAACTTTTAACAATCAACATCAAACAGCTATCATTAAAATTCAAAAAACAAGGAAGCTTTAACATTGATGACAAGATCTTCAATGAAAAGATGAAAAGGGAAAAGCATAGGTTGACTACAGCAGTCACGACAGGCGCAAAACATCAAAGCCAAAGGTCCACAATTTGTATCCAATTTTCCCGAAAAAAAACTATTGTTGTATAGCAATCAAGAGCAGTTACGACGCTTTTTTTTGCTCATTGAAAGGCCATCGGAAGCTATGAAAAAGCTTCTCTTTTTCATAGCTTCCGATGGCCTTTTTGTTTGGAATGTTTTCTATTTTAAGCGATAAAACGATTAACTAATTTTTGTAGCTTAAAAACTTTTTATGTATTTTCTCAAAGCAAAAAAAAAATCCAAACCTGGAGGGCTCATTTTTGAAGGTTGAAATGGGATTGGTGAGAGTAAAAGCAACGTTCAGATGTGAGGGGAAATGAAATGAAATGAAAATGGCAAGAGTCTTTTCGGGGAATTGCAATCGGCAAGCCGAGGAGGGAGGGGTCGACTGTTGTCTCTCCCATCGTTCTCGACAAATTCCTTCCAAAAAAGAAATTCATTTCCCTTTTTTCTTTTTTTATTTCTTTTGCTCACACACTAAATCACTCTGATCACCAAAAATAAAAAAAATTGATGATAATTTTTGCTCAATCTGTGCGGATAATACCCTTAAAGTAAAGGCGATTAAAAAAATGAGCCGGAAAATTTCTAGCCGCTTCGTTGTCTTAATTTTTCTTAGCAAAATTGTAAAATCAAAGATAATATGATTAAAAATTCGTCATTAGCTCTGAGATTGTATTATTATTATTATTAATATTACTACTACTATTATTATTATTATTATCACTTTTAGATACTGCTGTTTTTAAGTAGACTTTTTTAGGTAATCAGTTGGGATTTGAGTTTTCGATAAATGGAAACACTAAAATTTTTTGTAAATGTCGTAAAAAGGAACACGCAATAGAGTTTTAGCGTTTTACAAACAACAACAAAAACAACAAAAGCAAAAATGTTAGAGAACTCTGGTAACAAAAACTTTCGTCATTTGCGCACCTTTTTTTCCGCACTTAGCCCATTAGCACACCTTTTTTCGCGTTTTAAAAAAGCTCTAAAAGCTAATATTAACCAATTTCTATTCCAAATGTTGTTTTTCTAGGTAATTTGAGGGTGTAGAATCGAAATTTTGGCATATCAGAGCGTGTGGAACCAATTTGAAAGAAGGTGATAAGGTGACAATTGTTAAAAGAAATTTAGTTCCTATTTAGTTCCTATTTAGTTCCTATTTGGTTCCTATTTAGTGCCTTTATAGTTTCTATTTAGTTTCCAATTACCAATTTGAAAGACAAAACGGCTAGGTCAAATTACAGAAAATTGTTGATTTTTCTCTTTGTATAACTCCGTCCGTTCGCTTCCACAAGCTCTGATATGCCAAAATGTCGTAAAAAGGAACACGCAATTAGAGTTTTAGAGTTTTACAAACAACAAAAAAACAACAAAAGCAAAAATGTTAGAGAACTCTGGTAACAAAAACTTTCGTCATTCGATTTTTGATTTTTGTGTCCTAAAAGAATAAATAAAACTCGATAAATCCATTTTTATTAAACAACAAATTATACAATCGCTTTTTAAATAAAAAAACGTTACAACTTTGCTTCTTTATATTTATTTTTAATATCTAGATGAACTCCTCTTGTTTAACTATTCGATTTTCTTCTCCAATTCGTGTAATCGCAAATCTACGCCTTTCCCATCGTATTCGCTCTTTTCTGCAGAGAAGAAAAGTGTTTGTGATCGAATAAGAATTCAAATCTCATTGACGACTTAAAAAAAAACTACCTCATTTCCATTTTTGGAAACAATTAATCTAAAATTATTAAAGCTTTACAATCATATTCTTTTAAAGATCTTAGAAAAAGAAGGCTGAAGTCTTGAAGATGTCAGAAAAAGGCGCTGAAAAGTCTCAAAGTTCAACAAATGAAGTCGAGGATCCAGAAAATAGTGCTAGCCAGGTGAAGAGTTTATTTGAATTTCAATGTACTAGATTCTTAGAGTGAAAATAAAGACGAGGGGTGGTGTTGTGCCTCCGCATGAACTCCGCCATCCGCTGCAGCATCGATGGGCGCTCTGGTATCTCAAGGTTTGGAACTGATTAGCAATAAATGCCCGGAAACTTTCTATTTTCTAGATCTTTACAGAATTCAACACTGAAAGTTAAACAAAATTTTTTTTTAGGCCGACCGAAACAAAGATTGGGAAGAATGCCTAAAACAAGTAGCCGTTTTTGAAACAGTCGAGGATTTTTGGTCACTTTACAATCATATTCAAACAGCTAGTGGACTCAGCTGGGGCTCTGATTATTATCTTTTCAAAGAAGTTTAATGATAATAATAGATGAAAAATTGAACTACTCTTTAGAATATTCGTCCAATGTGGGAAGATGAAAGTAATGTGAAAGGAGGAAGGTGGCTTGTTGTTGTCGATAAACAAAAAAGGTCATTGAGTAAACGGTGATCAAATTTGAAAAAGTCAATTTCAGACAGCAACTTCTTGATAATTATTGGCTTGAGTTGTTGATGGCGATTCTCGGAGAACAATTCGAGAATCATGGAGAATACATTTGTGGAGCGGTCGTCAATGTACGACAAAAAAGGCGATAAGGTGATTGTTAAAAGACAATTGTTAAAAGAAAATTTGAAATGCAGGGTTGTTTAACTTTAGATTTGACACTCTATCTTTATTTTTATCTTTATCTTTATCTTAGTTTTAATCTTAAACATAAAGAATACTATCTAATTTCATTGAAAAAAAAGGGGAGTGGGACAAATGCGACCTTTTTCTTGCGCACTCGGACATTTGCGCACCTTTTTTTCCGCACTTAGCCCATTAGCGCACCTTTTTCGCGTTTTAAAAAAGCTCTAAAAGCTAATATTAACCAATTTCTATTCCAAAAGTTGTTTCTCTAGGTAATTTTAGGGCGTAGAATCGAAATTTTGGCATATCAGAGCTTGTGGAACCAATTTGAAAGAAGGCGATAAGGTGACAATTGTTAAAAGAAATTTGGTTCCTATTTAGTTCCTATTTAGTGCCTTTATAGTTTCTATTTAGTTCCCAATTACCAATTTGAAAGACAAAACGGCTAGATCAAATTACAGAAAAATGTCGATTTTTCTCTTTGTATAACTTCGTCCGTTCGCTTCCACAAGCTCTGATATGTCAAAATTTCGATTCTACGCCCTAAAATTACCTAGAGAAACAACTTTTGGAATAGAAATTGGTTAATATTAGCTTTTTAGAGCTTTTTTAAAACGCGAAAAAAGGTACGCTAATGGGCTAAGTGCGGAAAAAAAGGTGCGCAAATGTCCGAGTGCGCAAGAAAAGGGTCGCATTTGTCCCACTCCCAAAAAAGCATTTTTAGGTATCCCTATGGACGAAAGAGGCGGAAAAGGATGACGTGAATTTGAGAGTTGGACAAATATTGAAAGCAAAACTCAAAATTCCTGATACGGATCCGCTTCGGTATGAGGTGCACAAGGATTCACAGAGAAGAACATCGTCAATGGTTAAACCACGCATTGTTATTCAGGTACTACCTAAATCAGGTCAAGAGCAAGATATAATCTGCTAATAAAGCGACAAATCTGAATTTTTCTTAATTATTGAAGCTTTAATAATGGAAAGATTTGTCATAAAATACCCGTAAATTCTCCAAAAATAAGCAGCATGTTTCCACTGATGACAATCAGTGGAAACAGAAAAAAAAATGAAGAATAGGCTTGCTAAATTCAAACACTGCAAAAGAATTTTTATGAAATAATTCCTTGTTTACGCGTATGTTGATGACGGTGTCGCTGTTGATGGAAATGAGCGGGAGTGGGACAAATGCGACCTTTTTTTTTGGCGCACCCGGACATTTGCGCACCTTTTTTTCCGCACTTAGCCCATTAGCGTACCTTTTTTCGCGTTTTAAAAAAGCTCTAAAAAGCTAATATTAACCAATTTCTATTCCAAATGTTGTTTTTCTAGGTAATTTTAGGGCGTAGAATCGAAATTTTGGCATATCAGAGCTTGTGGAAGCGAACGGACGGAGTTATACAAAGAGAAAAATCAACAATTTTCTGTAATTTGACCTAGCCGTTTTGTCTTTCAAATTGGTAATTGGAAACTAAATAGAAACTATAAAGGCACTAAATAGGAACCAAATAGGAACCAAATAGGAACTAAATAGGAACTAAATAAGAACTAAATTTCTTTTAACAATTGTCACCTTATCGCCTTCTTTCAAATTGGTTCCACACGCTCTGTTATATCAAAATTTCGATTCTACGCCCCCAAATTACCTAGAAAAACAACATTTGGAATAGAAATTGGTTAATATTAGCTTTTTAGAGCTTTTTTAAAACGCGAAAAAAGGTGCGCTAATGGGCAAGGTGCGGAAAAAAAGGTGCGCAAATGTCCGGGTGCGCAAGAAAAAGGTCGCATTTGTCCCACTCCCAAATGAGCTCACAAGGGAATCTCTTAGGAATTCACGAAAAGCTGTCAACATTCACTAACTTTAACCTCAAATATCTCCGCTCTAAAGCCCTAAAAGCAAGTTTGGACACTAGATTCGGATAGCTAATTTTTTTTCCGAATCGAATGGTACCTAAATCATTCTTGGGCTTGAGGATAAGTTTAAGAGGTTCCCTTGTTAGTTAACTGTAATTATTTTTTAAAAATACCAATGAATTTGCTCTCCAGAAAACGAAAAAACATTGAAAATCTTTGGAAAAAAAATGGCTACAGATTTTCTAATAACAAAATTTCTAATAGCATATAGGAATCTATCGGGAAATCAACTAGGAATCCTATTATATTATACATTATACAGGAATCCTATTATACAAAATGGCTCAGAAAATCTTTTTCAGGGAGCTCAGGGAGCAACTCGACCAGCAAAAGAAGTCACTCATTGAACATAAACGAATGCATAATATCTTCATTTTTTTATTTTCTTTTCTTTAAAATGTGGAAATGTCTACTATTCAATCCACTTTGGGGATTTTCACGATTAGCATCACGTTTCCAGATTTATTATTTATTCAGGGTTTTTGTCGTTGTTATGCTTTTTTTCTTTTTTTTTTCCCTTTCCCGTTATCGTTTTGAGGTGTTTTTGTTGTGATTTTTTTCGGTTTTTATACCAAATCGGAATCTCTTATTGATAAAAATTACCCAAAAAAAGAAAAAAAAATCGAAATTTACATTGAGATCGTAGACCCTGTCACAAAAAATCCAATCCAATCCAAAAATGTACAGAGAAAAAAAATGGCTACAGATTTTCTAATAACAAAATTCCAATAACATATAGGAATCTATCGGGAAATCAACTAGGAATCTAAAAATATGGGAGTGGGACAAATGCGACATTTTTTGCGCACCCGGACATTTGCGCACCTTCTTTTCCGCATTTAGCCCATTTGCGCACCTTTTTTCGCGTTTTAAAAAAGCCCTAAAAGCTAATATTAACCAATTTCTATTCCAAATGTTGTTTTTCTAGGTAATTTGAGGGTGTAGAATTCAAATTTTGACATAACAGAGCGTGTGGAACCAATTTGAAAGAAGGTGATAAGGTGACAATTGTTAAAAGAAATTTGGTTTGTTAAAAGAGATTCAAATTTTGATATAACAGAACCAATTTGAAAGACAAAACCGCTAGATCAAATTACAGAAAATTGTCGATTTTTCTCTGTGTATAACTCCATCCGTTTGTTTCCACAAGCTCTGATATGTCAAAATTTCGATTCTACACCCTCAAATTACCTAGAAAAACAACATTTGGAATAGAAATTGGTTAATATTAGCTTTTAGGGCTTTTTTAAAACGCGAAAAAAGGTGCGCAAATGGGCTAAGTGCGGAAAAAAAGATCGCATTTGTCCCACTCCCAAAAATATTATACAATATTTTCATCTCACTTTTCTCATAATTAATTAGTTTTTTTTGTGATATTTTCATTCGTAATCAGTAATCCATTCGTTGTTTTCGTAGATTTTTCGTATCGGTGATGACCATCCAATGGCATTGTCTAAATTTTTTTTTGGAATCGACTTCCCAGAGTTTTGAGAGAGTCCAATAGTCTCGAAACCTTTAAATTATCTCTAGATGATCTTGATCTTGAAGCTCTAGTGGATCCTTGACGTTTTCTGTGCTACCCATATATTACATATAAAAAGGCCGATAAAAAGCAACACATGTATACACGTGTTGCTTTTTATCGGCCCTTTTCGTGTTATGTGTTTTAATCTTAAATCTAGCGCACTTTATCTCAGGTTCTGAATAAAGTATCTATATACCGTAAATACTGTAATAGTACCCCACCCCCAGAATGACGGTGCGGAGTGTTGCGTAGTCTAGCATTGAACGAGTTTTTCTCGAGACTGGTTTATGCTACAATGCGCGCTTAAGTATCAAAAAATAGCTGAAATTCAGGGCTATTTTTTGATACCAAAGACACATTTTTTGAAAGTACGGGCGCTTTGAAAAAAATGAAATACTAAAAAACTTTTGCGACTACGCGACTGTACGAGGGGGGTGGGGTCCAATTACAGTATTTACGATATATATATATATAATAAACAATAGTTAATATTGATTTATATTTAAATAATCATTTAACACTTAATTAATACAAATTTATGCAACATTTTTTGTGACAAACTTGATTGAAGCGCGATCATTTCAGCTCCATGCAATTTTGCCGTTGTTGTCGAGATTTGGAGTGATTTCCATTGAGTTGCCACTGGAAAGATCAACACTTTTGCATTATTTTAAAGTTTTTGCTCAAAAAATGCACAAACATTTTCTTTTATAGTAGACAGAATATCCAGAAACCCCGGAAACCGGTTTCCATTCGGCGATCGTCACATCATCCGTCGTTGAGAGTCGAAGTCCTGGCACTGCTGCTGGTAAATTCTAAAATTCTATTCAGATTTCATTTCTTTTCTATCTATTACCTTCATTGAATCTTCATGGCATTGTAAGATATCAGTAAAATAGCTCATACAAATCACCGCATCAAACGAGTTTTTGAGAGTGAACGATCGATCACAAAGCCCCAGACATTGATGTGGAACCTGGGAAATGTAGGACAATGATCTTGATGATCAGATGAGTTTCAACTTGATGTTTTGCAAGGAAAAAAAAACAAAGTGTCTCGTGATGAGAACTGGATCGGATATTAGGGGATCAAGATGAGAGGAGAACGACCTTGAAGTAAAGGGTCAATCAAAACAACATCAAAAAATACCCCTTACTAGGTGAGCTTTTATGTCGACACCTAGTGCACTTTATAGGAATGAGAAATCCGAATCTGAAAAATATCTTAATTAGCTAGAAGTTGATCCAAAAGAAAAAGAAAAACAGAAAGCCGTATCCGCGACCGAACCCTGATCCTGTCAGCGTTGCCCACTAGCCCACCAACACACGTTCCGTACTCTAGGAAGGAACGTTTTAAAGCATCCGACGCCAAATTTTCGATTGAATTTTTACACGCCTCATGCCATTTGGCAGATTTTGATTTCAGATTCGGTAATATACCCGATTCTATAAAGATTTCAGATTCGGACTCCTCATACCCGATTCTATAAAGTGCACTAGGTGTCCAGCCAAAAGCTCACCTTGAGTTCGTGCTTTTCCCTAGTTAGACAGGCCAAACTTTTGAGATAAACCTTTTTAAAGATACAACACGAGGCACTCTTCGCATCGGTAAGAGTGCATTGTAACAAGTGATGCATCTCATCGCTGCAATTGTGATACGGTAGATAGGCACCGGGACGGATCTGGTGACGAGGTGAAGTGCCTAAAAATGGAAATGTTGAGGAAAAGAGAATTTTCAATACCTATAGTGCAATACGATGTGCAATTGGGACGTGTGATCTGCCGACTGCAGCACTCAAATGGAGTCTCTGGTGGAGAAGCTGGTAGAGGGGATCTTGTTCCTTTTGTCGATGACATGACTACTAGATTTACTTCACCCATGACTGAAGCGTGGCCTCTAAAGGTTTGATGATTATGCCTGAAGTGCCGTAAAAACTCGAATAGAACGGCTATTAGAATGCTTGATTCGAGTTATTGGGTTGGGGAGAATGAGTCGGCGCCGAAAATCAAAAAAATGTCTAAAACTTCTATTCGACTTCGTCAAATAATATGCGTTTGATATCAGTAGAATGGTTAACTAATTCTCTACAAAATGGCATTTAAAAGAAACCTCAAACAGCGCCTCCGCTCAAGAAAAAGCCATTTTTTCACAAAAACTACAAAGTGTCATCTAGAAAAAACCATTGGTGGGATCTTCCTGCAAATTTGGCAACTTAAGTAATTGAATGTGCTCTATCTTTTTTATATAAACACCAAAGAAGGTTTATGTGAAAGAAACTGTTCAAATGATGAGTCGGACTCTTTGCCATTTTAACCAGCTGCGTTTGGAAGTTCATAAACTCCACGAAAGAAAAGCTTTGTGGAATCTCTCAAAAGTCATTTTGTAGAGAAATAGTGGATCCTTTTGATGAAACCAAACGTATGTTTAAAGAAGGCTTTATGTGTACAAAAAGTCCCTTTAAAGTTGGGCGCCGACTCGTTCTCCCCAACCCAATAGATTTTAATAAGTCATTACCGTACTACACATCTGTATGTGCCATTATCGCTAGCTTTTGGACGGCTTATTCTCAGAGCTGCAAAAATGACTGGCTCATCCAGAGATCGTGTGCTATGCTTTTGATATCGAACACCCTCTAATCGAGTCCAACTTTTCGAAGCGCTTTGTTTTTCCCAATCTATAACTTTTTCTTTAAAGAATATTATCTAAATAAAACCGATATGAGCCCGTTCGTGTCGAGTACGAAGAGCACAGCTCAGAAATACATTTGATGAATCACTTGAGGTCACCACTTTAGGCCATTCACTATCAGAAGATACTGAAAATGTTGTTTGGAGTGAAAAATATGGCTTTTTACGGGAGTGGGACAAATGCGACCTTTTTTTTGCGCACCCGGACATTTGCGCACCTTTTTTTCCGCACCTTGCCCATTAGCGCACTTTTTTCGCGTTTTAAAAAAAGCTCTAAAAAGCTGATATTAACCAATTTCTATTCCAAATGTTGTTTTTCTAGGTAATTTAAGGGTGTAGAATCGAAATTTTGGCATATCAGAGCTTGTGGAAGCGAACGGACGGAGTTATACAAAGAGAAAAATCGACAATTTTCTGTAATTTGATCTAGCCGTTTTGTCTTTTAAATTGGTTTCACAAGCTCTGTTATGTCAAAATTCAAAATTGAATTCGACACCCTCAAATTACCTAGAAAAACAACACTTGGAATAGAAATTGGTTAATATTAGCTTTTTAGAGCTTTTTTAAAACGCGAAAAAAGGTGCGCTAATGGGCAAGGTGCGGAAAAAGAGGTGCGCAAAAAAAGGTAGCATTTGTCCCACTCTCCTTTTTACAACAAACCTCCCATATTTAATTGTTCACTAGCTTGCGATCTTCCACTTAACGACTCAGCAATCACATAAACAGAATAATGAGATCCAAGGCGGAGATTTGTCAAATTAAAACGTGTATTTGCACTCTAAAAAGTCATTATTTTCAAAAAAATATAGAAAAATAACCGTAGTTTCTCGAATTAATTCTACAGTTCGGCTTCTCGAGTTATCACTGATATAAATTTTATAAAGAGTGACTAGATGTGAATTATTTTTTGGTCGATCCCATCGAAGCATACCGCTTTCAATTCTGTAAACTGGCTTTCAAAAAAAAAAGAAGAAATTTTTCGATCACTTGAGTTTAATCGGAGGACTCGGGATGGTTTTGTAGCCTTTGAGAATACAATCATAAATTGGTGGAAGATTGAGCGCCAGACAAGACATCAAATCACGAAAAGGCTCAAAAAGAGAGATCTCTCCCGAACACAGCCCAAAACATGAGCGCTCTTCGGGATCTTTTGCATTCTGTTCACAACATTGCAAATTGTCTCGACCATCGGTCAGACATTGAGAGATTTCTGAAGAGTTCTTTGAGATTTTTCACGTTTTCAAACCAAACCAGTTAGATGTGAAGAACAATTGTGGCGACCATCGAAAAGACTGTAACGAGCGACGTCACCAGGTGGACGATGAGGATCGCACAAATTTTGAGCGCACTCTTCGCTCACCTAATCGATATTTGGCATAGTCTCTCATCTATCTTGCTTAGTGTTTTCTTTTTGCAAGGTCTAACTTTGTGTGTCGCTTACAAGGGAATGACCAGAAGTGAATGTGACCGTTTTGGATGGGTCATTCAGTAGATCTAATCATAATATTGATGAACAAAAAAATTAGCTCCGCAAAGTAACTCTACGATGAGAAATGGAATTGATATGGAGCAAAAATGGCGTTTTTTTTTGACCCTCCTTGACAAGGCTGAAACTTTTTACTGAATTAATATTTTTGAATAAGTCTTTTTGCATGTAATAAAACTTGAATGAAACTAAAAAAAATAGTAAAATTTGATTTCCAAAGTATTTATAAAATTTTACATTTCAAAGATTTTGGCTAAAGTTTACTGAATATCTTAAGTTTTTTTATAGGAATATCTTAAGTTTCTATAATTAATGAAAGTTTATTTTTAGTTTCATTCAAGTTCGATTATATGCAAAACAAAGATTATTCAAAAAATATTGATTCAGGAAGAAATTCTAGACCCGTCAACGAGGGTTAACGTCAACGTCAACGTTAAAAACGTTATTTTGCTTCTTGCCGACGCCTTATAGTCATTTTTGCTCGTTTCTCATTGTAGAGTTACTTTGGTAGAATTTTTTTAGTCATCAATATTCATTATGATCTATTGATCTATAGATCTATTGAATGAGGTATCACTCATCCCAAACGATCATTCAATATATAAGTTCTGCTAGTATCCAAGCAATGGAGTGTAATGATTTAAATAAGCTCGCCTTCCATTTCATTTTGTACTAAATATCCTGAATATGTATTTGCATGAGGAACCACAGTAGTAAGGTTTTATTATAAACTTTCGTTCTTTCTCAGAAATCTGTTGTTTGCTTAAAAGCGCCCCAGCTACCGTACCCCGCAAGCAATGCGTATATAAGCCCATTTCATGTTAGTTTTCGGACTGGTATTCTTATTGAATCAAATGATAATAATCAAATGATAACTCACTCCATTTCGTAAACAGCACGCTTGTCGAGAACAGCTGATCGGTGAAATTAGGACAAGTAAAGACCATGGAAAAGCTTTAAAAATGGTTCGTATGAGCATGATCGCCGAAGAGTTTCAGTGACAAGCTGGAAGAAGTAGTGATTTGGGGTTTTGCAATAAAAATGAATGAATTGAGTCGATAAAGGATAAGGAAAAGGGATGAAAAATGAATGAGAACGAATGAAAGAAGGAGTAAGTGGTGGTGGAAAGGATGGGGTGGGCGAGTGGATGGGTGGATGGACGATATGTATCTCGCGCTCACCCGTTGACCTTGCCAATAACCATTTGTCGCCCTCTTCTTCTGCCCCTTGCACACAAATCCCTAATCCTAGACCCTTCCCCGTCTTATCCACATTCTCTTTGTGACTCAAAAAAAACTTATCCTTTCTTCCCCTCGAAATATCCTTAAACACCCACCACACTGTAGCGGATCACGTCTACTAGAAAATTTTTTTTGTATGTTTCAATCTCTTATAAATATATCAATCTTCGGAATTTTAAGCCAATGCAAAACCGTAGCAAAACCAATGCAAAACCAATGCAAAACCAATGCAAAAGCAATGATTTTTATCACTTTTATCACTTGAAAGTCTGGCTAAATGTTCGAGAAGAAAAAAAAACTTAAAAAGCGTGGGAAAGTGAGTTTTTGCAAAGCCAAAAGTGCGGCGGCAATTTCACTTTTGACCTCGTTTTTTAGTGGATGAATATCTCTGTGGCTTTTCACGAAAACCCAACAGTTACAATATAAAATCTGAGCTATAATTGAAGCATTGTTAGTGTTCGATATTCTGAGCTGATTGCTGATTGTGTGAAATAGAGAAGTTTTTAAGAGAATTTCGAAATGCAAAGTTCATTGATGTAGGTGGGAAAAAGTGTTGGGAATATAATCGTTGTTTTAAATCATTTCCCCACAGATTATTTATTTGTTTTATAGTGTTTTCTAAAGTGCGGGCCTCCTACCGTACCCCTAATTTGTCTGTTATTTCACAGCATTGTTTCTCTTTGATCCAATTCGTTGTCAAATTTTTGTTTTAAAAAAGATTTGTCTAATATTTCGTCTGTTTAAATAAATTGTTAAATCAACTTCGTCAACTATTCAAATTGTATCATTAACATCAAGAATATCAATGAAAAACATACCGTAAATACTGTAATAGTACCCCACCCCCCTCGTACAGTCGCGTAGTCGCAAAAGTTTTTTCGTATTTCATTTTTTTTTCAAAGCGCCCGTACTTTCAAAAAATGCGTCTTTGGTATCAAAAAATAGCCCTGAATTTCAGCTATTTTTTGATACTTAAGCGCGCATTGTAGCATAAACGAGTGTCGAGAAAAACCTCGTTCAAAGCTAGACTACCCAACACTCCGCACCGTCATTATGGGGGTGGGGTACTATTACAGTATTTACGGTACGTATACAACAAAAATACATTGAATATATTGAAACAAGAAATGAAGTAGACAATAAAAATGTAGTAAAGTGGAGTAGACATAAAAAAACGGACGATCAGGTTGATTGGTGCCGATATGGAGTGGATAAATGAGTAGTGGGAGAAAATGGGGAAAAGCCGGTCTTCCTTTTCAATTAGGGTCATCCACACCGGTGTCTTCATTCATTCATTCAATGATTCGATCCAAAACTCAATCCTCATCCGGATTTTCCCGGCATACAAGATCTCGTTTTCATCTTTTAAAAAAGTTCATTCGAAACTTTGAGTGATGGCGAATCACAAAGGGAAAACATGTTTTCCTAATAGAAAAATGAGAAATCATGGTAGACAGTCAGAATAATATAACTTCAGTGATTCATCAAATACACTTGCGACCTTTTTCCGAGAAAATTCTGGGTTGGCGCTTTAAAGCGTGGTAAAACTACTTCTCCAATTTGCGCGAAATTTTTTCACTCTTGTTCATTTCTTTTTATTCTTTTTCGTTTTTCTGATGTGGTTGCGTTTGTAGGAAACAAAGAGGATAAATCTAAGTTACGTTTTTAACAGCATTTTCTCTGGCAGAAGCTTTGTTTGTAGAGTTTTTTAGACCCACTTGCTTCCCGATGATCTGCTTTACGAACTTGATGCTAACTAATGCTAAGTTAAGTGGTTTTTATCATTTTCTATAGCGGAAGCTTTGTTTTTGTGACTTTTTAGTTGGAAAAAGCACAAAAAGAATAAAAAAGAAATTTCGCGCAAGTTGGAGGAGTACGGTACTTTTACCACGCTTTAAAGCGCCAACCCAGGATTTTCTCGGAAAAAGGTCGCGAGCTCACATACAGTAACGTCATGAAAAACGGTTTACCTACATTCTAAAAACGCGTAATTTAGTAGTGTTCACTTTCTCTGTTCCTTTGAGCAAGTTTTACTTTTCGATGAGATGAAATACTTTCATTTATGGTACCATTACGCTTCATGAATGATATCTCTGTCTTTCGTTCATTCATGAAGCGTAATGGTACCATAAATGAACGAAAGACAGAGATATGAAATCCACCGAAGCTTTTCGCTGTGATGTTATGTATAAAAGCGATAATCCGTTGCGTGGTTACCACCAAATGCAAATCACATAATTACCATTACGAAAAGAGTGAGGGACACCCCATTGGTATCCCATTCCCGTTCATTTTCCCTTCATGTACGACTATTTTCTCACCTCTTTGACTATAGTGGAAACTTCAGAACTTTATTTTCTAATTCCTCCTTTGCAACTAGCTCTACCGCTTTCCCTTAAATTCTATATTTTCTTTGCCTTACAATATTGTTAATATTGAGTTCGTGGATATGAAATGTCGATAAAAATAAACAACTGATTTATTCAATATTTTACATGCAATCATTCTAAATATTCTCGATTATTTTCGATGACTTGAGCTCATTTTACTGGCCGAAGACCGAATGCCTTTCCCGTAGAAAATTTTTGCTTTGGATGCGAACCAATCCGTGAGCCACTTTTTTGACATCATCTTCGGAATCAAAGCGTTTCTTGGCCAAATCATTGCTCATTGCCCAAAATAAGTAGTAATCAGAAAGTGCAAGATCAGAGCTGTATGCCGGATGGGCCATCACCTCCCATCCAAGTGAATTTAATTTAGAACGAGTCATCTTTGAAACATGTGATCTAGCATGTTGAAGGATGATTTTTCTCTGGGGTCTTTTCTCTAGCAAAGCTTTAGCCGCCGACTTGTTAAGTTTCTCAGAGTATTTGATTTAGTTAAGCGTTGTCTTGCTATCCAAAAGTTCTCGGTAGATGGGGTCTTTCAAATCCCAGAACACCGAGAGCATAAACTTTTTCTCATGCACATTTGGCATGACGTCGTTTTCAGGCTTTCCCTCTTTCAGCCTTTTCGGGCTTTCAGGATTTGCTCTCGCACCAAGAAAGATGAACGGCACTGATTGAAACGCGTTGACATTTCAAGGTGTCTGTCATTTGGAAACCAAGTCCCTAATTTTGATTTAAACTCAAATTTATGCAAATGTTCAAGTATTATTGTATGATCAACTAATAACTCTTTTGCTATTTTGCGGGAAGAAAGTCTGTTGTTGGTTTGTAAAATTTCGAGCAACTTGGCACTATCCAGCTGGACTGCTAGATGATCCCTCCCTTTGTCTTCGAGGATTTATCCTCAGAACAGAATTTACTAAACCAGTTTGCACATGTCCGTAGTGGAGCTGATCCTTCCCCATAAATATTCTTAATATCAGTTGAACACTAGAGGCCTATATTTCCTTGTAGAAATTCGTACAACATAACGCAAATGTCCAATTGACAGATTATCAATGGCCACAGTAAAAGTTGCTAAAATTTCGAAATAACAGAAAGTGAGGAAGCCCGGTTTTATCGTTTTTGGAAAAGTGCTCTTGACTTTAACAGTTACACGCAACAGCCTCCCCCTCCGTTTTGTTTACGAGTTTAGGGATCAATCGGAAAAATAGCGACATGTCATACCCACCGACCTATAGATTAGATGTTCACTTCAAGAAATGAGGACTTCCCATGGCCTTGACTTCGATTTGCAATGGCAAACAAACAATGTGGAGTCTCGAGAAGACTTGCACCAAGGCAAGCCTCTTTCTTCATTTCATTTTCGTGTTTGTCCACCCGGTGTCCACAATTCACAAAAAAGCTTCATTTTTAGTCGTTATGAGCTTCATGCTTTATATTTCTTCTCATATCTTGCTTATAGTTATTTTTTTTTCACTTAATTCTTTTACTTCGAAATACCAATTTTAATGTTTGTTAGAGTTTCATAATCAGAGAATATCTATCTACAAGTTTTTGAAAGTTTTCCAATTCGCTAGAAAATATCGATATTTACAGAAAATATCGATATTCACAAGTCTAAAGCGCCGAAGAGCAATGCGGGGAGATGAGTCAGAGGTGTTTGTTTTGGATTACAGATTGGCTGAAGGCAACGAAGAGAAAATTTCGGGGAAAGGAAAGGAGGACAACAGTGCAAAAAGAAAAAGAAGAAAAGGAAGAAAAGGAAGAGGTCCCGGTCCCGTTAGTGCATGCATCGACGTTGCGCCACCATGGTGTGCAAACATGAATGGGAGAGGCGGGGAAGGGACCCACCACCGTTGTGTACCATTGAAAGGACTCTCTTCTCCTCTTTGACCATTTGGCTTTCTATCATCCACAGCGACAGCGCCCATCCACCCTGGTCCACTTCCACTTTGGCTACTGAACGAAACCCGAGAGCTTCACTCAACCTTCTCATGCCTTTTCCCCACTACACCGAATTTCCATATTTCATTTCTCAGGACTCTCCCATGATCACTCGACATGCTCTAGTTGTATTTAATACATGTATTTATTTTTTTTGTTAGTGGAACACTCAAGGGTTTTACATAGTGCTTTGCTTTCAGCAAAAGATGACTGACGCTTTGTTTAAGCTATGCAGTCATCTCTCGATACAACGATTTTGAAATTCTAAAAAACGCCCTTGGTTTCTACGTAGCTGCCCAGCGAAACGCAATCGTCGACCGTTCAGGGCAACTACGCAAGAAATTTGGGGCACTTTTTAAAATCGTTAAATCGAAACTTTTAATCCCAAGCGAGAGTCAAGAGTTATATTTTTAGTTGACTGTAGTTGATGGTGTAAATTCAAATAATAAATGAATTCGAATTGTAACTTATGCTGAACATTTCATGAAAAACATTTCTTTCTGACAGTTCTTTTCTCTTTGATGTACATTTTGGTTATTGATTTGCCGGAAAATCGGCCAAGCGTGATCGAGAAAAAACAAGAGAACTTCTCCGAAACAGATTTCTATCTACATATACAACTTTTTGTCTTCAAATCGTACATTGTTGTTTTTTTTTGTTTAGCCTAAAATAATCAATTCCTCTCAACGTTTTGGCTTTACTTGCCTATTTTGGGGGACCAGAGCTAGTGGTTTGGTAAATACAGATAAGAGATGCGGGGGAAAAGAAGAAAAAGATGTTGTCTCTATGAAATCGGCAGGGAGAATCACTCAATGAATGCAACATCTCCCAGCTTGGCCGAGGAAAACCAAAATCACACTTTTGTACCAATTCTGCCACAATGCATGACTTTCTTTTGTTAGAGTTTTAGTCAATCACTTTTCTTGATTACTTCTTGATTACTTCATTTTCATTTTTATGATGATCCCTAGTAATCTTTGATTAACTTCAAAACTCGTGTACTTCTGCAAGTTTAATCTTTCATTATTGAGTAGCAAATCTTTCTGAAAAACTAAAAATCGAGATTCCAGGTTTCAAAATCTTTCAAAAGTCTTTGAAATTAAATTCCAAATGACTAACACTAAAGGGAAAGTCGAGTAGGTGTCGATTAGAGGGAATCTCGCAGACTCATCCTTGTACAATGAATCATTTCCATTTTTCCCAATGATCGATACCTTTGATTCTTTGCATTGCCCTAAAAGCTATCAGATGATTCACCCATTTCTTTTCCATTTCTTTTTTCCCTTATTCTTACTCCTTTTTCTTCTTCTCATATCGCTCCTTTCTCATCGCTTTTTCTGCTTTTCCCCTTTTCCCCCATTGCCTTCTTGGCTAAAATGATCAATTCGGAATTCAGAATAAAAAAAAAAATCGTTTTTTCCACCTTGCTTTTTGCATTTTTTCATCTTGCAATATTTTTTCGTTTAGCAAAAATTTGGCAGCTTGACGAGCTGGATGAATTTGTGCTCTAAATTCCTATTTCACGTTTTTGAGCCAACCTGAAGTGTGCAGGAATTCAAAAGCAAACGGTCCAGCTACTAGTTTTTTTTCGTTGATAAAGGGGCCCATCAGGGCCCCCAAAAAGGTAAACATTACATTCTTTGAAAAGCCAATTTTACATTTACAGCTAAAATATGTCGTGCAACCCGTGCTGTTGTATGAAACCAAAGGATGGAGCGGTTGTGTGCGGGATTTGGAGTGTTGTGAGTTCATTCAAATCTACTAAAACGCTCGCTCAGCGTTAAGCAAGGATTTCACTAATCAAAAATCGAACTACTGTCGAGTCAATCTTTGTTCTATCCTTTAGTTTTGTTTCTTTTTGTTAGATCTTTGCATTGGCCTCGATTGCGGTGATGTCATGGCAGACAGGCGTTCTCAACAATTGTCGCTCAGTCACCATGTCTCAAGCGAATCTTCAATGTGTTCAAGAGTGTCCATGTGTCGGGGCAACGACCGCAAGAACCACGAGCATTGTTGAAGGTTTGCCTGAAAACCTCCGAAAAAAAAGGGTTTACAGAAATTGTGGCTTGAGTTTACTAAATAAGCTTTCCAAACTTTCTTTGAGTTGCTGCCTAACTGTGATCCGAGCTGAGCTGAGCGAGCGTAAAAAAAGCGTTGAATTTTGTGTTGTGCACTGATTTTGAGAAAAGAATTTAGGTTTTCTCGATCGCTCAGCTCGGAATTATGGGTTGGCAGATGGCTGCAATTAAGTATGAAAAGGACAGGTTCGGTTTTTTTGCTCTCCCGAATCATCGTTTATTTGACTAGAGCTGCGAACACTTTGTTGCCCAATTATAACACCTATGGACGATATGATATCCCTTCGTATTATGAGAGTTATTGGCAATCGCCTGAAGAGCGATATTACATAGGTAGGGAAAGCTAGAGCAAACAAAAATCAAGCCACTAATTTCTGTAATGCCTCAAAAAAAAATGAGCACATTATAAATTCGTTTAGGACTTTTCATCATCCAAATTCTCTGCTTGATCTCGGCTTTCTTTTTGCTCTTCGCAGGCGTGGCTCTCATTTACGGGGTGCATACGGTGAGTGCTAGAAAATCGAAATGCAAACTATCAATCAAAAAATCAAATTTAGTGGTCTCGTTATCTGATAATGCCTTGGTTTGTTTGCATGATCGCCTCGATTCTCAGCTCGTTGGCATATTGTATTATGTGGTAGGTGGAAACAAAGCAATTCATCGCTCTCATTAGAGTGTATTCCTCGCGAGTAATGCGTTGTTTTTTTTTTAAAACGCAAACTTGGAAAAAATTACCGTGCTTTAGCGAAAATTATTCCAAAAAAAATGGCAAAAAAATCACGAGCACCGAATTATATACGACTCCTTTTAAAGATATTCAGCCATTTAATTGATTTGATGGCAACTTTCCTTCAAGAGTAAAGATTTTCAGCCATTTAACTAATTTGGTGGTAAATCCCGTCAAATGTAAAGATATTCAGCCATTTAATTGATTTGGTGGTAAATTCCCGTCAAATGTAAAGATATTCAATTTACTCGACATGTAAAACGGATCACTCGTAGTTACTCGATCAAAAACGTCGATTAAAAATTGCTCATGCAAATTTTACTCGAGTAATTACTTGCGAGAAACACACTCTAGCTCTCATTTATCACAGGTGGGCTGGAGATGTTCGAGACTATTGGTTGGCGCTCACAATCCTTGAGATCATTGGAGTTTTTATCAATGTTTGTTTAAAAATAAAATCAATTTTATCAAGGTTTTTAGATCTTTTGCACGGTCGTTGTTTCAACTTTCTACACGCGTGTGAAAGCGGAATGGGATTACTATGAAAAAAAGAGTCAGTTGATTTGTTTATTTTCTTTTCAAAATAATTTTTAGATAACTATCGCCCAGGCACTCGAAGCCACGCAAGTCGACGCGATCTCTTGGAACGTTTTGGTAACTTTTTTCTCAATTCAGTAGAGCTTTACGAAACGTTTTCAGATTATCCTTCGTCGGAGCCAGAACGTTTCGTCGCTCGTCCATTCCCCAATCAACAAAATCGTAATTTTTAGAATACTATTATTTTATCTGGAAAAAGTTTTAGCATTACCTCCGTATTCTCCTTATCCATCAGCATATCCAGCGTATCCACCACAACCACAATATCCTCGTCCATCTCCACCTCAACCACCCCCACAACCCATCAGAAAAGCTCCGTATCCAGAAGATCCAAATACGGTGAACAGAAAAATTTCCAATGATTTATTCAGTTTTTGTAGGTTTATTATGTCCGTGAGCCTGGGTCACGAGTTGGCGGAGGAGCGGTACCAAACATTTTCAAGTCCGATGATGATGAGGATCTGGTGTCAAGTTGGGTGAAAGATCAACAAAGACGAAGTGAGATTGAGACGTTAAAAGATAATTTCGCAAATTTTTTACAGGCCAACATGGAAGTAAAGCTGATTCCGAGCCACCATATCTCGAGGATCGACGGCGTCCCTTGAAGGTACATAGGATTTTTGATTTTGTAATTCTTTCCTGGTTACATTATACTTTGAATAGAATAATTTTCAGCCGTCAAGATCGATGCCATCGTTATTTGAGGAGTCTGCAAGCTGCCATCGCGATCATCGCTATCGGTATGATAAACTTTATAAGCTTTAAACATATAGATAATTCCTGAATAGTATTTTGGAATTGAATTTTTACAAATCTTCTACACCTATGTCTATTAATGTATTTTTAGAAGTTCATCTCGGCATCGACGAGATCGATACAAAGATCGTGATCGTGATAGGGATCGTGATAGGGATCGAAACAGAGATCATAAAGACAAGAGGCATCGATCACACAGGTAAATAGCAAGAATAATAGATCAGCAGAAAGAACCAATACTTGCGACAATTTCAGAGATGGACGAGATCATTCTCGACGATCTTATCGAAGAGGAAGAAGTCGATCAGTAGCCGATTCGCGAGGTTATGGTAGTGAAAGTGAAGAGACATCAACAGGTAAACAATGAAAAACTTCAACTCAAAATTGACTCCTTTTTTAGATTACACCAAATGTCGGCATGGAGATCGGAAACGTCACCGCAGCAAGAGTCGACATTACGAAAGTGACTCGGAGACGAGCGGTTCACCGATGAAACCCGTTTCTGATCGAAAAGGTCACAGAAGCAGCGACGATCAAAAGTAAAACAACCAGTTAAATGAAAATCTGTTCTCTTTCAGAAAATCGAGTGGTCAAGTAAACTTGCCGCTTTCTGGTGGGCTCACCATTCCACAGCATATCGTCATCCCACCACAGCATCACCTTGAACGCGGACCCGATGGCACCATTCAACCACAAACGTTTAACATCAATTCCGAGATTGTCATCAAATATGACAAGGTGAATGTTGGTTAAAAGAAACTTAAATTATTATGGTAGACAACTAAAGAACAATGAGAATAAGAGCAAGTACTTTACACGCACTTTTTTTAGGATGAGAGTGAGGTGGCCTTCTCGGAACGGGATCGACGAACTGGCCGATCGACTCTCTCTCATTTAGCTACCGAGCCCCGTAGGATTCAGGTATTCAATTTAAAAAGAGTTTATGCCGTAATCCGATTAATATAATGGTATAATAATCGTTCTGCTAGATAAATTAATCTAAGTGTCAGCAATAATCAAAAATTTCAGCCCGTCTCGATGCAATCAAACGTTTAATACATATGGTGTCATTTTTCTCTTATTTCTGCCTCATTTTTTTTTCTTGCAATCGTGAAATATATTGAAATTGTTTTTTCTTTCTTTTGGCCGAGTGCTCTAGTCATTGTAGATACTTCGTGTGATAGTCATCTTTTGCAATAAAAATACCCAAAATTTAGAAATTCTTTTTTGACTACTTTTCTGATTTTGTTGGTTCAACCAAAGCCTTGATTACAGTAACGATTAGTTTAATTCTTACAAGAAACGATCTCAAGTTGATTTTCTCTTCACTTCCCAATTCTGCTGTCTATTTGTTTCCTTTCCTACAACAATCCACTTACCCACTCTTTTCTTCATATCGTCTTTTTTTTGGATTTGAATTTATGATAAAAATTTATTCGTTTAATAAAGTTTTCTTGCAATTGCTCGAGACTAAACATTGCACAAGCAAAATGGGATGGAATTTCCTTGCAAACGATTGGTGTTATTTTAGTAGCACAAATATTGGCCATCTGACACGGTTTTTTTTGAAGCTCAGAACCATATCACTCGATCCAATCAGTCTACAATTTCATTCACAAAATTCTCCACTTGTGAATGTCATTCATTTCCTCAATCATTCGGTGATGGGCATTCCACTCGCTTCCTTTGCACATCCCTTCATCGTGCTTTTCTATCCTTTCTCCATCCACAGGTCAATTGCTCTCCTCTCTTTCCTTTTCTCTCTTCTATTTGTCGAATTCATTGCGTTCATTTTGCCGTCTTTTTCCTTTTTTTCTTGTAAATTTGAATCGATAACCCAAGCCAAATTATTTAGTCGACCAATCATTTCCGTTTTGTGTTTGTGTGCGGCTGCCCCGAGTTTCCTGTTCACTCAAAAAGTATGGCCGACGATGGATCGCCTCAGGTTAGAGTTCGTTTCTTTTTTGATTAGCATTACACTGTATGTAATTGAAAATCTTAAGAAACGAGATAAGTATTTATTTCTCAAAGGTTGAATACTTCAAACTATCGAAATTATGATCGTAAACAAGATCACTTTTTCAAAAAGAACGCTATAGTGGGAAGAATATGAGATATTTAACTTCTCTGAGCCGCCTAAGCACTTTGAATATATATAAATGAAACGGTTTTTTGGTTAGCGATGATATGGCAAAGTATTAGACATACAAAATTTGTGCTTTTAGGAGGATTTGGTGTCTGGTGGGCCAGGTTCGGCAAATCAAGGAGGTTTCTATCGTGCATCTTCTCCTCTTCCATCACATTCGGGAAGTCTCGGTGATTTGATGATGCCCGTGGCTGAGAATTGGTGCCACACACAGGTATCTTTTCAAACTGAATTCTGTAGAAAATTTTCACACAATTTCCAGGTAAAAGTCGTCAAATTCAACTACATGTGGACGATTAACAACTTTAGCTTTTGCCGCGAAGAAATGGGAGAGGTTAGTGAAAAGGGAATTATTGGAAATTTTGCGAAACAAAATAAAACTAATTTTTTATTTTAGGTGCTCAAATCGTCGACATTTTCCGCTGGTTCAAATGATAAACTCAAATGGTGTTTACGAATTAATCCAAAAGGTTTGTGGGGGAATAAGTACAGCAATATTGATATTTATATTTAGGGCTTGATGAAGAGTCTCGTGATTATCTTTCGCTTTATTTACTCCTCGTTCAATGCAACAAAAACGAGGTGCGTGCGAAGTTCAAATTCTCGATTCTGAATGCGAAAAGAGAAGAAACGAAAGCGATGGGTAAGATTGAAATTTCGTTTTTCTTTCAAATAAAACTATTAGAATCACAAAGAGCCTATCGATTCGTGCAAGGAAAAGATTGGGGTTTCAAGAAATTCATTCGACGCGATTTTCTTCTTGATGAGAGTAATGGATTGCTTCCCGAGGATAAGCTCAGCATTTTCTGCGAGGTTCGTTCAAAAAGAAGTTAGCTTCGAAAAAAGCTCAACTGAAAAAAAAAAGAAAAATAATTACACGTACATATTAAAGTAAAATGATTTCAGGTGTCGGTTGTTGCAGAGACGGTGAATGTTACTGGCCAATCTAATTCTTCATTGTTCAAGGTTGAGAAGTCATTTCCCTCTCTTAAACTTTACTTTTAGGTGCCACAATGTAAACTTTCGGAAGATTTGGGTAATCTTTTCGAGTCAAATCTTTTCTCCGAATCAAAGTTGATCGTCACTGAACGGGACACAGAGGGAAATGTGATCACAACGGCTGAAATTCCAGTAGGATACTTATTTGAAAAAAAAAAACTCATAGCAAAACTCTCAGGTTCATAAAGCTGTACTCGCCGCCAGATCGAAAGTTTTTCGATCAATGTTTGAGCATCCGATGAAAGAAAGCTCAACCAGTGAGGTAAAGGATTTGTTTGTAGATTTGAAATAGAAACCACTCAACTTAGGTATGTATTGATGATGTGGATGCGGAAGTGGTGAAAGAGATGCTCCATTTTATGTACACTGGCACCTCTCCCCGTCTTGATGCTATGGCTCCAAATCTCATCGCAGCCGCTGACAAATATGATTTGCATCGGCTCAAGGTTTGTCTCAAATTAGAGCTCGCAATTTGATTGCTTTTAAACAATTGCTTGTTCACTTTATCTCATCGAAAGTTTTAGCACGAAATACAAGCGCTTGCGTACTTGCGTACGCGTCTTATTTTAGCTAGCTTTACAGTGATTACGTGACCGCACAAAGAACACCTCGCCAGTCATTTACATAGAGATTTTTCTTTTACTTTATAGGTAATACAAAAAGAAGATATTGAGCTGTAAATTTGTACCCGGGGATTTTCGGGATTGGGAAAGTGATTTGCTTGACAATGCTTGTAAACATATAAATAGGTAAACAAACAAAAAAAGATCTTGACAAAAAGGAAGATCATGAAGAAGAAGAAGGAAGGAGGACGAAGGAAGAAGGAAGAAGGAAGAAGGAAGAAGAGCATGTTTAAGCGTTTGCACGGGTAAAACATTTCTAAACCTAAATCATCTAAAACCATTTATTTTTTCATCGATAAAATTGCCTCTTCGTTAATTCCTTTTCTCAATTACTAATCCCAGTTTGTTCACACGGCGTTGAACTTATTGATGAAACGTGACGGACAAAGAGACAAAATAGAACTATTGATTAATAGAATCTTTTTCTAGGTGATGTGCGAGCAAGCTCTCTGTCTGGCGTTGACAGCCGAAAATGCTTGTATGACGTTGGTTTTGGCCGATTTATACAATGCGGATCAATTACGGCAACACTCCATCAATTTCATTAATGTGCACGCAAACGAGGTTTGTTTAGAAATACCATACTGATGTATTTACACTTAGATCAAATAGCTAAATTGTAAAATCTTGCATAGGCTTTAAAAAAAAACAAATTTTCAGGTAATGCAATCAGATGGATGGCAAGACCTTGTGCATCAACATTCTCAATTACTTGCTGAAGTTTTCAAGGCATTGGCCACACAGCAAATCCCGCCAATCGTGCACACTCAACCGCCAAAGAAACGCTCAAAACAGACGTCTTCTTTGGATGGGAATTCTCGATGAGAACGAGAAAGCATATTCTTCATTTTATAACACATATAGAATAGGATTTCTTTTAATTCGAAAAAAAATCTTTCGATTTCATGGTTTTTTTTACGGTTTTCATTTCATTACACGGGAAAACTCGGTCTTTGTTAAATTTGAATCACGATTAAGAGATCGATGTTTAAATGTTTTAAATGGGAGTGGGACAAATGCGACCTTTTTTTTGCGCACCCGGACATTTGCGCACCTTTTTTTCCGCACCTTGCCCATTAGCGCACCTTTTTTCGCGTTTTAAAAAAGCTCTAAAAAGCTGATATTAACCAATTTCTATTCCAAATGTTGTTTTTCTAGGTAATTTTAGGGCGTAGAATCGAAATTTTGACATATCAGAGCTTGTGGAAGCGAACGGACGGAGTTATACAAAGAGAAAAATCGACAATTTTCTGTAATTTGATCTAGCCGTTTTGTCTTTCAAATTGGTTCCACACGCTCTGTTATGTCAAAATTTGAATTCGACACCCTCAAATTACCTAGAAAAACAACATTTGGAATAGAAATTGGTTAATATCAGCTTTTTAGAGCTTTTTTAAAACGCGAAAAAAGGTGCGCTAATGGGCAAGGTGCGGAAAAAAAGGTGCGCAAATGTCCGGGTGCGCAAAAAAAAGGTCGCATTTGTCCCACTCGGGAGTTTTAAATGTTTTAAATGTTTTAATGTCTTAGATGCTTCATATTTCACGTTTAAAAAACGAATCACCGCTCTTTAACTTCTTTCTAAAATGGCATAAAAAAAGAATGAATCGAATTTGTATCTAAATAAAATCTTTGTTTTGCGCATTTTCTGTGATTTCTCTCTCCTTTTCTCGTTTTTTTTTTTGCTGTAAAATGGCAATTATATTAGCGAAGAGAAAGTGCCAAAATTTTGTGTAAACCTAGTCTTTCTTGGCTCTCTCTCCTATTTTTTTTTCTAATGACAGAAAAAAAATCCTCTGAGACAAACTCGTGGTTTAATTCTTCTAGACTTCACTAGACACTGAAAATTTGTATTTAACAGAAATTTGCCTTAGTTTTTGTTCATAAAAAGATTTTTGTGGATTTTGAATAAAAAGTTTGCGCAATTAAGATATTAATGAAAGTGATCGATTGATAAAATCGAAAGAAAAAAACAATCTAATCAAAGAAAGGACACAATTCAAATGTTTCTTATCATTGAGCACAAATTCCCCGAAAATGATTCAACTATTCTCGTTTCTATTTCTATTTATAAACTATTTTTATGGAGCCGCGTCGAAGACCGAATGTTTACTTGTGATTGGTAGTCAATAATCTAAAAGTTTTTGCTAAAATCTAAAAGTTTTTGTGTTTTTAAAAAACAAAAATTGAATTTTCTAGAAAAAGAAAGTGTTTGCAAGGGCACAAAAAAGCAATGGCTTTGTTTAAAAAAATGATTTTTAAGGTAAAGTCTCGTGTCCATCACATCCCGATCTGTTGACGGGTGCACAAATTGAACTTGTCGATCATGATCGTTAGTTTTTAAAAACATTACAATTTTTCTATTACACATTTTTAGCGTTACCCTGGGAACTTGATGATTTAATGGGGCAAACATTTGCACAAAGTAATGGATCATTTAAAGGTAAGCATTTAAAGAAAAGCTCAAGCAAAATCTATTGTGAATAGTCATCAGACGGTTAAAATAGCTGAAATATGAACTTTGAGTAATCACCGTTTTCTTCATTTCCAGTGAGTGGCTGTGGATCGGATTTCGGCCCATCAAACACACCGGATCCATTCCTGCGAATAAAGCATCGATGCCCTGTCAAGGGTACATGGATAGGTAAAAAAAAAATGGGTGTTTATGGATTATAAGCCCCGCAGTCCTCATATATGAATTTGTGTCTACTTTGATCCACTTCAACAATACATTCAGGGCCACCAATTTGTTGTACAGGCTTTGCTGTTAGGCATTCAACACAAACATCCCTCATATATTTGTTGAAGTCAATTGTTGTTGAGGGATCCATAGCCATACAGTGGTCCACAAAAGTAATGCCCCATTGCCATTCAAAAGTATTTTTTGCAAAATTCCTCCTGAAAACATGTATTTAAAATCTATATTTTTTTTCTTTTAAAATACTTTAGAAATTGTAGTTGTTAAATAACTGGATTTTTTTGATTGAGATCCTTCCAATCAAAAGATCGATGTGGAAGAGTGCAATTACCCCTAAAATTAGCTCCACAAAAGTAATGCCCCATTGGTCGTTTTCATGATTATTCTTTTTGTTTCTCCTTCTATGAGCATTAAATGTATTCTATTGTATTATTTAGATTCCTGACATGAAAAACATACTGTTGGATGGCAATGGGTCATTACTTTTGTGGACCACTGTATATGAGGACTGCGGGTCTGTTGGACTGCGGGACTGTTGGATGGCAATGGGTCATTACTTTTGTGGACCACTGTATATGAGGACTGCGGGTCTTACAAACCCTTAAGTACCAAAGAAATGTTAAAAACTTATAGATGAAGTATAGATGAAGAAAGATTACGGCTTTTATGTTAGGTAAAAAGGCTGATGAATGGCCAATGGAAAGAGTGACAAAGATCGACGTTTTGCCTTTTTTTCTTCCACAAATTCTGAACCTCGGCAATATTCGTCTTGATTTGGACTTAAATGTTGAATGATATTTGATATCTCTTTGTACATTTGTTTATTTGTTTAACACTTTTCAAATAAAATATTTATCTCTATCAAAACTTTATATTAAAAGCACTAAAAGATAAAAAAAGAGAGAAGAAAACATATCGCAGAGCACCCGAATCATTTTGGAGGAAGGGAATCAATGATGAGAATGGAGGAATTGAAAAATATTCAGATCAAATGTTGAGAAACTTTAAATTTTATTTAAGTCATGGATGAAGTATGATTTTTTTTTTAAATTAATGAATTCAACCGGGTTTTTACAGAAAGGCGAAAAGGGAAAAGAAAGAAAATGAATGAAAGAAGACTAGTAAAAAGGAAATCGATGCATAAACATTAAAAAAAAAAGAAAAAATGACTAAACAAAAGCACAGGGGCAAAAAAAAAGTGAAAGGCATTGTTTGAAAAAGAAAAATCAGGAACCAGAATTATAGATGATAGCTACCGTAATCTGTAACAGAATATAGCTCTTATCATGTTCTATTTCAAGAATTACGGTACTCGAAACGCTTTATAGTTCATCTTCTTGGAGGAAACGATTGCACGTAGATTCGTTCTTGATTCCCATTTGGTGAATGCAGTGGAGGACGTTCGACCAGAATGTTTGTTGGCTAAATTTTATGATATTTCAAAGTCAATATACATGAGAGATCATACAAAAGAATTTTTTTAAACTTATTCGGGGTGGGACAAATGCGACCTTTTTTTGCGCACCTGGACATTTGCGCACCTTTTTTTTGCTGGAAAAGGCCTTAGGAAAGGTCGTAGAGCTTCAAAAATGTTTTCATAGAAGGGAATCGTATGCGTAGCTTCCGAATTTCGACAAATCAGACCTCGCTGACACGTCAAATTTGGGCTAAAAGGCAAAAACTGCGGAAAAGCGTTAAGTTGCGTAGTTTTTGCCTTTTAGCCCAAATTTGACGTGTCAGCGAGGTCTGATTTATCGAAATTCGGAATCTACGCATACGATTCCCTTCTATGAAAACATTTTTGAAGCTCTACGGCCTTGCCTAAGGCCTTTTCCAGCAAAAAAAAGGTGCGCAAATGTCCAGGTGCGCAAAAAAAGTTCGCATTTGTCCCACCCCCACTTATTCACACTGGGGCGAAAAATTGACACAGTTGAGTAAAGTTAATCTTTCCTCATTCAATCACCTCACCCAAAATGGCACAATTCTATTCTTTGTTTTCATTTCTTGTCATCAATAATTTGTATTGAAAGCTAAAACTGTTTTTACTACTTAGAGTATGTATTATTTAACCTCAGCTAAGAGTTCTTCTCTCCATCCAGTGTACGAATCGAGTTGACTCCATTCCAATGAAAGTTCTTCTTCAACTTTATCAAGAAAACCAGGAGAAGCTTTTTGCAAATGATCCTTTAATCGTTGAACACAATCCTGAAAATTTTTTTTAATGATAAAGCTCTAGATTATGCGAAAATCTACGCATTTGAACGGCTATTTTATGCTTTTATGGGTCCTTTTATGAATTCCAATTGAAATCCAAAAATCCAAAATGTAAAGAACGGTCGACGCCTGGACTCGAACCCGCAAACCTTCCCTCACTCGGTCATTTACCAAGCGAATGCCCTACCAATGAGCCACACCGATACGTATCCCAATGCCTCCAGGATGCCTTATCCCTTTTTAAACAAGTATTGAAACTAACAGTGAAAAGCGGTCGCTTGTCTGGATCAAATTCCCAGCATTGTTGCATCAAATTGTACCTAAAATCTTCTCATTATTTGGCCATATAAAATTTGCCTCACAGATCATCATGTGCATATTCTGGTTGTCTATTTCTTTCTCCATCAAACACTTTTTGGTAGACATCTTTTCCCTCAACACTTGGATATGGTTGACCACCAAGGGTGAACATCTCGTACAACAGAATCCCGTATGACCAAACATCAGACTTAAAAAAAAAACGAGTTTTTATCATATTACGCTAATGATTTTCGATTTCGATCAGCTTTTCCTTTTAATAAACTGACCGCTTGAGTGTAATACCCATTCTCGATTGTTTCGGGACTCATCCATTTCACCGGCATCGGAATCTCGTGACGATCTTTTCTGAGATGTAGAGAAAAATAAAGTAATATCCTTTTACTTAATAATAATATAATAATAATTTTTACTTAATAATAAGTAAAAATAAAGTAAATCCCGATACTTTAATGGCACCTGTAATAGCTTTTATTGCTGCTTTTTGCCATTCCGAAATCCGCGATTCGACAAAGATTGTTCTTTGTGAGCAACACGTTTCTTGCGGCCAAATCGCGATGGAAACACTGAAATTTTCAATAGTTAACATTTTCAATAGTTAACAATTTGATCATTTTCAGAAAATACAACGATAACTGAATAGCATCATTTAGAAAAACTCTTTGAGTCTGAAAATTTAACGACTTACCGGAATACTGCTCAGATATTCCATCCCATTCGCGATTTGCATAGAGAATGAGAGGAGATCTGATGTTGAGCAAAGAGTTGCTGTCTGTAAGGGGTTTGTTTTAAGAGGAAAATATAATACGGTCTATAAATGACTTTAAAAGTAACCTGGTTGTGAATGAGAGCTTCATGTTCACCGTCGACTATCGTTGGAAGATCTCCATTCTCCTCATCCATCTCGCTCTAAATTTCTATGATCCCCAATTTCTTTAAGAATTTCTTTTACCGCGTAGATTTTTTTTGGTTTTGAATTTGGTGCTAAATATCCGTCATCTGGAGCCTAAAAATTTGGATTTTTTTTTCACAAAATTTGATTTTCAAACAAACTCTTCTCAATTCATCTTTAAAGGAGCCGACATTTCTCTTGAGATTCACAAGGAAATCTTTGAGACTTCCTTTATCACAAAGCTCAATCACAACAAAAAGACGACCGCTGAAAATATGGATAAAATTGGTTACATTTTTTAATGATTCAATTTTTGCTTACTCTCTGATGTTTTTCGTTACAGCTCCAATAAGCGCAAGAACATTTGGATGCGGTCGAATAGCGCACATGATTTTCAGCTCATCGATCAGCATTTGCTGGTGTTGAATGTTGAAACCATTCAACGGTTCCTGAATTAATCTATTTATTAATTAATAATATGGTAGAATACAAAAGCCCTAAATGTAGAGAAGAAAAAAAACTCATATATGGAAAAAAATCAAGAATCTTGCTGACGGGATTGAACCCTTGATCTCTCGACTCAGATCTCTCGACTCAGATCTCTCGACTCAGATCTCTCGACTCAGATCTCTCGACTAAGATCTCTCGACTCAGATCTCTCGACTCAGATCTCTCGACTCAGATCTCTCGACTCAGATCTCTCGACTCAGATCTCTCGACTAAGATCTCTCGACTCAGATCTCTCGACTCAGATCTCTCGACTAAGATCTCTCGACTCAGATCTCTCGACTCAGATCTCTCGACTCAGATCTCTCGACTCAGATCTCTCGACTAAGATACAAGGCTTTTAACTAGTCAGCCATATGATACTGTTCATCTGTAAAACAGTAAATTACCTTAACAGCGACATTCAGCCGAACTCTTTCAGCTGTCGAATCAGAGACTCGAGCTGGCTTCTTCAGAAATCCCATTGACACTTTCCCGAACTCTCCTTTTCCCAACTAAAAAGAAACTCAATGACAATCAAAATCCCTTTTCTCACTTCTCTTCCGATTTCAAGATTTTCCTTATCAATCTCAAACTTTGAATCATATGAGATTTGGCTGACTCGTTGATCGAGTGGGATTTTCATCTCTGCAACTTCTTGTGACACCGGTTTACCACCTCTCATCAATTCATCATACAACACTCGCAAGGATCTAATAGAAATAGCTTTCGATTTTCGATTTTCAAAAAAAAAACCTTTCTTGTTCAATAGATCTTTTTCTTTGTTTAATCCAAAGAAAAATGAAAACACAAACGCAAAGAAGAAGCACAAGAACGATGAGAGCCACCAAAATAATCGAACCGGCTCCCCGTTTTTCACCTTCTACCTGAATTATGGTTGTATAGAAAAAAAAAGGGTGAAACTAATAATTAAATGAAAATCTTGTGTTTCTCCTAACCTCTAGAAAAGCGGTTCGAGTGGCTTGACCGGCTCGATTCTTTCCAATACAACCGTATTTACCGCTATCTTCAATCATCATTTTAGCTAAAATAATTGAGTTAAAATTAAAAGCACAAAAAAAAGAGCTTTATTACGTATGACGAGCGATCCATCAGCTGTGATTCCTTCAGTGACTTGACTCCCGTCTTTCCACCTATAGATAATTTATTTTTAAAAAAACAAAGAAGCCAAGCCAATAACCATGTAATAATTGGAGTTGGAACGCCGCTCATTTTGCACTCAAATTTGTGCTCTTCACCGGTTTTTGCTCGAACCGTTTCTTCTTGACTTTCAAGTAAAAGTGGAGCTGAGACGCCTTTCACCTGAAATTGTTTCTTAAAAGAAAACTTTTTCTCTCAACAAAAACCTCAATTCTAATGGTTTGATCGAGTCCTTGAGTCGTGTTTCCATTTTGCTTCACTTCGCACGTATAATCCCCCGACTTTTGCACAGTGATGTTCTATAATAATTCTATATTCTTATATTCAAAAAAGCCGAAAAACCGGGTTTTTCGTCCCGAATTTTGCTCTGGGCGCCGAGTGAGGAGCCTTTTATAAAAATCCTTTTATAAATCTCCGTCACAGTGCCTGTGATGGACAGACGGACACTTGCCTTTTATATATAGTAGATAAAAATAAATAATTGTAAAATAAAAAGTAAGGAACACCAAGGAAGATTTCCGGGAAGGGGATTGAACTCTCGAACTGTTTGCTTCCCAGGAAAATGCTCTAAACCTAAGCTATCTGGTATCTGCTTGGCAGTGAAGAAAGAGGAAATACAAGAGAAAGGAAGAAAGAGAAGGAAATTTGTAGAAATCAAAGTCACTGCTCTCTTTTGTTTACCTCAATTCTCAATTCCAAAATGACAGAATGTTCATGCTGTCGTTTCTCGACATTCTCTTTCATTTCAACCTTGTTATGTAACCATCGCATTGATCTAAAAAATGGGAAAAGATTTTTTGAGAGATTCGAACGATTTCACATACACTTGCTCATCCTTGATAGCTCGACAAGACAGCAATACAGTATCACCAGCATACACTGTTTTCTAAATTGAAATAAATTATTGATAACTTTTCGATCAAACATCATCCTCGTTTTCTTCAGCTTTCGAACTTTTACTCGTGTTAGTCCAAACGTCGTGTGCTTCTTCGGCGGCCAAAACATGCAGTGACTCGGTTCCTTTCTGAAATTTGAATCAATTCTTTGAATTTGAATTAGAATTAGTTATATCTTTCTTTATAAAGCTAGAGTTTGATTCACTTATCCCCCTTGTCTTTCCTTCTTTCTCTTCGGAATTTAAGGTACCGGATAGCTCAATGGTTAGAGCAATTGCAAGCAAAAGGTCGAGGGCTCGATCCCCTCTCCGGAAGTTTTTCTTTTTTCACTTTTTCTTGCTAATTTCTTCACTTCTTTATTATGATTTAAGAAAAACAGACTATTTTGTTTTGTTCAGCCGAACAGATAACAGTGAAATCATCGAGAACAGTGGTACTCCAAAGGACTCGACTCTCGAAAGTTCCCTCCAATTTCTCGAGATTTTCCTCATTCACTTCATTTTGTACACCATTTCTAAAATGAATATTTCTTATAATAAATTTCAATTCACTTACTGTTGATAGGATAACTTTGGTTTACTCAAAGGAAGTCCCGTCGAAATGCAGCGGATGAGAATTGTTGAGTTTGTCTATTCATGTTTAGAATCATAATTTTCATTCGACTTCTTACCTTGTAATATTTCTGATTGAATTGCACGAAATTGTTGGGTGAAAGGGCTTCAAGTTTGACTCTCGGTTTTGGTGTGAGAACCTTTATTTTCCACTCTATTGATTTCACGATATCATCCACTTCAACAGTCAAGGTGTAGCTGCAAAAAAAAGGATTGTTTACTGCTATTAATTTCTTTCTATTATTTCATATTACTTCATATTACTCACTCAGCTGAGTCATTTGGTCGAGCTTTTAGAATCTTCAACTCTTCGACTGATTTCCCATCATTACTTTTTCGACTATCAGTCTAAAATGGGAAAAATTACAGTTGTTCGGAACTTCTTCCGATAAAGTTTATTTCTCTTTGAAATCTATCGATCAATTTCCCCAGCCATAAGCTAGCAAAAACATAGGCATTTCTAGACATTTCTAAACATTTCCCCCTCAACTTTTCTGTATTTAAACCCTTCTGTGCTTTAATAAAATATTCTGCCTGAACCAAGGGATAGAGACACATCTTATCTCGAACATTTTGGTGCGCAGTCTATTTAAAGAGTACATTGAAATTTTCTACCTTTTTGTTGTCATCATTAACAATTGATTCATAGATCTCGTCATCGACCTTTTCCGATGTTTGATATGTCTAAAAGAAGTGATTACAGACCATCAAAAACCATTTTTCTCCAATCAAAACCAATCAAAAACTCACTCGACTCCACCGTGAGTTATAATTTGGCAAATCAAACGGAAACGCGGAAACCAACGCTGAAAGTATCTTTTATTATTCTTTTTCCTTTCTTTACTTTTAAAAAAACCTTTCAACTCAATCGTTTCACCTTCTTTTACAATAATCGGTTCATTTGTGTGATTCTCGAACTGAAATCTTTTTAAATTTCAATCTCTTGCAAAAGGAATTACCCGAATTTGGCCTTTATTTTGAGAAATCTCAAAATGAAAGTTTGTCGAATCACGATATTCCAAAGTACCGCCAGTTTCTTCAAGCCTGAAATTTCAAAGATAAAATGATAAAATAAAAATCCTTTCATCAAGAACTCACCAAGAACAATTATAAACTCCAGCATCTTCTCTTGTCAATTTTGGAATTGTCACGATCAATGCCACTGCTCGATCGTTGTCCAAACGCTTTCTCGTTTGTTTAAGCTAAATTTTCTTTCTTATTCAAAATTTTAGGCTCATTTTAGACTCAAGAGCTCAAGAGCTTAAAATTTTTAGACTCAAGAGCTCGCTCACTCTATTATCTATTACCGAATCTTTATCTTTCGTCGCGCAACGAGGACATTTAAGCTCGAGACGATTTTCTTGAGGATTGATGTGTAAATTCGTTAACTGACTTGACAGAGTGCAAGTAATTGTGTAATCCTCGGCACCTGAATCTTGAGTGTTACTAGTTAATGAAAATGAAAGCAAACCTTCGTAAGCCCAGCTATCCTTGGGTTCAATCTCAAGCCGCAGAGAGCTCTTGTCGACTTTTCGATCGGCCTGGAATTTTTCATTGGAAAGAGAAATTTATTTACTATATTGAATTGGTCCATAAGTAATGAGACAGAGCAAAAGAAAAGAAATTTTGGCGTTCTTAGTGTTTACCATTAAAAGAGACAATAGATTTCCCTTATTTTAAAAGACTTTCAGTGATTTGAAATGCTTTCTTATTTCTTTATAAACTACTTCTTTTGCCAATTTGCATATTTAGCCTGTTATGCTAGTTGTGTTCGATAAATGCTCAACTTGAAGCTTAGCCTTAAAGTATATGGTCATGACATTATTGGATACTGGGAGTGCTGTGAGTTATTGGCTAGGAAGCCAATTCACAGCACTCCCAGTATCCAATAATATCCAATAAATTGGCTAGGAAACCAAGACTCCAAGACTACATTTGATCGATCGTTTCACAAGTTTAAAAATGGGGAGAAATCTTTGAAGAAAAGTGACCGCCCCGGAAGATTGATTGAAGCTGTTATTGGGAGTTATTGAATACTGGGAGTGCTGTGAGTTATTGGCTAGGAAGCCAAGACTTAACTCTCGAAGCTTTACAAGACTTAACTCTACAACAATCAACTGCAGAATCAAGCTCTTGAGATTCAAGAAAAAGAGCAAATCTGAAAAAGGTCTTATTGCAGCATGAGAATGGCCGCCTACGGATTGCTAAAGTGACTTTATTTTTAGATTTATATTTCTTTTTGAAATTGATTCATCACTTATGGACGAAGTATATTCAAAAAAAAACTCACCAATATTAAAAATTCAGGTTTTTCCTTTTCATTATCGTACTCACATCGAAAACGTTTATTGTTAATTAATGGATCTTGTAGAGAACTTTCATGCAGCGTAAAACCCTTTCTGAAACTTTTTTTTCTTATAAAATTATTTTATTGAAAATCACCTTGGATTGTAATGTTCCCACATTCTTTTCCATTCTTCATCATTCACAAATAACTTCATCTTTTCTCCTGTAAGAAAAGCTTAACATAACCAATTTCTTTTTTTCTTTTCTTTTCTTTCTCCTTTTCTTTTCTTTTCAACATAAACTATACTTTGAATTGGTGAAGATGTTCGACATGGAATCACAAATTTCGAGAGATCCACATTCAATGCAAAGACACTAGTTTTCAGAAAAGTGCTTGGACCTGAATTCTTTTAATTTTTTTGATTAAAATTTAAAATACCTTTGACAAAAAGATAAATCGAATCGTGTTTATCCTTTTTGCTTTTCTTCCATACATGAATACATTCCAGTATCGGTTGCTTTAAGATCTCGAATGTGTAAAATCGGATTCTAAAGTATGGTCTAAATATCTCTTCTTTAGAAGTGATTCTATACTTGATCATCTTGTTCAACCATGATTCTCCGTTCAAAATCTTCTTCATCAAAACCAGCAAGTTTTGAATTCGTTTCATTTGGAAAAGTCCAACTAAAAGGTTTATTATTTTTGATTTTTCGCTACACTGTCTCACATTAGTTTCGTTGCTTGTAAGCTGTGACATAAAAGACTCAAATTTTGTCCGATTTCCATCTGAATATAGCTGAAATTCAGAAATGATTTGATAGATATAGAAAAAAGGAAACAAACACTGTGAATTCATCAGCCAATTTCGCGACTCCATCGTCGACAGGAGTGATTTCAACGGGATAATGTTGAGTGAAGGTAGTTTGGAGAAAAGAAGTGAATATAAGAATGGAGTAGATTGAGAGAAATGGAGATCCCCTTCCTCCTCCTCCTCCTCCTCCACTCCACCACAAAAATCTTTTCACTGTTGATCGCTCTCTCATCCGTTTCGTTCCTGCATAGACTCTGAAAGAAACTGAAAGATGACTTGATGAGAAACAAGTCGACGAAAACGATGGTGAGAGATCAAGCTGAGAACTTTAATGTAAATACAGTTGAAATGACAAAAAATGGGTTTCGTTATAGGGGATGAATCAGTGAAATCGGTGCCTTTCCCGTCTGTTTCCTCTTTTCTCTGCCACCCTTCCTTTCCTGTGAAATAAAATACAATCACTAGTCTTTCCCCCTTTTTTTCATTTCCCCCCACTTTTGCCATGTATTGATTTTCACAATAAACATGAATCGCCTATCAATGTTGATAATACGTAATGAAATACGTTCTCTAGTAATAGATAATTTAGCTATAAGACTGAAAAAGGTTCTAGAAAAAAAAATAGAGCAAGAATTAACAAAAGTCGTTTGCAAGCTGAGTCATTTTTCTGAAATGACCGTTGAAAAGGCGAAAATTTATTTAGCAATAAAAGTGCAAAAAAAAAGGTAAGATAAATGACTGGAGAAAGATTGAGGATGAGTAGTGAGGAGGGGAGGAGGGGAAGAGGGGAGGGGAGGGGAGGGGAGGAGATGGGCACATCTGGTGCCAGGAGGTCATCACAACAGATATTAGCGACCTTGGTGATTTGCGGCTCCACGCTAAAAATTTGCCCTTTATTCCTTTGTTACAGGATAAACAAATAAAAAAAATTTGCTTTTTAAAGAATTTAAACTTTAAGGAAAAGATTTCAAACCTAGTACGGCCTGTTTATATTTCGATAACCGCCGTGTGATTTTTAAACGCGGTTTTGAAAGGAGCTGTATGCTATAAACAGCTAAAGTATAGAATAGTTTGAAGAATGTAAGAAAGACATGTGATAGGTTTTTTTTGATTAAGTGAATGACACCAAATGTCGACTACCACCTGTTGATAAAATTTGCAAGAGTATTTGTTGAAAAATAAAGCAATGAAATGTTTTTTTTTTCGGTGAAAGAGATATTAAGGAAAGAAAGATTTCTCAAGGATGAAGCCGTTCTTTTGGACCAAATGGTATCAATCGATATAGTTCGAACGGGGTGAAAGAGATGGTGTCCCAGTCAGCTGGTACCACCAAATAGAGAGTGGAGAATTGGGAGAGACACGCGACTCTCACCCCCAATCCTTTTCTCTCACTATCCCCCTCCAGGCACAATGGTGACCAAATTTGGACAAGAGCGATCTCTCTGTGACTCGTTCACCCCAAACGGTCAAATGAGGTCACACCAAATGAGGTTTGAGGCAACTCGCGCAAAAGCTAGATGAATTATTTCTTTTATTAATAGCTCAATGATGAACGCTTTCTGAATTTATTTATAAACAAAAAAAGGCCAAAAAATTCAGAAAGAATGCTTTTTACGTAAAATTGGAATCCATTTCGAAAATGAGAATTCAAGGTAATTGGAGGAAATTTGATTGTGTCGGAAGGAAAGAAAAAGAGAAAATAAAAACCTAAAAATGTTAGAATCGGGGTTTTTTTTTTTGAAAGAAAATTTGGGTATTCTAGTGGATGTATGCAAATATTGAATTGCGTATCACTGCAACTCACTGCCAAGAGGTCTACTTGTGAGCCGAGATTTTGACCCAAAAAACCCTTATTGAGCTCTTGGGTAAACAAGGCAGGAAAACAGAAAAAAAAATCCCCTCATCCAACATTTTCATTAGAGAATATTAGTGTTGTTTATTCAAATAATGTATTGTCAATTGGTGTTTATCGTGTCGAATAAATAACATCCTGAGTGACCGATGTATATATTTAATTCTCTTCATTACTCGTGTAAAATTCCAAAAATTTGCTCTTTATTGTGATTGTGCTATCGTTTACGTGTAAATTTTGATTTAAGAAGACTTTTCTGAACACCGAACCGAATAGTCACTTTCAAAAGCGTTTCCCGATTACCGTCTACTTGTGAGCCGAGATTTCGACCCAAAAAAAGACCCAAAAAACCTTTATTGAGCTCTTGGGTAAACAAGGCAGGAAAAATCCCCTCATCCAACGTTTTCATTAAAGAATATTAGTGTTGATTATTCAAATAATGTATCTACAGAAGAGTTATTTGAAAATGAAAATGAAAATGAAATGCTGTAGTAATTAAGAGGGGCTCCTTGTAAAGATTATTCAAAAAGAAAATGAAAATGAAATACTCTAGTGATTAAGAGGGTTTTTTTTGTAAAGATTATTGAGATCAACTTAACATTTTAAGTTTCGCAAGAAATACTTAAGATTGAGAAATTTTAGGTAAAAAGGAATGTAAGTTCGGGGGTTGATTGTGTGGTGTGTTTGTGTGAGTGTGAGTGTGAGTGAAACGAGATCGATATCTTATCAAACGCCACGGAACGCACATTTCCAAACGAAAATATAAGCTGAGAAAGAAATGGGCAAAAGAAAAAAAAGGGTGAATAGACAAGGAACACAATCTACATATGTCAAATAAAAGATGATTCATCGATTGAGTCTTTGTTTTTGAATGTTTTTGAATGTTTTTGAGAAGATTATTCACTACCGGTTAAAGGAAGGCTTACAATTTGTCTGGAGTCACATAAAAATGAGTGAAATTGTTTTAAGATTGAAGTAAGATTGGGTACTACCGTAGAAACTGTAATAGTACCCCACCCCGATAATGCCGGTGCGGAGTGTTGCGTAGTCTAGCTTTGAACGAGTTTTTCTCGACACTGGTTTATGCTACAATGCTCGCTTAGGTATCAAAAAATAGCCCTGAATTTCAGCTATTTTTTGATACCAAAGACACATTTTTTGAAAGAACGGGCACTTTGAAAAAAATGAAATACTGAAAAGCTTTTGCGACTACGCGACTGTACGAGAGGTGGAGACAATTACAGTATTTACGGTAGGTACTTTTAGGTACTATCCGCTTAGACATCTCCCACCACTATCCTATTCAGATCTTTTGAGAAAAAGTGTTGATATTTTAAGAATCCGATTTTTTAAAGTTATAATTTCAGAATAAGATAAGCATACAAATAAAGTAGATAAAATAATATTATAGATTTAACCTAGTTAGTAATTAAAGTATGGGCATAGTATCACCCTTTATACTATGAAGCTTTCTGACTAAAATATATTTGAATGGTAAATGGAAAAGAAAATAAAAGGGTAAGGAAAAGACGGAAGAAATTCTAGGCGAAGTGACCTAGAAATGCAGCACCCCATCGCCCACACAAACACACCAATGAAGAAAAAGGAAAAGGGAAAAGGGGAAAAGGAAAGAGTTTTCAATGATATTCATTCCTATCTTTTCTTTTAATAAAAAAAAATCATTCCTTTAGCTTTTTCTTTACTATTAAACTTATTTATTGGGAAAATAGGGTGAAATAGAAGGTGCTTTTACATGCTTTTACATGCAATACTCAAAAATTTACTAACTATAAGATTATTTTTCTATTTTATTTTGAAATAGCAAAGAAATTTGACAAGACATTATTAGAAAAGGAGAAAAAGAAATGTGACAAATTTGCAGACTGATTTTGTTGTTATCCATTGATTTGCAAGTAAAATGATCCTTCTAGAATCTAGCTAGTTTTACATTGCATCCAAATGATGATCACAATTAGGGGAGTATATTTAGGGGTGCAAATTACCGGGTGTTTGGTGAGATGGGTGGATGAAGAGACAAAAGTGGATGCGAACTGGGAAAAGGGTACAAGAGAGATTGAAGGGATGAATGGGGGGAAAAAGAAAGAAAAAGGGAGAAATGACCTCGGAACGGTGTTCATCATGTTTCTCTCTCTATTATCCACTTCGGGTACGCACTGTAAACAACCACAAAATTCGAGCGGCTGCCCTCAAAAAGGTGCCGTGTACGACCATCAACGGGTGAGTGTATCAACGGATTGTACGAATTTTGGTGAATGCGGTGGCGCAACGCCAGTCTCTGGAAATAGAGGGCTGGCATCATGCCTGGGTTCGATCCCATCTATGATGAACCGGCTCCAGGTCCTTAATGCGTGAAGTCTATCCAACCATCTTCGCCTTTTCTTTATCGCCAGAACAAGGGATCTAGGGATCGTCTAATAAGAGTAGAGATTAGAGAGAATGTAGGCATTGGCTAATTTGAGATATAGCCTAGTATTGTGTGTGTTACAATTGGTGTTTACCGTGTCGAATAAATAACATCCTGAGTGGCCGATGTATATCTTTAATTCTCTTCATTACTCGTGTAAAATTCCAAAAATTTGCGCTTTATTGATTGTGCTATCGTTTACATGTAAATTTTGATTTAAGAACACTTTTCTGAACACCGAACCGAATAGTCACTTTCCAAAGCGTTTTCCGATTACCGTAAATCAGTGAAGACTATTGTACATTAAAATTAAAGAACTAATACTGGTATTTAGAGTTATAAAGTTTAAAATTAAAATATAAGTATTGATTACGATAGGGAATGCTTCAGAGAGGGTACCTCAACTTCTGTAGAAGTGTTTTAAGTTTATGTTTTAACTGTTTTAACTGTTTTAACACAACTTCTGTAATTTAAGTTTCATTTTTATTTGTTATTTCATTTTACAGCACTTGAAATCATTTATTTGTTCGCTTTTTTGATTTTTTTTTTTGAATAACAATGATGGCAGGTTATAAAGAGTGAAACGCAAGAGAAAATGACAAAAACATGAGGAAAAAAGACCTAGACGGCAGTTAAAAGGAGGAGAAATCTGGCTCCTAAAAACAACAAGGTTAAAAAAGAAAAAAAGAAAAAAGAAAAAAAGAAATAGACAACTGAAAGGGAAAAAAGATAAAAATTCATAAATCGAAGAATCAGTCGATATACTGGAATGTACTCGTAAAAGCCCGTCAAAAAGGAAAAGCAAACTGACAAATGAATTGTTTTCTAAAGATTTTTAATTGATGGAGATGGTGTTGATGGAGTCGAAGCAATCGATCCACCTTGAGTCCATTCTGTGATAAAATTATTCCATACTTTTTCATGTCTTTTCTGAATTCTTTCCAAACGAGAATCAGCTATTCGACCGCATGTTGCACATTTTTTCGCTTCCCCGTGCGCTATTTCGATTCGAATCTGAAATTCTCTTGAAATTTTCGAATCATTATCTTATACTAAACGTTAGTCATAGATTTATTATCGTTTTTTTTTATTCACCTCAATATTATTGCGTGCTTCACGAACTTCTTTGACTTCTCCAATCCAGATGCCGACTTGTCTCTGCACTTTTTCCAATTCTGTACTCAAAAGTTCCATTGCTCGTTCGTTTTCTGAAATCTTATCCAAATTTTACTTTCAATTTCAATCATTTTCCAATTTCACCTTTCATTCGATGCAAATTTTCTTTAATTTCTCCATGTCTTTTCTTGAGGAAATTAGCCGTCTCAGCTAAAATATCCAATTGTGCATCATTTTGATGGAGTTGTCTGATGCATTCTTCCACTACTCCCAACTAAAAATTTCTATAATTTCTATAATTTCTTTCTTTCTATTTTCTTGAGAAATGAAATATTCAAAAATGTAAATGAAAGTGGATACCAAATGGTGTTGTCGTTGGCAGAAAACTTGCATCGCATGCAATTCCCTCGCTCCGTCTTCGTCTTCCAAAATTGAATCCTAATATATGTAAACTTTATTGATTTTTTTTTTTCGTAAAGTAAAACCTTGGAGGATTCTTTTTGAAGCTTCATGTGGTCGATGTTAAGAAGCCACTCTGGAAATGAAATCATTTCATCCTCAAAGCAAAGGTCGATCCCGTTTTTAAGATTGTCTTAAAGAGAAAAAAAAGAAATTGAATGAGATTACAGTGACGGTGATTTAATGGATTAGTCTCAGCACTTTACTCTTGGCATCGACAAGGAAAAAAAGCAAACTAATGAAAAGAAAAAAAAAAGTTGTGAGAGAAAGCGGAAGAAAAAAAACACGGATCCTCTAAGCAAAGACATGTGTTCTCGACGGGTTTTCCCTTTACCTATCGCATTTCTTTCCTTTCTTTTATTTTGCGTCTTTTCTTTTCTTTTTGTCTTAAAAAAAGTGTCTCCTACCGATGAAGCACTCATCGTGTTCGATCAAATAGAAATTGTAGAAATTTCTTTTTATCATATCTCTTGATTTTCAACTTAAAAATTAGCACTTGAAACACTTTTCTTCAAAATTTTTTTTATAAATTAAATCCAAACGCGTAACATTCTAGAATTCAGACGACAGAATCTCAAGAAAAGTGAGAAATAGGAATGAGAATTGAATGTGACGGAACACTAATGGATGTCTAGCAAAAAAAAGTGATCTTTCCCAAAAGCTTTAGCTGAAAGCGATGCTTTAGCTGAAAGAATAAGAATCAACAACAGAAGTGCAATGGCAATTATGCAATTTCAGGAATGAATCACCAATCAAATGGAGAGCAATTTGTATCTGATGCAAAAAGTGAGATTTTATGGGTAGAGAAATTCCGTGCAATGTCTTTTTTGGGTGAGGGTGGCCCTGGGGGTGGAGAAGGGGAAGGGAATGGAAGAGGAATGGAAGGGAATGGAAGGGAATGGAACGAGAATGGAACGAGACAGAAACGAGTCCCTCGGCCACAAATGGGATTGTCGCCTTTTCTTTTCTTTGCTGATGAAAAATTGTTTCTTAGCACAAAAACCAAAACCTCAGCTTGGCTGCAAAGAAACCCAAGATCATAGTGGTGAGAAAAAGAAGTTATTGGAATAGGCAAAGCAGGGCTTTTTTTTATTTTGAAGTTCTGTGAAATGAAGGAAAATGTATTCTTGCTTTCTGAAAAGAGAAATAGGATGAGTTAAAGAGAAATAGAATGAGTTAAAGAGAAAGGGGTACTTGAGTGAGTGGGGAATTACCCGCTCACGACAGCAGTCATTCTCCTCCCATTTTGGACTTCAATTAGTCAATCATTCTCAACTTTTTACCAAAAAAACTTACATCAAATCATCAAAATATTATTATTTATGGAAAATAAACAAAGAGTTTCACTGGATAAAACTTAAAAGATACAAAGATTGAGCATTCAACTTTGTTCACAATGAGGAAGTGTCTATTGTCCACAAAAGCCCCATTTAGATATGATTTGTTGAAAAAAAATAGAAAGCAAAGTGGGTTTTTTTGAATTTGAGTTTGATTCTCAGGGGAATCTTTAATGGCTTTGATCCTTGGATGTATTCCTTTCTCTCTATTTTTTGAGACCTAATATTCTTGGGTCACGATCTAGACGCCAATTCTCGCTTTTTTTCTGTTTTCTTCCCTATTTAGATTTGAAATTTAACTGAAAAAGGGAAAAGTATGATAAAATTGAATTGTTATCGATAAAATCGTTAAAATATCATCCCCAGTCTGGTTTAAATGAAAATTAAACTTGCTTTCAAACTGCAGATTCAGTCTAATGATTGTTGTGCTTGAGATGAAAATGTTTGTGAAACATCATTCTAAAGGAGGATAAAAGTAAAGAAATTTTAGATTCTAAAAAGTACAGTAATGGTCTAAAGCAAGACAACAGCAGTACGAAAAAGGGAAATGCGAAATGAATGTGGGAATGATGTTACAAATTGACGAGGAGAACAGAACTATACGGAACCAAAAATGGGAAGAGAAAGGCATCGGCGAGGCTTCTTGTTTCTCGTCTCCTTCGTTAGAACGGCCCTTTTAGCCTTGTTTCCCTTCATGGCCCGTTCTTTCCTTTTTCCGCCCTCTTCTTTCTCAGAATTTATCCTTTTTTTTCCTTTCTTTTTTCTCTCTCACATCTCAATGGAGCCGTTAATTTTGGGGATTCCGCTTTAGGCTCGAATGAGCACGCGACGAACACTTTGAGTAGACTCTAACGGCAGCTTTATACTACAATCATCATCTGATGAGTGTACTAGAAAATCTGATGAGTGTACTTAAAATAGGCTACTAATTATACATTATTTTATATTAATTATCTTATGCTTATGTATTAAAAAATCTCGAAAATTAATTGAAACAAAAAAAAAATGGAAAAATGGAGAAGTGGAAAAATGAACTCTCACGGCAGCTTTATACTACTCCTTCATCTCTACTACAATCATCTGATGAATATACTAGAATATTTTTAAAGTGTGTTACTGATTATACATTATTATGTTATGATTATGTCTTAAAAATCCTCGAAAGTAATACTTTTGTTCACACTAGAAACAAAAAAAAAATGGAAAAATGAAAAAATAGAAAAATGAACTCTAACGGCAGCTCCTTCATCTTTACTAAAATCATCTGATGAGTATACTAGAGTATTTTTAAAGTGTGTTACTGATTATATATTATTATGTTATGATTATGTCTTAAAAATCCTCGAAAGTAATACTTTTGTTCACACTAGATACAAAAAAAATGAAAATGGAAATTGCCATAACTCAGCTCTCCTCTGAAATTGTGAAATTGAAGTTTTAATGAAAACTGAATATAGAGACAATTTTTGAAGTTATTGTAACTTTGAAGAAATCTACCAATAGTACTAGTACCAACGACTTTCATCTGATCAACGTTGATCAGATGAAAGTCGTTAGATACAAAAAAAAAACGATTGAGAAAATGGGAATTCTTTTAAGCATCACCAAAGATCTCTTGAAAATCTGAATGAAGAGAATGTTTCCCCTTTTTCTTTTTTCTTTTTTCTTTTATTCCTCGATTGCGTATGATGGCTGGAGGGATTTGTGCCAGCCACCGCAACAATCACCCGTTATTCTGCCCACATGTCCACCCTCTTCTTCCCTTGCTTGTGTCCCCCCGCCTTCACTCTTTTTCTACTCGGATAAGTAAATTTTTACCCAACCTGCATTGAAAATTTTGATGCAGATTAACCAGAAACTTACTTATCCAACTCAATTTGAAATCATAAACACAATAAAATATCCTTAAGCTCTAGATACTTTTCTTCTTCCAGAGGCTAGTCAGACATTTCAGAGCTCAGGCTCAGGACACCAAATATCGGTGTCTTGTTGATTTTTTGAATAACAATATGTCTGAATGGATTAGATTACAAGTCTATGTATACCAAGTAGAACAAGTTTCAAGCTAGGTTTCTGGATAAAGTTGAACGGGGGATGGATATTTGGAAAGTGTCAAGTTGCGAGTCATTCCCACAGAATCCCCCTAGTGAAACAGACGAGAGAAGGAAAAATTACTGAATTTTGAATTTTTCGATTTTCCATGAAAGAAACTCTTCTGGGATTCAAAGTGTGATGTTATTTGGAATTGGAGATCAGAATTGAAAGATCCGACAAAATGAATAGCGCCAAGCGATTTCCCGGCCGCGAAAACCGAAAACCATTGACTGGAGTCCATCTTCTTTAGAAGTTAGATGATCCTGGGAATTATCGATACAGGAAATAAGAATAGAAGAAAAGAAAAATAGTCGAATTTTAAGCCATTTAACACAGTAAATGAGCCTTTTTTTTGCCCTTTTTAAGTTCAAATCCTTTTTCTGACGTGATCGTTCGCTAAATTGAAAAACTCCCGTAGAAGAGTCATGCTTAAATTTGATCAATTTCTGGAAATCCAAATGTTTTTAGATAAAACTCTTTTAGAAAATGCTATATTTTTTATTAGAAAACTGGTTCTTCCATACAAAATAGCATTCGAGATCTCGAAAACGGTAAGAGCTATCGACAAACGGCTTTCAAATTTAAGCAGCATCATTGAATTACTAAAAGAAACGTTTGACTTGGCTCAACTCTTCAAACTCTTCAAAAACTCTTCAAAAAGTCCACTTTTCCAAGGATTCCTTTAAAATTATGTCCAATTGAAAAATGAATCTTTCGAGTAAAGTTTGCTTAAAACCAAAATTTTGCTGATTGCCTATTTTTTTTAGTTTATTTTTATTTATTTATTTATTTCTTAAACTTAAACTTATTTATTTCTTAAAACATAAATAGAAATAGATTTCAAAAACAGTCTTAACAAACTATCATTGATTTTCGAAAAACTCCAAAAATTCGTTTGCCTTTAAAATTATGTGGTGATCTACGTGATCCTTCCTTGTTTTTTCCTCAAATTTCTTTCGATCATCGGATACTTTTGAACGTCGAATTTGAGGAGACAAAAAGTATCGTTATTTAACTTATTATTTTATAATATTATTTATTTCATTTCAACTCCAATCTGCCAATAGAGTTTCTAAAGACATAAAAGCCGATTCTAAAGTATTGCATAACCAATTTAGTCTTTATTTCCAAGCTAAAGACGGTCATTAATTGACGGTGACGCAAATCGAGTGGAGTTCTGATGGGAAAGCGTTGTTGTCGGTGAGCCGACCTTGAACCGCGATCATTTACAAGGAGGACGAGGGAAAAGGGAAGTTTTTTGATTGTTCTTTGAGAAGAAACAGCTGAAATTTAACCCAAATTTCATTCATTTAGTTATATACAGGGTGCGCCAAAAGTTCCCATACTTGTATTTTCTGCATTTTTGGTAATTTTAGATAAAAGATACGATTTTAAAAGTAAGAAATTCGAATTCCTCGCGAAAAACTGATTTAGAAAACGTTTCTGGTTAATTTATAAGTGCAACGCTATTTAAGACAAGTGATTGAGAAGAGGGTCCGCTCAGGGGCGCTTTGGTCGCACAGTTACAGGGCGCCGTTACAGGGCGCCGTTACAGGGCACAGTTACAGGGCACAGTTACAGGGCACAGTTACAGGGCACAGTTACAGGGCACAGTTACAGTT